CGTGGACTGCTAGCAGATTGCACCTTCAGCACCGAGACAAAGTATGCATGGATGGGAGCAAACCCGTCCTCCACCGGCGCAGTCCACCGTACAACTGCTGATGTATGCTGTACGGATGTGAACGTTACACCCGATGGTGCAGTGGGTGGCACTGTGCATACACACAGATCACAGATCACACAAAAACCAATCAAGCCTTGCCAAGAAATGCACTGCGGTGGCATAGTGTAAATACAACTGAGCCGCTTGAACTAAACACAGAATTTACACAATGTAGACTGTATGTTTCGATCGTCCACCCTTTGCGGGCCGGTACAGATGCTGATCTTGCCAAGTACTGTAGTCATTCTTCATCGTAATGGCTACCTGAATACCGACAGTTGTGACATTCTAACACAATAATACACTAGTCCAGCAGCAAATACAAAGAAGCACTCTGCATGGAGGCTTCCATCACAGGCATTCACACCATCTGAATATCTTCATCCGCTCACTGCAGATGAAGCAGATGAGTCACATCAACCCCTTGGACTTTGTTGGGCTTAGTGGTACCGGAGATGACTGTGCGTGTACCAATACGTTCAACATTGAAGCCAAGAAAGCATTGGTGTGGAGTGGATGAAGATACCGTAAAGTCTTGTATAAAAGCCGCGGCTTCCGACTTTCTTGGTGAAATTTTGCAGGCTTCTATATGAGACAGGCTTCTATACAAGACAGGTATTTCTATGTATGTCAACACTAAAACCAGGCTTATGTGTGATTTGATGGACTCAAAATTGCGGCTTCTATTCAAGTGCGGCTTTTGTACAAGACTTTACGGTAATTGGATATACAGAAAACCAGTACAATGTACGAACAGCTTCACTACTTCAAGTTACAGCTTACCTTGAACTACCACAGTTCGGCCAGCGGACTGTTGGCCTAAAAGGTTTGCAGCGCTACACAAATATATGCCGGCATCATTACGTACGACTCTGTCCACGGTCAATGTACTGCGGACACTTCCAGCGGTAAGATTGGTTTCGGCTACTCGGGCTGAGCTGTTAGACTGCTGGTCAATGTAGATACCGTCATGCAACCATCGAACATCAGGTACGGGCAGACCATCTGCTACACATGACAACGACAGCGTACGTCCAATAGGGATGGCCGCTGCTGTCCCTGCACCTGGCACAGTCGCGCTTGGTGGAGCTGACAAGAAAAACACAAAAATGGCACAGGGCGTGATTAATGTTATCCCAGAATACCCCGTCAAGTTTAGGGCACACAACCGGCTACATATAAACACAGCTGAGGAGACACATACCCGCGGCAGTATAGCTCATAGGAGACACCACTCTAGGTTGCGCAGCTAAAATTTCCATACACACGCATTCACAAGAGCCGATAGGTCGATCAAAGTCATGAATTACCCAATGTTTGCCGCCGTGGTTTGTATACCATTCATACGCATTTCATCACGGTGTTTTAGTGACCGTGCCTAAAGCCATCCGTATAATTATATTGCATACGCAGTGCACTCACTTTGCACGACTACCGCAAGAGAATAGTTATCGACACCGGCAAAGTTCCGAGCCCTGCACATATAAGGTCCAGCATCGGACGGTGTGGCTGATCGTCCTGTATACACTAGCTGTGCTCTTGCAGATTGACGATCAATAACCTGAAAGCACGGATGCAAGAGAGGGAAAAGGTTTATGACAAGGTTCAATAAAACAGCTCTATTAAAGCAACAACAAAAAGCAACCTCACTGCTGCGCATACGCAAATACACGGGCATCTTTCCAACAATAGAATCGGGAGAACAGCGCATATGTGACTATCATTACAGCACACTTCACCACGGCCTACAGAGTACAGGCCAAGGGTGAGGGCATGACTCCCCCCCCCCCCCCCCCCCCCAAGAAAATCCAGCAGTACTAGTGTTGTAGATGCAGCAATACATGAAGTACCACCAACAGGAGTTGCACAGGAGTTGCAAACAAGGGCACACCTGACTAGCACGGACAGCACCACTCTCAGTTTTAACTTGAAGAGTCGCCAGCGGCCATACCTGGCTTCCTCTGAGCAGTTCCCAATCCGGAAGAGGCACGCCTGAGCCACGACACATTATCTGCCACGCTTGGCTAGCATTAGCCAGGATTGTAGTTGCCGTGGGCTTCTCAATTCGAGGTGCCACTACATGGGTAACAAATACGAACAAATCACAATATCCAACAAGGCCGCGAATGACTGTGTTTGCAAGGTATCCATGATAAAGTGCACCTCGTAAGATCTTGCAAGATGGGAGGAAATAAGATGCATGGCTACATGCATGTCACACTCGATACTGGAGCCCAGCATACATACACCTAGCCAACTATGCCCGCATACCAGCGATAGGGCCCTGGCGACTAGTCTACTTGCACACTCACTCACTCACGCACGCACGCACACACACACAAACACACACACACAAACACACACACATACACACACACACACACACACACATACATACCAGGACCCCCGGTGATTAGCCTAGATGTACTTGCAGATACGCACACACCGTCATGGCCCCTTCTCCAAGTGCTACATAAGGTTGCACATGCAGTGCGGTTGCAAGGTATGGGCAAGTCACAGGCAGCGATTCTGAGATAGGGGCATCCTTCCGCAGTCCAAAGGTGATTGGATACAAGAGGTTCCACTACCACATTTACACAGAGTGAATAAACTGAATCCCTGCTAAAGATTCCTAAGACTCATAAGTTCTGTGCATGAAGATTGTATGCCAATCATGTTTTTCCTGCTTCCAATGGATCTCAATTGGAGACGAAACAGAAGAATCAGGCTTTCATACAATTTAATTCCGCCAAAAATGAGCGAATTTGCCGCAGTGAATGGCGAGGCGATTGGTTTGAATATAAGCCCATTGCCAAATATAGATTGCATGAGCAATGTCTGTGAGTACACTGGGACCAGGAATGCACTGTTCAACAACCCACAGGACCATGCCCAGGTGACCGTGTGGGATGCCTATGGTGCAAATGACGGCATTGCACAATGGCGGCTTGTTTAAAAACTTGTGATCCCCGACTTACCAGCCAGCTGCACGGAGATCGTAGGGCTTGCGACAGCCTCGGTGAATGACTGATACCTACATGTGTACTGTCCACTGTTACTGCTGGAGAATGATCTGATCGTAAGCTAAACACAACATCCGAACACCCGAACACCCGCACACAACACCCGAACACCCGCACACAACACCCGCACACCCGCACACAACACAAACACACATACAAACACCCCGTAAGAAGACCTCGAGTCTGTGGGGACTGCCCAATTAAAATATGAATAAATAATAATAATAATAATAATAATAATAATAATAATGGAATGGGTTTGCTCCCACACTGGAGCTCGCGCTATTCCGCCGACGACTTGACACTTGACTGACTCACGACTGCCATCCAGAGAACACGAGAAGTCCATCGAACCTTCGACTCGGCAAACCTGCAAGAAAGCACCACTCCCTGCTCAATACACAGTGTTTCGGGGAATTCACCCCTCATCAGTTGAGCTTGAGTAGGCTGAGGAAGATTGTGCCTGAAGAGCACCACTTATATAGTGCTGTCCAGGCACAAACATCACCAGGGATACAAACTTACAGAGACACTCCGCTAAACAAAATCATCGCCGAAGTCGCAACCTCTATTTCGTACTGTTGTGCCCAGCGCGGGCGTGCGACTAGGTGGTTTGGAGGTGACAGCGTTGTGAATGACCGAGGGTCCTCTTCGTCTGTTCTCACCGTCCAGGAGCGATAACTGACTCACGCTGCTGTCTGGTGTTCACGAGGTGTTTGTCGCGCTGGAAACGGAGTGTCTCTGTAAGTTTGTATCCCTGGTGATGTTTGTGCCTGGACAGCACTATATAAGTGGTGCTCTTCAGGCACAATCTTCCTCAGCCTACTCAAGCTCAACTGATGAGGGGTGAATTCCCCGAAACACTGTGTATTGAGCAGGGAGTGGTGCTTTCTTGCAGGTTTGCCGAGTCGAAGGTTCGATGGACTTCTCGTGTTCTCTGGATGGCAGTCGTGAGTCAGTCAAGTGTCAAGTCGTCGGCGGAATAGCGCGAGCTCCAGTGTGGGAGCAAACCCATTCCTAAACAAAATCATCGCCGAAGTCGCAACCTCTATTTCGTAATAATAATAATAATAATAATAATAATAAGCATGTACAAAATAAATTATTATACAGTGTTACCGCCATGGTCAACTCTCAGCTCAGGCTTGTGTGTCGCCGGCTATTTCCTGATGGTGAGGCGTCGCTCCATGAGATCAATTGCCTTGTGTATGCTGGTGCTTGCGTTTGCATATCGACTATCCAAGGCAGTCAGAATCATCCGACTGGCAATGCCAAGCAAAACGGAAGTGACAAGGACCATCCGCCGCAGTGGCAGATCCGATTGACAAAGGAAATCGATCAACTCCGCTCGGATGTTTCCCGACTCACCAGCATGCTACGATATCCATCGGAGAAACATCATGACTTCTGGAGGAGATATGAAGTTGAAGTCGGAAACACAGACGAGTTGGAAATGAAGCTACAGGGAAAGAAAGATCGACTTCTTGCGCTAGCAGCCAGGATGCGTCGATACCGAGAAAATGAAAAGGCCAAAAAAGCCAACAAAATGTTCCAAATGAATGAGCGTGCTTTCTACCGGACGCTTCGGGAGCCTGCACACCCTGTTAGTGGTGCTTCAAATCGATTGGAGACGCCGCAATTTCCAGAGGCGGGTGAAGCCACCGAATTCTGGAGTGATCTTCTGTCTACACCTGCGCCGTTCACCGCTGGTGAGTGGTATGTAAGGCAAGCAGAATATTATGAAGAACACGTCCCTGTGCAGAGTAGCGCAGTTATCACCCAGGACATCCTGGCTGACTGCCTGCGCAGACTGGCCTTGTGGAGGGCTCCGGGCCATGACAAGTTGCATGGGTACTGGTGGAAGAGGCTGACAAGCCTGCACTCTTACCTTCGGAGAGCCTTCCAGAAGGTGATAGATGGCCACAGTGACATTCCGGGATGGTTGACGTCTGGCGCTACTACTCTCCTTCCTAAGACTTCTCCACCTTCGGCAATGCCCAAAGATTATAGACCAATTACGTGTCTTCCGATACAGTACAAGCTCTTTACCGCCGCCATATCGAAGATTATGTGGCAGCACATCAATCAACATGAAATACTTGCAACGGAGCAGCGCGGTTGTGCAGCAGCTGGTCTTGGTTGCAAGGAGCACCTGATGGTGGATAAGATGATTCTGGAGGATGCCCATACGAAAGGGCGAAATCTGGTCATGGCATACCTGGACTTCAAAAAGGCATTTGATAGTGTGTCGCATGAATGGATTCTACATGCTTTGACGATGTATCGATTCCACCCGTCTTTGGTCACAACTATTGCTCGTAGCATGCGGAACTGGAGAACGACAATGCACATATGCGACCAGGGAAGATGCAGGGTCACTACCGGCAACATTTCAATAAGAAGAGGCATATTTCAAGGTGACACATTATCCCCGTTACTGTTTTGCCTGGCGCTAAACCCAATCAGTTTTGAGCTCAACCGATTGCCTTTGGGATACAGAGTCAGCTGCAGAGACGCCGAGTTGTCTATCAATCACTCTTGGTACATGGACGACATTAAACTCTATGGGAAAACTACAAAGGATGTGACTACCCTCGTGTCTACCGTGTGTGGCGTTGGTGATGACATCGGCATGAATCTCAACCCGGCCAAGTGTGCCGTGCTGCACGTCAGGAGAGGAAAACCAGATGAAGGATGCTCTATCCAGGTTGGCGATGAGACCATTGCAGAGTCGCTACGACTCAATGAAACATACAAGTACCTTGGAGTAGTGCAAGCAGCCATGATACCTCACCCGAAGCTCAAGACGCAACTCACTGCAGAATACAAAAAGAGATTGTATTTGCTTCTTAACAGTGGATTGAATGCGCGAAACATGATCAAGGCCATCAATACGTATGCTCTGCCGGTTATGACATATAGTTATGGAATCGTAAATTGGACCGAGGCTGAAATCAAGACCACAGATCGAGTGACAAGATCAGCCTTGACTGCGTCTGGATTTCACCACCCCAAAGCCTCAGTCAACAGGCTCTACATGAAGAGGGGAGATGGAGGCCGGGGCTTGGTCTCTTGTGAGGATATGCACGGCCGGAGCATGTGTGGCCTGGCCCGCTACATGAGTACCAGCCCAATAGACAGAATAAGCCTGCTTTATCAGTATCATCAACAAAAACCTACAACAAAAAGCCACTCAATAACTGCAAAGGCCGCTAAGTTCCTGTCGAGTTTGGATCTGCCAGCAGCTGGACCAGCTTTACCCAATAAGCATACCATTAAACAAGCGTGCGCTGAGCGAAAATCCAAAACACTTTCCACTATGCCGCTGCATGGGAGATATTGGAGCCGATTGGAGGAGAATCGCCTAGATAAGGAGCTTACCTTCATGTGGTTGAAATCAAGGACACTGAAACCTTCAACTGAAGGCATGATTATGGCAGCACAAGACCAATCCCTCAAAACGAAAAATTACCAATACGCCATAATGAGGTCAATTCCTCGAACTGATGCCAATTGCAGGCTTTGCAAGGGCAGCTTAGAAACAATTGACCACATTGTCAGTGCCTGCCCAGTTCTTGCTCGGACCAGTTACATTGAACGACATAACCGGATAGTAAAGTATGTGCACTTCGAAATGTGTAAAGCACGAGATCTACCTACTGGTGCTTCACGATTCGACCACCAGCTCAAGGCATTGGTCAAGAGTAATCAGTATCGCCTCTATTGGGAGTATTCGGTCCCAACTGACCTGAAACTATCAGCAAACAGGCCTGATCTGCTCCTTGTTGATGACAAGGAGCGCATCGCCTACATTATAGACATCAGCGTTCCTGGTGAGAACAACATCAATAAGAAAATGGCTGAAAAGCGCTCGAAATATTATGATTTGAAGCGGGAGATTTCGAGGATTTGGTCCCTCAACCAGGTTGACGTGGTCCCTGTGGTTGTCGGTGCCCTGGGAGGCTTGGTGGGGGAGACTCCTCAATGCCTTCGGACTGTGCAGGGAGGAGACCTGGCTATTGTGCAACAGGAGGCTATACAAGGTTCGATTAAAATACTGAGAACTATCCTTAACATGTAGATGCACCTCTGCTGCGTTTGCATGTTCAATAGCTAAGAGACTTGAATAACGACTGATAAAGACTGATATTTCCTTTGTTACTACTCCCTTCATTGGTTGATGTATTTTGCCTGTCGCTGCAAATTCTTTATTATTGTTTTGATGTTGGAGTTCGGATTGAGTTTCTTTCCTTTCTTCCTCTTCCTTCAACTAGTTCTTGTCCCTTTGGTTTTTAGGTTTTATTTATTTATTTATTTTTGTTTTTGTTTTTTCACTTTCTTTTTGCTGTCCCACCCATGGAAATATTTCCCGGTGGGTCTGGCTTATCGCCTTCGAAAGAAGTGAATAAAGGAGAAATAATAATAATAATAATACCGTAAAGTACCGCCAGAGCGCCCCGTCTCGCGAGAGCGCCCCACCTTGATTTTACAGCCAGAGAAAGGAAAATCGTATGGCAGAGTGCAACAAAGTGTGTACGATGTGAGAACCTTAGTGTACTAAGGTCACACTTGGCAGGTTTTTGTGTGGAGCTTGTGTCCTCTTGAAGGTACGGATTGACTGCAAAACGTGCAATATGTGTACAAGGTTCATGTCGTATGACCTGCAGACAGCAGACCACCTCCACGATACGACCACGAAAGGATGGGATGGTGGGGCGCTCTGGCGGTACTTTACGGTAATAATAATAATAATAACAACAACAACAACAACAACAACAACAACAACAACACACATACACGCACATTTAAAGCAAGAGCGCGACTGGCCACTGTCGACAGAGCTATCAAGTGCTGAAAGGGGAAATACCACGGTCACCCAACCCAACCAAAGAGGTTCAATTAAAAAGCATACCACTGGTTCCCTGACACAAACTAGTCCGCTCCTTGAAAAATACAAAGTTAACATGCCACACAAGATTCCAGCTTCACAGCATGCAATACGTGGTACCCATGGTAACTACTACTACTATGTACAAGGTATTCTAGGTCAAAGTGACTACTGTGTAAGCAAGCAGCAGTGTCCTCAGACAGGACACATAGTAACTGGACGTGTCAAGATGTTCAAGTCTTCGTTGTCTTGGGACAGGATAGAAGGTATGGCACAACACATGCACAGTGCACGAGATACCAACTGAATGTGCATATAAACCGCATCCACAGTTACTGTTTCGTGGTATCGCCGCACATCGGGCAGCACAGTTATTGCTCAGCATCTGCATGAATAACCGAAGTGCAATACTCATCCACGGTCACAGCACATGAGCATGTGCATGTCCTTGTACAAAGCAAAGTCCCCCCCCCTCATACTGTGCTGCATTCATCATCTCCTACTTACTGTGGACATCTTCGCATCTTGCACATAAGTTTCTGAAGCAACAAGCAATTGTCCATTGAATTGCATAATGATTGGTACGTGACCTTGCGCCTGGGAGTAATTGCACTGGACGGTTAGCGACTCTCCCAGCTTGACAACAGTGCCATCACTGGGGCGTATGGTGATGGCGATTGGTAGTTGTACCTGGCATAGCACTATGCTATCCGCTGGAAGAACGAGAGTGCAGGCATTACACAGACCACAGAGAGCACATTAAAGGCACAGAAAAAGTCATCCCATAGTCAAACATGGTCCTAGTGAGTACTGCAACACCAAGCAACCAGCTATCGCTGTCCGCCACTTTACCGTGCCCAGTCACATGCACAGAACACATTATAGCATCGGCCACCAGCTGCAGACACGTCCAACTTTTTTCAACTGATCAGTGACCATTCAGCTTATCCTCGGTTGTTCCATGCATATTGATATTTCTCTCCAAGCTTATCATGATATATTATCTTCCTTTCCAAAAACAAGTAAGAAAGTAGTGGTGGTGGTGGTGGTGATGATGGTGGTAGTGCTGGTGGTAGCCTGAGTGCTGGTGCTGGTGCTGTGGTGGTGGTGGTGGGGGGGGGGTAATGGTAGCGCGTGCAGTAAAGCCTGGTTTCACTGCCGACCCACCTACGGGACTGACTAATACAAATAAATAAATAAATGTCACGGTTCGCGGTAATAATGGTAGCGCGTGCAGTAAAGCCTGGTTTCACTGCCGACCCACCTACGGGACTGACTAATACAAATAAATAAATAAATGTCACGGTTCGCGTGAGACTCGGCTGGAAACCTAGTTTGGAGGTGAGTAGACTGACTAATAACGGTGTGTAAAACAATAGGAGGTCTCTGAAACCAGGGTGACCATCACACATCCCTACACATGTTGGTGCTAAAGAATAAAGTGAGAAGGAAACCACGTGGTTTCTTGCTCTACTTGTATGTGCGTATCGGAAGATTCGATTTCGGACACCCCAACGGGAAAATATTTTAAAACGGAGACAAACGCTAGTGAGTGCCGACATTTTCGAAGAAAGGACGAAGAAAGGACTTGCTTGGAGAGGACTTGCTTGGGAGAAAGGACTTGCTTGGAAAGGACTTGCTTGGGAAGGACTTGCTTGGAAAGGACTTGCTTGGGAAGGACTTGCTTGGAAAGGACTTGCTTGGGAGGAGATATTCACTAGTTGAGGGAATTGGAAAGTGAGAAATGTTAGCTCTCGCAATTCTCTGGGACAAAGGTGGTAGTTTTCGAGTTAACCCAGCTTCACTCGTAAAGTTGTATGCGACGTTATCGCCGTTAACGATCTTCCCCTTCACGGAAATGAACAGATGCAAACAAAGGTGGATAAAGTTGTGGGTTACGACTTTTGAACATTTTGGAGCAGATCTGGCCATGACAGATGCTATCTCAGGTATGCCCCATGCGAAGTGCACATGACCACCTGGGGGCAATATCTCCAAATACCCCGGCTGCATTGTAGTTACGTCAGGAGTTCCGAGAAAGCCAAAAAAAAGACTGATGCGGGAGTGACACAAAGACTTAGTACTGACAGCAGCGGACAGAAATAGAGCATGTCCGGAGCACACAATCAATCGGGTCCACCTGAATTAGCATCATTACTGCCTAGTGCAGATGATGCATACTCGTACAGTGTGACACTGTCTTGTGTTAAAGCATGCCTCGTATGCGAAGAAGCTGTTTTGAATACAAGCCTGATTTTCTAGATGCACTTGCGGCACCTAAGCCTGATTTTCGTGTTGACATACACAGACTGAATACCTGGTTCGGATAGAAGTCTGGCTTGAGTAGAAGTCTAGCACTAACATCCGCTTCTACAGGAATAAGACCGGCTTTGATACGCTTTGATACACACCATTACGGTACTCGTACAGTTGCCCACACATCACTAAGGCTGCCCCTTCTCCCCTCTCAGGTAGCCCCGGCCCAAATGACAACATAACCTCATAACATCATGAGGAGACTCACTAACACAAGCATACGCACGCACGCATGCACGCACGCACACACACACACACACACACACACACACACACACACACACACACACACACACACACACACACACACACACACACACACACACACACACACACACACACACACACACACACATGGGCATGATCTTCCTGCCATCTTGTCATCAGACATCAATCTGAACCAAAAGCCTCCAGTAGGAGTACTGGTACTTGAAAACAGGTGGTGTGAGTTTCCAAAAAATTCCTCTGTCTAAGATGAACTGACCCCAAGATCCGACAGGATAGAATGGCTATGGGAAACTCCCCCCCCCCCCCCCCCCCCTGTTGAACGTCAGTACTGTAATAACAACTGTAGTCTTTTGAAGAGTGAGGTTTCCAGAGGCTACTACTGTGGTGAGCATGCTTTCCCTCCACCCCCCCCCCCCCCCCCGTTTCTGTAGGTTTTCATGCCCGCCACACTGAGACTCCCGCCAAGGTGGCCTCTGTCACCACAGTTGTGCATCTTGAATTCTAAACTTGGATTCCCCCCCCCCCCCCCCCCCCCCCTCTAAACAAACATGGCAACATCCGAGAAGTGTCCGGTGTCCAGTCTTCATTGGGACCAGTCACATTGACTCCCCTGGACTTCGGACAGCCCACAGAGTCACAGTGGTCAAGGGCCTTCAGAGCCATTGCAGTAGCAGCAGCAGACCCCAGTGTTTGCTATGTCCGGCCTACCCATGTCACTGACCAAATATAGTTTGTGTACAGGACCACAGCCACTCATCCAGGGCTGCATCCTGTTTAATTAAACTAGATCAATGGTTAAAATCATCCAGTTAAGTGGGTTATTCGATATGGCAAGTGGTTAATTGGTCCACTCCTTGTCACAAACTGCTGCTCCAGATTGGTGAGATAATCTGATTATGCCATCACGCTATTACGGCAATACTGGATACAATAATTAATTTTATTACCAAACATATGTACATGTACTCCACTGGGCTGAAGCCTGTGAAGATAATTTCCCCACTAGGTAATCATGATGATCTTTACTTGGCGGGTTGGTCCTGGCTACTGCTGCATGCTACATGATGGTGTACAACTACAAGTCACACAGCAGACACGATGAAGTGATATACCACCAAGTATTAGTTCCTGCTCAGATATGAAGTCACGACTACACCACCAAGTAACGTTCCTACTCCCCCCTACCACTAGTAGCCTGGATATGTTGCCAGCTAGATAACTAATCTTACTCTGGGCCAAGTATCATGTGACACAATCTGGACAGTGGACACAACCTTTCCTTTCAAACAAATAAATAAAATTGATGCTGGGCCCTTGCATGAGCTTTCATTCACAGCCGCAGTACACAGAACTAACTTCTTCAAGTAAAGTTAGTGCACTCATCTGGCACCACATCCCTCACACTCACAGTCTTTCCCATGTGCAATGCAAGGCTGCTTGAGTGCAGCAAATAATTGGTCCAGTTTCAAGCAGTGCCAGTCGATTAATGGCATGTTCATTGTTGTTCAAATGATCACACCAGCTACATTGTACATTGTGGCCAGTGGTGATAAAACAATTGCCATTTCTACTTCAAGCACTGGCCTAGGTGACCACAAGCACTTCTACTTCTAAGTACATGTAGTAGACAACTCTCCAGTGTTAGTAAGCCATTACTTTACTCTTTACTCTAGAGCACAGCCTGTCTGTCACAAACACAGACTCACTCAGTGCATTTCATCCCCACACTACTCACTAGTTACTAGTACATAGTTTGTTTGTTCCGTACTTCAAGGTACCGCGCGCCCCAGCCATAACAGCCTTTCTGTCATAGGGAACGAGCATCTTCTCAGACCCACTGCATGCGGCATGCAGCACCCAGTTCACACCTACAAACATCAAAGACTCCCCAGCGAGTCTATGCTTTGCACAGCGGATTTGATCAACAGAACACGGACACAGCTGCGACGTTGGCTGGCAACTCCCAGCCTTGCTTTCACTTTTTGGACGCGGGTTGACCATGGCTGACACGACACTGCACTAGCTTTTTTTCCTTTTTGGCTTCTGCTTACTCCCTCGAAACAACATCCAACCTAATTATCATTACATGCTGAGAGGAGCCAGTGACAGGAGCAGCAAGAGAAGCAAGAAACCCACTGAGACTGAGTCGGCAACATGCAAAAATAATACACACAGCCCACTGCACTGTGTGACCACTAGACCAGGTACTGAGGTAGTGCCCAAGATAAGAACATTGTGAGGCGCTACTGTCTTACCTATGGCCAGGACAAGGGCGATGAGTCCAACCAGTCGCTGATAGTCCATTGCTCCAGTTAGCGACAACGCTGCAGCAACACGCCACGAGCGGCTGACTTTTACTGTCTTTATCGTGCCCGCCTACGTATCTGCACGGTGCAGTCGGCAAAATCTTTCGGCCGCACTGCAAGAGCCCAAGTTAGTTCAGAGAGCCCACACGCGTGCACGGGAAAGCTGGACCAGTCAAACGGGGGGCAACATTAGCCTAGTGCAGCTGCTTTCCTGTCCCAGCTAGCTCTAGGAGAAGATGCGAGTTTCCGACAGGAACACGTCACACAAATAAGGGAAAGCATGCAGCGCAGCTAGTCCTGCTTCCTTTGCCACTAGCACTACAAGATGAAAGGCAAACAATGTTTCATTTTTGCCGGTGGCTACGGTATTGCATTGTTTATGATTTGTCCAAACTCGAGATACGAAGACGTTCGCGAAATCAAAATAGAATGAGTGCAAACTACGTCGTACTAAACAAGTTGTATGGTACTTGGCGATGTCGATAAAACCAGCGCTTGCGTATGTACGAGTACCTGCAAGTCTTTCAACGATCGATCACCGATCGATTCGCGAAAGGTAAAAGGGACTATGTCATGTAGATCCGCTGCCAGATCTCACACGAGTCACAGGACTGCGCCAGACTAGACTGTCACACTCACAGTGTCAAGACAAGTGTTACTGAGTGCTCGTATTGTAGATCTACTCTATTTGGCCCTGCTAGCTGCTCTCGACTCGCGATCGTACATGCAAGCTATCTATCTCATGAGCTCAGTACATGTACTAATATCTGCGCTAATCGCGAGCGAGCTCTCAGCTCGTACACCATTGTACACGGCCACGGCGCCCCTAGCATGCGACACAAGTAAGACTTAGTAATAATTAGTTCACAACTCACTACACACAGTACAGGTCTGCTCTCGATATAACAACTCTCACTTGTACATAAACCTCGTTAGTACATAAAAAAATCAAATCCCGCGCCGAAACAGCATCACTCCCATACAAATTTTGTTCTACACAACATAATCCTACATAACATAAACCTCGACATAACACACGCTACGGCGGTCCCCGACGTGCGAACTCTCGATATACAACATAAATTCACTTGCACGGTACGATCAAGCGGTAGCTGTAGCTAGGCAGTTTAGGCCAGTTTAGTCTTACATAACGTAAACCTCGGCATAACGCACCCTACGGCGCAGTCCCCGACGTGTGCACTCTCGATACAACGTAGATTCACGTGCGCGGTGCAATCAAGCTGTAGCCGTAGCTAGCCAGTTTAGTCTTATTGTGCATATATTCTGCGGCATTGATGGTATCTGATGTCGATGGTGGTACAGTGTGTATATGTTTGCACGGTTGAACCCGCCTTGTAATACCCTTCATTTTGAGGTGCATCTTGTATTTTACACACGGTTTTCTACATAACATAACTCTCGATATAACATACTTTTTGCGTGGTCCCAGAGATTACGTTATATGGAGAGTAGACCTGTACCAGCACAGATTCAATGGTAGCTAGCCAGTTGATGCAACTGTTTCACGGCATCGGACAAAATCAGAAGGTGCCGTCTACCATGGCGGTGTACCTGGCCTGGTGTACTGGTAGATCTACAAAAGGAGTCGATCGTACACAACTTCACAAGTAGATCTGCTCGCGTGCAGTTTCCCGTCCCGGATCCCTGCACAAAATCGGATCGCGAACATAGCTTGCCAGCCACTCTGTGATACCGTACTACATGTACCAAGACGGCAAGAGTCCATAACCGGGGGTTATCATGGTTATGGACTCTTGTCTTGATACAGCACTACCTATTATGGTGTCAAGGTCACGTGCGACTCGTAGACATGGATATGGACTTGGTAACGAGTGACGTACATGTATGTACGATACTGACAATAATCCAGCTCCCCGATTTCCAACACGATCCTTGACTTGATTGAAGTACAAAACCGTTATGTACTCTTGATATTATTGATAAAATCCGAAATTAAGATCGCTGTCTCGCGCACTTCAAAGTCTTCTAATAGTAATACTACTCTGCATTCATTGCGCACCTGTTCTTCCCCCGCTGTGCATGTGCGTACCGGTATGCCTGGTGTACCTGGTGTACAAGCACTGCACAATCATGTGGATGTTGCTCTTTGCCCTCTCGCCTCGGACTTCTTCGGCGAAGCGTCATTTTGCAGGTGACGAAGTGAGCGTATGGCTGTGCCGTGGCGCAGCACTGAGTCAGCGTGTTGTAGAGTAGGTGAGAGGCGTGCGAGCAGGGCGAGAGAGCGGGCTAATCATCAGACCACGAACAGAGACCGAAGGTTGAGCAGTTGGTGTGGGGCTCCAGACTGTGGTTTTCGGCAGATGCGAGCTCCTTGCAGGCGGCGAAGCCAGCCTGGGATATCCACGATTCGGGGCACAGCGAAAGGAAACGCCGAACTCACCGTATCGGTTCAATGTCGGCCTTTCGTTCGTGGCCATAGGAACTCCGAAAAAAGGCGGCAGCGAGACTCATAGCGGCGGCTCATGCGTTGCCGATAAGATTTCGCTACGACGCGTAACGTAGTGCCAGCAAACTGAGGCATCGCAGCGACCTGTTGAAAGAAGATAGGCTTACAAATCGTATCACAGGTGTCCCTCCTGACAACTCTAAGCGAGCAGTGCTAGTGAGCAACGTACAAAGGCACGTCCAAAGATAAGTGCCAAGCGATCAAAGTCAGTGGGAATGACAAACCTCTGGTGTCATCTACTTGTCACTGCGAGCTTCGGGGTGCGGTTTTTCAGAAGTAACACGTTAGTTGGGACAGGAGACAAAACACGGTACCTGGACAGAAACATCCCCGTGTTTTGACCACAGGTAACCGGTTCGAGTTTCGATCTAGTACTAGTAGTAGGCTCTACCTGGTCCAGCCCTGAGCTGAGCTAGCCGTAGTGTCGACATGATCAGCTGAGCAGAAAACATGGCTGATATGGCCGTGTGGAGTACACTCAGCACTTAGTCTTTAGTTTAGTGCTGAGCGTACTCCACACGTGAACCACACAGATTTATAGAAAGCATGATCTGCCTTTTTACATGTATAAGTCTGGGCTCAGTTACTACAATCTACATGATTATTGTACTACATGTAATGATGTAGTAGTCCGGTGGAGAGTGGAGAGTGAACCGGATAGACCTGGTGGACTGCCTGTATAATAGTAGTCTAGAGTGTATACATGGAGTCCAGTTAGTTACGAAGCAGTAGCGCCTTGTTGAGCTGGCCACAGCAGAATGGGATTTTCAATCCGGATAAACATATCCAGTTTTTAGGCGTCGAAACTATTAGTATTACTTACTTGAAAAGTAGGCTGGCTTTTGAGCTGTAGACTGTAGTACTACTACTAGTAATAGTGTAGAGTGTAGTAGTAGTAGAACTATGGGCCGGGTATTCGCGCCGACAGCGCATAGCGCGGCGAGCGGCTGTGCGGCTGGGGCTTGGATAGAGGATACTGAGTCTGTCGTTAGCACCATGGCATGGAGCCTACAGGCTACAGGCTACTAGTACACTACTAGTACACGTAGACCTACCCTACGTAGATCTACATGTATGTGTAGAGCTCCATGGTTGGCATACACTTGAGATGTTTTGGCTCGTTTGCTAGCTTTACTACAATACTAGCCTTTAGTTTAGCCTTGCGTGACTCGATCATGTATTCCCTGGTGTGTGGGCCAGAACAATGGACGTGATGAATGGCTCTCCTTCCTGCTTCACAACACAAGTACAATGTAGTAGTAGGCTAAAATAGCGCTTCCAATCTAGCCATATTACTGGCGCTAACAAACACACGAAGACCTGTTGTGTGGCATCGCCCTTCCCTTGATCAGTGGTGATCAGAAACCGTGTGATAGCTGCCGATAGACGATACAATGGACTGTATGATTTTTGTACACTCACACAGCTACACGTACACAGAGACTACTAGTACTACTACTAGCACTAGTACTTCAGCCAAGATAAGACAAAGCTAGCAGGTGGACTACTGCATTCATGATGCATCCTGGCTTGCTGGATCCATGGCTCAGTTGCAGATCATTCACTGAGCTGAGGCTGGTTGCCACATGCACAGCCAAAGGCAAAGGACAAGGTAATGTAGTTGGGCAATGAGCAGATTACGCAATGCCGCAGTGATTTCGGACTGAGTGTTTTACCGTTATCGTCCGGGTGGGCCTGTGCGGTAAAAGTGTCTACCCACGGCCACTGTCACACACACACAGTCCTACAAAAAATGTAGATCCTGTTGTGTTGACTCTTGTGTAGTCTTGATGACTGACTGTTGTCTGTGTAAGTACTACAACTTTACAAGTAGTAGTGTGTTGAGATTGAGTGTTGTGTCACCATGGTCACTGAGTGTGTGTATGTGCGTGTTGCCTACCACTGCACTGCAATCTGGGGACCACGTACTGAACTTCTGAAGTACATGCGTGAACTGGCACATCACGACACAGTCACTAGTAGTACAGACATGACCAGTGCTAGTGCTAGTGACGGTTGTGCGGTGTGGAGCGCTTCGGCTTCGTCATAAACAACTGACTACTAATACTAGCACAGCTCACTCATGTAACATTGTTGCAAACAAGACGCGGGTATCGAGTTACTGAGCATGAGATACATGTAAATGCGGCTACGCACGCAGCTGATAGAACAGTATCCAACGCCACGGATCGATCCACGAACTGAAGAAAACATTGCAACCCACAACTACACGGCACAAGGCCAAAGACGATAGTGTTTCAATGTTTCATGCATCATCATTGTCAGTATGTCATCATTGTCAGTATATGTCATCATTGACGTAACTACATGTAGTGTACATGGAAAATCATCAACATTTCGAGAAGGAGCTTCGAGCAATGTTTGATTTCCTACATCGCGGTCGCTACAAGTAGTTACGGGTCAAAATTCGACATTAGAGAGGTTAAGTTACACGTTTTTTGCCCTTTTTCAAAACGCGGTGCAAATCTCACGTTACGTGTAATTTTTACTTGTAGAGGTTAAGTTACACGTGCGACGTGACGTGAAATTTTGCCTGGCAGGATCCGGGTTTAGTTTGCACAAATATCAAATCTTTCAACAAACTCGATAAAACTCGATAAATTTCTGGAAACTCACACAAATTCGGTCGGAATAACCAAGCGAAACTTCCAAAAACTCACGTCATGAACTTACGTGCGGGACAGTCAACTCACGTGAAACACGTCAAATTTTACGTGAGTTTTTCACTTTTTGACGTAAAAGTTCACGGACGTACATGTAAGACTTTTACGTGAAACTTAACCTCTCTATTGGGACAAGAAAAGGCGATCGCTGGTCGCGTTCAGCAGGTAGTCGCTAGTCACAGTGCATTTTGAATGTGAGACCGTACGTAGATCTACGTGCCTGACGAAGTGGTCGGTAGTACCAGGCCGGTCGCTAGTCACGGTGGTCGTTAGTTACAGGTTTTACTGTACATGATTGTACCACAGTTCTAGTACATGTACATGTACATGTATGTAGGCTACACAAGTGTGTACAATGCACCTGATCTGTGCTGGTGGTCTGCGTGGTAAAGGGTTCAGAGGTCATGCAGATAGTGTTTTCAATGAAAAGCAGGGTAGAAATCATGGCAGTAGATTATCATCTGCTCGTCTTCTTCAAAGTAAGTTCTTTCTCACACTACTACCATGTGAACACAATAATAGAAAAGCTGACAGGATCGCTTTTCTAAATGATACAGTACATGTAGCAGAAGATGCGAGTGAATCAGCCTTTATCATCAGGTATCCTGGGGCGGACAAGATAGTGAAGGTCGGGTAGTCCGCAAAACTCCGCGTACATGTAATATGCATGTTACTTCGAAGTACGAAGTCATGATCTCTGGATTTTAGCAGCCATGACTGTGCACTGCAGGCTATGGATATTGCTCTAATGTAATATTAAGATGTATACTAGTACATACTAGTTGATGCTCGGTCATGATGGAAGGAGAGGTGGAGGTACGGGAGAGATCAGCTGATTATTCGCAGAGTGAGGGTGACATTGGTTGGACGAGTATGACGATTACGAAGACATTTGAACATGATAAATGTCAAAGGTAACTCAAAATAATTTGGCAATGAAAAAATCTTTTTACAAAAGAAGTCAACTAATGAATAGAAGAAGTAGGTTTTCTCTTTTCCATGTTGATCTCTAGCATGCATGAATGGACACCGTCGTATGGGGATACTCCGGTAACATTTTAGTTGTACAGTCAACTTCGCTAATAACGACTGCGGATATAACGACAATTCGCGAATAACGACACAGTTTCCATGCCCAGAGCACAGTCCATTCTACCTGAATACATATAATGAGACTTCGGGTATAACGACACTTCGCGAATAACGACACTTTTCTGATGCCCCGCCGAGTGTCGTTATTATGCAAAGTTGACTGTACTTAAAAGCTATGGCCACTTGCAAGTACGAAAAAGGCCCAATTTCCGAACTTTGAGGCTCCATAAGTACAACGTGAATATGTATCCCCACGTGCCAAAGCATAATATGAGGATTTTGCGAGCATAATGCGAGAATCCATGAAAGCATAATTCCATGATTTCGCGAGCATAATCCGCCGGAGCCTACCTATGTATACCCATAGACCTACGGGTACAATATACTAAATAAGGTGAGTGCATAAAGCATCACTACACGCTGTACTCTAAACGAGCTGTACACATGTACGTATACATGAGCTCAAACAGGAGTTACAGGACACTACCGAGATCACATATCCAGCGCCAGGGAGCTTCAAATACACCCCATCGCTGGATACGAGAAAATTCTCTCCTCGCCAGCCATTCCCCGCTCAAGGCCAGTCACTCGGAAAGAAATTCGACTTTAAAATTTGCCGTGGCTGAAATGTCGAGCGTAATCTTTGGAATGCGACATCGCAGCTCTTCACCGACTGATGCAATGGAAAGCTGAGCTCTTCGGCTTTTCCATCGATCTCTAGAGATCCATTCAAGTATATGTACGCACGGATGGTAAAGGGTTAAAGGGGAAGTTAAGGTGAAAATTAAAATTTCACCAGTTGTAGTCTTCGGGGTGCTGAGTCGAATGGTCTTGGTCCGAGAAAGCTGAGCCGCTCCCTTCCTACTTGAATCCCAATCGAACTCGCGCACTTCCACCGAAACTGGGTGACTGCGCCCTACTAGATGGGGATTTGTATGCAAAATGTCACTAAAAGCGCCATTTCGTTCTTATAAAAGCACGGATGACCGCGATTGGCCCATATATTGTAGTCTTTTGGATGCTGAGTCAACTGGTTTTGGTCCGAAAAGGCTGCGATGCAGCGTTCCTCCTTTATTCCCAATCGAACATGGTTGAACAAGCGGTCACGTGCTCCTGGGTGCCCAAATCACCTGGTCACCACGCCAGCAGGCGACAACTTTCACACCAAGGTTAAACTCGAGTTCAACTCGAGTGACAGGAGTGCACCCAAAAAAAGGTCAAACAGGCGAGTAAGGTGTACCCTGCAGGCACGGTGACCAGGTGACTGGTGTACGCAGGAGCACGTGACCGCTTGCTCAACCATGTTCGATTGGGAATAAAGGAGGAACGCTGCATCGCAGCCGTTTCGGACCAAAACCAATCGACTCAGCGTCCAAAAGACTACAACATATGGGCCAATCGCGGTCATCCATGCTTTTATAAGAACGAAATGGCGCTTTTAGTGACATTTTGCATACAAATCCCCATCTAGTAGGGCGCAGTCACCCAGTTTCGGTGGAAGTGCGCGAGTTCGATTGGGATTAAAGTAGGAAGGGAGCTGGACATGTATGAGTACTTGATAAGCACACTAACGTGACTTTGAACCTGTAATACTGTGCTAGGGGTACGACCAGAAAGTGTGTGACGAGTGGGCATGAATAATATGTCACCTCTAACAAACAGTGTTCATTCACCAAACCATCCATGGTGCTTTATGATGTGGTGTTCATATTCCACCGCGTCTACCGCGTCACTGCATACTGGCCTGATGTTCATTTTCTTGCCTACAAAACTAAAACTATCTACATTACTGTACCAGTACACGTACATGGCATATCTGACACATTGTCCTCTTTTTCGGGGGGGGGGGGGAGGGGGGGGGCATGGTTGAACTACTCTTGAAGCAGTTTGTGGTGGAAATCACTGCACAGGATCAGTACCTGGGTGGGACATCCAAGCTTAGCATGATCCAATCTCGGCGGGCCTGACCTTCATCGCTAGCAACTTCCTGCACACTGGAACACCAGGAATGTGAAGCCCAAGAACGACCGGCCTGGACAAATAAAAACAACGGAGCCTGGAGCTAAGTACATGTACATCATTTACAGTGCGGACTCGGAAAGAAAGAAAGAGAGAGAGAGGGGGGGGGCGAGACAGAGAGAGGGGGAGAGAGAGACATACAGACAGACAGAGAGAGAGAGGGAGGAGGAGCGAGACAGACAGACAGACAGAGACAGAGAGAGAGAGACACACACACACACACACACACAAACACAGAGAGGGAGAGAGAGAGAGAGAGAGAGAGAGAGAGAGAGAGAGAGAGAGAGAGAGAGAGAGAGAGAGAGAGAGAGAGAGAGAGAGAGACAGAGAGAGACAGAGAGAGACAGAGAGAGAGAGAGAGGAGAAATTTTCTCATATCGTTAGCCGCATTGCTTGTGGGTACTGATGGAACGAGAACGAAGTCTCAGGTAAACGTGCCCTGACTGATTTTGGTAAGTTAACTTGTAGTGAAACCCAGATTCTTGTGTGACAGTCAGCAGTTGTGCTATCACTGTTGATATGTGAAAACTAGTATCCCACCCTGACTACTCTGGCACCATGTTCTACACGAGGACACACACACACACACACGAGGACACACACACACACACACACAGCTTCTTTCCCTGTGCATAATCTTTAAGCAAAGGCCAATGCAGCATACTTGGACGTACAGCGTACATAAACGCCACCATACTCTCATCAATGAACATGCAATGGAAAAGATAAGTTACGACGAATAGAACGTGCCCGACAGGAAAATTGAGCAGATCAGTGAATGCACTTTGGGACAAGCCACATACGTGCATGCAGTACCGAACGAAGAATAAAGGCAGTCAGAAGGGAGTCGCAAGAAAGAGACACCGGCCGTGTACTGCAATATGACACGTATGCTGTGTCCAAGTCATCGGTAGCCAAGGCCAGGGGCGCTTGGGGGGGGGGGGGGGGCAACTTACACGATGCATGTCAAACATCAGAAATATCGGCCGAAATAACACTAGTGGCCATGCACTGTGATACGTGGGCATGGAGCAAAGAGCCGTGCCCAGGCCAATGCACATACTGCACACAGCCATCCCGCCACTTCCACCGCAATATAAGAAAACCAGAAAGCAGTTGCAACATTGCATTCGGTGATCACGCTCCGTTTACACATCAGATCCGGGGACAATCGATGTCTCGGCCGCAGTCTGCAATGAGGAAACAGAATAGAAAGATCAATGACAGTCATTTTCTAGGCAGTTCCAGACTTGGCTGAAGGCAGTTCCGGAGTTGTTTACAGGAATACCGTAAAATTCCATTAATAAGCCCCGGGCGTATACTTTGCAGAGCGTCAAAAACCGGACGTATATTTGGGCATGGGCATATTTTAGGGCATGGGCGTTATTTCGGAAGCAATCTGCAGAACATCAATCTATCAGCAACCCACTAGTTTCAGTGAACCACCATTCACACTGAGCGCGGTACAGGTACATCAAACCACAGCTGGAAATTTGGTCGTAACCAAGAATGTAGCGATAAATTACAGATTTGATAGGTAAACCACTTGCCATGGTAAGTACAAGGCACAACAGGTAACGGCATGGCAGAAAACGTCGTGACGCTGAAGCAGGTAAGGCAGAAAACTAGATGACACGCCCTGGTTATTTTGAGTCCACTTTACGCCCTGGGCTTATTTCGGGCATGGGCGCTAAAACGGACTTGAAGTGTACACCGCCTAAACCTGGGCTTATTATCGGACATGGGCGTTATTTAGGGTGGGCTTATTTACGGAATTTTACGGTATTCTGACACAAGTTGACTCATCAATATTGTACAAAACATGATCGTTCAAGAGGATTTAGTTCTCGTTCGGCAGCTTGCAATGACAGAATCGAGGAATTTGTTCTGCATGAGTGGGCCATGTGCGTGTAGGGGGGGGGGGGGGGGGAGCAAATCTGTTCGAATATCAGACTTTACAGATCCGCTCAGTAGATCCTCAGGAACTTTAGCAGGACTTGAAAGTGATCACGTCAAACATGGCAAAGTCCCAGGACCAGTCCGGTCACTAGCAACCGATGTTTCACCCCGGCAACATGACAGACAGTCCACCACAGAGCAATGACTTACTTTCAGAGCCTGCATTCGTTCCGTCCAGTCGTACGCAGCAAGCTTGGGAATGACCGCAATTAGAAGCTTCTTGACGCCGTCAGTGAGCTTCCTGAAAGCTGCCAGACACGCAGGTACGTCAACCTGTGAACCAACAACACACAACACCAATATCGAAACAGAACTACAGCAATCTGTTGTGCATTTTGAACAATAATGGCTTGCTGAGAATGAGTTGGAAGATTGACCATCTGACGCTACTGTCACTGTCCCTGCACATTGACACTGTTCCATGAAAACCGGCAGAGAAACTCCACCACCAGCAGAAGTAACACGGATAGTTGTTCAAACAATACTCCATTGCAAGAACTGTACAGCTGTATTATAAATTTATAATGTTGTGCGTTACTTCTTTTTTTAATAAAAATAAAAGGACCAAGGAACTACAAGTTACGCTATAATGTCCGCTAACACCACCAGCTACTGAACAATCCCCTCCTTATGTTATTTCTCAAACTTAGAACTTCCAAGTCGGAAGGCTGTTGGAGTGCACATCCAATATGTGCTAGAGCTGTTAGCCAGTCAGTTGTAGAACGCCAGTCAGTGTCGTGCAATGTTATCGCATGAGCTGATCGTTTAGTAGCTGATGGTGTTAGTGGACATTATAGTGTAACTTGTAGTTCCTTGGTCCTTTTATTTTTTTAATAAATTAATCCTTGGCTCTCCATCCGAGTTACTTTTTTTTCTTTCTTTCTTCTTCCTCATCCACTTGATCACAGTCTCTTCTTCCATCTGTTCTCTTTTCATTGCCATGGCCAGGTAGAGTAACCATGCATTTGTATTGGCTATTGCCGTGGGGCGGTGAGTCAAAACAACAAACATCACCACCAACACCACACAAAGAGGACTGCCAGCGGCATGTACCACACGTACCGGTGCTTCGTTGACCTTCCAGCAGTCGTAGTCCGTCGGCAAGGCAATGGCGGCGTAGCACAGGCCCAGCTCGTTGGCAATCGGTGCCTCGGGCACCGTGGTCATGTTGACCACCTGAGCGCCCCAGCTGCGGAACACGTTGCTCTCGGCGCGCGTGCTGAAGCGCGGGCCTTCGATGGTGACTGCTGTGCCGCTGGCGTGACAAGTTAGGTTCAGCTCTGCAGCCGTCTCACCCACAATCTGTACACATAAAGGCATGGAGAAACTCACTCATCTTGACCAAAAAAGAAAATCACGGTTCACGTGAGACTCGGCTGGAGGCAGAGTTTTCCGCATCCATAGGAACACCACCACCCTCTATGGATCTTGATCCATCTTGACCAAAGAGTACCGGTACATACAATCATATTGCACAGAGAGCGGAAGAAATGTACAGCAAACAACACCGTGCTTACAATCAACTCGTGAACTGATGGACAGTACAGAAATGGCCAAGCCACCGCATTACTAGTACACTAGCAAATACACCTCAGACGAATTCTAAGAAGGAATCCCATTCCACACATGTCATCACAGCCATACACACGCTACACTGAAACACCAATTCTCCAATGGTCGCTACTGTGAAGAAAGGAGCACAACATGTGTGTGAGCACGCGCGTGTGTATGTATGGCCACTATTTCATGTAAAGAGGTTGCAAATGAAATTCAGTCCGTGAATGTACTTGATCGCATTCAACCATGGTATGCTGAATCCTTCGAATGTGGTGTGCATGCCAGCCGAATTGTGGAGATCACTTCCATGGCATGTCTTCCTTATAGAATGTCGTAGATACATTGCTTTCATGCCTGCCGGTATAACGCATGAGACACCAAATTCTAGTGCTGGAGTACAGCATGGAGACAGAACGTACCTATACGCTACATACTGTGTTGGTATAGCGGGTGTGTACCGCGCTTGATCGCATATCACTTACCACCACCGCAGTATTCAGCAGTCTACATGTAGTACTGTGCAGGCGGTGCAGTAAGCAAGTACTAGTACATGATTGTATAGATACACTCATACCTCTCTTATCCGCACCTCAATGTAACGGGCACCTCGGTATACCAGGCAACCCTGTGGGCGAGCGTATGTCGAAATATTACTACTCTTTTGCCAAGTTATCGCAAATATACTGACATCATACGCCAGATCTCTGACCCTTCCCACATTGACATGTATGTGATTCAGAGCTACGGACGTTTCAAAGTTATGTGCAGTGTCCGGTCCTGGACCGCACGGATAAGCAAGATATGAGTACAATACCTCTTTCCCCACTTGCCTTCCCAACAATAACTTAATAAGCAAGTGAAAACAAGACCTCTATCCCCGCTAACCTTTCTCATGATTTTACAGAAGGGCTCTGCCATCGGGATGTGGAAGACACCCTTTGCTGCAGGAGAGGAGCCATCGTAGCAAGACAGAGGACGCTGGTTTGTGCGATCGATGAACTGGTCCAGCAGTACAATCTCGCCAGGGTTGATCTCTTCCTGAAGCGAGCCGCATGCGGTGGTCACCAGGACATGAGTGCAGCCAGCGTCACGCAAAGCCCACATGTTGGCACGGTAGTTGACATTAGTGGGGTTGACGGTATGCTTGCGACCATGTCTACAACAGGACAAGCGGATAGTAAACGGGGAAAGACAGAGAACGAGGAGAGAGAAAAGAATCAGACGGGAAAGGAAAGGAGTGTGTCGGGATACCACTCTGGTTACACTGCTGTACAAGCTGAAAGCCATAGAGCGAAGCTACAGAGGAATTCCTGTGCAGTGAATCAACTTGAGTACATGTAGTGCTGGATAATCGAGGAGTATAGTGTAGCCACTGAAACCTTACTCCCCCCCCCCCCACACACACACACACAAAAGTACATTTAATTAACCACACATGTATTTGTTCCACAAAATATTAGAGAGGTTCTGCAAAACGAAAATGTGTACGAACTTTCGCTCTACGTCACGAAGTGAGAAACTTCGCACGAACTTTCGCAACTTTGGACGCGAAACTTGCAGGGAACGCGAAATGAACTTTCGTAGGAAGTTTCGTGAGATTGGGTCATGTCGTACGTGCACTTGGCGCGTGCAAACTACGAAAATGTGCAGAACACAAAGTTCGTGCGAAAATTCGTACACACTTTCGCAAGGCCTGTCGCGAAACTTCGTTCGAACTTTCGTTGTGCAGAACCTCTCTATTATACATGTAATGGCTGGGAAATATACACCACGATACACTGTCCGGTTATTCTGTAGTGAAGAGAGAACCCCTTCCTTTCACACCCCACAGTAAGAAAAGAAACCACCAAGTTTACATGCAAAAGCACAGCGTATGTAAAATCATGTCCGTGTCTTTCCCTCAAACCAGTGAATAGTCATGTACTTCAAAATACAAACCTCACCTTGCCAGGAGAACACACGGTACATCTCCAATTGTTCCGTGGATCAGAGCATCAGATGGCTAAACAATAGGGGAAACAAAGACAGACCACGAGATGGAAGATACAACACAAATAGGCATACAAGCAAGAACTGCTTTCCGCACTGGACACCTGGGCCAGATGCCCTCCCGTATTATTTCCAAGCACATTGAAGACTGTCACCGGAACTGACTCAGGATCATCTGAGCTAGCGGCATTTGCACTACAAAATAATAACTCCGGAAAAGTACAGTTGCGCTCGGTGAATCTGACCCAAAGTGCAAACTGGCGCCCTAGGCTAGTTCCCATTACCTCACTTTACTCGAACATGTGTACGACCAGCCGCATTCGTACCACTTCCAGGGCAGCGAGGGCCGCGCAAGTTGAGGATGCCAAATATGCACTTTGTGTCGGATTTCACAAAGCGCAACTATATCTCTGTCAGATCAATCCTTCTGTTGTGCTTTCAATGTCCCTGTTGCGGCCAGCAAAAGCTCTTCTAGCCCCATATGGTGATAAAAATCCTTGAGAATTAGCCCTGACCCAGTGTATGCATAGGAGATATGCTGTAAATCAGGAATATTTTGAACACTTTTATCCGTACTTTTATCCTCGTATAATTGGGGATTTACTGTAAAAGCAGAAATTTTCGGTGGTGTTTTATTTTCGGTAACTTCGGTGCCGACAATTTTTAACGAAAATAAAACGCACCGAAAATTCCGGTACTACCGGTACTGTATACATTTAGTACTACAGTCAAATCTGCCGTCAGCGACCTCTGCTGTAGGCGACCACCTACCGTTAGCGACCGATTTTCCGAGCACCGACGGTTTCACATACAAACTGATCTGTCCAGAGCGACCATCTGCTGTGCGCGACCAGCGACCGCGATTTCATGCACGGTGGCTGCATTCAAATCTGCTGTAAGCGACCGCGACCCTGGTTCAGTCAGGTGCGAAACTGTACTTGCCAGTGCGCTGTCAACTGCAAAGTGTGAAAATGCGCTGTCTTGCAAGTGCGATCGACTGGCGCCTGGCCTGTACTGAGGCTCTGCTGTAGCTCTCAAGTCCAGGCTGTGTCGATCTACTGCCGTGTCGCATACGCGTACTATACGGGTATGGTCGTCGTTGAATATCCAATAAAATGATATTAAAAATCACATTATTCTCGTCGATTTGAGTACATGGAAGCATATACCTGGTATGCCGGATTTACCATACATCTGCCGTAAGAGACCATCTGCCGTAAGAGACCGCTTTTTCTTGCACCAAGGGGCGGTCGCTTACGACAGATTTGACTGTAGTACACTTACCTGGAAAACGGGTTTTACCGAAAATTTCCCTCTACCGAACCGCCGATTTTGGAGAATACCGAAAATATTACACCACCGAAAATTTCTGCTTTTACAGTAGATCAAAGCATACGGAATTTTTATGAAATACTCCAGACTGACTGGGACCAAATGACTAGTCGTATCTGAAGGCGTGAGCATGAGGCAAGGACACGATGCCAGTGAGTTGCCTAGTCGTAAGCAGTGAGAAAATGGCTCCAAAGATATACTTCAAAACTGTATTCATGGAAGGTTTCATACTTTGCATAATCCACACACAGAGGTCCTTGAGAATAGCACTCAACCAGGCCATACCTTGCCAAAGGGCGTCTCGACGAATTTCTCTTCGCGACCGGCCAGAAGGTCTGGGTCATCCATGCCCGTGCCACCGATAATTCCAAGCTAAACAGTCATGTACACAAACACACGCACAAACATTGAACCTTGAACATGCCCATTGCCAACGGCAATGATAGCAAAGGGACTATCTGCTAGCTTTGAACACATATACACACACCCGCGCGTGCGCGCACACACAGCTGGAACGATAGACCAACGATGCATTGTACTTGCGCCAACAGCAGGATTGAATCCACAGACGGTGAACACGATCCACCACAATTCGGTCTTTTTTCCCCAAGTCAATTACCTTAACCACTCGGCCACCACTGTGAGTGCACCTCTCTTTTCTCTCTTAGGGCGCGTTCAGACCACCGATAAAAAGTGACCAATTGGGAAAGCTTCCAAGGTGATTTGATCACGTGACGTTACTGGTACGCTACAGGCGGAAAAGTTTTACTGCCGCGACTGCTGCAGCAGTAAAACTTTTCCGGCAGTAAAAATAGAGTGCTCAGGCTGGGAAAAAGGGAAAATCCCTTCTTAGTGCCGGGGTGAGAGCTGCAAAACTTGCGTACCGGTAACGTTAGTTTATCGGTAGTGCGAATGTCCTTCACGGTTTATCGCCATTCACGGTTTAACGGGATTCACGGTAGTCTGAACACGCCCTTATCTGGAAAGCTCAGATCTACGTGCACATACTAGCATACCATGTAATCAAATCACGCCATTGCACTCAAATAAAAGACTGCGTCTAATGACAAGACCGGAGTAAAGCGGGATTCACCGAAGCATTTTTGCGATGCAATGTGCGATGCGATGGCCGCGAAACTGGGAAATCCCTGAATCGCACCCATCTCACGGCTACGTAACTGGGCCATTGCAGAAGTTGAGCTTGGCTCAAGTTTCAGGATGCGACATGTGATGCGATGTCTTTAGTGAATGGATATGGATACAGATTCACACAGTTAACAGACTAAAGTGAGCGCACGGTAAAAAAATTCATAATTCTGGCAGGAGTTGTTTAGGTACCGGGTACATAAAATTTACACATATCGCCAAGACAGTGACTGTTCATGGTGGCGAACATTATGAATGAACTAACTTTATTTCAGTCGATAGCCATGTCAGTGAATGCTGAGACGTGTGACATACATGCACATGCACAGTACTAACCTTGAACGACATCTTGCGAAATATTGTGAGGTCTAGCAAGAGGACAAGAACAAGTATGGGGCGTATTTCAGAAAAACAAAAATGAAACATGTACTGCATTTACATTGTAATAATTAATGATCAAGGAGCTCATCTCATCAACAAACATGAATACAAATTTGAAAACAGCACAGAATCATTCGTTCATGCAGAACCCACAGTCATCCATACCGTACCTTTCAAAGTCAAAGTAACAGCTGGACAGTTCAACCTCGAACGTAGACTACTTCCTCGAGGAACAAAACAGTTGAAGCTCGTAGTACAAGTAATATAAGGGGAGGAAGAAAGGTCAAGAAACAACGTGATCGTAACTAGTTAACTCCTCTTTCTCCAGACGTCCAGATCTCACAAGACAACCCACCTTGAAAGGCCAACAAAAATCGATTCGATCATGCATGCATTCATCATGCACACCTGACACACGCTGTCACCAGGTCACCATCGCGTGCATACTACTATACTATTCATGCATATAGCGCATGTGCGCTGGTACATGGTATATGCATGATCTATGATGACACCACGTGCACGAGCCACGTGCATGCCACGCACGTAAAATCGCATATTTCGCAACAAAAAATAAAAGGCAAAACTAGAGATTTAGCATAGCGCGCTATTAAGTATTAGTAGAGAGGTTAAGTTTCACGTAAAAGTCTTACGTCCGTGAACTTTTACGTCAAAAAGTGAAAAAACTCACGTAAAATTTGACGTGTTTTACGTGAGTTGACTGTCCCGCACGTAAGTTCATGACAAACACGTGTAACTTAACCTCTCTAGTATTACGCACGCAACTCGACTCCTTCTTCTTCATGCATGCACCCGTACGTAGTCCCGTATACGTACACCCCGTGCAGTACCGCAATACTTTCACAATGAAATCTCGTACTTGACGCATACCGCGGTACTTACCGGTAATTGTACAGCACGATTCGTACGACTTCTGCTCATGCTCATGGCCTATGGCATGACTGTATGTAAAACGTGACAAGAGTGCATAATCCCTGCATGCCTAGCGCCTGGGATTATGATTGTACTCTTGGTAAAAGCAAAGACAGAAGTAACGAGTAACGCTACTACGGCTCTCGCAGTGTCGACATGTCTAGTTTCAAATGTCATGGTCAATTATAAGACAAAATAATTCAACAGATCACCACCTTTGCAATGCGCGGCGCAATCACAAGGCCCCCTCCTTGAGAATCTTCGTTTTCAGGCTTGCCCCGACATTAGAATGATTTGCGGCAACGGTTCAACATACCATCTATCATCACCAATAGCTCGGAGTATTGACTCCTTCCTCCTTAGTTACCAGTATCACCAAGAGTACATATCCCCGGGTCACAGTATGTGCAGTAGCTGCAGGCATTGCTAATTTGCTACTCTATTGTCCGTGCTGGGAAATTTTACAGCAAGGACCATGGATGGTACGGTGGTAGTGAAGTAGTAAACTCCCTCCACAATGCTGCGAACTCGTACATCCTGAAACAATTTAGCTATGATGTGGCAAACCAGACCGCCGCTATGTAAGAGTTCAAGACGGTCACACCAGTACTTCGAAGTACACTCAGTACAGTCATGCATGACTCACACACACACTGAAAAGACCGAAGCGCCTGATTCACTCGTGACTGTGAGTACGAACGCAGTTCAAAGCGGAAATCGTGACAGCACTGGATGAGAGGTATGAGTGACAGCTGCCGGGGAAATCAGGGCCTGGTCATGCTATCTATCACGATACACGCTTCAGTGTTTCTCCGGGTGGCTATCAGACTTGAATGTACAAAATTAATGATCAAGCAAGGTGGGATGAAATATAACAGCTGTACTTCCGAGTATGACGGTGTTATGCTTCATCATTTGGCTTTTAAAAGTCACAGGGAGTATCGGCACAAGCACTGGCTTTCCATTCCATACTATGCGATGATGTCGGCACTCGACAGTTTCTCCATACAAACCATATGCGATGATGTCATTCACATAACCGGCTTTTTCGCCTGTGCCAGTGGAAACATGTACGGTGAGTTCACAGAATGCTGACTTGATCTCCATCACAAAGCAGGCTAACATAGAGGCAAAGCTCACCAGTGACATTGGTTAGTGTCTGCATTGCTCCGGTGCGCTCATGACAACCGACCAGCGTGCAGCTCTCGCAGTCCAGTGACATGTGAATGACATCGCCGGCTTGCCAAGGTTGGCCCAAGGCACTGCCCGTCCAGTGCTCATGGCCGCGTCCATAGGTGCTATGCCAGCCAAAGCATCTCGTCTGCCCACGCTCATAGGTACCTAGCGTAGGCTGTTCGGCATTGCACATGAAGATCATGTGGTGGATGTCGCCGGTGGTGATGTGATCGATGCGGACACTGACGTCGTGTTGTCCCGCACTCCATCGTTCTACACCGCACACCGACTTCCACTCCCTGCGCCCAGAGTTGTGTGTGACCGCTCTAGCATCATCAGACAGTAGCATACCACCATGGCAGCGGCCAGAGTCAAATGTCAGCGATGGTTCTTGGATGGCAATGACAGCAGGACTTCCTTGTAGGTGACGCTGGTTGACTGTGGCGGACACTCGGATCTCCCCTATCATTCCAGCCGTCTTCAATTCAGCAACCAGCATGCTAGGTGGAGAAGCACCGGTATGTGTTGCCTTAGTGACAGGGTAAACAATATCATCATCATCGGAAGACGTTACTTCAATCCTCAGTTTATCCGCCTGCTCCTTTGTTCCAGCCAGCTGGTCACCAAGTGCACTTCTTGGCTCAATCGATACTAGGAGATCTTGTCCTCGTTTCAGTGCAGCTGGAACGGTCATCTTACTCCTTTCAGAGCACAGCTGTTCTGTGAGAAAGCCAGCGCTGGTGAGGATTGCTTCAGACTCTTTTCGGCTGTGTGGTGCAAAGAGTAGAGTAATAGGTGCGGGAGGTTTCATTTCCATTTCACTTACAGCCACCAGGGCATGACATGTCGCCTCTTGAAGCCATCCACACATCTTCAAGAAGTTCCTGTCAGAGATGCAATTCTCCGTTAGATGTTTTACTCTCTGGCCCAAGTTCAAACTGGTCGCAATGCATCGCTGTCGCTCTTCCAAAGCAGTGCGATGCTGAGACTGCATATCATCCACAGCATTGAGCAGTTGCCGTTGCCGCTTGTCAACAGTATTCTTCAATTCCATGCAGAAGTCCTCGATTTGAGATGACACCGCTTCGGTTTGGTTATGCAGACTGGAGAGCGTATCGTCTACTTGACTCAATGCCTGCTCGAGCGGGCTTTCTCCATCTGAGGAAAGGGCTTTCAGCTCTGTGATGAGGCTGTCTTTGATTGTGGCAGCAGCTTGATTGATCATAAGCAAATCACTGCGATGCTGGTCATGTCGATTGGATGAGAGGCATTTGTCACAGAGGATCTTTTCACAGACCATGCAGTAGTGTGTTTGCTTCGACGACGGATGCAGTGGGCACTTGGTGACATTGCTCGCCGCGTCCACGGTATCGTGAGAAAACAGCGGCCCCATTTCGCAGAGGGACACGACGTTGTGCTTGTAAAAGCGGCGAGAGGCGACATGCCCTTCAGCATGAACAGCACAGAAATGCTCTTCGCATTCAACACAGGTAGCCACTGCTTTGGTATCCTCCGCACACTCGTCACAACACGTCATGTGCCCCCGCACTGGTGATCCATCCCTATTGTCACCGATACTGTACACATCACAATCTGGCAAGAACTGCAACAGCGGTATTCCAGCCAGCGGCGACGGTGGTGTTATCGTTCCACAGTCCGCACAGCGCAACGAGCTGTCTTCGTTGGTTTGGATCTCGACGCACTCCACGCACAAGGAATGGAGACATTTCAGCAGCCTGCCGCGCTTCCCACTGCTGCCACATAGCACACAGACTGGTCCTGTCATTACTACTAGGCATGTGACTTGTACAACTAGATCCACGGGTAATCTGCAGGGCGAATCAGGAAATGAATGAATACTGAGCTCGTAGGCTGTACTTTTTGAGGCCTTTATGGCCGATTCTTAACAGCTTGCTGTCTACAGTATTGGGTAAATGAGTGAGCAGTGAGCTGAACACATTTGCCTCGGCGACGATGGTTCTATCTGACGAGACAACTACTGGGGTGCACAGCGGCACAGGCAAACAGTTGTGTCCATGTCTGATGAGGTCGCTATTTATTGTGAGCTGACAAGAGCTCTCTAGCGGCTACAGCCGCTTTCTCCGAACCTTCATTCTGCCGACTTCTCCCCCATCACAAGGCTGAATGGCTCAAAGCTCGTCTGGTCCGACTCGGGTGGACGAGACGTGCCTCCATTACTCATCTCTCGCACAACACATTGTCCTGAACGTGTCTTTCAGCCAGGACTCCACGTGAGAGGCAGAGTCTTACCGCTTTTGTACAGCTTCAACTTCAAGTCAAATCCTAACGCGGATGTACAGTCCGCCGAGTTTTCAGAAACCTGGCGTTGTCGCATGGTGGCCAGGACCCGTGTTTCTTGGAAGAAGCTCTCCTCTGCGTACATGTAGGTGGATGCTGGATGTTCTAAAAACTCACCGCTATGCTTGAAACCAAGAGGCAAGACACACCACCTGGCATTCTAAAAAATCATCGGTGACGGAGGCACCGTTGCCTGGATCTAAAAGCGTTGCTGTTGGATCTGCTAGAACTCACGGGGAAAACACTGACACAGTGACAGTCTGCCTGTCCAATCTTCGACTCCAGCCTTCCTTTCGAGACCTCAGAAAATAGTATGAACACGGTGGTCACGAATCGCACGAGGAATGGATGGCATGTCGGACCATCATGATTATGGCCCCGGGTGGTAGATCATCTCTCTTCGCAGAACAATTTGCCGTGTCCTAACAAGCCATTCTATGTACTTTGTTGTCCAAATTTCCCTTATCTTCATACCTTTTAAAACCAAAACCTGATTGTAAATCTTTTTGAAATGGACTGTAGTAGATCTACCAAGTACCAGTGGCAGTACATGGTCCGTACATGGTATATCATGGGCATGGTGATGTTTACCGGTATAATGCTGTCTGCGCAACGTCGTGGGTGGTGCAGCCCCTTTGCCTTTGGGCTTCACGCCCTTGTCTCAGTCAGGCCGCAGGGTTCAAGGTGTCTGCCTTGCTTGCATTGTCAACCTGACTCGTTCATGCAAAAAGCAAAGACGGAAGAGAACTCCACTTTTCTCCGGATGTAGCTGCTGGGTGCATTGACCGCTGGCGCCAGCGACGGGCCGATTTTCACCGTCCTGGAGGTGTTTCCAACTTTCCATCCATGGGCCTGTCCTTGAATCAAGTCTCTCACTGAATCTGGGCCCCATTTTCTTCTCAGACTACTTTGCCTTCTTTTGTATTATACCGCCGGGTAAGGCCGCAAAGTAGAGAAGAAAACGAAAACATTACTCATCACGACATCAGGCGAGTGGGGAAAGCGCCCTAGCGCCAGTACCTTGACGGTGATTGAGGTTTGACACGTTTATCAGCACCCGTGGCTTTGGTACTAGTACTAGTAAGTAAGTTGGTGAAGTTTCTTGAGGTAACGCCCGATGATGTAACCCGACATGTTACAAATGTGCTACTTGAAGTTGAAGACAACCAGGCGCATGAACCATCAGGTTTCATTTCAGCTCATACATGTACATGTACGTGCCGCAAGTGCCAGCCTGCAGTCGTGGCCAAAGAAATCCGACCCATGTGCCGAAAGCAGCGCCAAAGCTCATACGGCCCTCGGATGGGTTTTTGATCGTGCGTGTGCATAAAAGGAAAAGGAAGCGTGAGTGTGGCGCTACTTTGACTCGTTGGTCGTATTTCTTTGGCCAAGACTGTCATGGAATACTCCTACGAGTACGGAGTAGAGTCCGATGTGCAACGCAGCAACGCACGCCATGACTATCCACTGCATTGTAGAGCAACTCGGATCCAGTGTCACTGTCAACAATGGTCAATGAGCCTAGTATTAGTAATACTGCAGGAAAGCGGTCAGAAGTCGGAGAAGTGAAGTGAACCCTGGAAACCAGTGCAGTGCGCAGTGCCTATTCCTCTTTGCACGCTAGGCGGAAAGTAGAAACACCAATGTCACCACGTAGATCTACACGTGACGTTACATTACTCGTAGGGATTTAACACAATTATTCTCAATCTTCCATTTGCGTCGTGCTGAGGAACGGTGGGTGCTGTGAGCTACGGTAGATCGACGAGTGGATGGATGAGCAGCAAAGGAATTCAGTAGACTTGAAAGCGCGCCACCAGGCCTACCTCAGCTCACAGACTGGCGAAGAGGCTGGCGAAAACCTGAAACCGGCAAAGCGATAGTTCGACCGCCATTGCACCATTGTAGTCTCAAGGGCAGCAGGAAACGGGTTAGTTTCGCTTTCGACCATTCCCTGCCCACACTCTCCGCGCGTGGACCATTGCTTACTGAAATCAACTCTCTGGTAAACCTACCTAGTACCTATAATACTATGGCCCTATGCCTATGGCCCTAAATTAGGCCTTATGGGCTGTGTACGTGTGCCTGCCTGTGTGCCTGCCTGTGTGCCTGCCTGTGTGCCTCGCTGGGCATTCGTATCCCTGATGATTCAGTGGTCGCGTGGAATGTATTAGCATTACACTATTTACAGCATGACTGTATTGACCACCGTGCGGAAGGGCCGGCGTGAGGACCCGCCGCGCGCTCAATTAGGCCCCGTCGAAAGGCTGACTGAGGACTTTTGTGGTAAGCTCGTCTCGTCCTAGTCGCACTTCCCTATCACGCCGTCAATTTCACGCCTAATCGTCTCGTTGCGCCAACCATGTCCTGTGGAAAGAAGTAACACACTAGTGTCGCGAACACAATACACTGATGCAGTTCTCAGTCTCAGATCTGCCAGTGTGCCAGGTTTCACTTTCAGCGTCCATCCAAGTGACTAAAGCCAGTCTATCAAGTCTGTACTGTTCACGCCGTGGATGTAGACCCACGGCCACGCGGACGGAGAGCCGATTCTGACCTGGCACCGGTGATGATGCACACAGGCACAGGCACCGTGTCGGCACACCACACAGCACACGCTGTAACACTGTGTCAGAGAGTTGTACTTGTAGGCACAAGCACACACTAAATGCTCCTGGCTCTGAAGCAGCATTGTCCTGGGCAGAATAAGGAGTTGTTTCGGTCGTGACGTTTCTTGGGCATTGCCTTCAAAACACAAGTTTCGTGATCAAGCCAACGTTGTCTGTCGAAGTCACCATCGATACTGCTACAGCAAGGAGGAAAGATGGGAGACTTCTTGGTGAACGAGGCGCCACGTTATCTTGTTCTGGTAAGGCGTTGCATACGGGCGGTTGCTGATAAGAGCGTGTCTGTATTGTTGTGTGCGCAATGTATCGGTAAATACTGCGTTTTATCTTGAGCTTCCGAATGCTGTGGGGGATGGAACATGGCTACCGTCTCACTCTCGATCTCATTCACCAGTCACGGAAATCAGTGCAGCAAAGATAGCATCGCCTTGATCATGGGTGCGAAGCAGCCTTCTCTGATCTTTAGGAGGCAGGTCGTGCGCGACTGTGTCGCTAAAAAAATGCCCTGTTGGATCCGTGTCGCGTTGATATTTTTGAGCGCCAAAGCTTTCTTGTGGTCAACCGTCCTGGACTATTGTGACTATCGTTCGTCTTGCGTATGCGAAAATCCAAACTATCGACACTGCAATTCTGGGCTTGGAATACATGTAGACAGGGCAGAGTTCACATTGACAAGGTCATAGTTCACAAGCTAAGGTCACAAGCTAAGTCAGAGTTCACAAGAAGTTCAGCAGTGCACAGACTTGTTTTTTTCTACTCAGCTAAAGTACCGTATGTAGCCTTGCGCCTGTGCGCACCTAACAGGTCAGCGGAGACTTTTGAGATCTAAACATTACTTCTAACTGACAATAAGTGATAGTGATACACGGACAAAGTGGAGCAATACTGCATGCAGCACTGCACAGTCCACAAGCTAAGCTGAAGACAAGTGGAGACCAGGGAGAAGGTTCTGCATCACTCCCTGATAGAGACCCAGCAATTACCATAACTATAGCGCCCAGGGCAGGAAACAACTGCTGCGCACAGTGGCCAATGACAGTGGTACGGGTAGGTACTGGTAATGGATTGATGGTCCACTGCCTGGATACCTTCCTGCATGGGCTTGTATCAAGACCATGAGCAGCTAGCAAGCATGAGGAACTGACATAGTTCTGGAAACTGGAATAGTGCTGGACACATGGCGCTTGGTCATACAATGTAGGTCCTCTCACGCTGGGTAAAAAAACCAGGGTAACGATTATCGTTCGCGTCCCCCAGAGAACTCGCGACAGCTTGTAACCTGACCGGAAAATCCAGGGGCAGATGCAGCGCCAACAGTGGGGGTGAGAGGATATGTCTCACAACCACTGGCACAAGTGCCAAACCCCGATTATGGGCACAGTCTGCAAAATCAGACACCAAAGTTCCTTGCACAAAGACTACATGTAGCCAAGAGTCTGCAGCTGTGATGGGTTGCTGTCACAGCAAAACTGATTCCATGATTACATAATTTTCGTGTTGTAGTGTGTACAAGTAGGATTCAAGCAGGTCTCTTTCTGCACAACTGCAGCTCATTTGTATGCACTACATTACACCACGTCCTGCCTCACGGATCTGCACCAAATAATGATGAAATACCGGAATTTCGCCGTGACAGACACCCATGCAGAAAAAGTCAGAAGCTGCAGACCCTGGGTTGTATGTACTCTTGCTTGCACACATAATCCACCCCCACCCCTCTCCCCCAACCAGGACCTCAAATTACCATTGGCTGAAACAGTTGGTTCCCCGAGCAACAAAGCACACAAGGTTGAGATCACGGTGCTATTCATGTGATGCGGTGATTGTACTACAGTTTGTGTATGATATGGCGGGTACACATGATCTCCTCAGTCGCTTAGTGTCAACACCTGCTGGTGACCAAACAATTGATCCGTCCATGGCCTGACCAACCGGGCTGGTTCCGCCGGTCCTGCATTAACATGATGTCTGTACTGTACTGTGTGTCTCGCTGTGCACAGATCCTATGGATTGGCATGCAGGCATACTTCTTCGTCTACTTCTGCTGGGTGTTTGACTCCAGCAGGGACTTCTTCTACCTGAAGCTGGTCATCGGGGTAAGCGGCATGACCAGTGACACAATGATGGATCCCACAGCACATTTGCTCTGCACTGCACACAAGCCATGGAATACATGCGCAGACTACATTGACTGAGCAATGCATGAAAAGACTACTTCGAAGTACAGTCTGTATCGCCTATAAGGTTGGCGGCTATAGTAATATACCGGATATAGTGATCAATTTATCAAATTCATTTTCATTTGCCATAACTAAGTATACATAGTTATCGCGTATAGTAATAATTGTCTATAGTAATATATCGCCTATAGTGATCAAATTCTTATTTCAAAAGACCTTTATTACATTATTTTTGCATCGGTTATAGTGATTGATGTAAAATCAAGCGATGTTAGAGGAGAACAGGGTGTTGATTTTTCGTGAAGAGCTTGTCCAGTGAGTGTTGTTTGGTGAGTTTTGCTCGTACAAGTTGCCAAAATATGCCTCCATCATGAGGATATGCTGATTTTCTGTGTCAGGAGCTACAGCCAGCTACATGACATTGTACATGTATGTAGTGCGTATGTGCACGGCGCGCTGAGTCGTTTGACACCCCATTCGCATACATTGCATGCAGTATCGGTCATAGTAATAATTATATCGCTTATAGTGATAAAATCATCAAAATCAAACACCAACGCTATAGGCGATACTGACTGTACATTGACTGAGCAATGCATGAAAAGACTGCATTGACTGAACAATGCATGCAAAAACTCCATTGAGTGAATAGTGCATGAGTTTGCTGTCTGGAGCTCTACGGTCGGCAGTATAGACAGGGGCGTCGGGAGGTATTTTAGTGTGGTACGGTCAGCCATGTGAAGTACAATTTAGTCGTGTGGGAGGGGTGGCTGAGCTGAACATTTTGAAAATTTAGAGCCCAGGTGAGTGCATTTTATTAATTCACAGGGTATCTGTGGCAAAAAGTGGTACGGTCAATACCGTAGTGACCGTACCATGTCCAACGCCCCTGATAGATCAAGTGTTAATTCATGTTGATCTTGATGTGGGTGTCTCCTTTAAAATCATTATTAAAATGTGTCACATATGTCCCTTGCAGAAAGGGTTGTGCATAGCACGAGGCAGCGCGGCCAATCTCAACTTCAACAGCATGCTCATCCTGCTGCCGGTGTGTCGCAATCTCATCTCATTCCTGCGTGGATCCAATCAGGTACAGAGTACAGTGTTGAGGATAAGCATTCGTACTGATCTGTGCACACCGCACTGTGTGCATGTGTTGTCCTGCTGGCTGTACCTGTGCAGTAAAACCCTACTACCTACCTGCATGAAGAGACCACCTGCATGAAGAGACCGGTCATTTCAGAGACCAGACCATATAAACACGTTGATGCTCTGTGACCCACCCTCAGTATCATCAGTGTTGTCTGATACTGATTGGCCCAAAGCCATGATACCCTGCTCTGAGTTACAACAGAATCAACCTGACCACCATTGTCAACTCATGATTGTCAATGCATGTGCACCGTGTAGTCAGTATGTCAGTCTGCCACATGTTGCTGCTGCTGCTGCTGCTGTTGCTGCTGCTGCTGCTGTTGTTGCTGCTGCTGTTGTTGCTGCTGCTGTTGCTGCTGCTGCTGCTGCTGCTGCTGTTGCTGCTGCTGCTGCTGCGCTGTCCATGGTGTACAGGGTGTGCGACGAGTGGTACGGCGTTTGCTGGACAAGAACATCACCTTCCACAAGTGCATAGCATGGTCCGTGGTCTTATGGACAGGTGAGTAGCAGTAGTACTGATCTTAAACTCCTTGTACGTACTTATCGCTGTGTCCACAGTCAGGCTAGCCCACTTCTACAGCAACTAGTTCAGCTTCGCCCGCACGCTACCCACACAGTTGCGGTGACCCGGGAACAGGCCACCTCTGCTCTCAGCCTTCCTACTGCCCATACCCGCTTTGGCTTTCACTTCCTCGCATACAGCGCAGTTGCATGCTGGAACACCCTCCCTGCTGAATGCCATCTCGCCGACTCCCCCGCTATCTTTGTCACACTTGCCAAGCAATACCTAGGGTTCCCTGTAAGAAGGCAATAGCCTGTTTGGATTACCCTAGTAAAATAAACTATATATTCTACTACTACTACTACTACTGCTGCGGCTCAGCTGAGAAATAGCCGAAACTGCTAGCCTTCGTTTTCTGTATTGCAATCCCCTGCGCATGCCATTCACAACATGTCCTGTCATTGATAAGTCTGTGAGCAACTCTCCACTGATTCTAGAACTAGTTTTGGCTTAACATCCGAGTGGACCGAGTCCCAAAGTTTAGATTGTTCAGCTTGCTCCCGATCTCTACAATTTCACATGCATATCACAATGTCCTTCAACTTGTGAATATTTTAATGGTGACCGGCATTACTCTTGTCACGGTGTGCTCTCATTTCTAGCTATCCACACCGGCTCTCATTTCTGGAACTACGAGCGGATCACGGTTGTCCACAGTGAGGTTCCGGGCATGAGCTGCATCCCGCTAAACGCCCAGCCAGTACAGCTGCCCGGTGTGGTAAGGGAGTGCACTAGTGGCAGTCTAGGTCATATTATGCAACATTTTATACGACGTCCATTACATAACATCATACATCGTGCATGCAGGACCGCCGGAAGCAGTTTTTGAATGGTCTGCTAGTTTCATTGCCTTTCATGCTTTGTGTACAATATGGCGGGTACGCATGCCCTCCACGGTAGGAAACGCGTGCTGGTGGCCAAAAAGTTGGTCCGGTGATAACCTGACCAGCTGGACCGGTTCCGGCGGGTCTGTACATGTGATATGTATAGTACATGACCGTATGTGTGTCCGCTGGTTCTCGTGCTGGGGCTCATTTTCTCCGCGGCATCCGAAATTCATTTATTGACATTGTCCAACAAGTGCGAAAAATCAGGCCACTGTCTAGTTGTTTTTACTCTGTGTGTGTGTATCTGTGTGTGTGTGTGTGTGTTTGTGTGTCTATTTCTTATTGGCTGTAGTCACCAATCAAAGTCATGTGGACGACATGTAAGTAACAATACCCAAAAGCACCATTTTGTGTTCCTACCCCCCCCCCCCCCTCTCTATGTCCAATCAGAGTTTTCACACGCATTGGCCTATGTACAAGTGGAGTCATTGTCTGTTTGGTCACCGATATAAAACAACTTGCCTTGCACGTGTGTCCCTCTTGCCTATTCGCCCTGTATGTCACCTTCGCAGAAACTGGCCTGACTGGACTCTATGACGGTTTTCTTGTGGGTGATGGCAATGTGACCTGTGAGGATTCTGTGCTAGCAAACTGTTGTTCATGGCAGTGTGTGACTTGCCATATTACATGACTAGAGTAGTACGCCTGTGTGTATGTGTGTGTGTGTGTGTGTGTGTGTGTGTGTGTGTGTGTGTGTGTGTGTGTGTACGTGTGTGTGTGTGTGTACTAGCTGGTTCGGTTGGTGGGTACACTTACCTAGTATGTACGTGTTCGTATTATGTTTGTGTGTATGTGTATGTGTGTGTGTGTACACATAGATGCTGGCATCTCCGGTCATCTGATTGTGGTAGCGCTATTCCTCATGGTAAGCCACTCTTATCACCAGTATCACCATGGTTACCATTGTTATCATGGCACTGCATCATGGGCTTTACGCCATGACCGATCCACTGTGAACTTGAAACAGTATGCAGCAATACATTTAGTGAATTTGTGAATTTAAAAAAAAACTTTGACATCTGTTCTTTCCTTGTGAGTGTGTAACTTTAGTTGTGTGTGTGTGTGTGTGTGTGTGTGTGTGTGTGTGTGTGTGTGTGTGTGTGTGTGCGCGCGTGTGTGTCTGTGTGTGTGTCTGTCTGTATGTGTGTGTGTGTGGGTGTGTGTGGGTGTGTGTATGGGTGTGGGTGTCTGTCTGTCTGTGTTTAACATACCCAGGTGACATCATCCATGGAAATAATTCGGTAAGTCAGGTGGTGCCAGTGCGCAAAAATAGAACATACGATCAGTTTAGGTAACCGGGATGGTCGGACAGCCTTTACAGCTTACAAGTGGACTGGCTGATTACATCCGGCACCTCTGCTATACGGTAACACTTGGGTTTACCGGACCCTGCATCAAGCGGAATCCTGTCCGGACAGGACACACTAGCTGCCATAGAAAAGTCTCCGAAACAAGCGGAATACTGTCGACTGAGGAAAGCGGAACGGATACACGCACCAAGTACAGTTTTTGCTTGTCACAAGCAAGCTCCGTACCGTGCCGTGTGGACTAACTTTAACACATGCAGAAGCTGTTTGCAGATCGCGATCTTACAATCGTAGTTTTCAGCATGTACTCAGGGCCTTAGTTAGTACATGTACATGTGCTGTACCATATGATCAGGTTCGCCAGCCACATGACTTCCCCACATGGTGGCACACCTGCTCCTGTGCCGCGAGCATGGACACCCTAAAAATCATGTACTGGAGAGGTACATTATGGCATGTTGTGTGTGTACTGTACAGATGTGTGTCTGTGTGTTATTGTGTGTGTATGTGGGCATGTGTGTGTGTGTGTGTGTGTGTGTGTGTGTGTGTGTGTGTGTATGTGTGTGTGTGTGTGTGTGTGTGTGTGTGTGTGTGTGTGTGTGTGTGTGTGTGTGTTCAGGCGATCCTACTTTGAAGTGTTCTGGTACACACATCACTTGTTCATCATCTTCTACGTTGGCGCTGTGGTCCATGGTCTCCAGTAAGCTGAGAACACAATGTTTTTTTTGTAAATACCCATCACCTGCAAGTTTTCACCCAGTATATATGCAGTGAATGGGATTTTCGGTCTTTGACCACTTGCTGGTGAGCTGATCTACACACCTCCCACCGCTTTAGGAGCTGCATCTGCGCCTTGATCCTTGAAGGGTGGTGGCGTTCCTACGGATGCGGAAAACCCGGCTTCCAGCCGAGTTTCACGCAAACCGTGAAATATATATATATTGGAAAGGCTTCCTGTCTGAAGCCTTTCCATACTGGTACTCGATGTTCCAGTTTTGTGACACGAGAATGGCACGAGAATTAGTGTACCGCTGAGTGTACCGCTATACACGTGGTCGACACGTAGTCGACACTTTGTTGATACTTTTTTGACACGTGACCCCGTCAACGGTCTGCTTTGTGCCAATGCCACTCGGTAAACGCCGATGTCGCGTACGACAAAGACGACTATCCCGTACGCGAAATAGTTGAGAATTGCATGACGTGGACCTGACGGCAAGGACAACTGCGAGGAGGCCCCTTTCGGTACCCCTGACGGGAAGGAGAACTGCAGAAGTCGACGAAGTCGAACGAGGAGGTCCCTTTTCCGTACCCCATACTGCAAAGTGCCATTGATGGATACCTTTTGCACCTGGAACGACCCCTTAAACGCTGTCGCGGCGACTATCCCGTACGCGAAATAGTTGAGAACTGCTGACGTGGACCTTTTGCACCTGGAACGGCCCCGTAAACGCTGTCGTGCAGGGTACTAGGGTGAAAAGCTGCAAAGACGTCCCCTCTACTAGGCTCTAGGCCTTTGCCTTTGGAGACATCGTCGGCGAACTGAATGCGCAGGGCGAAAAGAATTGCTGCAAAGACGTCCGCTCTAGGCCTTTGGAGACATGGTTGGTATATTAGACATCGTGGGAACTCCTTCCGGTACTATACAAACTGCTGACGTGGCCGTGGACATGTACATGGAGAGTCATGGTGGGACTTCATGTACATGGATACATGGTGGGAATTCCTTCCGGCACCCCCGTACCGCAAAGCCAACGGTGGGGAAGGAGAAGTGCAGACGTGCAGGAAGACGAACGAGGAGGAACCAGGACGAGCGAGCAATGGCAGGACTAGCTGGACCGTAAGTAATAGCTGAATTGTGCATGACAACTTGACATCCATGCGGCACTCGCCACTTGCCACTGCATATTTCTTGTCCACTAACAATGTCTCTCTTCTGCCCCCTGTGTGTCCACGGCCCTGTTGCTGAATTGGCCTGATGAATCGAATGTCTTCCGCAGCTGGAACGGCCCCGTGAACGCTGTCGCGTCGGCGACTGAATGCGCAGGAGGGAAAATATTGCTGCGAAGACGTCTCCTCTAGACGACGGTAAGGCACCCCATTGATATGTTGCCAGTGTGTGCCAGGGTATCGCGCGGTGGTGAATGAGGAATGATGAAGGGTACGGTGGGACTGTAGACCTGTATTACGTTACCTTCTACTAACACGTTATCAGGTGGAGAGTGTCTTGTAGTCACTCTCTCTATTCCTGTACTTCATTACGTTTAAGGTGTACGTATAACTTCTCAAAAAAATTTAATGGTCTACAGTCGTGTCGGAAGGGTACGGTGGGACTGTAGACATGTTACCTTCTAACACGTTATCAGGTGGAGAGTGTCTTGTACTCACGTTATCACTATATCAGGTCGAGAGCGTATTGTAGTCACTCTCTCTATTCCTGTACTTCTTTACGTTTCAGGTGTACGTATAACTTTTCCAAAAAATTTAATGGTTCACGTCTTCAGATAGAGAGCGTATTGCACCGTCTAGTCTCTGTAGTGCATTGAGATTTTGTTGATCGAACATGAAATGGATACACAGACAAAGCCAGGCCAAGTACATGGCGAGATGTCGCCAGAAGAACGTCTTCAGGTAGAGAGCGTATTGCACCCACTGTCTAGTCGATTTTGTGGATCGCACATGAAATGGATACACAGACAAAGCAGGCCAAGTACATGAGAGAGTGGACGATGTGCAGATCGACACGGCCTGCGGGTACTTCATTAAAGTTACCCATGACATAACTAGGATAAAAGTTAATCACTGCAAAAACATTGCCAAGTATGTGAGCACTTTGGACTTGACAGAAGAGTGCACGGGCGACGTTGACAAAACATACTGGGCGGTGACTGTCACTATCATGACAGCAGGGCACATCGCACGCAGCATCGCAGATCGTGTCGAATTGCGTATCATAATATTGCAAAATTGCTCCTGTGCATGCAAGTGGATTTCATTGCACTTCTCAGTTTGGGAAATGCTCGATTATGACAATTCTGCGTGTGAGTGCACTAGCCCTGAACAGACATGTAGGTGAACCGTTTGTGGCGTCTCATAGCCTACCTCACGACCTTCTGCTTTCTTTCTTCATCACTTGTATCTTGCAGGTATATCATCCCGTGACGACCACATTGAAGTCTGAATTTGAAGTGTGAAGATGCTTCAGCAACCACATCATACTTTTCCATTGCTTTCATTGTGCTTCTACTGTGCATGTGTGTAACTTGTGGGGTAAACATGTGATGACATTGTATGCTGGCGACACGGTCAGATGTTCATGCGTCTAACGTACACCTGCATGTTATGCATTGAAAAGGGTTTGCCACTTGCGATCCTGGGACGAGTATCAGGTCCGCTTTGTCCTGTGTGGGCTGTATCAGATTGCTGTTCACTTCTCTATCTGTTGGATATGTGACTTTCTGCAAGTTTCTGGTGTATGATGGCCACGTCCTTGCTTGTCACTTTGTATGATATTACATTCTGTATTCGCTGCTTCCATGGCATGGTCTGCAAACTACAATCCTTGGGCAAATGTCATGTTTGCTATGTTGTGCTTTGGTCGTCAGCTTGTCTACACGCTGTAGTTGAATTATTTTTGTTTCACAACTGACTTCCTCAAGTACGGTGGCCACTGCTTTGCATGGCATTATACATGAAGAATTTCCTGTTTGTGTCGTGTGCATGTGCGTATGTGTGCGTGGCCACGTGTGTGTGCCGTGTGCATACACATGTTTGTGTAGTTGGGGTGGGGAGGGAACGGAAAAAGAGCTGAAATTATCCATATAAAAATCGCTCTGTGAGCGGTTCTGAAAAACCTTTACTGGTACTGCCCCGTCGTAAAAGTAAGAAATTAGAACTGGCCCATTGTCCCCCCAAATGCGAACTGATCCACCTAAATCGCGAATGACGGGACCCGAACGCACCAGTAGCACGAGGTTCCTACCTGTGGATGCAGATGGGGACGTTGGTCCGGACCATGGGCCATGTACTGTACTAGCGGAAGGCTTCCCTATCAAAATAATAAATTCTACTGCTACTACTGGTGTTACCCTATGATAATTGCCGTGATCCTGTGCCCTCCCGACCTCGTGCTACTGGTGCGTTCGGGTCCCGTCATTCGCGATTTAGGTGGATCAGTTCGCATTTGGGGGGACAATGGGCCAGTTCTAATTTCTTACTTTTACGACGGGGCAGTACCAGTAAAGGTTTTTCAGAACCGCTCACAGAGCGATTTTTATATGGATATATATATATATACTCAATATATACAGGGGGAAGTGGTCCCGTCCACCGCAAAGAGGGCTCAACAGCGCTGGGGTGCACTGGAGCTAGTACACAATGGAAGCGGTCCTCACCAAGAAAACACAATCCGTTGCTACTCCGAGTTTCTTGAGTTTTTCAATCGTCAGGCAACTTTTGTCAGTTGCCTGACGATTGAAAAACTCAAGAAACTCGGAGACAAGAAACTCGGAGTAGCAACGGATTGTGTTTTCTTGGTGAGGACCGCTTCCATTGTGTACTCAATATATATATATATATATTAACTGGTTTGAGGGAAAGAGACAAACGGGAAAAGTCTGAAGAAAAAATTGACTGCCACCACCAGGACTCGAACCAGGGACCCTCGCTTGTAGCCAACGATGCTCTAACCACTGAGCTATGGTGTAGTCGTCATCCCAGCAGAGGCCGTTCAACATTTTCTTCAGATTTCGTAACTCACACTTCCTGTGAATCCACACAGGCGGGTGGGACGCAGCCCTCATATATATATATATATATATACTCAATCTGCGGACAGAACTGTTTCGTCCTTTGTGGACTCGTCAGCGCAGCACATATATATAATTATATATACACCATCGGCATGCATTACTAGGATTCCCTGTAAAAAGGCGATGATGCCTGTTGGGAATTCCATGGGCACACAGTGGGCGCCGTGATATCATCTGCTCTGTGTGTGTGTGTGTGTACGTATGTGTGTGTATGTATGTGTGTGTATGTGTATGTATGTGTGTGTGTGTGTGTATGTGTGTGTATGTGTCTGTGTGTAAGTGTCTGTGTATGTGTATGTGTATGTGTATGCATGTGTGCATGTGTGCAGGGGCCTAATCCAAGGCCAGGTGAACACGGGTATTCATGATCCCGACAGGTGCTATCAGACGTACATGAACGGTTCAGGCATCTGCAAGATAGACCACGCGACTGACCCAGACTGTGATCTGGCAACTGCTAGGTTCAAAAGTGCTGGGGCACAGGTGAGCAGGGAGCCCTCTAAAAAGCAGTTACTCTTTCAGCCAATAGCAAAGTTACTAACGTTAAGCCCAAATGATCCAGTACACCTGATACATTGTACATGTGTGACTTACTTGACTGCTAACCTGCATGGCCTGATGTCTGTTTTGCCTATTCAAACAACATTAAGAAAGAAAGTTTCTCATTAGCTACTGTAGGCTTTCCAGCTGGAAGTGGTTCTCATTCATGCTCATCATAAATCAATCTCCGTATCTCTGTTTCGGAAGTACGTCATGTACTCATACAGGGATGTAGATCCAGGGGCAAGCTTGCTTGTTTTCATGCCACATGTGTGTGCGTGTATGTGCACGCGCGCACACACGTGCGTGCATGTGTGCATTTGTGCGTGTGTGTGTATGCATGCTGCGTGCATCTCTCTTTTTCTCTGTCTCTCTCGCTCTGTCTCTCTCTCTCTTTCTCTCTCTCTCTCTCTCTCTCTCTCTCTCTCTCTCTCTCTCTCTCTCTCTCTCTCTCTCTCTCTCTCTCTCTCTCTTGCTCTCTCACTCTCTTGCCCTCAGACGTGGAGGTGGGTTGTCGGTCCACTGGTGCTCTACCTGGTCGAGAGAATCATACGATTCATCCGTGCCCAGCAGAAGGTGGTCATCACCAAGGTACATTGCACTCATGCACTCATGCACTCATGCAGTACAGTAGCGGACATGACCACGCTAATGAGATGGATAGTCAACCAGTACTCACAGTGATAAACTCGGATGGAGAGCCAATGTTTAATTTTTTAGTAAAGAAAGGGACCAAGGAACTACAAGTTACGCTATAATGTTCCCCTCCTATGTTATCATAATTATAACTTAGAACCTTCCAAGTCGGAAGGCTGTTGGAGTGCGCACCCAAGACGTGCTAGAGCTGATAGCCAGTTAGTTGTAGAACGTCAGTCCTGTCGGTCAGTTTTGCGCAATGTTATCGCATGAGCTGATTGTCAAGTACCTGGTGGTGTTAGTGGACATTATAGTGTAACTTTACTTGTAGTTCCTTGGTCCTTTTTCTTTACTATAAAGTACTATCAGTCTACTCGGAGCATTACAGTATAGAGTAACATACCTCACTGCCTGTACTGTTAGTGTGCATGTAGGCATGACCGCCGTATTAGCCCCTGAAGTAGAATGACCCCCCCCCCCCCTTTGATGTGTACAGTGTACTACTTCATGCTGCTCTTCTTACGTCGTACTGACTTGCGTCAGTACTTATGCATTCTTGTACATCATGACGTATTCTCCTCTGCTGTACCTGATTAAGCCTGTCGTGCCTGCGTGCGCAAGGCACGCGATCTCTTTTGTTCCTTAGTTCTTTCTTGCTGTTTTGTGCGGAAAGGAGCGTAGTTTTGATGGCTCCTTTGCATTTGTTCTTATTCATTGTATAAACCTTCGGTATGTAATAATAATAATAATAATAATATTGACTGGTTTGAGGGAAAGAGACAAACGGGAAAAGTCTGAAGAAAAAATTGACTGTCACCACCAGGACTCGAACCAATAATAATAATAGTAATAGTCTAATTCTCCCCCCCCCCCCCCCCCAAAAAAGTCACTGAGCATCCATGAGAACATGGACCACAGGCATTGACCAAAGAGCAGAAAAAATAGAACATCTACAGGGGAAATGTTCCGAAATGGCATTTTCGCCATGACAATCCAGATATGATCTGCACTAATAATTGAAGGAGTGTGAGCTCCCACAGTTGTGCTATCTGCACATACACGATGCACTGGTAATCGTGTTCTAAAACTTTCGACTGTACCCATTGTCTGGGATCATTTGTCGGCGTGTACAGGTGGTTCAGCATCCGTCCAAGACCATTGAAATCCAGATGCAGATGAAAGGATTCCACGCGGAGGCAGGCCAGGTAAGGAGTTGTAACATTACAACTGAACGGAGACAAAACAATAATCTGCCTTCTTGACCAACTTTTAAGTCTTTGCTGTGTACCTTGACAGTATGCGTATGCACTAGCCACACAGTAGTACTCTTTGTGCTTGTTACTCCTAATCCAATACCGTGACGACTACTGATAGAATAATCTACATTTAATAGACTCTGCAATAATTGTACTTCCGGTAGGTGACTGTGGACTGAATCTGTTCTCACGGCTTTCCTGTACTGTCCTGTGTCGATGTACTCTTGTAGTACATCTTCATGCAGGTTCCGGAGATTTCATGGTTTGAGTGGCATCCATTCACCCTCACCTCGGTAAGTTTCCGGGCCATGCTTCATAATTCCAGCACAGCAAGCAAATCTTGTTAAGAAGACATCACATCCCTTATCTCAGCTACTGCTGATGGAAGCTTGTGAAGAAATTCTTCGTATTGACTCAATACTATGGAGTACAAAGTTGAATGTTCTTCAACTACTAGTACTCTGACCAGTTCATTCTATTACTAGTGGTCACTCTTTCTCTACTTTACACGTGCACGGCGCTCGTCCATATCAAGATCAATACTAGTATGTCTTCACCAAGCCGAAAGACAAATAGACGTCCCTCCCAAATCAAACATCTTCTCTACAGATATCGATATTTGTAGGCGGTTCAACGGTAGTGGCCACATCCACATCTACATATGCGCTGTAACTGTTGTATTCCTTGGCCACCTCAGAGATTCTTGATGGTAGTACATTGTGTTATGCTATGCATCTAGCATGTGCCGTTTCCCTCCCGTGTGCGAAACAGACTTGGCATTTTTAGTTGCTGTGCATGAGTTGAGCCAGGGCTCTTGTTGTTTTGTATTGAAGGAATACAGAATACTACAACGGTCACGGCAATCTCTTTTTCTCTTTTTGTACAGTCCCCAGAGGAGAACTATTTCAGCCTACACATACGCATTGCTGGAGATTGGACAGGTAAGCTGTCAAGAGCTATCCGCTGCATTGGACTTCACTGCATTGACAGCCTTGCTTGCCTTGTAAAACGGTCATGCCTGCTACCATGTGCTCTCTTACTCTTGGCTTCTTGATGTGTTTGGATCACGACAGCATGGCAGTAACAATTCCGATCCCGTTTTGCTCTGTGGATGTTATGCAGATGCGTTAGCGAAGCGTCTTGGCGTCGGCAGTGGAGAGTTTCAGCCAGCCCAGAACATGCCCACTATCCGCATTGATGGACCATTTGGTACACCGAGTGAGGTAATCTTTCAAATCATTAATTTTAAGTTCAGCTCCTATCCATGAATAGCTACAAGCAATGATGAGCAACGTGTACCTGGCACGCTGTACTCAATGCCAGCCGCAAAAATGCCTGCAAAGTTACAACTGACGCAATGCCTATCACACAATCTCTGGGGAAGGGAGGGTGATACAAATAACGGCCTTTTTTCAATTCACGCATAATTAAAGTTGATGTACGTTGTAATGGTGTGTGTGTGTGTGTGTGTGTGTGTGTGTGTGTGTGTGTGTGTGTGTGTGTGTGTGTGTGTGTGTGCGTGCGTGTGTGTGTGTGTGTGTGTGTGTGTGTGTGCGGGCGTGCATGCGTATGGGTATGATCTGCTTATCTTTCAGGACATCTTCCGTTTCCGCACAGGCGTGTGTATTGGAGCAGGCATTGGCGTTACTCCATTTGCTTCCATACTCAAGTCTATCTGGTGAGGAGAGCATTACAAAAGGAGGACACCATACTAATTTTCTGTACTGTACCAGCAGTAATGTGATGATTACTTAGAGAGTATGGGACATGGTGTTGTAACTTGTCACTGATTATCCTGTCTCCCTGTTGTATTTCTGCATGACATGCGGGTTGGGTTGTGACTGGGATTATAAACCAGGCAACATATAGCGGGTAGGAGCATGTTGATGCACTTACAGCAACAGTATTTTTCTCCTGCCATGGGTCCATGAGCACATCCTTGGGTTTGAAAGCATGTGATTCGTGGATGTGCATGGCAAGAGCATGATGCGCTCTTGCAGTGGTTGTCCTGAAGCTTTTGCAATTCTATCTCTCTGTTACTGCCAGTCAGCCACTGCATTCCCCTTCTCTGCTACTGCCAGTGAAGCCATCCATCCATCCATCCATCCATCCATCCATCCATCCATCCATCCATCCATCCACCCATCCACCCATCCACCCATCCACCCATCCATCCATCCATCCATCCACCCACCCACCCACCAACCCACCCATCCATCCATCCATCCATCCATCCATCCATCCATCCATGAATCCATCCATCCATCCATCCATCCATCCATCCATCCATCCATCCATCCATGAATCCATCCATCCATCCATCCACTCACCCACCCACCCACCCATCCATCCGTCCATCCATCCACCCAGTCTTCTTTTTCTCTGTTGTTGCCAGGTATCAGTCACTGAACCCTGACAAGCAACTGAAGTTGAAGAAGGTCTACCTCTTCTGGATCTGCCCGGACACAAATTCATTCGAATGGTTTGCTGACCTACTAAAGTCCCTGGAAGATCAGGTGAGACTGCATGGCCAGTGTAGCCTATGAGCTACGAATAGTGTAAATGGTTGACAACTTGACAAGTGATATGAGTCATGACTCACCGCTGCACCAAACGCACTAACAATACAGTCTTGCTCAATGTGTCCACGGACTCCACACTCATGGATAAGCCAGCGCTCTGTACCTTTGCGAAGCCTTTAGCCTCGGGCAGGAAGAGGGGGCACAGTGCCTGCCTAACCCTTTCCAGATTTCATTGAGCAGCACTGCTTCTGGTATTATAATTGACTTGCTTCAGCTTAAGCCTAGTTCACATTCGACGGGGCGCGACGGGACGCGACGTAAGGATCGACGGGAAGCGACGGGACGGTCTGACGGCGTCCAATGTGAACACCAGGAACGGGAACGCAACCGTACTACCGTACAGATCGGGAAGCGACGGGAAGAGTTGGATCGATCCAACTTTTCATACCGTAGACGGGCGTCGACGGGGACGCAAGCGTACAAAACGGCTGCAATTCGAGTGTGAACAGGAGACGGCGTCGTGCGCCGACTACTCCCGATTCGTACTTGGAAATTTTTAGCATTTCGAACACTGCGCTTCCCATGATAACTCACAGAATGACTAGCACGACTTGAGTTGAATTTTAGCAACATAAGATCTCATGTCACTTATTGTATTTAGGGATAATTCAGAAGCGTGACAGACGAACTATTCTATCATTTACTGGGGCTATTATTTGACTGCCACAACTTTCAGGGCTAATTTTTTGGCCTTCATGAAAAACTGGTATTGTGAACTTGATTCTGCTTCTTTCAAGGAGAAATAATTGAAAAGAAGTCCCGAAAAACGAGAAATTAGGTCCGAAGTCACCCCGTCACGGACCGTGCCTTATGACTCGCGCCGTTCGACGTTGAACGTCGCAACGACTGCTGCATGTCGTGTCGTACGAATCGTACAGGATTTTACAGCTCACCCCAGCCCTCCCGACAAGCCCTTACGTCCCGTACCGTCGGCGTTGCGTCGAATGTGAACTAGGCTTTACTGTGTAGACGCATGGCTGCGACAAAGGCGGTTAGAACATTTGAAAGAATACGGACACGCTACAGTATCATTTCCATCTCATCTATATAAATATTTAAAAAAGAAGCTCTACATGTAAGTTTTGTCCTGTTGCTGGTGTTGTGTGTTTTGTCCTATTGCTGGTGTTGTGTGTTTTGTCCTGTTGCTGGTGTTGTGTGTTCTCTACCACTATACTGTAGATGATTGAACATGGGCGTGCAGACTTCCTGGATTACAACATCTACCTGACGAGAGGTTGGGGAACAGATGAGGTGAGTAGGAAACATGATACATTTGACTTCATAGCCACAACCAGCAAACACACAAACATCTCAGAGCCAGTGTGATGGGAGACAACAGATAAGGGGTCGTCGCAAAAGTTTTTTTGTCGTCCCTGAAACGAACATGATTCATTTGGGGGGGGGGGGGGGGGAGGGGGTGCGAGCCAAAATCGCAAGTCGACCGACACTGTACATATGACATGTACATGCATGCGATTTTCGTCGTCCAGCATAGCAAGCTGTGTTCGTTTCAGAGGGAGGGGAGGGGGTCTGAGTAAAGGCCGATTCACAATACAACTTTCTGCGACGCGACACGCGATTTGCGACAGTTGCGACAAGAAACTGCCTGTCGCGAGCTGTCGCAAGCTGTCGCAATGCACCTGTCCCAGAAGTTGAAGAAAGTTCAACTTTTGCGACATGCGACACGCGACATACACAAATGGAGTACAGTTTCGACCCTGGGTGCACGTGCAGTGTACGTGCAGTGCACGTGCATAGTACTACTTGTGCATGAGGATGTCGCAAACATGAAGAATATTGTGAACCGTGTGTCGCTGTCGCAGCTCGTCGCATGCGTCGCAAGTCGCATGTCGCGTCGCAGAAAGTTGTATTGTGAATCGGCCTTAAGAAATGAACGATGTTCGCTTCAGGGACGACAGAAAACTTTTGCGACGACCCCTATTAAAGAGAAAGAAAAAAAGAATGTCCTCCCCGGCCGGGAATCGAACCCGGGTCTTCCGCGTGACAGGCGGAGATACTCACCACTATACTACCGAGGATTGACTGGTGTAAGATCGAAACGTGCCCAGCTTGATAGGAACACCACATGTGCACTGCGAGTACTGTCAAGTACCACGACAGCCCCCCCCCCCCCCCCCACCAACTCGTCCTTTTGTGGTCGTGCTGTGGAGGTGGTGTCCTGTCTGAAGGTCATACAACACGTACCTTGTACACACATCACACACTGTGCAGTCAATCCATACTCAGTTTACTTCGGAGATCCACACTAAAACATTCGAAGTGTGACATTAGTATACTAAGGTTCTCACACCGTCCAAACTTTGTTGCACTCTGCCATACGATTTTCTTTTCCCTTGCTTGTAAAATCAAGGTGGGGCGCTCTCGGTAATTTACGGTGTAGTCAACCTCGAATGAATTTTTTTACGAGAAACCACGAACCTCAAGAACAGAATACTGCATGATAGAGGTGGTTGCAGACGCAACTGTGGTGGTGAAACTGGAGCATCTCCGCCGACCTGACGTCTCGGCTTCAGCGACACTTCAGTGCACCAAAAAATGGGGAGGAGTAGGCACAGGAGGAGGGGGTACATTTGTATAGAGGGTGGAAAATGGAAAGATGATACATGTGATAGAGTAAAAAAGAGGGAGCCAGGGTGCAAGTGGAGAGGGTGTTCAGGGACGGTTCAGAGGCCATCTGTGGCTGAGTGCCAGTCTCGACTGCGGAGAGACTTGTAGGCGCGTTCCTTGAATGCCTGCATTCCCTTCTGCGTGGGAAGGTTGCATAGCAGGGCAGATGGGAGACGATTCCTGTCTTGGATCGTGGCATGGGAAAATGATCGGAGAGCACTATTACGAGCTCCGGCGGGCAGTGTCGGTGCTAGTTGGTGCTGCTCCTCTTGCTGGTGGCGAGTGGAGCGCCGGTGCTGGTTAGCAACTGTCCTTGGTGGTGTCATGGTGGTCAGGATTGGGGGACCGTCAATCCAATGCAGCTTGTACAGGCATGTTAGTGCTGCGAAAGCCAGGAGAGGGGTATTATTTCGGGCAGGTACTTATTTACAGACGTTCACAGTAGTCAATCAGAATCAGTCGAAGTAATGAAGAAGATTTCGAACGTAAAACTGTTCCGAGTTCAATCTCCAGACAGCTACATGTAGGTGTTTCGATCTTATTAAGTCTCCTCAGCGGAGCTTAGAGTGACTCTGTAGTATTGGTGCTCATGCTGCTACATGTACAGTCGTCCCTCTCCATCCAGCATTTTATAAACCGTCACCCTCTATAAACCAGCGTAATTTTCAGCAACCAAAATGTCCTCTTCGTGCACATTGCAGCAGAAAATCAGATTTTGTAATCCAGCACCCTCTCTAATCCAGCACCCTCCCTAATCCAGCACCCTCTCTAATCCAGCACCCTCTCTAATCCAGCACCCTCTCTAATCCAGCACCCTCTCTAATCCAGCACCCTCTCTAATCCAGCACCCTCTCTAATCCAGCACCCTCTCTAATCCAGCACCCTCCCTAATCCAGCACCCTCTCTAATCCAGCACCCTCTCTAATCCAGCACCCTCTCTAATCCAGCACCCTCCCTAATCCAGCACCCTCTCTAATCCAGCAGAATTCCGTTGCAGAAATGGTGCCGGATTATAAAGGACGGTACTGATATTGTGTCTAATCTACAGGCTAAGAACATCATGCTGCACGAGGATGACGAACAAGACCCTATCACTGGCCTGCAACAGAAGACGCACTATGGACGACCGCAGTGGGCGCAGATCTTTTCCAGCATGGCTGCCGCTCACAAAGGGTGAGTGTTATATACGGTAGTATGCATGTCATGTATCAGTAGACACACAAGTAGGTAGTAACACACTTAAGGCACGAAGGAGGCAGTGTAGAGTTTGTCGCAACAAAGGGAACCTCTTTGTCGCACAAATAGAAATGCATTTACTACAGTCAGACCTCGCTTATCAGGCCTCTTTTATCCGGTTCCCTCGCCTATCCGGATATTTGTGTGGAATACGGATGTGTGCGGGTTAAGCGAGGTCTGACTGTACATCACACTTGCATCCATCCTTCTGTGCATGCCCATATTCACTGTCTTTTCCCATGCATGTACTTTGCCTTGCTGGTCGTTCGTGGAGTTTAAAGGGGAAGTTAAGGCAAAAATTAAAATTTCACCAGTTGTAGTCTTCGGGGTGCTGAGTCGAATGGTCTTGGTCCGAGGAAGCTGAGACGCTCCCTTCCTACTTGAATCCCAATCGAACTCGCGCACTTCCACCGAAACTGGGTGACTGCGCCCTACTAGATGGGGATTTGTATGCAAAATGTCACTAAAATCGCCATTTCGTTCTTATAAAAGCACGGATGACCGCGATTGGCCCATATGTTGTACTCTTTTGGACGCTGAGTCGACTGGTTTTGGTCCGAAAAGGCTGCGATGCAGCGTTCCTCCTTTATTCCCAATCGAACATGGTTGAACAAGCGGTCACGTGATCCTGGGTGCCCAAATCACCTGGTCACCACGCCAGCACTGGCCCATGCCCAGCAGGCGACAACTAACTTACTTTCACACCAAGGTTCAACTCGAGTGACAGGACTGCACCCAAAATGGGTCAAACAGGCTAGTAAGTTGTACCCTGCAGGCGCGGTGACCAGGTGACTGGTGTACGCAGGAGCACGTGACCGCTTGTTCAACCATGTTCGATTGGGAATAAAGGAGGAACGCTGCATCGCAGCCTTTTCGGACCAAAACCAATCGACTCAGCGTCCAAAAGACTACAACATATGGGCCAATCGCGGTCATCCATGCTTTTATAAGAATGAAATGGCGCTTTTAGTGACATTTTGCATACAAATCCCCATCTACAGTCCGTTTCAAAAAGATTTGCAATCCTGGCGACCGCCCGCGGAGTTTGGCGTCTTACCGTATGAGCACTCGAGCGCTGACTGGAAAAACTCACTGTGAACTCGAAGAAATATTCCGCGCGAAAGCAGGAAAAATGACAACTCACTCACGTTGATACAGTCACGTCTGGTTTGCAACAAACGAGTTCTTCCTCGTATCGATAATGTAGTCAGAGATCTAGAGAGGACATGTCGAAACGAAAGTTTGGTAAATGTTGACGAGCGGAATGGGTCCCGTTTTGTTACCAAAATAGTTTCTTTGAGCTGCGATGCAATTTACTTACCGTGTGACGAAAACGACATCGACACGGACTCATTCCCAAGGCCATGACTTGGCAAAGCTAACCGTGTGACTTCGACGACATTTTGAGAAAAGCAGACGCTTTTGAACCATGTGAACGCTGATAGAAGACGGCGTTGACTACTAAATTCAAATAAATTGGCGATCTTGAAATACTAAAATAAATCTCAAAAAGCTTCAGCGCGATGACTTCCATATTCACTCACGCCATTGCAGTGTTGTGGGTGTGTTCACATGGCGTGAGCCAGTCAAGTGTCAGTCAGTTCGGCAGGAAGCGCGAGCTGCAACAAGCCGTCTGGTGCAGCCATCTTCTTTGTCTTGTACCAGCTTGATCACCAAAACAATGAAAAAAGGTTTGTCTTGAGGATACGTTGGGATTTGAACTCACAACTTCATGGTCAGCAGACAGCATTCATAACCACAAGGCCAAAAAGGAAGGGATAAATCGTGGGTTTTGATAAAAAAATCGATACTGGCTTCCTGGGCAAATTGTAAACCATGGGAAAAGGCCGGAAACCTGGCCAAAATTCTAACTCCTTAACGGCTGGTCCAATTGTTCCGAAACCTTCACAGAACAATTTGCCGTGTCCTAACAAGCCATTCTATGTACTTTGTTGTCCAAATTTCCCTTATCTTCGTACTTTTTAAGACCCAAACCTGATTGTAAATCTTTTTGAAACAGACTATAGTAGGGCGCAGTCACCCAGTTTCGGTGGAAGTGCGCGAGTTCGATTGGGATTCAAGTAGGAAGGGAGCGTCTCAGCTTCCTCGGACCACGACCATTCGACTCAGCACCCCGAAGACTACAACTGGTGAAATTTTAATTTTTGCCTTAACTTCCCCTTTAAGCGCTCCTCGTGGGGCACCAGGGACATGACAGTCCCGCAGCTAGGATGCATGGGGCCACTGCATGAGAGCACTGTTTCTTGCTTGAGCTGCACACACGCACGACATTTGCGCCATTGGTCAACAGTAACCAGCATTGACTGCATGATGCAGGTCTGGCTAGTGTCTAGTGCAAGCTTTCTAAAAGCCAGCATAATAACAGTTACCAGCACATGGTATGACCGGAATCTGAATTGCATGTACCGGGCGGTATATTGGTGTAGACTGCTTGTCTGTGCTATGATAGTGCACGAGTAGGTGGGTGTTGAAACGCATCCTTTCTGAACAGTATGTTACTGTATGATAGCCACGCTGACTCCATGCTATGCTGTGCTCTGCTATGCCACTATGCTGCCTGACAGGGAAGACCTGGGAGTGTTCTTTTGCGGACCCAAGATCCTGTCCACCAAGCTACACATGATGTGCAACCAGCACACTGACCAGGCCGCAGAGACACGATTCTTCTATCACAAGGAGAATTTCTAACATATACCCATCTTCACCCGGCAAACCTCACACAGGACATGTGTATTCAATAAGCTATGCGTGCTGATGGGCTTAAGTTTGGGAGTTGCTCCAGATAGTAGGCTGATACAAGCCATAGGTGGCTGATTCACGCAAGCCAGGCAGATGACACAGGTGGCTGATTCATGACAATCAAGCGGATGACACGATTGCCTGGTGTGCTTGCCTAATCCTTCTGTTTTTGCAAGAAACCTGTCCAGCACAATACACATTGTACATAGAACTATTTATCATCAGTGCTAGTACCAGCAGCCATGTTGAGCAGTTTTTTTTCCTCTGACCAATTCCTACAGGCTACGGTAATCTTTCCATGTAAGCACTGCCTCTCCCTGATAAATATACCCCCATTGGATTTACTCGATCACCCCTCTTTTGATCTAGGTAGATAATAGAAGGCCATTCAAGCGTATTCAAATACAATGCATGGGGGAAACCAACCAGCTTCGCTATTAATGAAATTTCTTGAGCACTGTTTCACATAAATCCAGTTTCACTGTTTCGTTTTTCTGCACATCAACGCTCACTGCACCATTGTTTACAATTCTTCTGGCGGAACAACTATTAGCATTGAATACTATAACGCCAGGACAGACGGCCAGGTACTTAATTTTTCTCATGAAATCGGTCTAAATCATGGAGACTTGCTGAGATCAGGACAAGACATTGATTTCTGGCTCTTCCTGCTGGCCTGCCTTTCTACAATTCTGGTGGGATCAATCTGCACAACCAACCACAGGTGCACTCTACACTGTACCCACACTGATTTCATTTTGTTTTAAAAGCAAAGACCAAGCCGCAAAGCCCTGCCGAGACAGCAGGTGCGGTGCCAGGGACTGCACGGATGTGGATGGAGATGCCATCCACCAATGTCACTTTGGCTGCAGCCCTGCAAACATGCTCTGTAGTGTGACATTGGAAAGCTGTTCCCTAGTGCAACTGGCCATGATGCACTACAAATGTACGACTGCGTCATGTCAGGGCCGATTTGCTGGTGAGGAGGATACGACTTTGAACGACCGGCAAAGTGCAAAATGCATCTCAGAACAGGCAGCATTAGTTTAGTTCAGAATTAGCATCCTAGCAAGTTTAAGTCAGCAGTTCAGTGTCAGATAAATACAAATCATTTCAAATCGGCAGTGACCAGCTTTAATAAAAGGCGATGAGGTGTATACAGTCCAGTAGTGTATGTGCTGTTAGAGTGTAGGTGTGTGTGCTGTTAGAGTGTATGCGTGTATGCTGTTAGAGTGTATGTGCTGTTAGAGTGTATGTGTGTGTGTGTGTGTGCATGTGCTGTTAGAGTGTAGGTGTGTGTGTGCATGTGCTGTTAGAGTGTAGGTGTAATGCATGTGCTGTTAGAGTGTATATGTATGCGTGTATGCTGTTAGAGTGTAGGTGTAATGCATGTGCTGTTAGAGTGTAGGTGTGTGTGTGCATGTGCTGTTAGAGTGTAGGTGTAATGCGTGTATGCTGTTAGAGTGTATGTGCTGTTAGAGTGTATGTGCTGTTAGAGTGTAGGTGTGTGTGTGTGTGTGCATGTGCTGTTAGAGTGTAGGTGTGTGTGTGCATGTGCTGTTAGAGTGTAGGTGTAATGCATGTGCTGTTAGAGTGTATATGTATGCGTGTATGCTGTTAGAGTGTAGGTGTAATGCATGTGCTGTTAGAGTGTAGGTGTGTGTGTGCATGTGCTGTTAGAGTGTAGGTGTAATGCATGTGCAGTCTAGTCTAGTGTTTACTGGATTCACTTAGCAATGGTTAGTACTGGTAGTAGCGCAGGTAGTCTCCATTATCGGCAACGTTGAGATCAAGTCAGCAGCAGAGTACGGGGAAATATAACCGTCAGCTTTTAAATACAACTCACTAGTGATTGATTGGGCGTCATGTTATGAGTTAGGACTGCCATCGCACTATCATGATCACAACTCATCTTTGCTGGATGATGACGCTGTGGCGTGTGACTCCTTGGCTGCTGGTACATCATCGTCATCGTCGTCAGCAGTGATTTCCTCAACGGGCGGTAAGTCATCAGCAGTGACCGCCGACTGCTCAGAGACCGGTTCCTTGTACTTCGTATCCACAACACAGCCACCCTTCTTGCGTTTGTAGCCCCGCTTGCACAAACAGCTAAACGAACCCACCTTGTTAACACAGGTCTCAGTCTCCTTGCAGGCAGCAATCCGGGGTAGCTCAGTGGCAGCGGCAGCAGGAATAGCATCTTTGTCGCCCGTGTCTGCTGCTGCCTTTTCCTGTGCCGCCGAAGCTGTGGAATCCTCCACACCCTCCTCGCATTCATTAATATCTACAACAGCGGCGGGTTGTGTATACACATACACACATAAACAAAATATAAATATACATACATCCGTACACACAGCAGCAGGTTGTGTATACGCATACACATGTACATACTGTGTGACTTGTGTGTATCATGTGCGTGTAGTACACACACACATGATACACACAAGTCACAGAGCACTACGCATCTTCATTGTAACTAGTAGCTTCATGCCCTTAGGCAGTCATCAGACAACTAATGTGCGTAAGATAGGTCTGTGCAACACACCCACACACACACGCACACACACACGCACACACACACGCGCACACACACACACACACACACACACACACACACACACACAATGACAATCGTGAACTGCCTACAATGAATATACTTAGAATCGCGACCAACACCACGGCACTCACCATCACAGAGCGTCGCTGTCGCGTTCCATCTGTATCCTTGTGCACAGCCCTTGCAGTCCTTGTGGCCAGGGTCCTCACAGCTAGCACAGCTCGTGTGGCAATCTGTCCAAAAACAACACCCGTGATAAAGGTGGCGAGGCTCAGGCAATGTTAGCAACATGTAGGGTGTAGTACATGTGGGAAATTCTTTTCACGGACAAGAGGTCAAGTACTGCCAGGAAAGGAACTGCATCCTCTCGGCTTCCCAGTTTAGCTCCAGGGATAACAACCGTGGTATAAAACATTCCAGACATTGCAAATAAATGAAAACTAGAGAAAGGATATGCACACTGAGAGATACATGTACTGGTAGTGGGAGACAATACCTTGACAGGAGAAGCTACCCTCAGAGTTCACACAGTACTGATTAGCAGCACAGTTGTGCAGCGACTTGCTCAAACATTCATCTATGTCTGTACAGCGGATACGCCAACACATGGAAGAAAAGTTAAACAAAGAGGCAAGTGGAAGTGCCGGTAAGTGAAAACACTTTCTTTGTGAAGGATCATAAACTGCAAAAATGGAGGAAAAAAAGAATGTCCTCCCCGGCCGGGAATCGAACCCGGGTCTTCCGCGTGACAGGCGGAGATACTTACCACTATACTACCGAGGATTGACTACTGAAGAAATCACAACTGAATTCTATCAACACACCATACACACATTTAGCAACCAAAACAGGTGTTCACAGCTGTAATGACACCTGTAATTCATTCTTGTTTTCAGCTCTCATAACAATTGCACACAAGAAAAAAACACACAAGTAAAACACAAGAAAGCACACTAGACAAAAATAGACAACGAATCACTATTAGCAGAAAATGGAGTACATGTACATTGAACAGAGTACTTGCATTACCTCGACATCCTCCTGTAACTAGCCTATTCCATCCTGGCCCACAGTCCAGACAGTGTTCTTCCGATGCTCCGGTGCAGTTGAGCAAGCAAGCGCGATGGCAGTCTGTGCATAATAATGCAGCAAGCACGTGACCACACTCAATGATTCAAACACACCTAGATACGTGTGCGGATAGACCGGTCTTGACACCCCAACTGTACCTGTGTTTTGAATGCCACTGCCCCGTGCACCGTGCCAGCAGGGGGTGGTGTTCAATACAACCGTGCCAGCATGACCTACAAGTTTGACCTACGTATACACTTCAGGTACCTACTTCCTGGGATGCTTGCTAGGGAAGTGACAATCTGCACCATGCAATACAACATGTACAGTACTGTGACTCAATTCATGTCCGCTGCAATATGTACGAGTCCTGTAGTAACTAGTACTTTAAGTAACACGTGCCACCATGAATACACTCTCACAGCGTACTTAGGCAATCGTTGAGCTTGGTCTCATTGAAGAATCCAGGCAGGCATTGATCGCACTTTGTTCCCGTGATACCATAGCGACAGTTGCATATCCCAGAGCCGGTACGGTCTCCTGCACCCTGTGTTACCATGGTCACAGAGGGAGAGTAAACACACGAAAAGCAGTTACCAGCATCAGATGCACATACGACAACAGCAGCAGCAACACGAGCACCGTTATTCGGAATAACATGTAAATGGCCTCACTGTGCATGGACACACCAATCATAGCCAGGGAAAGAGTTTGTTAATGGTATTAATCTTATGCCCCCGCTTCACAATTAAATATTGCGCCAGAGCTTTCGGCCATACTCCAATTTACTGCATTCCCAGCTCGTCACCTTAGGGGTCGTCCATAATTATCGAACTTTTTTCACAAAACGAAATAATTTCGTTATGGGGTGGGAGGGGGTTGACCAATTTCGTTTCAGAAAACATTGATACATGTGCATGCCCATAGGAGCAGTTACACACTTGCAATATGCATGCATATGTCAAACCTTTTTTACGTTCTGAGGGGGAGGGAGGGAGGGGTTGGGTCTAAACTAAAATAATTCGTTTGGTGAAAAACGTTCGATAATTACGGACGGCCCCTTATGCTTTGTGGTTCGACTGAGAGCGCATGGTTATGCCACCGCTTGCTGAATATTACCACATATGCACGTAATGTATTAAAGTGCATGCATGTTTTGCCCGCACAAACAATTGCAGAAAGGACATTCCGCTGCTGCTGGCCTCATGCCTATAGTTCAGTCTCACGTCGCCCAAAACGATCGTCATGCAGTACTAATATTGCACTACTGAATTTCTTCCCAAGATGTCAGGACACTTCGCTTGAGACATCGCACACTAGCAAAAACAAATCATCATGTGCCACAACTGTCCCACTGCCCAGGGACGTGGTGAGAACATGGAGCGGAACTGCACTGTACTGTACTGCTTGGCGATGTGCTGGGTGATGGACTGGCAGAGTTGGTACGAGCATTCAGTGCACCGGTACTCACCTCACACTGCCCATTTCCATTGCATGGTTTCTCCACACCGCCTGGACATGCTGTGCACGAGACCCACCCACCCACCCACACACACCACAAGACAAGGGAAATCAATAGTTGATTTATCACCAAGTTTTGAAGATATCATTCTACCCGAAATCATTCCCTCAAAGCATTACTCCCCGAATACTTGCAGGCTGCAGCACCAACTTTTAAGAAAGTGCAGAGACGGCGCCAAGGAAATCCAACAAGCTCAACACACACGCACGCACGTACACACACACACACACACACACACACACACACACACACACACACACACACACACATACACACACACACACACACACACACTGCTTACGGGCACACTTCTTTCCAAACTCATTATCACGGCAACAAGCTGAGCAGTACACACACACAGAACAAGCACACAGAGAGATCACATCAACCAACACATGACAACAAATATACTGTAGTGTTACAAGTGTTCTGTAAGTCAACAAATATTTGGCGCATATTTTTTTCGGCTATTTTCGGCCGAAAATGTGTTGCGGCAGAAATTTTGTTTTGCAAGGTTCAGTGTGACAGTGTATACATGCGGCAGCAGTACAGGCCGAAGCGTTGATGCGGCCGAAATGAGTTTTAGCCCTGGGAGGCCGAACTTTGAATGGAAAAAATAGTATGAACCCGCTTGGGTGGACGTTTGCTGCGAAGTGGGCGTTTGCAGCGGACTTTACCGTACATGTAGACATCAATAATGATATTTTCGAGGGCGATTCAGAGAGCTCCTACCACATTGGCAGCAAGAATAGAGCATGTACAACAAGAACAAAAGTATGGTAGGTTACTGTTGGCATGCAATTGAATCTAAACGTCTTAGCCTTGCTACAGGCTTAGCCGCTATGCTAAAACTACAGCAGGCTGCAGTACTGGGACTTACACACTCAGTGGCCACACCACACTACACTGTACTCTGTAGCACTCTCTCCCGCTAGAACTCACTTTTAGTCCTGACACGGCATAGCCAGTCTTGAAGATCCGGAAACTTGTCCTGCCTGCACACCACAGGCAGAGATGATGATGATCAGATTGATTCCAGTACAGGTAGAGATGAAGATCACAGTCAGTACATGTATGCCATAGTGGAGAGCAACAGTACATGTATGCCATAGTGGAGAGCAACAGTACATAATTGTATGCCATAGTGGAGAGCAACAGTAGATGACATTGGGATACGGAACACTAGCAAACACAGTTAGTAATGGATGATGGCACCATGGAGCCACCCTGGACTGGCTGGAGCAGTATCAGAATTGTGTGATCAGCTACACCAATCAGACGGAAGGTCGAAACAGCTACAATTAAGCTAGGTGAAATCAGACCCCAACTGGTGCGAAGCTGGTGCCCTGGACCAGTTTCCATTACATGGCTGTGACTAGGCTGTTATTCATACGTCAAATTACAACTTGCTCATATCTCCATAGTAATACACATCTCTATAGCAGAACACATCTCCATAGCAGTACACCTCTCCATAGCAGTACACATCTCCATAGTAGCACATTTCTCCATAGCAGTACACCTCTCCATACCAGTACACACCTCCATAGCAGAACACATCCCCATAGCAGTACACATCTCCATAGCAGTGCACCTCTCCATAGCAGTGCACCTCTCCATAGCAGTACACATCTCCATAGCAGTACACATCTCCATAGCAGTACATAATTATCTCCATAGCAGTACGCATCTTCATAGAAGTACATACATTGCAGTACTCATGTCCATAGCAGTACACATCTCCATAGCAGTACGCATCTTCATAGCAGTACATATCTCCATAGCAGTACATATCTCCATAGCAGTACACATCTCCATAGCAGTACGCATCTTCATAGCAGTACATATCTCCATAGCAGTACATATCTCCATAGCAGTACATATCTCCATAGCAGTACATATCTCCATAGCAGTACATATCTCCATAGCAGTACACATCTCCATAGAAGTACTCGTCTCCATAGCAGTACACATCTCCATAGTAGCGCACATCTCCACAGCAGAACACATCCCCATAGCAGTACAAATTTCCATAGCAGTACATATCTCCATAGCAGTACACCTCTCCACCATACTGTGTGACTGATCCTTTCAATGTTCTAATCTTTCAAGTGACTTTTCCTTTTCTACCTGGACTCCTCCTTGGTTTCCCTTTTCTCTCTAGCTCTTCTCTTGTACACTCATACCTTGTTTATCCGGGCAGTTCGGGACCTTGCACTGCCCGTAACTTTGAAATGTCCGTAACTCCGAATCATATACATCTTGATGGGGAAAGTGCACAAGTGTGCACAGAACATGGCATGTGACGTCACTTTTTCCACACAAAGTGACAAAGGAGTAGTAATATTTCCACTGAAACTTGCCCCCAGGGTGCCCGGTAGACCGAAGTGCCCGTAACTTCGGGGTCCGGATAACCGAGGTATGAGTGTACCTTCTTGCTATTATCCACTTAAATGTGGGGCTTTGAATAAAACAAGCCGAAGCAGTACATATCTCCATAGCAGTACATATCTCCATAGCAGTACATATATCCATAGCAGTACATATCTCCATAGCAGTACATATATCCATAGCCGTACATATCTCCATAGCAGTACATATTAGCGGCAGTACACATCTCCATAGCAGCACGCATCTCCATAGCAGTACACATCTCCATAGCAGTGCACATCTCCATAGCAGTGCACATCTCCATAGCAGTACACATCTCCATTGAAGTACATATCTCCATTGCAGGACACATCTCCAAGGCAGAAAATAGCTCCACGGCAGTACACATCGTAGCAGTAACGTAACACATCATAGCAGTACACATCTCCATAGCAGTACACTTCATAGCAGTCACATCTCCACATCAGGACATATCTCCAAAGCAGCATAAATCTCCATAGCAATGCACATCTCAATGCCAGTACTTGTCTCCATAGTGCATGCCGGTATCTTCATAGCAGTGCATATCTCCATAGCAGTACACATTTCTATAGCAGATCACATTTCCATAGCAGTACAAATCTCCATAGCAGTATATATCTACAGAGCACTGAAACCAGGAAGAAAGGCTTTGATGACCGTAGCTACGCCGCAAAAGACAATGTTCCCCTACTCCTCTCCTCAATGTGCAAACGACATTACGAACAGTACAGTAGCGCTGGTGGCTGGTGGCGTGCCAGGACCAGCGAGGGCGTTCAGCTGTGACACGTGACAAAGCACCAGCTCAGCTAGCCTAGGAAAAAGATAATGATGACGAACAAGTCACGGTAGGGCTTGCTCTCTCGTTGGATGTGACAGCATGCAATGCAGAACTCAACAGCCGGTGGGACGGAGGCACTTACTTCTTAAACCACCAGACTTCAAGGAGTTCTTCGTACTGCTCCAAGAAGGATGTGCACTGGAAATAGAGAGCAACAGACGCAGCGCTGACTACGGTCTTAATACATTGACATGATTGCATCGTCCATGACACAGGTCAATGTTCAAAAAGGATGCCAGTCACATTAGAAAGCGACTTAAACCTCGATTCAACAATACCATTGAGTGATGTGATGTGAGGACTCCAATGCATGTACTTTAAGAGGAGTAGATAAATGGTGGTAAAACACACAACTGGCAAAAATAGCGGTGAGTATATGCCTGCCCACACAGCGCTCTCTAAGTTGCAAAGTTCTGGCAAAGAGTGCTCCTTCTGCTCTTTGCCAGAACTTTGCAGTTAAGAGAGTGTTGTGTGTGCAGGTGTGTATTTACAGCCATTTCACAAGGTGTGTTTTATCACAATTTCTCTATTAAGGTTATCATTGAGCTTAGAAGTAAGTGTGAAAGTACACACTGCAACTATACAAGAATTCTACTAGCTAACAGCTGACAATCCTGATATGCACTGTGTAAGACTTGAACTGGTAGCCTGTAATCAGTCTACGACCAACACGGTGAGCTATGAGTAGAAAGTTAGCAAATAATATCCTCCGCTTGAGAGAAAGCCCTCTTTTGTATGATGCAACAATTTTGTAGCAAGGTGGTTTAGAAATTACATTCACCTTGCCGGATAAGAGAGAGACAGAGAGACAGACAGAGACAGAGACACAAGGGGGGGGGGGGCTTGCAAGGGAAATATGATAAGAATGGTTCTGAATCTGGTAACCTACACTTACCCCATGGTTGCCCTTTTCACATGCTGACTCGATGATTTCCACAAGACGAGTTTCACTGAACAACAACGAACAATGCATAATCACCACCAGCAGCACGACCAACAACGATGGCAACGACGACGGCGACGACGACCACCACCACCACCACCACCACCACCACCACAACAACACCGTGAGAATAAAGAATTCAACAACAAGAACAACAACAGAAATAGAAACATTTCCCCAATTGCATTACTGTCTCAAACAAGAGGGAGAAAAAAGAGGCAGGGAAACAAGTACACTCACATCTCTCTTATCCTGAGACCTCAAAGTTACAGGCTCCTCGGTCTACCGGGCACCCTGGGGCACAAGTTTTAATGGAGATATTACTACTCTTTCGCCAGTATTTGTGGAAATAGTGACGTCGTACGCCAGATCTCTGGCTCCTCCCCATTGAAACGTATGTGACTCGGAGTTTACAATACAGATACTTCGATGTCATGGGCAGTATCTGATCCCATACCTGCCAAGTATCCCAATTTTTTCGGGATTATCCCGCATCAGTTTGAATTAACTCATGAGATTCCAAAATTCTTTTTGGATTATCCCGAAAATTACGTATCTAATATTGACTGAGTACGAGGTCAATATAGGAAATAAAAGCCGAGTAAAAGACCGAGGCAAAGCCAAGGTCTTTTACGAGTTTTTTTATTTCCTATACTGACCAAGTACGAAGTCAATATTAGATTTATCACGACAAACAGTCCGTATTTCAAATTCCAGAACGATAACCTCATGAATCCCGGTTTTATGATTGTGCAACCGTTGCACCACCACCTACTCATGCAGTGACAATGCTGCACTAGGCACCGTTCAACTGCGCAACCCCTACGCAGTCAAATATAAGCAGTCAATATAGCCCTAAGGAGTGAAATATGCAGGAATATTTGACTGCTTAGGTATGGCAAAAATCAATGGGAGTCAATACTAAGAGAGTACAATAACCAAGCCTTGTTCTTGGAGCACTTGCCTAGTTGCCTTTAATGATTCTGTACTGCCATAGCTGCAGTACTAGAAAATCTACGTGCACAGAGCTGCTCAGTGAAAACTGATCACGTGAATCCAGTGTGTGCCCTGCACCACTTCAATCCAGTGTGTGCCCTGCACCACCTCAATCCAGTGTGTGCCCTGCACCACTTCAATCCAGTGTGTGCCCTGCACCACTTCAATCCAGTGTGTGCCCTGCACCACTTCACATTCCAGTTTGTGCATGTCTAGGGATGCACAGCGCCCGGTGTGCATGCATGCATGCATAGCTACTAACTGCTTAGTGCTTACCTCTTCAGGTAGGAGACCTTCTTGCGCTCCTCCCAGTGAACATCTCCGCCGCCAAAGTTGGACCTGGACGTGCGCTTCTCGCCCTGGACAGCAGTAGAGAACAGTAACAGTTTACTTCCTCCGTATACAAAAACTTCGTGACTTTTTTTAACGGTGTTTTTGAGCAAGAACCTGCTCAACGAACGGCGCCAAAGGCTGTCATCGACAACCCACGTCCATGTCGAGGTTAGTTTGGTTGATCCCGAACAGATTCTCCACGGACGCCATGCGTGTGAGGACGTTGCCGACAGAAACCGTCAAGAGTCAAATGAAAAAAACTAACACTTACTTGCTCGAGACTGACACCTGGACACAGTGACGAAGTGTAGCTCGTGGCTGGAACACGGAGTCACGCGGCACTCGTGGCCAGGCTCGTACTTGCGGTGCGCGGCCCCATAGATCTACGCAGCGTGAGAACATAGAATACTGATTTGTAACGCTCGCACGGCAAGATGAAACATTTCAGTCGTCGTGCAACCAGCGCAGACTCAGGATCAGAATGTCGATGGCCTGGCTTTCTTCGCCTCTCTCCAGTCAGACGTCTCCTTTGTCGCCAAGGGGAATCGCAGGGACCTCCTCGAAGCCATTGTAGAATGCTTGGAAGGATTATCCTGGCAAGAAAATGCGAAGCGTGTGGGTGTGCTTGTACGACTCATTTCACGGCATAATGGAGGTCGCGGGTTGGAACGACTGAATATAGTGGACACCGATTCGTACACAGCTCTAGAGATGAAGAAGACGTAGCCAAAGTCCAGAGTCGGATCATCACTACAGGTGACAAGAATCTGAACAAAAATGCGAGCGGAAGCGGCGACTGTTGGCGATGCGGAGTCCGCGTCGTCAGGAGACAATGACATGAGCGACAAAGACTCTGAAAAAACTCAATCTCATCCGTCTGAGTTGCTTTTTCTTTGTATATAGCTTGTAAACAGGTTAGACAACGCCACGAGTGTTATTCCGAGTCAAACGGATCAATTCCAGAGCTGTGCGCAGCTTTCAAATAAAAGTCACGAAGTTTTAGTATACGGAGGAAGTACTCAGTGACTCAGTAGTCATGCACGCACGGCTGCATGGTGACTAAACACAGTGAACTACTGGACAATGCCGGCAGAACCGCTGTATCTCGGATCTCCTGCACCCTGGCACATCAGTCTCACAAGCAACACCTCGCCGAAGTAGATCATGTGACCCAGTGCTAAGGCGAGACCAAAATATAATCGAGATTCCCGGGCAGGATCCATGTGAAATTGGTGCGGGCGGGCGAATTTATATTTTATTATTTTTTTCCAATGTATGTATGCATGCCATGCTGAACTTTTTTTACAGTATTTTCCGGCAAATTTTATTCATTTTTTTACAGAAAACAGGTACGCGGTTTACCCGTTCGATTATTTTTCTGTATTTCGGCCAACAATTACCCTGATCTGCACATCGGGGAGTCGTACAAACCCGGGTTTGTGTGACTTCACGTCACAGATCTACTCACATGATCAGTACTCTACATGTATGAACTGCTCAAAAAAAATGGCTTTGGCTCGATTTTGGTGCGGGAGAGCCCGGGAATCTATATATATTTTTGGTCTCGCCTAACCTTGATATACATGTATCTTTGCGTAGCGCAAACTACCAGCATAACCAGTTACTAAGTTAGTTGTAGAACGTCAGTACCGTCGGTCAGTGTCGTGCAATGTTATCGCATGAGCTGATTGTTTAGTAACTGGTTATGTTAGTGGACACTATAGCGTAACTAACTTGTAGTTTCTTGATCCTTTTTTTCTTTACTATAAATACAACCAGTAAGCCTCTTTTGCCAGCACTATGATAATTGCACTTCACAGGAAAGGACCAGACGGTCAAGATCCTTGCTTAGGCTGAGTGGAAATACCGGCAACAAACGGGAGGAAGGAGGTTACCTGCTACCAGTAACCTGCTACACATATTTTCATTCCTGCCTGAGCCTCGGTGCTACAGTAACATTTTACCATGAGGAGTACTGTAGTACGTACAAGCATCCTAAATAGGATCTAATGTTGTTGTTTTATTTTGTCTCTCTCTCGAGGGACCAGTGCCACAAGCAACAACGCACCGAGCGTATGTCCACGATTTGTTTTTTTGGTGGTCACTTGCAGCAGTATCAATGCAACTTAGCCACTTGCAGCAGCCCCAATGCAACCGGGTCATTTAATACACCGGTCCAAGTCGCTGACCCTGACACCATCACCGACAGCCAGGCAACGCACCTATTGGCCACACTGGATGCCGGTGACAGCCAACCCTCTAGCACTCCCAACTTCGACACAGATGCCACAGCCACTGGGGGCCCGGCTGGATCTGCGGACGCTGCAGAGGTCCCCGACTTACCAGTCTTCCCATCACCGGACCGCACCGCATTCCGACTTGGAGACCTGACAGGGGAAGACTCTGTGACAGCCATCGTTGAGGCGTATGAGGTTGTCGTCCACTTCCGCCCCAACCTGTTCCCAGTTCCCCAGGGCACCGTCGGACGCTCGTTCATCTCCCAGCTCAGTGCCTTCTTCCACAGCTTGTGCCTCGGCCTCAGAAGATGTCGCACTCAAGGCGGCGATGGTCTTCCCACAGCTGATGTTACAGAACCCGTAGGGCAACCATACCAAGCCGTCTCCACAGGAACACCTAAGAAGACTTCTTGAACTTTGGCGAACAGCAAGCCTGCCGGAACTGCTCTGCGAGTCAACCACCATCCAGAAGTAGGTCCAGGACAGGAACCAGCCAGCCAGCCGCCCGATCCCCCCCCCCCCCCCCTGACCTGGCAAGGGCGTTCGCCACTAATGTGTCCTCCGGCAAACTACCATCCGCCCTCCATCAGCTTTCAAGTGGTGGCTGTAAAGGAGTTCTCAGCCTGGACACCACTGTCGGCACTGACACCACCCGTGACCTTCTTGTCAGCAAACATCCGGCAGGGGAGCCGGCTGATGCAGAGTCTCTGCTCACGGGTGAGCCACCTGTTCAACCCCACAGTGTGATGTTCTCAAGCCTGACCCGTGACGTCATCCACCGGGCCGCCCTGCACACCCACGACACGGCTAGGCCATCATCGGGCGTGGACACCGATGGATGGCGGCGCATGTGCACCGCGTTCTCCAAAGCGTCGGATGAGCTGTGTGACTCGCTTGCGACATGCACTTGTCGCATTGCTACCACATACGTCAACCCAGCGACACTGGAGGCGTTCGTCGCATGCCGACTAATAGCCCTTGACAAGTCGCGGGTGTTTGACCCATTGGTATCGGTGAAGTGGCCAGGCGCATTGTCGGCAAAGCCATCCTCACTTTCACCGGGAGAGATATCCAAGATGCAGCGGGCACCCTTCAACTGTGTGCCGGTCAAGAGTGCGGCATTGAAGCTGCCATCCATGCGATGCATGATGTCTACCGTGAGGAGGATGCGGATGCCATATTGCTCGCCAACGCTTCAAACGCCTTCAACCGGCTTAGCCGTGAAGCCTGCCTACGGAACATCCGTCACCTCTGTCTCTCTATAGCGCCAGCTGTAATCAATACCCACCGCCAACCATCTTGCCTAACGTTATTCGTTGATGGAGAGTGCTTGCTATCGCGTGAGGGTACCACCCAGGGTGACCCTCTGGCTATGCCCGTATCCGCGCTTGGAGTCCTCCCGCTCATCAAGAAAGTTGCAGTGCCTGGTGCGAAACAGGGCTGGTATGCGGACGATGCTGCAGCCGGTGGGAAGCTAACGCCTGTTCGCCAGTGGTGGGACAATCTTGTCAGCCACGGTCCCGGGTATGGCTACCATTGCAACGCCCAGAAGTCACTCCTCCTGGTCAAGCCCTCCAGGTACGCAGCTGCTGTCGAGATGTTCGAGGGGACCGGTGTGCAGGTCACGTGTGATGGTTGCCGCCACCTTGGTGCACCTTTGGGTACGGATGAGTTTATAGAACAATTTGTCCAATCCAAGGTCGCCACCTGGTGTGAGGAAATTGCGCAGCTCACGACCAACGCTGCATCGCAACCACAAGCCGCCTACTCCGCATTCACACATGGCCTGCAAAACAAGTGGTCCTTCCTCTGCCGGACCTCCTCCATCCTTGCTTGAACCGCTGGAACACGCAATCAGTGGTCGACTCATCCCCGCCATCACGGGTCGAGCTCCACCTGGGACAACCGTTCGCTCCCTACTCTCTCTACCTTGCCGGCTTGGGGGACTGGGTATGGCAAACCCCTGTTCAATGGCTGAGCAGTACACCTCGTCCAGAAGGATCACGGCTAGCCTCGTGTCTCGCCTGCTGGAGCAGGAGTCGTCTCTTGGCGACTCTCTGACTCAGCTCCGGACGGTCAAGGCGATAGTTTGTGCCGAGAAGCGGAGCGCATCCAAGTCTATGGCTGACGCCCTTCGCTCGGATCACCGGGAGCTGGCCCCTGTAAAAAGGGTGCATCCAGCTGGCTGACCTGCCGCCCCCTCAGCCGCCATGGTTTCACCCTCACCAAGGGAGACTTCCGGGATGGCCTGTGCATCCGGTACGGCTGGACACCTCCTCGGCTCCCAAGCCTCTGCGCGTGCAGTAAGTCGCTGAATGTGAGTCACGCCCTGTCGTGCCCGTTTGGTGGCTTCTCGACGCTGCGACATAACGAGGTTAGGGACATCACCGCCAGAGCTCTAAGGCAGGTCGCTCATAACGTGACGGTGGAACCGCACCCCCAGCCCGTCACCGGAGAGGCCTTCCGCCATCACACAGCTGTCACGAAGGAGCAAGCTCGGCTGGACGTTGCGGCTAGTGGTGTGTGGTTGGCCGATTCGAGCGCATCTTTATTGATGTACGGGTGTTCAACCCTTTTGCGTCTTCGAATTGTGCCACCTCCCTCGCTGCTAGCTACAGACGCCATGAACAGGAAAAACGCCGGAAGTACGAAGAGCGAGTACGCGAAGTCGAGTATGCCTCCTTCGTGCCCGTTGTACTTTCTGCCTCTAGTGGCTATGGCAAGCATGCCAATGCGCTTTTCTCGCGGATCGCCTCTCTCCTGGCTGAGAAGAGCAAGGAGCCATACGCGCAGATTATCTCCTTGCTGCGCTGCCGCCTTGGGTTTGCCCTGGTGCGTCGTGGTGCCATGTGCCTGCGTGGCTCAAGGAGCATGTTTGCTCCTGCCGTGCCTGAGTCCCCTGCTGTGCTAGTGGTGGCGGAGGCACGCATCCAGTGAACCTGCAGTGATCCTACCGAGTCTGTATAATCATTACTGTATCTGATGATTCGTTTTATATAATTGTGATGATTCTTCACAAATGTGTTATTTTGCCCGTACAAGAGGCTCAAGGAGTTCATTATGATTCCTAAAAAAACGAATTACTTGGTCATTTGCACTTGCAGCAGGTATTTCGCGTAATTATTAGTACTTCCGGATGAGATAAGTTACTGGTGACCGGAATTATGACTTGTTGTTACTCAATAAATCCGAAAGTGGAGTTTTACAACTGATCTCGATTTGCAAGTAAATTTAGGGGGCGGCGACTGAAATAGCAGTCGGGGATCGGCGCCCGCGACTAACGTGGCAAGATAGAATTCCCCTATAATTCTGTTGCCCCTTTCACCATACTCCGATGCAAGTATCGGGTAAGGGTAATAGTAGTAACGTTACTAATACCCTGACTGACTGACGTAGACAAGAAATGCATGGCTTCGAGCGCTTGTGCTCACCTCACGAAAGCCCTTCACCAGCTTCTTGCATCGCTCGCATTGCGACTTACTACCCGCCTGAGCGCCGCTAGCACATAAGACAGAGAGTAGCACTGAAATAGCCACCAGGCGTGGGCACCACATCTTGCGCTTCCGCCAGCTTCGGTCCGCGTTCGGACGTGCGTCAAACTCAAAGACAAGGCCTCCGCGATCCGCAAGTCCGGCCGATGTGCCGGCTTCGTTCTACGGGATAGATAACCCAAAACTCGTTCACTACAATTACAAAATTAGTGTACAGTTTGATGGTGTAGTTTATTCATTTCTTGGCCTGTCTGTTCTGTGTGCACACGTACACATTCCCTAGATTTACTTGTTCCTCCTTCCTGTGTTCCAGCAGCTAGCTACACTGTAGCCTACAGCTAGCAGTACAGGATTTCTCAGCTGATGCCGTGGTGGTTTGACTCTGACTCTGAGTGATGTGCGGCTAGCTACATGACTGTACACAAGTGTACAGTCAGTAGTGTCAGCACTGTCACAGTAGTACAAACTCGGACGTATTCTTTCAAAACAGAATCAAAGACCCGTGGAGAAGCGTCGGAAGCGAGCAGGAGTGACTGTGACTCAGCAGTGTGACTGTGAGTCTGACTCTGAGTCTGACTATGACAGTATGAGTCTGAGCTCATGAGGAGCATGATCGTGCTGTCACTGAAACAGTGTAAAATAGTGTAGTGTAGATCAGTGGTATAATACACTGAACGATTTATGATAGGGAGGATGTTTGCCCTTCCAGCACCAAGTGATTTCAAGTACACGTCACCGGTACATGCACAGTACCATGAATCTCAGTCTGAGTAGATCTACCATGAATCTCAGTCTGAGTTAGTGAGTGCTCAGTCTCCCGGATGATCAGATAACACTCCAGTGCAGTCGGAAATAAATGGGTGGTTGATTTACTCCGAACCTGACTCCTGGAGTCCGGTGATGCAGGTCATAAGTATGATCAATGTATGTCCTGTAGATCTACCTACCACAACTGGGTACAAGGACTACAAGTACTAGTAGAGTAAAACCTGTAACTACCGACCACCCCTTGGTGCCAGCAAAAGCGGTCTTTAGTGGCAGGGTGGTCTTTAGTTAGAGGTTCTGCATTTTGAATGTGAGACCGTCCGTGCCTGGCGAAGTGGTCGGTAGTACAAGTACCAGGCTGATTGCTAGTCACGGTGGTCTTTAGTTACAGGTTTTACTGTACTTGTGATATTGCCGGGATTGTTGTGCGCATAGTTTGGAGGGCAGAGACTTGACTGGAAGCTTGGGGAAGAACATTGAACTTCTCTCGGAGTCCGGACTAACGTTACAAGGCCAGTGCTGGGCTGAATGCCATTGGCCTGAGGAGGCTGCACAGAAGCATTCACTGGGCTGATTCGCATTCAAGCCGCTGGGCTGATCGAATACAGACAGTACCCTCAGAGAGAGACCGTCAGGCCCAAGTCAGATATCCAGTATTGAAATGAGGCTGGTACTGTTTGTATTCGATCATGGACACGAGGCTACACTTCCCCTTCATAGGCTTTAATCATTTAGTTTAATGTTCTAATGAGAAAAAATCTTACTGGTTTGCTGCCATTCCTTCTCTCCCCCGCACTAAAAGAATGAAAGACGGGCGTCACGTGCTGATTGCATTGAGCATGAAACTTGGAATTGCAACAAATTAGCCTTGCTCCTGTGACTGTTGCACTGAAGTACGTATTACTGCACAAACCCTACACGTATTTGAAAAAAATAGTTGACACAAAAGCTCTGCATTATCTTAGGTCTGACATGCAAGCATGTCCATATATGCTTATAGGCCACCTTGCTTGCAGCTCTGGGGAAAGAAAAAAAAAGATTTGCGTCCCCGGGTGGGCTTGAACCACCAACCTTTCGGTTAACAGCCGAACGCGCTAACCGATTGCGCCACGGAGACACGCTGGAACACAGCAGCTCTACAATGAGTCTAGTGGTTCGAGCAGGATCACTTATCATCATAAACAACAATGCAGACTAACAAAAGACACTTGGCAGGTGAAACATACCAGCAAAGTAGCAAGGCCAGGGGTGCACAGAGCGGGCTGTAGGGATAACTGAAAGAACGCCTTGAATTTGAAAGCAGAGTCTACAAAAGCTGGAATGAGAAGAAACACACAAAACAGAAGAAGAGAAAAGGATTTGGAGTGGGTCAACTGGGCGTGGGAGTGAAATAAAAGCTTCCGTGAATACATGCAGTGAAAATGTGAAATAGCCTAGAAAATAAAATAAAATAAAATTCCTATTCAACAGCAAATCTGCCAGTCCAGGTCACACAGTCTGTGAATAAACTTTCTCTCAATAAAGCAAGCTGGTCATTGACTCAAGTACTAGTTAGTCTCAGTAGGGAGATCTGCAAAGAAAATTTACCTTGCAGGTCACTTCCCATCCTCCTCACTCTCTTGCTTTTCACTGCTTCCACTCCCGTCCGCATCAGCAGAGCAGAATTTCTCCCGCAGTCGAGCCATCATTCTAAGCGCATAGAACTGCTGGTACTCGGCTGGAAGTGCGGATAGAGACTGCATGGATTTGTCGAGTGATTGCAGCGCCCGGCCGGCAACGGATGGGTCTTTGTTGCCGTACGGGTCGCGCTTTTCGTACATGTCCGCGTCCAGGTGCCGCCAGAATACGTTGACAGCCACGCCAAAGTCAAGCGCCAGGACATTGTGCGACCAGAGTGCCGGCATAAACAACACTTCGCCCTCACGCAGCGTACACACCCACCTCTGAGCGTGTGCATAGTCAGGATATGCTTTCAGGTCCGGCTCAAGTGGGTCAAGGATCGGTGATTTGTCGCTGCTCAGGTAGAGATGTAGTGCATCAGACGGTGCAAATAGCACTACCCGTTTGCTTCCTTTTACTTGCACCAGTACATTATCCATCACCTACATACATGTACACAGACGCACACATGCAAGCATACATGTACACGCCAGCATACAGGTACACGCCAGCATACATGTACACGCCAGCATACAGGTACATGCACGCACGCACACACGTACATGCACATGCATGCACACATGAACACACACACAAACAGACGCGTATCATTGAGTAACGCAACACACATACAGAAGGGATCGTACAAATAACATTGCAGTTTCACCATAAGTTGAATAGGCACAGTAGCCGCAGCAGCAGCAAAAACAGCCACTACACGCAATCCACATTGACAGTACCCGGTCCCATACCCTTTCAAGGCTTAGTACTTCAATGAAACACTTCAGTGTCCAACCCTGAAGCTAAGTACACCGGGCACTAGGTTATGCAGGGTAAACGTCAATCGGCAACGTTAGTCCAGGCAGCAGTGCATGCATTCAAACTTTCAAAGTCCAAACCTCTGCACTAAAGAAACGATGCAAATTAATGCGACGAAAAAAATAATGTTTTTCACTAACAAGAGCACTTACATCATAATGCGTCCAGAGTTGAATACCAGGTGAACCAAGGCGGAGGACCGAGGAAAAGAACTGACTATCGTCAAAATAGCAAGGTAGCTGCAAGTCATTGGCAATTTCTGGAAACTGCACAGCGAAATCAGCACAATCCTAGAACAGGAACAGGACAGGACAGGAACACAGATATACCAGAGCACAGAGCAGAGCACGTGACATTAAACCTCCCTGACTCAGCCAGGGATTGGACAACACAGCTACAAGCATGTAATACCACTTACACAAACACATGAAACAAGAGCTTGCTTTGCTGGACGTTAGAGTTACAAAATGATCTCAAATGTGATACAAGATATCTGAACTGCACATAGTCTCAGGCAAAAGCAGACTACGCGCGGCACGCATACACTACACGCCAAATCAAATCCAGAAACAAAACAAAATGTACCTTACGTGCGTCATCGCCCAGCGCACGCAGATAATACTTTTCATTCTGCACAAAAAACAGGAGAAGTACACATTGTACTGGTTTGAAGACAATAGTGTTATACAGGAGCATAGACATAGAGTTGTATGATGGCAATGACCTGGAAGTATCCACAGAAGTACATATACTACCAAACACTATGGGGAAAGCCTTGCCATTGCTCCTTTTCTGATGTTGAGCACTCCTTCTGCACAATCAGTCATCTAGACGGAACTTTAGCCCTACAGTTATCAGCATTTATTTATTTTATTCCAAGCAATACATGGCTGGGATAGCCAATGACCACTTTGCGTGGCGATTGCAAGGTTTTTATAGCCAACCACGGCTAACAAGGAAAAGAGTAAGAAGTCAAAAAGAAAAGGAAGCATACACATGCATGTACAAAAACTGATTTTGTGGGCGTGTGTGCGTGCGCATGTGTGCGTGTGTGTGTGTGTGTGCGTGTGTGCGTGTGTGTGCATGTGTGCGCACGCGCGGGTGCGCGTGTGTGTGTGTGTGTGTGTCCCATATGGTGTGCGGTATGTGCAGCGATTTCCATAGGTTGCGGGTTCGATTCCCGACGATTATGGTCACACACATCTTTCTTCTCTTTCTCAGACTCCTCCTGACTTTTTTCATTCTCCTGGGTGGTTACCAACAGCCAGTGCATGCCGGAGTATGTGCTGTGATGTGTGTGCGTGAAAAAAATGAAAAAGACCAAAAAGTAGGGATTTACTGGCCAGAAAAAAGCCACTTCATAGCTGTGTGGTGTAGACCAGGCTGAACAGTGGCGGTCAATTCTTCAGCCTTGCAAGCTGTTGAATGGTGCAATCCCAGCACAAGTCACTATGGCTTCTGCTGTAGCATCGCTATCATCAAATGGTCAAATGGTGTGTGTGTGTATGTCTGCTTGCATGCATGCATGCGTGTGTGTGTGTGTGCGTGTAGCGGTACCTCAGAATAGAAGAACTCTGTCAGTGGTCCCGTGGCAGATGCACGCTGCACAAGCTCATCGAATCCAAGATTCCTAGCCCAAAACAGAATCAAAAACACAAGCATGAGTATCATTATGACGGTGCTGTACATGTACTGTGGACAAATAGAACAAATTATATTGCGGTAACTCTGAGCTTCATGTTAAATATTACATTCAACAGCCAACAATAAAGTAAAGTAAATTATCGTGTCCGTTCTCGAAGGGAACTCACGACGGCCGCTCACACCCGGTAAACCCTAGCGGCAGATGCAGCGCCTAACGGTGGGGGTGAGTGGATAAGTCTCACAACCACTGGCACAAGTGCCGAGAAAGACCCCATTAGCCGCATCCAGACAACAATAGCAATGCACAATTATCCCCACCACCATCACCCCATAGAAAGGTCTTCACGAGGATCGAATCGTCTCATTCTTTTACCAAATACTATTCAGTTCGGGATCTTTGCCACAATTTGGCATACTGTATTTAAAGGGGAAGTATACCCTAAAATCAAATTTTCACCAGTTGTAGTCTTCGGGGTGCTGAGTCGAATGGTCTTGGTCCGAGGAAGCTGAGACGCTCCCTTCCTACTTGAATCCCAATCGAACTCGCGCACTTCCACCGAAACTGGGTGACTGCGCCCTACTAGATGGGGATTTGTATGCAAAATCTCACTAAAAGCGCCATTTCGTTCTTATAAAAGCACGGATGACCGCGATTGGCCCATATGTTGTAGTCTTTTGGACGCTGAGTCGACTGGTTTTGGTCCGAAAAGGCTGCGATGCAGCGTTCCTCCTTTATTCCCAATCGAACATGGTTGAACAAGCGGTCACGTGCTCCTGCGCACACCAGTCAGCTGGTCACCGTGCCTGCAGGGTACAACTTACTAGCCTGTTTGACCTTTTTTGGGTGCAGTCCTGTCACTCGAGTTGAACCTTGGTGTGAAAATTGTCGCCTGCTGGCGCGGTGACCAGGTGATTTGGGCAACCAGGACCACGTGACCGCTTCTTCAACCATGTTCGATTGGGAATAAAGGAGGAACGCTGCATCGCAGCCTTTTCGGACCAAAACCAGTCGACTCAGCGTCCAAAAGACTACAACATATGGGCCAATCGCGGTCATCCGTGCTTTTATAAGAACGAAATGGCGCTTTTAGTGACATTTTGCATACAAATCCCCATCTAGTAGGGCGCAGTCACCCAGTTTCGGTGGAAGTGCGCGAGTTCGATTGGGATTCAAGTAGGAAGGGAGCGTCTCAGCTTCCTCGGACCAAGACCATTCGACTCAGCACCCCGAAGACTACAACTGGTAAAAATTTGATTTTAGGGTATACTTCCCCTTTAATTGGCAAATTTTCGGCGCATTCGAATTACGGCCTCCCTGTGCTAAAACCCATTTCAGCCGCATCAAATTTTCGGCCTGTACTGCTGCCACATGTATACACTGTCACACTGAACCTTGCAAAACAAAATTTCGGCCGCAACAAATTTTCGGCCAAATATAACCAGGCCGAAAATAACCGAAAATAAATATGCGCCGAATACTTGTTGACTTGGCTTCACATATTTGGCCAAGCCCCGGCTTATCTGTCTGCCTGTCCCTTGCCTCTTCATGTCTGACTGTTTGTCTGTCCATCCATCTGCCTGCTAGCTACTCATCCTGTAGTACTAGTATATACTCTGGTCTATAGTCTAGCAAACTATACACTGGATATATTCAAACAATAGGAGGACAGAGGAAATGTTTTTACTCAGAGTTTCACGCACTAAGCGATCATCAGAAACACAGCCTCCTGTTTTCTGATGATCGCTTAGTGCGTGAAACTCTGAGTAAAAACACTTCCTCTGTCCTCCTATTGTTTGAACCAGCTCTACCACACGGTATTGAGCACTCTCTTGGACAGCCTGGAACCTCTCTGTTTCACTGGATATATTCTTCTAAAATCCTTACACCACTCTTGGTATAGTCTGCTTTGTCCCCCCCCTTCCCCCTCCATACCCCTTCTGCATTTACTTCTTGGTTTAGGCTATCATGACACTACGGTACAAAGCGCTGCGTCTACGTCCACGCAAGGAGTTTTGGTCAGTTGTCATGATGATCCATGTACGGGGTGAGAACGGGAGCAGAGGAAACGGGAAAACGTAGACGTGGCAGGGTGAGGGAGGGGGGGGGGGGTACAGGTTAGACCTCTCTATAACGTAATCTTTGGGGCATGGTCATTTTAATATTATAGCGAGGTTCGTGTTATAGTGAGTTGGGCACACCAATATGCAACATGTACGTCAAAATGACGCTCTTTGCTGACTGATTACAACTGCAGCGCTAATGATCCACTCCGATCAACTCAGGAAGGGTGTCTACTGTATGTTTTGAAAACACTACTGAAGTATGTCAATATGTACTCTACGCAATTGTAGTGTTGGCAGAACGCATCAACGCCAGTATGGCCCATACTGGCGTTGAATGCAAGCAAGGGTATGAAGCCGTGAGCAGAAATTATGTCAAGAAAAGAATGTGATTCGGGCCGGAAAGACACTCAACTGTAGCCTTGTAGGACTTTTTGTGTTATACTGAGGTCTCTGTGCACGTGGGACCAAGCAAACACTGCGGAACAGTGCGTTATAGCGAAAATTACACTCTAGTTCATTACGCTATAGCGAGGACATTTTGTACAGAAGTAATGCAGTTTCGGCGGGGACATTTGCATTTCGTACGTTATGAGGTTTATGTTTTAGCGAGGGTTATAGCGAGGGTCGTTATAGCGAGGTCTGACCTGTATACAACTTTTCGGATGAACATGCGTATCTCCCCCAGTCTTTTCCAAGCGACCTTACACGTGCGTTTGAATTTTCAAATTTCTCCAAAACGCGACAGCGTGTACGGGTCAAGAACTGCGCCTGTGTGATGACACGACCACCCGTTTTGGATTTTTCACCGTAGACGTATACATAATGTACGTAGACGTAAACGGGAGTCAGAGAACGTAGAGTGATAGCCTTATGAGCTTTTCCGGTCGTTTAAAAATTTAAAAAACAAACATGTTATCAACATGGCACATTTACTACGTGTGTGATATTGCGTACAGGTGTATTTAACAAACTCACTTGTAGGCGAAGTTCTTTTTCACAAAATCCATCTTATCTGATGGACAAACGTGCACTTTCACAGGTCTTGATCCCACAGTTGTACTCAAATATTCGGGAGTCCACGTTCGCACAGCCTCGCCAAGCTCAATACCACGCAGAATAGCGGGTTTTCTGGCAGGGTATATTTCGGACAGAAAGAGCTCTTTCGTGACGTTCTCCACAACAGGTACTTCTTTATCAGGGTTCTCCATGGCTGTAATTACTAGTCAAGATTAAAATTTCTAAATCACTCCGTCACTTCATCCACGAAGAATTCTTCAGTAGTAGTAGTAGTGTTTATTATTTGACTAGGGGAGTCCCAACAGGCATGGCCTTGTTACAGGGAACCCTAGGTGAATCTTTGTGAGGTGAGCAAAAGTACCAGCAGATTGTGCCTTCAGCAACTTTTCAAGGCCACAGTCTGGGACAGATAGGGCAGCACACGCAGTAGTTACCAAGACGCGTCAAACAACAAGAGATGACTGAGTCTACAACGATCCAACATCCAACATCCAACATCCAGCTTTCTTGCTTCTATTTCTACTTTCTAGTATTTTTCGTTTCAAAAAAATAATCACGTGCGCCACGTGCACCCTCTTCCATTGTTGTTTGAAATTAAAAAAAACGTCTCGACGCTGCGCTGTCAAATCAAAGGAGAAGCAAGGAGGTTTTCAGACGGCTTGTTCTTTACATTTTCATTCCTTCGCAACCATGGCTAGCGCCGAACCAGTATCGACATACACTGAGGAGCAAATGGCTTCAGATGATGTCTCCAAAAAGGACATCGTCACGTTTCTGCAAGAGAATGGCAGAGAGAAAGTGAGTATATAATACACCTTTGAAATACTCAGGGATATCGTAATGGGTAGCCACCGTAGCAATGCCATGGGTATTTGGATTTCAACCCGTAGCTAGACCGACGCATAGCTATTTTAAAAGGTAGTTCGGAACAGTTTGGGTGAAATTATGATGTTGGGCATGGGGATGTATTTTTGTGGGCAAGCATAGAACCCATGCATGTACAATTTGAAAATGAGCTGCACCATGACAAAAGGGTGCTTATGGCAAAAAAATCACAAACTGAGTTATGGACACAGCGCAATGGCTGAATTCTCACTGCTTCTGTTGCAAAAAACCGCATTCAAAAAGCTTGATAAATCGCAACGAAACTGATCAAATTCGAAAAGAAAATGTGCACTCTCAATATTGCACACTCAACTTTCAAACGAGTTTTTCGCAGTTTGATGTCGCGTGCCATAAGCACCCTTTTGTCGTGTCGCGGCTCAAATATGATCAGCCCATAGAAGACTTTTACCACGAAATATTTGGGGTCACCAGGCATTATAATCTCCCCAAAGGGAAATAACATCCAAATTGACAAAGCCCGTGTATAGGCCCCTGGGCGTATAGAATAGCAGCCTCGATTTCCTGGGCGTATACAAGGGCACGGGCGTTATTTTGGAACCGGGCGTATACTTGGAATAGGGATAGCAGTAAATATTGGGTATCTGTACCTGTACATGTACTGGTATTGCTGGCATGGCTGGGCGTATACAGGGGCATGGGCGCTATTTTGAAACAAAAGTGTTGACTTCCCCTGACTGGGCGTGTACACGGACGGTGGGCGTATACAGGGGCTTTTACGGTAGTACAATACTGCCGGGCGCCGAAGAACCGAAAGAACAGCCACCGAAGAACAGCCACCAGGCTAGAATTAGTACATGTAGGGAGGGTGCTGGATTAAAAACTCAGATTTAGGCCGAGTAAAAAAAATTACTAGATGATCGTCCTTTTTTTGGAAAAATCGGGGAGGGCGGGAGGATTTTATTTTTATTTTTTTACTTTTTACCCTCTCATGCACACAGTGTACACAACAACATCAAGGTTTTTTTTCTCTTTTTTTCTTTTTTTTTCTTTTTTTCTTTTTCTTTCTTCAGCAGATCGATACTGACGTTGTGATATACTAGTAGTATGTGGTCCATATAGTAAAGAAAGTATTAAACAAAGCGTGCACATGTTTCCTGCATCCGCGATCGGTAAAAAACCAACGATTTCGGCAAAAACTCACGATTTAAAAAATAAAATATTTCTTGGGGCGCTGACAAAAACTGGGGCGGACGGGGACGATCATCTAGCTTTTTTTTTACTTGGCCTTACATGTACTTGTTGTGTGAATGTATATGACATGTTGACTCTTGAAACTGTGCTGGCTTGTAGACTGCCGAGAGTACGTGATCTGATGCTTGCATTGCTTCTGTGTTCGGTGTTGCTACTTCTCTGATTTCCAGTTCCTGCGTGACAACAAAGTGTTTGGCAAGGTGGCAAGCATTGCTAAGGGAAGCAAGAAGGACCACTTGATTTCTGTCTACAAGAAAATGTTCGAAACAAAGGTACAGAATTCCGTCGAGGAAATAAATACAACTTTGATGTACAGTACGTCAAGAAGCAGTTTGGTGTTTCAATTTGAATTTTTTGTGCTACCTGTACTCTTCTTTGATTCTAAAGGACACCTCCATGCAGCTTCATTGAACTTCAATCATTTGCAAGCAACTTGCCTACACTCGCGTATGCACTGCATTTCGCACCAAATCCAGTACAGTAAAACCTGTAATGGCGACCACTCGGATATGGTGACCACTCGACAGTGGCGACCACTTTTCCTTGTCACGGACGCATTCACATTCAAAACAGCTCGGATAAGGCGACCACTCGCCTAACGCGACCAACGACCACCCACCCGCGACCGCGTTGCACCCGGTACCCTCCTACAAGCACATGTAGAATGTACATGTACATGCACACTGTGCACTGTGCACCACACATGGTGGATCTACACATCAGCGCAGGAAGTGTAGATGTACATGGTGCATGCACGACACCTGACAGGTCTGAGCCTGAGGCCCCCAGGCACGAGTCGTGATAGTACTTAGTAGCATACATGTTTGTATTGTAGGTGTGTGCAGTGAGAAGCACTGATCAAAATGATATATCGCATGTACATGTATAGTGAATATGTTCACATGACCCACTGAACCTGGATAAGAAGACCACCTGGCCAAGGTGACTACTTTTTCTCGTCCCTTGAGTGGTCGCCTTAGACAGGTTTCACTATATCCAATGTTTCGGTCTTCATGACCATCGTCAGGAAATGATGATGGTTATGAAGAGTGAAACGTTGACATAGTGCTGGACGTTGTGTGAAATGGAGTGCATACGTGAGTGTAGGCGAGTGTACTGTTCCTGTGTTGAGACTCTTTTGAATCTGTTATCTCAACTACTAGTACCGGTATGTCAATGTTCCAGTCTTAATGACTATCGTTGTTTCCTAATCTGCTATCTCCTTGCATTTATTTCATGATGCTCTATTCTTGCTTCATCTTCTCCACCTCTTCTCTGTGTGTCCCATGACTTCATTGCTTCAGGCGTTCAAGGGCACCGAAGGTGAGGGTGATGCTGTGGAGGAGATGACTGCGAAGGCAGCTGCAGTCACAGTTACTGAAGAGGCACCGGTGAGAGAATGATGACTATTAAAACGAAAGCAGCTGAGTAGAGCAAGGCCAGAGCCTTGTATTCCTCTTGCTGAAGAATTGGGTATACCGGTATGCACTGGGATCAATTGTGCAGAATTACTGAAGTAGATATAAACACACTGAGATCAACCGTCCCTCTCGGCGGTGCTACTACAACTAAGTAGCATAGCTCATACCTGTATTGAAACTCTCTCTCTCTCTCTCTCTCTCTCTCTCTCTCTCTCTCTCTCTCTCTCTCTCTCTCTCTGCTCTCTCTCTCTCTCTCTCTCTCTCTCTCTCTCTCTCTCTCTCTCTCTCTCTCTCTCTCTCTCTCTCTCTCTCTCTCTCTCTCTCTCTGCTCGTTGTAGGCTGCTGCACCAGAGAAAATCCGATACACCAAACAGACCACTAAGAAAGGCTCTACGACCAAGGTGAGGAAGGGAGACTTGGTTGGATGCAACTACACCGGCACTCTAGAGGATGGCACCGTCTTTGACACCAACATTGCAACAAGTAAGTCGCAGGTCCTGTCTCACAGGGCTCTATCACCTGATCCTGCACAGGCATAGCAGTGCTGCTCAATGAAATCCGGCCGCATGAGTCAAATTTGTGCCTTGCACCATTTCGCGGCCCAGTGTTCGCATGTCTAGGGCTGCGCATCGCCCGGCGTGTACTTGAGTGACGAGACTGGATTTCATTGAGTAGTACCGTATGTGTGTGTATGTGTGTGTGTGTGTGTGGGGGGGGGGGGGGGGTGTATACTACTTTCATGAGTGAACTTTTCAGTGGTGGTTTCAGACTGTAGCCAAGTAGTAAATCCCATTCAGGACAATGCTCATAGTCGTACTGTGCACTAAACTTTATTGCAGAAAACAAGAGTCAGTATGCAAGTCTAACCCCAGTCCCATGTGCCGGGTATTGGATTCACAACATACCGATGTAATGATTTTAGAAATTGCATTGTGAAGACGGCGTTTTCTGAGCTGGGTGGAGCACTCCGATGCCACCAAATTTTCTTTTCATGGACAGTGATGTCAACTTGTGCTTTCCCATCGCTTGATATGCTCTTTGGTTCACCAGGTAAGAAGAAGAAGAAGGATGCTGGTCCTCTGAAGTTCCGTGTGGGCCAAGGCAGGGTCATTCGTGGTGTAAGTGTTTGGAACTTGGAATCTGACCTTTCGTTCGCTAGGTTGTTTGCGGCTCTGCTCTCCCGGTGTTGTTGCATGAAATTAATAGTATTAGTAGGATGATTGTTGTGGACATCAAGTGCCAAGTCCATGATTGGCGGTGTCGAGTTCACCGTTCCACCTAGAACTGCGTGCTGGTGTCGTGCAGGGCTTGAGTGATATCCCCCACCACCACCACTAAGTGCCGAGTCCATGATTTGCTGCGTCACTTGAGTTCACCGTTCAAGCTCGGTCCGCATTTTGATGCTGTGCGGGGCTGGAGTCATATCCCCTAGTGTCCGATACGTGTGCATGGTTTGAGCTGATGTGTCAGGTATCGGAAGAGTAGTGGCTTGACATTAGCAGTACCTCTGGTGGCTCTGGTGAGGGAACAATTTTAAATACTCCAATGCAGCATTATTTCAGTTGGCAGGTGAACTGACTTTTTGTTTAAATGGACTTCTGTGTTCATCGGTTTGAGGGAAAGGTACAAATGTTTTTTTGTGTTGTAAAAAAACTTGTAATTTTGTCTATCACTGTAGTGGGATGAAGCACTTCAGACGATGACGGTCGGAGAGAAAGCAAAAATCACAATTGAGCCTGAATGGGCTTACGGCAGGAAGGGCTTGGACGGAAAGTAAGTTCTTCTTCCAACGTAATGTTTTTCAAATGTCATGCATCATGGAGTGACGTTCTACATGTACTTCTTCATTGTACAGTAAAACCTGTCAAGGTGACCACTCAGACCAGGTGATTGCCTGTCCTAGATGACCACTGCAGCCGGGACCAAGGGGTGTTATTTCCAGTCGAATGACCCTGGATAAGGAGACCATCTGTATGCGGCGGCCACAGTTGGCATGTCCCTTGAGCGGCCGCCTTGGGCAGGTTTCACTGGATTGCTTTTCCCACTCTCGATGTCAGATCTGGTCAATGACATCAACTCCCCAACTCTCCTTTGACTGGAAATAACACAACAACGCAAAAGTACCAACTGTCCTACAAAGAATCAGTACATTCCAAATTTCCGGTTGTTTGTTGACTACCAAACAACTATCGTGTGCTTTCGAAACCATGGTGACGAAAGTCGGGAAGTGGTCTATACCGTGCTTAGCCGGATACACTCAGTATGTGCTTCTGTGTCTGTGTGCTTGTGTGCTTGTTTTGCCTGTTCAGGATTCCACCGAATTCAACATTGATATTTGAGGTCGAAGTGGTCAGTGCGGAGTAGACTGTTGACTGGACCCCTGTTGTTTTCCTCACTGCCTCAGTCTTTGGCCAGCCACCTAGTTGAGTACTACCAGTACATGTCGGTCTCAGCACAGAGATTAGCCAGGCGCTTTGGTTCCTACAGGTTACTCCACATGCTGCTTATTGGTGTCATGGTGACCTCTCCCCTGCTCAACCACACCAACAGCCTATATGCAATCGTGTTGTTTGCATTCCCACAACGTTGAAGCTTCTCTGGCTTTTCCGCGCATTATGCGTGCTCTTCTTTAGGAATTTGTTGGCAGAGCTCAAGTGCGGCCTCCCCATGCCCTGAAGTTTGTCATTCGGGGCTTGGCATTTTGGTTTGGCCGTGTACTCTTTTCAGTATTTTGTATCTCCTGTGCTCCGAGTTGAGAATCGTCAAGGCTATTCGCTTTTACTTTGGACTAGTGATAAATACCATACCATTCTGAAGGAGTCTGTTTCCCTACGGTAGCACAGTCAGACCTCGCTTATCCGGTCCTCTTTTATCCGGATCCCTCGCCATCCGGAAGAAATTCGTTGGTTACTGATTTACAGCATACTGTAAAACATGTAATTTTGGTGCATTCAAATTTCGGTGCCAGGGACCTGCCAGGTTTCAGGTGTTATTTAGAATTAGGTGACCAGCGGTCCCTTCACATACAGTGCATACTCTAGTGTAGGGGTGAAACGGTTCCATGTTTTTCATGTTCGGGTACCCGAAGGCCAGCATTGTTTCCCACGGTTCGGGTATCGGTTCCATGCACTCTTTTCTCCAGATCGACAAAATGCGTTCGCGACAATTTATTTTTTAGAAAAAACATTTTCACGAACAAGAATGAGACATATCGGAGATCAAGAGTCCAAGTGCGAAGAAGATAATGACCAGAGAACTCTTTGGAAGAGGTAAGGCATTTAAAATCTTGAGTAGACTTGACGTGTACATGTTTTTGTACAAGAACGAGATTTTTCGAGTTTCGGTTCGAAATTTGACGGAACGGGTACCCGATTCTTTTCAGCTGGCGGTTCCAAAACCGGTTCCTCACCCGAACCGTTTCACCCCTACTCTAGTGCCTTTTAGGTGTAATTTAAATTTAGGTGCCTGGTTTCTCTACCGAAATCACCGAAATTTAAGCTACACCGAAAATTACATGTTTTACTGCATATGCCATGCATACATACAGTATATGTGTTCGATTATCCGGTTCCCTTGCCAATCCGGATATTTTTGTGGAAAACGGATGTGTGCGATTTTGAAGCGAGGTCTGACTGCACAGCTTGACTGTTGAATGAGTTGATTGACCGGTATTGTCAGCCTCTGCTGGCGGGTTATGCCGAGGGAGCAGTGAGATTTGTGCTCCATACGCAAGTTGCACATTCTTGCTTTCACGTATAGTCAGTCAAATGCCGCACACCTGGCTGCCAGCTATCCAAGAATGTCTGGTATCTGACAAGCTGGAAAGTACTTGTACGTGTGCTACAGGAACATAATGTTATTAATTTGATCCCTGTCATTAAGTCTTTGATCCTGTCAGTAAGGTATGCTGCAGGTTGTCGGAACCAGTGCGACAGGTGAGGCCAAAGCCTCACCAATAATATATTTAAAAATCTTGTGATTTTTCATCATTTTTGAAGCAACAAATATGGGCTATGTGAGCCCATTTTCCCCCAAAAAAACATCCCGGAGGAGCACCAGTGCGAAATACCTAAGGTTCTTCCGACGCCCCTGATCCAATGCCAAAGCAAACCAAGATAAAGATGGTTGTGCTGGATATTGTTTTTTCAATATTAAAAGGAGCACTTGATGCCTATCCTGAAGCTGAACTTATCCAGCGGCAAGGCGAGCATGGTCAGAGGAGAGGTTCACCTCGAGTTCGCGCTTTACAGTCATGGTCCTCACACCAGATTGTGTAAAATGTGAAACTTGGTAGTGAAAGCGAACATCTCCTGTCTGTCTGTCTGCCTGTCTGTCTGTCTGTCTGTCTCTCTCTCTCTCTCTTCCCTCCCCCCCCCCCCCACACCACCACCATTGTTGCTCCCACCTGAACAGTCATGATTGCACACAAACACACATGTAAACTGTTGGTATCGGTCATGTCTGTTTAACGATTGCCAGTGAGTGCCCAAAGCAGTTGCCAAGTCACGACCTCGACCATGCATTCTAGCTGGCACTGAGCTTGTTGGAAAAGCTGTCTCTGTTTATGTACTTTTGATCTGACTGGCAAAACTCATTCCACAGGGAAAGAAAGTGAATTCTGCTAATTCCACCGATTAGTAGCGCGGAATCATGGTTTTCCACACCCTCCCTGACTTTACCCAATAAACACCAAAGGACCACACACGTACACCCATGAAGACTGCAAGAAGAAATCAGGTCAGCCATACTGGCGAGTTTTCATTTCCATGTTATGGCGTCACGTAGGATTAGAAAAGGGTTTGGACGGAAAATTAAATTCACATGATGGGTATATACATGTAACAAAAGACAGGAAGAGTGCTGTGTATTGGTGAGTTTAAAAAAATCATAAAAAGCTATGTGGTGGGTGCATGTTCAAGGATAAAAAGCAAACCAAATGAAACAATGTTTACCTTTTTGTTGTTGCACCTTGTGAGATAAAGTAAAACAAATATTGAAACCAGGAAAAACGCCATGCAATGGATGCAGATAATAAAAAGCTAGAGTTGAGAGATAATCTGAAAATCTGCTGAGCACGAGTGGAACTAAAAAGTAAAATAAAATATATCAGTGGAAGTACAGCTGGGTGCTATAAATGCTGCACGGGGTGCACACACCAACTGACACACGTGGAATGGGCACCACAACACAACTACAGCAATACAGCATTTACCAGCAGGTCAGCAGGACAAGACAGGCACCTGGGGGGTCTACATACACCTGGCTGCGTAGGCATAAGCGCCAAGCCGAGATTGACCATGTGCACAGGGGAGTGCTCACACAAAACACAAAACACAAAACATGATAGAAATTGGATAAGAATGCTCCATTGCACACCAGCCACTGCATACACGGGGCAGCGTTGAACCAGCCAAACCTTGCCACACAATGTTAGACTATTTTTTAAAACGTTAAATATTTAAATTAAAAAAGCCTACCAAATAAAATAAAACGAATGGTGTGTGCATGCGGGTGCACGGGCGTTAGCAACTGGTGGAGATTGGAAAATCTTGACTAGGTAGACGCACACAAGCACGTACGAAATGCACACTGAGCGGTTGAAAACACACACACACACCCACACCCGTGGGAAATGACAAGCTCACCTGCGCGGAGCACTGCGCCGCAGCACAGGTGCTCCAAGACCGGTGCCATGACAGAATTCAGGCGTGGACGCCAAGATCAAGACGGGAGCAGCGGACACATTCAACACCGTCGAGGTGTATGTATCATCAGCTGGCCGGCCGGAGTAGATGCCAACAGGGCGCTAGCAGCAGTCCTTGTGGGAAGGCAACCGGTGAGCAGTAGTGATGCACAGTTGCTACATCATGTCACACATCATGACCAGTGTCAGGTAATGGTCGGAGTGATGCAGACGATCACTGCCATGACATCATGATGATGTCATGGCATAGCACTATTCAACCTGGACCAGCAGTGTAAAGCCAGCTGGCAGTTTGTTAATATTGTCATGCTTCTAGAACACAGCAACACTTGAGCACAGCACGAGCCTCTATGACTAAGTTCTACGTGGGAGCTTTGCTACCAAAGTCGCCTCCCTTCATGCACTCCAACATCTGGTCTACAATCTTGGATCTGGGCTGCCCTGCACTGTCAGTGCTGGGTGATCTTTTCAGTGCTCCATTGCGTGTCCTCTTTGGGTCGTCGCCTTCCACGTTGGGCCGCTCGTCTATTTTCTTCTTCAGAGCAGCCTGTAGCTCGCGCTTCCGTAGTTTCTCTTCCAGGATCTTGCGCTCCTTGTTCTCCTACAAGTCAACACGACAGCAACAACAGGGACACACTCAGCATACATGATCACATGCATGCACAAACACTCGGCGCTTTGAGGGCCAGGTTGCCAACACTGCTGAGTGCACACGTAACTGTTCCATGATGTGCTGGCATACATGATGTGCATGCAGCAGTACACACTCCATGCTCACTGTACGCACATCGCAGAACGTGACAGCCACAATCATGTACTACCACAGACTCATACTGCAAAATGAACATCACATACGCGACAGGAGCGCCGGAAAGAGTTGAACATTGGCGAGCCCAAGAGTACATAATCCCCAAGAGTGTGCAACTCCAGCTACGGGATCTGCGACGGCAGAACTTCACATCACATGATCACATTATTTGCACTCTGTGCATGAGAGATACAGGGTTGTACGCAACCCAGCTTTGGGTTCAACTCTCTTGTGGTCACTTTGCACTGTTTGCCAGTGTAACCTTTTGAACCATGTCTCGTGATGTGAAGTTCTGCCATTGCAGCACTGCATACTGGTAGAGATTGTGCAGGCAGTTGCACACTCTTGGGGGTTATGTACTCATGGCGAGACCAATCCGAGGCGGGGAAGATGTTTTGAAATAATTGTGCCCTCAAGCGAGCCCGTATCTTTAAGCTAACAGGAGATTTCCATGAACAATAGACAATTCCTAAGCATATCGGTGAGGCTTTGGAAGTACTTGGCACACAAAACACCATACCTTGACAGCATCATTCAATCTTTTGATGAACATCTGAATGTTGACCATGAAAGTTTCCAGCTTGAAAGTCGTGGGATCCTCGGCAAAGTAGTCACGGATTGCGTTGGCCTTTATGTCGATGTCCCTAAGCGGTGTCTTCAAACACTCCAGTGTCATGTCTGCCCGCTGCATGCAAGAACACGCCAAGGAACATGTGAGAGAGAAAGAAAGTTAGACAGGTAGATTGATCGATCGATAGAGATAGAGATAGAGAAAGAAAGAAGAGAGAAAGAGAGAGAGAGAGAGAGAGAGAGAGAGCACGTGAGTGTGATGTGATACAGAAATTTGCACAAGTAGCATTCAGACAAGATGGCGGTCTATAGTCTCACAGGTTGTGTTGTATCAGCACTATGACTTTAGACCACATTTGTAGCCATTACCAAATCAAGAAACTCTAGAAGAAAGTAGGGAAAATCATACTCACATCCAGGAAGGGTTTCACTCGATCCCTCAGCTCTTTGGGGAACTTCTTCGTAGCTTTGTTGGCTGCCACGGACTTGATCTTGCTGTCTATGGCTGTCACTTTGGAGGAGAGGAAGTCAAGGGATAATCTATTCACAAAGACAGCGAAAGAAATACAACCCACTTGTGAGCACCATACTGCCAAGGTATCTGGCTCATCCGGCTGGACGATTGCAAAACAAGTTGAGCTCAAATCAACTGTTTCACCGGGACGGGCATTGTGACGTGTTTCCTGTGTGCGACATGAAGTATGAATCAGGCTTTAGTGCCAGCAAGTGGACCTGCAGCACTGCCCAATGAAATCCAGTCACGTCACTCAAGTACGCACCTGGCGTTGTGCAGCCCCAGACCTGCAAACACTGGGCTGCGAAATGGCGCAAGGTGCAAACTTGAGTGACACGACCGGATTTCATTGAGCAGCACTGTACATACCAAGCCACGCAGTAACCATGGTAACTTGGATACTCAAAATATGTCAATAGAAAATCCACATGGCCAAAGGACAAAGGACAAAAGGTGTGCAATGTGATGTACAAAATACATATGCATCTATTTGTGCAGTCGGATAGTCGAGGTATTGGGATAAGCGGGGTTTGGTAGCTGGGTTGAGACTGTGCTTCAACATGACCTCATGGAGGAGAGCACGGCGGGAAAGGCGAGAGAACTTACTTGGATGCATCCGGCAGGTTCTTCAACTCATCATTGACTTTCAGAAGATGAGCGTGCTCCTTCGTGATACTCTGCCGTAGCATAGCAACAATAGCAACCGCAGTAGACAAGTGACTTTAAGACCATGGCGTCAGTGACACCTGCAAGCATTTGGCAGGACTGGACACCCATCAAAGTCTACAAGTGTTGTATTGTATTTGTATTGTATTGTATTTATGGACAAGTAAAGACATTCTCTCCCGGTGATAATGCTGCATGATGGCAATTGTAATCAACTCAAGTCATATCTCTGTTCAATTTCCCCAGTGTAGCAAGTCCTCTGTCCGAAATCGACTCCACAGAGCAGCTACCCAGCAAGGAAGAGTGCCTGCTAAGCCATTTCCGCATGTTCAGCCCATGGGCATCAGTAGTCAAAGAGCTCAGAGCACATTCTGGATACGAACATAGACACTAGCACAGGGCATATGTTGCTCAAAGCAACACTATGCGTTGAGTAAGAGAAGACGTTGGTAAGGACTCACTAACCTCGGCGATGTAATGCATCAGGGTCACACGGGCTTTGTTGGATTTCGTGTCGTCCAGCTTGGCCAGGGAGTCAATTTTAAAGCCGGCTGCATTTGCTGCAAAGGTACCCTACGAAGACAAGCACCGTACATGCACACGCACATGCATATAGATAGCATAGCACAACAGTACCGTACCCAGAGATCAATACAAAGGCACAAGGCAAGGTTGCCTTGCCAGTACAGTGGAGCTCTGGCAAGGTATACCAGCCCCCCCCCCCCCCCACCCACGCCATGTACTTTACGCAGTTGGAAAAGCTAGACCGACAAATAACGCATGTAAGTTGTCAAAGTACTGAGAATGACTTCCTTAGTGCAATGAAAGTGCGATGTCCTCAATCGACTACTGTGTTTTCTGTTGTTGCAACCGGGTAAGAACTGGTGAGTAGCAAGCCGCTGTCCAGTCAATTCACGATCCCTAATCATGATGACAATAACATGCCACCAGTGTTGTCTAAGTGGAAGTAAGCTACATGTAGTTGATGACAGGTAGCAACATCAAAACGCCCCTCCACCTGACTACCCTTCCTAGGTCAGAGCTGATATTACAATAGAACTAGAAGAGAGGAAATCCAACAAGACGTACGTGGTTGAGGAAGTTTCCAATGGTCAGAATAAAGACAAGGAGCTGTTGAAGTGCCCGCGACTTGAGCAGTTCTGGACAAGTGGAACAACACATGCAGCAAAGCAAGCAAACACACTGTTTAGGACACACCTTTGACCTTTGACGCCCATCGCCGGAGGCGATGATAGCAATGCTACGGCAGAAGCCATAGCAACTTGTGCTGGGATTACACCATTCAACAGCTTGCAAGGCTGAAGAATTGACCGTCACTATTCAGCCTGGTCTACACCATACAGCTATTTGGAGTGACATTTTCTGGCCAGTGAATCCCTATTTTTGGTCTTTTCATTTTTTTTCCCCGCACACACATCACACCACATACTCCGGCATGCACTGGCTGTTGGTAACCACCCAGGAGAATGAAAGAAAAGTCAGGAAGAGTCTGAGAAAGAGAAGAAAGACGTGTGGACACACACACACACACACAAGATCACTGAGCAGTGATGGTTGTGTAGCATGACACACCGTATTGTGTGTCAACCACACACTAGCAGGGTACAGTCCAGTCACCCACACAGTAGCAGTGTACAGTCCAGCCAGAAACATCCCCCGCATGCTGCAGAGAACTCTGGTCTTGATCGGCATGTATTCATTAGCGGCATGGGCACATGGGTCTGAATTTCAGGGACGACTCAAACGGGCAACGTGCATGGAAGTTCTATTAGCATTGTTCCACGTTCCACCTGCCCGGGTCATATCGCAAGCTGTACGGTTGGCAGCTTACCTTCACAGGCAGCACTCAGCGTGAAAACACCCGGCCGGATATCCTCCACAGTCTCGTGAAACTCAAGCTGTAGCAGCATCATGTCCATACGGAACGGCACACTGCAAGGAAAGGAAATACACCGGCACACAGACACTGCGCTGAAATACTGTTCAAATACACCAGCACACAGAGTCACAGGCACAGCACAGAAATGTACCAACACACAGACACTGCACTGAACATACACCATCACACAGAGTCACAGACACTGCAACCCATCGCGTACAGAGGCCAGTACACAATGTAGCAAGTGCACACTGAATGCCACTCACAGTGTTTGGTGTTCAATGCACTACAACAAGCAGTATCTATCCGTCAGATTGCTACTAAGATCAACGGAACTAGGTTTCGACAAACCAAACCAAACCAAACCACACCACACCAAATCAAATCAAATCAAATTAATCAATCAAACCAAACCAGACTGGACCGGACTAGACCGGACCAACCAGACCAATATCGTCATCCAACAGAGAACACAAAAGTTCCATACATATCCACCATCTTACTGTGAAATCTTGCGCATCTTGGCATAGAATCGTTCTGCAGGGCCCAGATTCTCATAACTACCGCTGTATGCAGCAATTGCTTCGTACTGGAGAGCCAAGCAAGCAGAATGAAAATCAAATATAAGCAGCGTCTAGTACCTTCAGCCTACATTGTCTGTGTGAAAAGTGACGACCAGTGTGCTTGCCGAGAAATTACATAGCCCACCGGCAGACCGAGACATACCCGCAGCGGTGTGTGTGTGTGTGTGTGTGTGTGTGTGTGTGTGTGTGTGTGTGTGTGTGTGTGTGTGTGTGTGGACCAGGCTGAATAGTGACGGTCAATTCTTCAGCCTTGCAAGCTGTTGAATGGTGCAATCCCAGCACAAGCTGCTATGGCTTCTGCCGAAGCATTGCTATCATCGCCTCCGGCGATGGGCGTCAAAATGTCAAAGGTGTGTGTGTGTGTGTGTGTGTGTGTGTGTGTGTGCGTGTGTGTGTACGGAAGAGGGGGAGGGGGGGGGGGGGAACAGTGGGCACTTTCTTCGGATGTGTCACAGATCTACGAGAGCAGTCTAAAAGCAATAATCCTTCATACTTCACACTGCTACTACTGCAATGAAAATCCAATCACGTGACTAGCGCATAGGCACCGTAAAGCCCCAGACCTGCCAACATTGGGCTGCACACAGGTGCACGGCGCTACCTTAGCCATGCGATCGAATCCCAGTGAGTACAACTGCACTTCGTACGTTATGCTGAAGAGGATTTGTCAGCATGCACAGCTTACCAAACTGTCATCTGGAATGAGCTTTACGAGTGCCTTGACTTGGTCGAGGTCCATTTTATCGGTATCGACGTCATGAATCCACGACATGATATCAGGGATAGAATACCTACACAGAGGAATAGGGTGGACACAGAACAAGCTCTTCAAAGAACCTAAGAGCTACATGTACGCGGTGTCAGTATCATGCAGGAAACTGCCGAGCACATAGGCGGCAGCAGCAGTTTGAGAATCACAAAAAGACATTTTTACATTCAAAACCGCCAAATTTTGCACGGAGTTTCTTGCGTTCAGAAAGTACGTAGAGGTTTCCGCGAGTTTTTGTTTTGCCGAACCGCTATCCTCTTGTGGTTTGCAAACTTTTGACACCATACTTTGTGCGATCCAGAACACATTCCTACATATAACTCATTCCATCCCACTGAAAATTAACAAACAATTCCATCAGTTGCTGGCTCACCCCTTGAACTGTTTCAGGAACACATTGACGTTGAGAGAACTTTTGCCATCGACCAAAGACACCTGACAAGCAGAATACATGGACAACCCCACATACGCACACCCACACACACACACCAACATGCACGCCCACAAACATGAGTGAGCATGCTAAGGAGGACACACATAAATGATGCGCATGCTACGCACAGGTGGCAACTAGCAACTACAATAGTACTGTCCATCTCCAGAGTGTGCGACTCGAGCTGGGCAAGTTACACTTCCAAGGCTTCAGTTCAATGTTCCATCGTTATAGTAATCAACAGCGACGTCATAAAGACACAACTTTGCCCTCAAGCCTGGCTCTTCTGCGTCCGTTTGTAGCTCAGGTGTAACTGTAACTGACAGACTGGTTGATGCCGCTCCCCTCGCATCTCAAACTTGCACTGTGGCGGAGTGCCATTCCGCGGTACGATAGCACTAGTGTGCGGAATCCCCATGCCAGAGGCATGTCCACAGAATATGACTTCTGTGGACGTTGGGTTTGTACTTGCAGAACGGCATTCCGCCACAGTGCAAGTTTGAGACGCGAGGGGAACGACATCAACCGCTCTGTCAGTTAAAGGTGCACGGCTATTCATGTACCAACAGGTTGTTTTATTTCAAGTGCAAACTCACCTTGCCGGAATCTGACTTCTTCTCGTCAGACTTTGCTGCTGGCTTCTTCTTCGCTACAACCTTGGCTGCAAAAAGCTCCTCCAGAGCTTTAGCATCAAAGTTGAGCATCAGATCGTTGGGATTCTTCCACACACTGACGGCCCGATCAGCGTAAAGCTTATTTGCCGGCAGTTTACTCCAGTTGACCTTGCGAAGCTTTTGAGACGGCTTGAGGTTGGATCCTGGTGTTGCCACTGCTGCTGCACCTCCCTTACCAAACAATCCAGCAGCTTTGCTACCAAAGCCCCCCATTCCTGGTGGAGGAGGAGGACCACCCATCCCTGGGGGAGGGGGAGGACCACCCATCCCTGGGGGAGGGGGAGGAGGTGGGCCACCCATCCCTGGGGGAGGGGGAGGAGGTGGGCCACCCATCCCTGGTGGAGGAGGTGGGCCACCCATCCCTGGTGGAGGAGGTGGGCCACCCATCCCTGGAGGAGGAGGAGGCGGACCACCCATCACTGGAGGAGGTGGTGCTGCTCTTTCCATTTCTGGTGGAGGTGGAGGAGGTGGACCTCCCATTTCCGGTGGAGGTGGAGGAGGTGGATTTCTCATTGCAGGAGACGGTGATGGATCACCCATTGCTGGAGGTGGCGGTGGTGGAGGCATGCTATCCAGTTCTGGGGCTGGTGGAAGTGCACTGACATCTTCTGGTGGGGGCGGGGGGAGAAAAGCTACGGTGTTATCTGCTGCCATTGGAGGTGGCGGTGGTGGCATCCCTCCCAGCACAATGTCCGAAGTGCCAGATGGTGGTGGCGGTGGTGGTAGAATGTCACCATTTACTGCTTTCTCTGTTGAGCTTGAAGTGCCATCTGCTGCAGCGGGTGGGCCTACCTGACCCAAGCCAGCAAACATACTGGCACATGGCGGTGCCGGAGGGAGTGAATCGGTGCTACCCGATGCTTGAAACATTCCCAATATCGGTGGAGGCGGTGGGAAATCCTGAACTGCTCTCGATACGGATGTACTGGACGAGGATGGTGAGACTTTATAAGCTGTGATAGCATGGCCAGATAGTCGCTTCAGCACTGCAAGAGGATTATGTGACGAGATGGAAGATGACATGCGGGTTGAGCCTTCATCAGCAGCTTGAGACGGTGGTTTGCTGTGGATTTTGGTCAGAGAGTCTTGCGCCTGCACTAATGATGACTTGATGCGGGACAATATACTCTTGTCTGCGGAATGAGCGGGGTGGCCACGGGATAAACCACTCCCGTGTGACAACGTACGTCCAGCACCTTTCTTTCTATTGCCCGCTGCCGCTTTTGTCGGCACGACCGGCACATTGGTTAATTCGGCTGCTGTTGGAAACCCATGGGACTCGGCTGCGCTCGTGGACATGTAATTCCTGGCACAGAACTGTTCTGACTTTGGTTCCGGACTAAACACTACATGTTGAGTGTCGCTGGTCGCTGACAGGAGAGACATGTTGTGCAGGTCACGTTGGCTACTGTCGATAAATGTCTGACTTGGTGACTCGGCTGCTAACTGCAATGAATGGCGCCGAGGTCTTGCTACAATAGAGTTTGGGTCACTGGCAGATTCAGGGTCGTGCTCTGCACTGCTAATGGAAAGGAGATCGCCGTCAACACATGTGATCAGGTTGGACAACTTTGTCAGTGCGATCTCGGCCGAGCACTGCTTCACCTTCTCACGCATCTCACGCTCCTGCTTGGTGGAGGTCTTCTGGCGATGTCGCAACCTCGATGTGTTCACCGGCCCTGATACGGTCAAGCGACGAACAGATGCACCGGGCTCGCTGGTGACGGAGACAGGACCAGCCGAGGCGGAGACGGATCGGTCATGGAGAACGGTGGCGTTAGTCGGGTTGACATCCGGAGAGGGGAGTTCGCACTCTGGTGTCTGACCGACCTCTTTCAGTAGAGCCAGGTCCTCCGGCGTGGCCATCAGGGACTTCTTCACAGACCAGCTCCTCTCCTAAATGGCAAACGCAAGAGCAGACACAACAGGCAGTGATTTATTTATTTACTAGTATGTGGACGTTTAAATACACGAGTTGTATTGTTCAACATCAAAACCAGGGTGCAAGTGGCACACACACCAGGATTTGCACACAGCGCTGAGGTCAACGTTGAAACATGCCTTGTTATTATCCTCAAACCAGAACCGGTGGTAAACGACAGCTCTAATAAGTAAGTCCAATGTGCATACAGTACGGAAGACTGGTGCAACACTATACATAGCAGCTGACGTACATTCTGCTCAACATCGCTAACAAATGGCACATAGAGATACATGTAATGTTATACTGGCTTGATCTGGCATTGCTGCACGCTTCACAATAGATTTCACTAGGTGTTATAGGCTAGCATTAGTACATGTACATGAACTATGACACCAGCTCTGGGGCTGGTCAGGAAGTTGGACATTGATCGGGTCTTCCAACCTTGATCCCCAGCAGTTCTCGTACATTTGGAGGCTGATGGCTCATACTATAGTGGGTGTACTATAAGCCATAGTATTACAGTCAGACCTCGCTTATGCGGTCCTCTTTTATCCGGATCCCTCGTCATCTGGAAGAAAATAGCTAGTTACAGATGTACAGCCTACGTGATGCATCCAACATAAGCAGTGTTCGGTTATCCGGTTCCTCGCCTATCCGGATATTTTTTGTGGGAGACGGATGTGTGCGATTAAGCGAGGTCTGACTGTATGCTTGTGCTCCTGTTGCTCACTGTGCCATCTGTGCTGCACATTGTCCCATCGAGTGCCACTTCGTGCAGGCGTCATCCATAAGGGACAATCTGTGATACACGTGGCACAGCGTGCAACATTTCCTTGCGCATGACTGTGTGCTCCACCACCCACGACAATGTACACGTATACCGAAGGCGTTATACCGTACCTCAATATCGGAGTTAGTTGTCGCTCCTACTATGGGCTTCATCATGGCTTCAATAGCAACCCATTGGCTATTGGATAGAGGTCCATGTCGTTCAATGGAAGCAAGATGCTGCATGATGTTGAGAAACAGCGCCATGCAAGGTGTTGAAGAGACCTGTGAGACCAAGACAATGAGAAAAGGGAAAGGCGAAAGGTTGAGAAAGTTCTAACTGGCCAGCACATCTTCTGAAAAAGACGGAGACTGACACAGAGTACGAGCACTTCCATAACCCTGAGGAGGAAATACCTTGCTGAGGATGCAGCGGAACAGGTGCTGAGGGGTTTTCGGGCTGCCTGCTCCACGCATGTCAAACTCCATATCATCCTCATGGCGATGCTTGTCAAACACATTCACCTGGGTAACAACGTCCAGGTCATCAGACAGCCTGCACACAGCAAACAACATACCCATATCACCTGATCATCAGACAGCCTGCAGACAGCAAACAACATACCAGCAATACAGCATGTGTGCATACATGTACATAGCCAATCGGTTCAATACTGCACCAAATACACCTGGAGTCAAACCCGTGCTTAGTGCTGACCCCATGCCACGATGCGGCACAGAGTATCAGTCTCTATAGACAGGTGGGCTTTCCACACAGGTCTAAGTGTATATTGTAGTATAGCATGGGGTCCGAGGTAGCCGGTTTCTTACCACGGGTGGTATCTGACTACAGTGGTCAGTTAACATAGGTCTGACTGTAACCAGAGCCATACTAGGGTGGACTTGAGAAGGGCTGCACTGCATGGACTCGCCGCGTATGCATTTGCGTTCAAAGAAACAAAGTTAGAGGAGAGAGAGAGAGAGAGAGAGAGAGAAAGAAAGAAAGAGAGAGAGAAAGAAAGAAAGAGCTCTCTTTGGAGTTTGTCTTACCGTAGTATATCTAGCTCACCAAGAAGACCAAGATCTGTCAGTACAGAGAAGCAGAGTGTAGATGGAAGCAATTAGAAAAGGATGTCAGACAACATACACAGATGCACTATAAACCAATTTTGTGTACAAACAGTATGATGGGCAGTTTGTTCACACGAAAACAATTCAAAACATACGAAACACTCTTGGTGTTCAGTAAATAGAGCTTGACAGAAAACAAGAGAGCAAGGAAGAGAAAGAAAGCATGAGAGATGGAGAGAGAGAGAGGGAGAGAGGGAGAGAGAGAGAGAGAGAGAGAGAGAGAGAGAGAGAGAGTGGGAGGGGGGAAGAGGAGGAGGAGGAGGAGGAGGAGGAGAGAGGAGAGAGTGACTGAAACTAGATCAGACTCAGGTAGACTTAGAAATAAGAACACCACAATCAGAGACTACACTTCCTTACGGAAGAATTCTTCACGCAGATACATCCGCTCCTCAAAGTCGCGTTCATTCCGAAGTAAGCAGTTGATGAGCAAGAGAATGGAGACAGTGAGACTGTTCGCTTCAGAGAAGTGCAGAGAGCTAACTAGGAAGTCGAAGAAATGAGGATTGGCTGTCAAGTACTGCAGCAGAACAAATCACGCACAAGACAAATCCAAGATTTTCAGTTTTAGGTGGCATGGCCGTGGCAGCAGGGGTGTGAGTCTGACTGGTTCATGGCATGCCTGGCAATCAGGTACTTCCGACAATGAAAACAGCGTCTTACTACAGTGCAGGGCTGATCATAGCAGGCATACCGATGAGGGATTCACCAAAGGCAAATGGATGCCTTGTGAGAGAGTTCCCTATACATATCAGATGGAACAGGAGATAGATAGCTAACTGCTTTGGAAGCTGTCTATATTCTCACTAGGAAACCAAACAAGTCCATGCGGAACAGAACACAGTCGCACTAGGTTGATAGGTAGCACACCACACATTACAAGTGTGATCCTTATGTGTGTATTGTTGCCCCTATGATACATACACACACTCTTCCTGTTTCTGTGCTTGTTCTAGCGTTACCACCTACACGGTGTACACCGGTTAACATACTAGTAAATATTAGACAGTTGCTCATTGCTGTGTAATATTTGTACTAGTAACTCATATGTGGACGCAGATCGAGAGCCAAGAATTAACTTAATAAAATCAATAGGGCGGGCCAAAGGTTTACAAGTTATCTGTAGTTGTCGAACACTAATATTACCACGATATTGGTGAGACAGAGCGTGCAACGTTTAGCACAATACTGACACGCAGCACTGATAAGCGGCACTGACGTTTCATAACTTAAACCTTCCAAGTTTGAAGAAGGCTGTCAGTTTGCGCATTCGAGACGTGATGAAGCTAAACATCAGGCCATTGAATGTCAGTACTATTTGTCAGCACCGCACTAAATGCTGCACGTTCTGACCCTTGGATATCATAGTTGTCATTAGTGCTGGCAAGAGTAGATAAACAAGAGCGTGCAACTCCGCATCTCTCCTGCACAATCTGCTGATACCCCGGCCCACGGCGGAAATTATTGGTGACGTCAACTTTATACAGAGCACGCGCATTTTGCCGCAGAGCAGTGTGAGAGCACGTTCTGGGCACCGACCTTGTAATGTAAAGCCCGGCCAAGTGCACGAGGCAGAACTTCCCTAAAGACTCGTGTGCGTCGTAGAAAAGATAACGTCAACAATAATTTCCGCCGTGGGCCAACCCATCCTTGAGTTGCACACTCTCGTTTATCTTCTCTTAGTGCTGGACAACTACGGATAACAAACTTGCAAACGTTTGCTCTTCTCTCCCGTACTAACAGTTGCATATACAGTCGACCCCACTTATAACGAACTCGCATACAGCGAATTCTGTGACACAACGAACCATTGTCCGTGTCCTTTTTTGAACCCATACTGAATTGACCCTTTATAGCGAACAGTTTTCGTTTATCACGAACTAAATCTTGTAGGGCTGCATGCAAACCAAGTGCAGTCATACTGTCATGGGCCACATGTTTAGTCATGAGTTGCTGCTTGTATAGTATAAGTGCACTTCTGTTATAACAAACTTCGGCTATAAAGAACTAACTCTCCTGCACACTGGTGTTCGTTATAAGAGTCGAGGAGTCGAGTGTAGTTAGTTTCTTTTCTGCATGTATTCACTTGACGAAAAATGCAGGTTCCACTCGACACTGAGCAAGTTCATTTTGGATTTGGACTCAGCATGATATTAGGGAGGTTTAGTCCCACGTAACGGATACGGGAACGTGGATGATACACGTAAAGTTCATGCAATGGACCCACGTTCGCAATGTTGTATTTAGATACACGGAACGAACAAAAGCATGAAGCGAAAGGCCCAAACTTGGCCAAAAACGAAGCTTCGAAGCTCATCGAATATTTTGATTTCGTTCTTCGAAAACTTCTTCAGCTGAGCACCCTCACAGCTTGCACAATGCGCTCCATTCTGATTTTCACTCACGTTCTGGCGGAACGTGGGTGAGCCTCCATACACGGTATGTCGTGAATCAAAAAACGGCTGTACGTAGGTCACTGAGGTACACACACGTAAAGTACACACGGACTACGTGGAACTAAACCTCCCTATTGGCTACTGATGGAGCCCTGTTCTTCGGGCGACTCGTTCCATCACAACCAGATCCAGTGTCTTACCTGATGGACTTTGAGAATGTCTAATGATGCATCATATCCATCCATACTATACACACACAGGCAAGCCATCAACTCCATCACTTGTTTCCGGACCACAATACTTGGTGATGACAGAACTGGAGAGGCAAAAAAACACACACACACAAACATACAAGTCATGATTCACAAATTATCTAGGAATTGCCGGTAACTCAGAACTTGCATACTTCCTGATGGCAAGTAAATATTAATTTTGTAATGCCAATCAAACAAGGCCGGTCTAGGCAGCTCGAGGTAGAGACTGTCGAATCCTCTACGAGCAGGCCTAGATATTTGATGCTTGAGTGGAAGTTAGTGCATATGTGTGAAGTGTAAATGCTGCTGTCTGATGATGGCTGAAATGCGTGAAACTTAAAGTAACAGCTACACAGCCGTTTGCCTCTGTTACGTGTGTAATGCCAATCAATAGCAGGGGCGTCGGAAGGCAATTTAGTGTGGTACGGTCAGCCATCTGAAGTACAATTAACTCGTGGGGGAAGGGTAGCTAAGCCGACATTTTGGAAAATTAGAGTCCAAATCAGTGCATTTTATTGATTCACGGGGTACTTGGGTCAAATAGTGGTACGGTCAATACCGTAGTGTCCGTACCGTGTGCGACGCCCCTGAATAGTTTATGACCCGATTTGGAGCCGTTTTTCGGCGTTGAAATGCCAATTCTGTGACCAGATGGGTCAGAATGGTGTCCGGTAGACGGAGATGCCCGGATTAGGGACGTCCGGATCTGGGGAGTCTTACTGTACATACATACACACACATACACACACTTACTTGTACTTGCTTGTTGCTCACTGCCAAAACTGGTCACGTGGGTCTCCCCAGGAGAGGGGAGAGAGACTCAAAAGGAATCTTGGAAAGATGACTCAATTGGCTATTGAACCGCCCAACGGCCGACACCCCCTGAAATCCCCAAAACTCTGGGTGGACGTGGACTTGAAAATGATCCCACTTATGGGCTCACCACACCTCAGCAAGTGGGTGAGGACAAGGTGCAGAAAAAGGATTGACGGCATCAGGGTATCCGTCCCGGGATCCAACTGCAGTTACCCCTGCCCCCAGTGAAGGTAATATTTGCTACTAGTGTGGGTGGCAAAATCAGAGTGGATCTGATTCAAGCTTCACTAGCACCATGATTACACAAGAGTTAATCTAGCCAGAAGTAGTCCATGGTTAACAGGTATGTCTACTTCAAATAGAACGTATATGAACCCTGAAACCAACAAAGGTGGTCGGTACAACATTACACCTTCAAACAGCCGAGCCCATTGGCAACAGACCCAACACTATCCGGCATAAGCATACCCACCAACCGAACTAGCTGGCACACACACACACACACACACACACACACACACACACACACACACACACACATACACACACACACACACACACACATGCAAACACACACACATGCATGCACACATACACACACACACACACATGCCCCCCCCCCCACACACACACACATGCAAACACACACACACACATGCAAACACACATACACACACACACACACACACACACGCACACACACACACACACACGTGTCACACACACACACACACACACACACACACACACACACACACACACACACACACACACACACACACACACACATGCAAACACACATACACACACACACACACACACACACACACACACACACATGCATGCACACATACACACACACACTCACACACACTGTACATCAGTACACATCACGTACCCAGAGCCAGGCTGCTTATGCAGTATTCACTTTCCACGATAGCATCAAGGCCTTCCGGGAGGTTCATTATCTGACGTAGACACCTGCAACAGCCGATTTGCCTTATACCCTGCCAAAGAGGAATGGGAGGCGGACGAGTGAAACAGGATTCCATTGATTCAAAGAAGACTTGCAGGCCACCAATTGCAAGAAACACCTTCAGCCACTCGGCATCAGCCTGCACGAGTGTCTTGATGAGGGCTGTAATATTTTGTGACGTGCGGAATAGCCGAACACACTCCTCTGGACTGCAGGCATAGCCCACGGACCATCGTGGAACACCTTCCAGAAAGCTTTTCGGACAGAAGTGCTTGCTAAGTATCTTCCATCTCTTTTGAGCTGCTTTAGACCCTTCCTTGGAGAGAAACGGCAGAACTCCAGTTTTCTTAGCTAGTGATGCAAGGCTATTCTCAATACTCTCCATTGGTGAACTGCCTTTCCCCTGAAGTTTCTCCTTGTCTTGACTTTTTTCCTTCCTCTCTCGCCTGCTTTTCCTCCTGAAACTGGTGAAACTGTGCGACCTCTCACGTTCCTCGCGTTCAAGAATTTGTCCAGTTGAAGAGGCGGCTGACGCCATATGCTGTCGATCATCACCTGAGCCCAAAGTTCCTCTTTCAGCCCTCACTCTTCCCACGTTACTCTTTTTGACAGTCCTAAGTGGATTCCACCACTTGGATTTGCGGCCTTTGCGGTACTGCGCGTAACCATCCTTCTTCCTCAGGCCATCAAGGTTCACGGGGGTCTCATCCCCGGGAAGAGATAGAGGGTGGTCAGATTCAGCCATGACCTAAGATGGTTGTCTCTAAGGACGAAAATTTGGCTACACGACTGAGCATGAATTCCCCATCCCGTTTGGGGCAGCTTTTCACACAAGACAGCTTTGAACGGTATGGACACTTCTCAATGCTTGCGGTTCCCACTTGCTCCTCTCCACTCTCCACAAGATGAAAGAAAAGCCCATGGCATGATCAGGAACAAAAATTAACTACTTTGTTTCAAACAATTATTCGGTGGGCTCCATAAAACCATTGTACTGCGACCGATCGCTTCTTGTATTGCACTTGAATTGAAAATGCACTGATATGATTCGGACTGAGTACGGTACGCGGTATGTCTGTTCATCTGCATATTTGGCACAGACACGGCATCCTATGGAAGGTCAGGATTTCGTCTACGCCAGGGAGCCCTACACATCTACGTATGTGTAGGACTCCCTGGTCTACTCTCTTTTCTTCATGATGAGAACCTCACGACAACAGTCATTGTTTTTGTGGCTCTTGTCGAAACTTGGCCTACTTGTATTACCAAGAGTAACCCCCATGAACTCTTGGTACCGGATGGAGTCGAGATTAGTTTTGTGCTGTTGGAGTCTGCTTCTTCGCTTCAGTGATAAGGCCGGGACAGAACGCAAGTGGAAAGCCATGTTGCGTTGTACTACTGCATGCTGTCCAGACTCCTCTCTACTCAGGCTCTCACTTTTGCCAAGAAAAAAGTCAAATCTAATATAATCTTCCTCAACACTTTCGACCAAATGCACCGACCGCACTTGAAGTACACGTCAAGCAAATTATGGGTCGTGATCAGGGAAGAAGAAGTTGGTGCCAGAGGTTGGTGCGACTTCGTGACCAGGGAGTAGTAAAAAGGTCTCCGAGTCGAGTCCCTGGTCGTGATGATTGATGGCTTACATGTAATTATAATTTATAATCGATATCATTCCGACACCCCGACTTTCGATCAACTACGGAATCGCTACGTATAATCAAGAGTTCACGGGGGTTATGAACTCTACTAGATGTGGTGGCGGCAGAGCTGAGAGGGACGCCTTTCAACGTCAAGCCCGGTTTTTGTTCGGAAGTAAGTAATAGTTTGAATTTACCTCGTAAACAAAACCGGTATGGGAGGTTGACCTTGGGCCGTCCCGGTTGCTGTTTCGTCCTCAGACCTGAAATCCTTAGCTACCTCAGAACTTCTCCTTGGGCACCCTGTAAAAGGCCATAGGCCTGTTGGGTATAATACCCAAGTAAAATAATAAATACTACTACTACTACTACTACTAATACCAAGAGTACATAACTACAACGTGTAACTTATGTGCTCTTGCTAATACCAAGAGTACTCTTGCTACTACTACCGGTACTACTAGAACGCACGGGCGAACGAGGAAGGCGACTTATGATGCCAGAGTCAAGCCAATCGGGTAGAAAGGACATCATCCACGGTGACTCCACGGATGTTTTCGATTTCGGGTGTGAAGCTCCATCCTGAGGACATCACCGCCGCCTCCGTCGACAGTTAGAGGCACGTTTATAGGCATACGGGCTATGGGTTTCTGGTCGCGGCAACAGGACGCCACCAAGGGTCGCTGACCTTGGCCGTTGGGCCGTCCTTGCTGTTTCATCCGGAAATCCTTGGCCACCTCAGAACGCACGAGCGAACGAGGAAGTCAATCGGGTGAAAAGAGCATCCTTCTAAACGCCACTGATGTTTTCGACTTCGGGTGTGGCGGGCAAGGAAACGACCATACCGGTATTTCTGTAGAAATTGTCAAAGGACTACATAATACCGACGCTCCGAATCAAGCCGCATATTCGCGTATGCGTAGATCAAGTGCGTACTGCTGCGCCACGTGCACGCCTCTTTTGGCCTTTTTGGGCCGAAGCTTCAGCCATTCCACGTGCCAGTAGGCCCAGTACAGCTTGTTTGAATCCTGTAGATCCTTCGCTTCATCTTCGACTCCTTGGCCTTGTCTGCCGTGGTCGACCGGTGTGGCTTGGGTGGGTTTGGGAAGTGGCCTGGAGATCGAGAAGCGAATGAAGTCAGGAGATATGTGATGTACAAATGTAGTGCATTCTGCTTGTTCTTCTTACTAATAATCTTACTTCTTAGCCAGAGTGCATAATCCCTGCCAAGCTGAAGCTTAGGGTTTGGGGCTCTTGGTTCGTCAAGCAGCTCATGGGTCACGCACCATAGCCTCATAGGACTGAGATGCAATGACTTTGTGGGTACCGGTAATGCGGTCATTTAGAAAAGCGATCCTGTCAGCTTTTCTATTACCGGTATTGTGGTTTACGTACATGGAAGGAGAAGAAATGTTGAGTAAAATAAAATAAAAAAAAGCGAACACGGAGCCTACATAACAATCATAACATGAATGCAGGCTACACCCGGGTACCCGGCCCCAACTATTTTGTCGATATGGCCAAGACTACAGTCTTGGTCCTACGGCTACGCACGTACCATGATGTAGATTATAATACACAGGACCCTGTTGTACTAGATTTTTTTAAATTCTTGTCCTTTTCGCGCACCGTAGACCTTCGTCGTCACGTCAGTGCAGCTAGCTGTAGTGGGGCGCCGGTACGCGGTGATGGGAAAGTCAAAGCTACACACAAGCAAGCGTACATCTTGCTACAACCAAGAGTGGGGTTATGTAGTTTCCGGTTGGTACATCAGTGGTTGGTACATCAGTGGTAGTCGTCTGGTCCGAGCAAAACCTTTCTTGAGCGACTGGCTGCAGTGTTTGCCATAGTAAAACGTGATCCTGTTGCTACCCATCCCACTAGACAGACACCGTTGCCGGATTACCTGATTACCTGAATACCTTCACCGCAGCCCGTTCGTGATGCTTTCAGTGGCAGCCGCCAGTCCAATAAGATGCTTTCGTCATTCGTGAAGTGAAAACTAGCCTGATTTCAACTACGGTTGAGTGTGGAGTGGCACGGGAGAAATGCGAGATGCACATGGCGAGATGCACATGGTGAGAAGAAGAAGAAGTACACTGTCGTATTCTTAGAAAGGGAAATATTTTGTTCATCCATAAAAATTATGAATCATGTACTCAAATTATTATTTTTGGGACAGTTCAGTATGTTCAGAAATAGAGCATGTACAAAGTGATCCAGACGACCTTGTTGGATACGAGGTGAGGTGTGTTTGAGTATGGCGGCCTAGAACAGGAGTGGACGATCAGAGTGCCTTGAACAGCCTTGAGAATATTGAGTGTTGATGCTCACTTGGGTCAGGGTGACGCAATCGACGTCACCGTATCACCATACATGGCCGTACTCTGGCGAGACACACAAATACTGCGCGTGCTATGTAGCAGCTACATCAACTGATCCGTGTTTACACTGTTTAGTCAGTGCTAATGTCAAACAGACCTGGCTGCTCCATGTACAAAGCCAGAACAGCCGTACCATACTCTGTGAGAACAACATTGAACTCGTTACAATACTGTGATATAACACGTGAAACGCTAGCGTCCCTGCTCCAGATCTGCATAATCAAACACATCAGTACGAGTACAATTACATTGTACAATGTACTGATCCTGTGGCTGACGGTCTTTAAAATTCAGGTGGAATCCTGATGCAGCTGTATTTTAAACCCAACTACCCAGGAAATTGTTATGCTGCAATTTTGTTCTTAAAAGCACACATATTTGTACGCAAAAGTCGTTGTTTTGGCAGAATCAAGGGGTCATTTTTGCTCGGCTATTACTTATAAGCACTAGTGTACAGTATTATATGGATGTATCCTGGTCCATAAGATGCTTGCGGCCTTTTATGGGTGTAGCGGCCAGTCTTCGTGCACTTTCATGTGTGCTGGTATGGTCTGCATGTGCATTCCCTGCCAGACTTCTGCATGGGCATCAATTGTATGTATCGATGTCAATGTGTCAACAGAACTGGTAAATTATGTACAATTGCGCTCGGTGAAATCCGACCCAAAGTTCAAAACTGGCGCCCTACATGTAGACCAGTTCTGATTACATCACTGTATTCATACATGTGTACGTCCAGCCGCATTCACACCGCTTTCAAGGTGTCAAGGGCCGTGCAATTCGAGGGCGCTAAATATCCACTTCGGGTTGGATTTCAACGAGCGATAATGTTATAGACGGCCCGATAGTAGCTGAAATTGAGTATTTTTTTGCAGTTTGTTCTTATTTACCACATGTGCATATATGGGGACGTGTGTTTAGGTTCGGATTCTAAAAGTACATACTTGCATTATCACACAGATTTGGAGTCTGACAACATTGTGTTGCAACGGGTCCAGTGATCCCCTTGTCGTCATGTTGAACTAACTCTTGTACCGGATCTCTCCTGTCGTGAGTTCCTGTAGTAGGCCTCTGCCCCAAGAGTGTGCAACTGCCTGCACAGCCGCTATCCAGTGCTCCGACGGCAGTACTTCACATCACGTGACGTGCATGTAGTTCCAAAGGTTGCGCGGGCAAACAGGGCAACTGCAGTGCGTTTAAAGATATAGACGCGTGATTTTAAGAAAACCGTTAGGCCAGCATCTATACCACATAAAGCCTGTGATCACTTTGTGCATTAAAATTTCAAAATGGGGCGTTTGCTATCCGATCGCTTAAAAAAGTATACGAGAATAATTGAGGGAAGGACTTGAGCAATATTCGGAAACAATTCTCAAAATGCTCCAGCCCAATGTGAAATATTATTTCAAAAATACTATGCGTCTATATTTTTGAAATGGACTGTAGTTACTTGACCACAAGAGAGTTGAACCCAACGCAGGGTGGCGAAGGACCCTGCATCTATCGTGCACAGGGTGCAAATAATGTGTACGGGTCCGTCACGTGATGTGAAGTGTCAAGCCATTGCAGACCCCATAGCTGGAGTTGCACACTCCTTGGAGTTATGTACTCAGTCTTGCTAATAGACACAAGCTAAGTTGCTAATTACGTGCAATGCTTGTTACCGCGAGGGTGGGGCCATTTGGCACAAGTTTGCAGATGCGCATGCACAGTTCAAGGTTCCTTTTATCGCACATTTTATACGGGAATCGTGTTGACAGGTATTGGTCCTGGAAGAACGCTCCAATTAGGCAGCACATGTGTATTCTCAATTATGCCGTATTCTGTCCTCACAGAATAACGCTGACAAATTCCTGGACTTATGTGCACAAGTATGCAGACACAGGTACACACGGTCCTCTTTCACCTTTCCGGGTGTGTTGATTAGCGGTGGCCGCAATGATCTGCCTGCGACCTGCCCATTCACTTTTATTAATTGTTCTAAATGGTGCAAGGAAAGTGGTCCATTTGTTTGTACTTCAAGTATCTTCTTTACCAGTGGCTGGAGTGTAACTTGTCTTGCATAAATACTGATGTCGGGTACCCACTTATTTTTGCTCCCATTGCTGTGCCTGCAGGGGGACCTCAGCAACATTGGCAGTAGCTGCCTCATGACTATAGCTGTCGCCTCTATAGGTAGCTGCTGCACAGTGCTGCTGGCGCTACTGCTATGTATCAAACGCAAAAGCAAAGGCGACCAGCCGGCTCCGCGGTCGACAAGCATCATACGACCAAGCGCATCTAAAGCCAATCATCAGCACCTTGGAAATTATACATCCCTGCAGAGTGCAGACAGTTCAGACTGCGTCTCTGCCGGCAACCAGCCGCCACATCGCACTGGAAAAGCCTCTTCAGAAGGGGAAAGTATCGACATGGCAGGATCATCACAAGCTCCTCTTGAGGTGCACATCCACGACTGCCAAGGTGAGAAAGATGTGAACGACGCGACATCCAGAAAAGGTCAAGAAACTGCATCCGTTACCTGTGAGGCTTCATCAGATCGCAGGCGAGATGGGCAGCCGGTAGAGGTTGCGAAGAAAGAGTCTCTGTCATTCGACGATCCTGTGTACGCGCAGCCTAAAAGGCGAGGAGATGTCTTCACACCTTCTTCGCCTACATTACCGGCAAAAAACCATCCCCATAACAAATCCATAGAATCCTTGAACGCATCCCGTCCACCGAGCACTTCACCAGAATCCGGCAAAACCAGCCCCCTCTCTCTGGTACTGGGTTGTAAAGCTACTGATTATGAAATGGTCGCCAGCGGTGCACTTTCTAAATATGCACCTGTGGACGCAAGCTCTGCACTGTATGTGGGAAAGTCGGAGAGTGAGCATGCATATGCTTTCCTTGATAAACAATCTAGACAAGCTGGGAAACATTGCCGGCTATCTCACAGTGGATCTGGATCACCTGGAATATTGGCCGCAGGGCTTCCTACGAAAGACGGGAAAGTGGGTCTGCGAGATGCCCCGCATTTCAACTCTTTGCAAGATGTATATGCGGGCACTGTGGATGACTCTGAGGCATACGCCAAGCTCGAGGGAAACTATGCATCTGTGCCGGATATGGATCTGTCCTCTTACTGTTCAAATAGGGGCAAACAACCGATTATTTGGTCACGGCGAAAGTTGGCCCACCGCTCTAGTACTGTATCGACAACAAAGTCAACTTCTCCATTGGCTCACAAAGACCCTCCTTCGCTCGAATCAGCGCTAGAAGTTGTTTACGCGATGCCGCACCAATCAATAAGCTCTCTACCTGATTTACCCTTTTTTTCTCAGGACAGCGTGGACTCTGGCTGCGGTCAACACACTATCCAAGAACTACACTCTGGGAAAAGCTTTAATAACAGGACTGAAAGCACTGACATAGGTGATTTGCCCAACTACGCCAAGCCAAAGTTAACTGGATTCCCTTCAGGCCCTTATGCATTGCCAGATTTTTCCACCGATCCCACACCAGCGGACTCCCACAAGATGATGATAGCAACATGCGCCTTGTACTCTTCACCTAATATCATCGAGGAGGCGCCTGGTGGATCTATCGAGTACATGGCAAATAAATGCACTGAGGTGAATGGCTCAGTGGGGATGCAAGTGATGCAACAGGATGATTCCATGGACGTGATTTGTGACGCCCCACCTTCATCCCGCGGTGAATTGAAAGAATCACTGCCACCTGTGCTAGTGACTAAATCACTTCAACTGCAAGCAACGTTAACGCTTCCATTATCGGATGACAGTGGGGATTATTCTATCCCAGCCGATTGCGTTCAGAGTACCGCACCTTCCATGGGTGATCGTTCAGTGAGTATTGAACATGCCCTCAACGACAATCACTCTCTCATGCTTAGGCGAGCAGGGACAGCCCAGTCTCGTGGCTCTCTGGAGAATTTGGCGCTGGCATATCCCGATGACACATATGCAACGCCAATAGACGCCCTCTTTCAAGCTGGTACGCATAAAGACTCCATAGCAGCCCCAAGCTCACCAGCAGGTCGGCGCAGGAGAATCACTTGCACCTCCACTGTGTGCCTTGAATCATCAGGCTCTGAAAGTGAGGACGATGCAGAAGGCTTGTATTCGCGTCCGGCTGATTGGGTGGAGGACGATCCGTGTGAAGTCAGTTGTGAGTGATTGGTGCTGCACTATCTATCGGGTGCGCCTAACGCTTAGTGGAGACATTTGGACATCTTACTTTATAGGCACTGTCGGCAGATTCAGTGATGCTTGCTGTACATAATACGCTTTGTGCATGTTATAGCGGACCGTGAGTGTTATGACTACAGTCACCGTTGTGTTGCTCTGTGCATGTTTGTTGTGAGGTTGTGGACCATATAACGGCCCACTAAAGTCAAAATTATTATTTGTTTTGACCTATAGCGCATGTAACCATTTTTTAATAACAAAGCTGTGCATGGAAGTAGTTCTTTTATTTAACTGGATGTTCATGATGTTTATAGCCAGACAAAAGTCTGAGTGTATTTCTCAAATGTTTCATGATAAGATGATCTAGCTGCAGAACTAACTCACTTCTTGCCCCCATGAAGCCGCATTTGATCATAATACATGATCTGGACAGTTGTAGTGATTATATTATCTTTTGCTGCCAGGATGATAAAGGCAAGCGGATCAATGACTGCATGCATGCCCCCCCCCCCCCCGGCTAGTCTTTCATTTTATTTTCATGACTCTGAGCCGCCAGCATGGTCACATGCTATTTCTTTCCTTGCCAATTCTTGCCTGTTTCACATTATAATTCCTGTTATTCATACCCCTGCCCCAGCATAGGATGACAAGGAAATGCTGTCTTCCATCCCACACTTCTGTCTTTCTTTTCTGCCAATGCCGGATTCACTGAGTCACCATTGGAGGCACTGCCCTTTCAATAGACACCCGGGCCTCGGGTCTATGCCTGACGTTTACAAGCCACGCTCCAAGTTTGTACATGTATGTGGCAGCTTCCTGCTTCTTGGTTGTTGCACGGAGCTGCAGTGTTAACATCAAACACTGTAATTTCTCCTTATTCATGTACCTACGTTTCCCAGGTGCCAATTTCCCCAGCACTGATCACAGGGATGTGGGCCGCGCTGCAAACACTGCAGTGAGGACTGATCACGGGTGTGTTCGGGATATCACAAAATTAATGGAATAGCGATATATATACATGTACCGGTAGTAGTATGAGTTTGCAATTTGGTTCTCAAAAACTGTTATAATTATACAGTACATCAAGTACAGTTGCGCTAGGATATACATGTACATGTACATGAGCGCGCCTGACGAGTCTCGTGTACATTTACGTAACGACAAGCATTACAATGTAGAACAAAGTTGTTCATGTGTCACCAAGAGTACATAACCCCCTTGGTGTCACTATAAGTATACAAAATGTACATGTAAAAAAATTAATAGCAAGAGTACATACATGTAAGCTATTCTCACTATGATAAATAGTGCTCTCATCAGACTCCATTGTCCGTATTTGTTTTCTATGTATCAGGAGTCCTACAAACAAAGCCAACCATTTTTCTTGGAAGGCGAATATAATGACATTGTACTACTGTCTGTAGTACCGGGTTTGTACAACTCGTGGGTGTGTACATGTAGTAGTAGTGCGTGTACCCAAGGTCAGAGTCCGGGCCATGTGCAAAACCAAAACCGGGATAAAGATTGTGACGTCAAACTGCGGGTTCTTTCTGTTCTGATCCAGACCAGATGACTGACGTGTCCCCCCGCCCCGTCCCCCCCCCCCCGGGCCCTGGAGCGGCTGATTTCACATCTGGGCCGTGTGGCACTTGTGTGCATGTACGTGGCTTGTTTCGTTTGCACCGCGACACTCTGACAGCTTGAACAAGACAAGATTTTCTGCTGAGGAAAGTAAAGTTTCACTCTCAGCTTTTGGTGAGCTGTTTGTACGATCACGCCAAACATTAGTCTTCCTTCGTTGGTATGTTCGTCGCGATGTAGATAGAAGATGGTTCTTACACAAGAGTATCGTGTTTGCTTGCCAGTATCCGTGGACGAGGTGAGAAGGCAATGCTACCCTCCCAACAGTCTGACAGTTGCAGATTCTTGTGGAAGTAATAGTTATGATCTTTCTCCCTTCTTCATGTGCAAATTCGTTTGATGTAATTTCCTTATGTGTCCAGTATCGTATCGGACAGTTGTATATGATTGCCAAGCATAGCTTGGAGCAAAGTGACGAAGGAGATGGCGTGGAAATCGTAAAGAACGAGCCCTGCGAGGATCCTGTTCATGGCACTGGGCAGTATACGGAAAAACATATCCATATATCAAAGTGAGTGCTTTGTTGAACACTCTTGGTGTATCATGATCTTTGCATCCCGGTATAATCATGATCATGCTGATGATGGCGCCTGCTCGCCCAAGTCCCGTTCACCGGATACTGTACATGTAGAAGGTGTTCACTTTGAAAAAGTATTTTTAGGCACTGCTTATAAAAAATGTCCTGTCAGAATTTAGCCTTTAGGAATTTCACTGACATTACCTAAGGAATGTGCCCATGTGTTACACTTCTGTCGACAGAAGGGCATGATCTTCCACGTGACTGGGATCCCATGGTGGAGGGGTTGAAACTTGACATTACTAGCAACATATTTAGCAGTTCCATGAAAGCTGTGACCACTGACTCATAGAACGCCCGCCGAGTTCGCAGTCTGATCACAAACACGAACGAGTACAAGACTTTTCACCATCCCTGCTGCTGTCACTCGTACACAAGCACCTCACAGTGTTTCATCGCATTCAGTTTTGTTGGCGATGCAAGGTGGGCGTATTCCGGACACACATTGCTCGATATTGATATTTTCGGCTCTACTGGTAGTCCGTCCCCACCGAAAATGTAGATAAATTCCTCGGATAGTTTTGCATAATTATGCAGAGAAAAAAACATCATAAAGGCTGATTCACAATACGACTTTTTGCGACACGACTTTCAACACCTGCGACGAGCTGCGCCAGCGATATACGTTTCACAATCTTTTTGGTGTTTGCGACGTCCCTGTGCACTAGGGGAGCGCTTGTGCCACCACAGGAACGGTTGGACTTTAGGCTCTTGGCCACCATCAGCCGTTTTAAAAGCTCTGAAAGGCTTATTCTGAATGCATTCAGCTACTTTCACCCCGTTCTCAAAAGCAAGAAGCGCCATGCCATACTATGTTCTACCATTTTTGGTATTATTTGGACAGTGCAACTAAGAGTATACAATTAGGTACAACTGGTACAACTCACTACAACTCTCTGAGTTGTAGTTCAATGTGCTGTCCTATCAAAGTTCATGACGAATGAACCTCCCGATCCCTTCCCTTGCGGTCTGACCACTTGCTCCTTTCAGCACAAGCTGCTTGCTTGGTGTGACCCCGGTCTCATACTAGTACATGTAGTCAGGTCTTCTATAGGAAAGAAAGTATCTGGCAGTGACACATGAACAACTTTGTTCTACATTCTAATGCTTGTCGTTACGTAGATGTATACACATGTGTTGTACATACTTCTGCAAGTCTACACATTTTATTCACCACTGAGACGTTGAAGCACAACTTTCGTGCATCTGTACAGCTGTGTAGTACGGTCTCAGTATCACGTACAATTTTCTTGCGCATTTTCATGGATAACTTGGGGTTTGTGCAAACAAATGAAGGCACAGATAAAGGGCAGTAACAAGGAAAACTGCAGAGGAACGAAAACTGCAGATTTTCACGTTGTCCCGTGGCACGGGGTGTTAGGATGAATGAGCTATGTTTAACTCGCACCCACTCCCACTCAAGCCTTTGTCTTTCTTATTTTGTCGCATCATACACAGCAAATTGCCAGGGTGGATCCGTCCTTTCATCCCCAAGTTTATTCACATCATTGAGAAAGCATGGAACTATTTCCCCTACACGCTCACAGGTTAGTCTATGATATTCCGGATTTACAACTGATTGCTATCAGCCGAGTCGAAATGTTGCACGTTGAATGCATGCTCACAATGTGTGTGACTGTACACTACGTACCAGTGTGTCCATGCCACGCGATGTCATCTAACTAATATGTGTTGTGCGCATGTTGTGTTTTCTTTCGCTGCCTTCTGTCTGGAACAACCTATCTTCAGAGTATGAAGTAAGTTGAAAAGCACAGCACATCTCTAGATTCTGTGAAACATTGTCAAGAATACCTGCCCCTGGTTGTTGTTGTATTATAAGTGGTGCTGCATTGGCATCAACGGCAGCAACAATGCCGCCAAGATACCGATATAGCCTTTTCATAAAGTGATACATTTGGCTGTTATGGGCCGTGCTCTCATCAGATGTCCTATCTCTGCGGTGTCTTCACATCGTGAGAGATCTAGTGCTCTTCCATCTTTATCTGCACACTTGTACCCCAGCCTTTTTGTTTACCATGATGATATGTACTAGTATGCTGATCCTACTCTCTTGCCTGTTCTTATTTGCAGTGCTCCGTTGTACCTCGGTTTAGCGTGAAGGTCGAGACGCGTTATGAAAACAATAACGGCTCGTCGCCCAATGTAAGTGCAGTGTACCCCAATGGCCACTGGGCCATATCGGTCTATAGTTACTTACAGTTTCTCGGTGTTTTCAGGCTAACCGCGAGTCTCCAGACGTTGTAAGCCTTATTGGCTTTTGTCTTGGGTGTCATGATTGGACTTTGGGGAACACGAAAATACCTTTGTCTGAAGATAATTGACCGTCGTCTGCAATGAGATTATGTTGTGTAGTCATGTCCTCTCTATCTATCTATCTATCTCTCTATCTATCTCTATCCATGAAATAGGAACTGTATCAGTATTGACCGCGCGTTCATTTCTGAAAAAGCATCTGGAAATTCGCATTGCATCTTGTACTCCAGCAATGCTTTTCAGCACATGATGGTGTATACTGGCTCAGCTTATTCGGCCTGCATTGCTTGCGTTGTGGTGTGTTTGCAGGCATTGAGCGTTCCCGAATCCGGTCTCGACCGGCCTGTCCATTTCCTGGACATTGCCCACGATGAGGTTGCAGAGAAGAGTTACAAGGAGGAAGAGGACTGTCGCGTGTTCAAGTCCAAGAAGACCGGCCGTGGCCCGCTGTCTGAGAAAGACTGGAAGGATCACGTGTCACCCGTCATGTGTTCCTACAAGCTCGTGACTGCGACGTGTGGAATCTGGGGTGTCCAGGGCAAGATTGAGAACAAAGTCCACGAGGTGAGATCTACTGTGTGTAATGTATGATGCCTTTTATTTTATTTTCAACGCTGGTCTTAGGACTTACTAGTACAGAATATGTATGCAGAGAAGGGTGTGGCGTGCACGCTCGTATCGACATGCCAGCACCCTTTTTTCTCAGAAATAAGTCAAGAATTATGTACTTAGTAGGAGTGTTCACAGTTCAGAATGTATGCCCTTTACGGTATACGCATATAGACTTTATATTGGCAAGTGTGGTGAAGTTGTAATGATCTGTATTCGCTTCCCTTGTTCTCCCTGTGTTGCTGCAGCAAATCCGTGAGATTCTACTGCTGGGACACCGACAAGCATTTGCCTGGATTGATGAATGGCATGGTCAGTTGTTCTTTGTTATCATTTCCAAAATAATGTTTGCCTGTTCATCAGCTAGGACTGGGCAGTATATAAAGACTTCACGCCCTGATCCCTTGTAGCAGTCTGGCAAGTTTACTCCATCAGGATATTCTTCTGCCCATATTACAATGGATGTGTTTCTCTGAACTCTGCTCACTTTGATACAGAGAAACGTGTATTGTTTCTCATGCACGTGCAGGAGCGGTGGCTATGGTGTGCTAACTACTGTGCCAGCAGGGTTGCACATCCTTACGCTGCAGGCTCTCCTCAATGGAGAACAAAATCCTTCTGACTCTGGGTGTTTTTGACCGATGTTTGAATACCTATACTTCTTTTAGTGCATTGTCGCTTCAATCAAAAAAGTGCGCAACAGTGCATATGTGCTGCGTAAAAAAATGTCCATGGTAGCATTTTGGTGTTGACGTACGTCATCATGAATCTTTCATTGCTGGATGGCCCATGGCCCATCATACAGTAAGTTTACCAACCAAGGAACTTATCTGTAAGGCGACAACGGGAAACGTCCGTGCCTTCTTTATCTACCGTACGACAAGCAGCAATGTGCCACAAAGTTTCCTTGCTGGTATGGTAAAATAGCTATGTGTACCAGTGGGAGAGCATATCATGCATCACAATTGAGTCAATAACCTCGACAACAGCGGGGGGAAACTTTACATTGAGCTCCTTCTTTTTGAGCCGCACACTCTGATCTACTATAATCTCTATCTCTTTCTCTCTCGCTCGCTCTCTCTCGCTCTCTCTCGCTCTCGCTCTCTCTCTCTCTCTCTCTCTCTCTCTCTCTCTCTCTCTCTCTCTCTCTCTCTCTCTACTGCTGGCACCTGGTTGGGTATGTGTGATGGCTTCACTTACCCATTGTTTCCTTCATTTTCGTTTGCACTGTGTGTGTGTGTGGTTATTGTTGCTTTGCTGTTGCAGGCATGACGCTTGATGATGTCCGTGAGTATGAGAAAAAAACGAATGAGCAGACAAATGCGAAAACAACTGGAAAGTAGGGCCACTGGAAAGCCTTAATTCTTCACTCACATAATTATGTAAATCCTTCATCCAATGAAAATCATAGTTCGTTTTATTATATTTGAATAGAAGCCCCATCGAATCCTTTGATATAACCGTTATTTATTAGTATTATGGCTCTGCCACTCTGATCATGCAGACAACTGTGTTGCCTGCCTTGCTACTATTGTTTGCAATCCTCGCTGACAGGGTTTACGACTTAGAAAGTCATGTCTAAGAAGTCCAACGCTTATCGCGTGCAGCGATGCGAATGCTTCTTTCTTTCCTCCCTGCTGCCATTTAAACTCATGTTGGTCCTCCTGTCCTCTCTTTCTCTCACTTGTTTTTGGCATTGTGCCACAGCTTTCTTTGCTGAGATGTCCAAGAGTTTCACGTTGTAGTTGAGTTGATTTATTCAGACTGTTGCATAGCTTTTACAGTCTCATACTTTGTTCTGGGTGCAACGCTGAATGTGACTTATAGGCCGTGCATGACTTGGTCCAATTTCTACTTCGTTTTTGGCGTATTGTGCGGATGTACGAAATCCTGTAAATACACACCGGTATATACTACCTGGCATATTGGGTGTCTGTCATACGCACTCGTACTGACACCTCCCAGTTCTTCGAAAATAGCCTACTGTATAAATCCTGTCTAAAACAACGTTGACCATGCACTAGCCAGGGTTGTAACAGTATTGTGATGGAAAGAAAGAATGAATGCTCTTGTAAAATGTATGAGCTTCCTTTTTGTGGTTGAAATACCGGTGAACACACCACAGTCTACATGCAGGGAGTCGTCAGATACGTATTTGACGACTCCCCGCGCTACATGTAGGGTTACGACAGTACAACCAACACCCAGTAGCCTATTCTAAACCACGTAGAACCAGGGAGTCGTAAAAGTATTTTACGACTCCCTGGTAGAACTAATACCAAGAGTATAATTATAACCCCCCCCCCCCCCGTTACTCTTGCTAATACCACATAAATTAACTTAGGGGTCGTCGCAAAAGTTTTCTGTCGTCCCTGAAACGAACATCGTTTATTTCGTACTCGGACCCCCTCCCCTCCCTCTGAAACGAACACAGCCTGCTATGCTGGACGACGAAAATCGCATGCATGAGCATGTCATATGTACAGTGTCGGTCGACTTGCGATTTTGGCTCGCACCCCCTCCCCCCCAAATGAATCATGTTCGTTTCAGGGACGACAAAAAACTTTTGCGACGACCCCTTATTTTTCTTCTTCCGAAAAGCGCACTGTACTATGTGAACTCGTATCGAATGCGAATTTAAGATGCTAAACCTCTTTTCTACTACAAACCGGCCATCGTACAATGCAGCAGAGCCTTCAGCATCATGCATAGCAGAAAGGTAGAGCCCTTTGTAAAAAAAAGAGCAAAAGGGTAAGACATGCCATACGATGCAGCTTCAACTGGTACACGACATTGTACTAAAGCAAAAGGACAAGACACGACCCAAAACAAATTTAAAAAAAAGAAGGAAAACAAACAGCTCTGGTGGTCTAAAGTGGAACAGCACGGGAAATCGACAGCAGGAATACAATAGCAGTTGCATACAAGACAGTGTCCAAAACATAGTAAGTCAAGGTGGAACACAACAGTAAGTCAGTTCAAGTCGCTTAGCCATAATAAGCAGGCTGCGCAGACCAACGAGATTGGTCCGAAGAAGGAGCGTATGTGCCATTGTCATCACTTGGAGCAGGCACGTGATGTTGTCCAGGTGGATGATGCGGATTACCACCAGGCTGGTATGGTCCTGAAGGCGGCTGGCTGAGCAGAGGTGGCCGATAGTTACGTGGAGGTGGTTGCTGCTGCTGCTGCGGTTGGTGTGGTGGCTGGTGGTGGTGCTGCTGCTGATTGTCCATTGGCGGTGGAGCACTACCAACGTATTGTGGATTTGACGAGTTATCATTGTATGCGGCAGGTGCAGACGAGTAGGAGCCAGGGCCTTGTGGCGGCGCTTGCTGATGATAGTTTTGTGGCGGTTGCTGCTGCGAAGGCACACCATAAGGTGCCTGTTGCTGTGGAGGTCCTGGTGGAGGTTGTTGCTGCCCTGGAGCAGGTTGCTGCTGGCCAGGCCCAGCTGACTGATACTGTGTAGCAAATTGGCCAGCAGCGGGTGCATGCGCTTGGCCAGCAGGAGGCATTGATCCAGCCATGCCAGTGGGCATGACACCAGGCTGTTGTTGCTGTGGCTGCGGTTGCTGCTGTGGCTGTGTTTGCTGCTGCTGCTGCTGCTGCTGTTGTTGCTGCTGGAGCATATTGGCAGGTTGTGCAGAAGCAGCAGGAGCACTAGGCACAGGATAAGCAGCAGAAACAGGCTGATATTGAGTTACAGCAGCCGGTGCATATTGACCCATGTATGGGACTGCCTGATATTGCCCCTGAGCCATGGGCTGTTGTGTCTGTTGCATGTTAGCAGGATAAGCTGCAGGTGCAGCATACTGCTGCGCATACTGTTGGGGATATTGTTGAGCGTACTGCTGTGGATACTGTTGAGCGTACTGCTGATAGTACTGTGCCCAAGCAGCAGCATTTGGATCAGCAGCAGCAGCAGCTCCATCCTGCTGTTGGCCAGCCGTATTCTGCATGGCCCACATCTGACCTGCAGCCTGGAGCTGTGCAAGCTGCTGCTCCTCACTCTGCCCGGAGGGAGTAGCCTGAGATGGTGCTTCATACTTGCCAGTTTGGATATATTTCACAAGCGACTCTGTGTTGAGATTTGCAAGGATAGATGAAGCTGTCGAGTCATCTGTGGCAGTGGGAGCTGCCTCGGGTGCAGCTGTGTGGTGGCTGCCACTGGAAGACGCTGTTTGCTCAAATTTACTTCGAATCATTCCCTCTGCTGCTTTGCACTGCTCTGCTGTTCCACGCACTAAGAAAACCTTGTCACCGGACGCCTGTACTGCATCACGAATTAGCTCGATATGCGCACCGGATTCAGTCTGCATCTGACGTATAGTCTCACCACCACGGCCGATGATCAAACCAGTATGTTTAGGAGGCACAGAAACACTAACAGACACAGTGGCTGCCGAGCCATCATAGCCACCGTGCTCACCAACAATAGATTCAACCATTGCCTTGGCCTTGGGTAAAGAATCTGGCATGCCGTTCAGAATGGCAACTCTCTGAGGCGGCAGTTCCCCATCTCCATCAGGCTTAAACTGAATGTTAACACCCGTCTCGGCCTGTATCCGCTTTATCGTTTCACCGCCTTTCCCAATAATTGAGCCAACACTCTCTCTGGGAACTAGCATTTCTAGCTTATTTGCTGGATTGATTGCTGAAATATTCTGAGAATCATTGGAGATGATCTCGGATATCTTGGCACGAGCCAGTTGGACTGCATCTCTCGGACCTTCGAGGCGAAGAGGCTTTTCCGTTGCATTGGCATACACACCATCCTGTATAAGTTGAATACGACATCCAGTTTCCGCCTGAAGGCGCTTGATTGTGTCACCTCCCTTGCCAATAACCAGACCAGCACTGCTTTTTGTCACCATCATCTCAAAACGATCATGACCAGGCGGAAGTGGTGGCAATGGCGCACCCGCTGCTGCAGCTGGGTTAAAGCCCTGCCCTTGTGCAAATCCAGGGCCCGGGTGCTGTCCACCTTCACCACCTTGGGCACCTGGCAAATTTCTTGCAGCAGATAGGGCAACTTGAAGACCAGCCAATCCAGCTGGAACCCCTAGCATCTGCAGACCCCTTCCAGCAAGTCCAACATTAGCCAATAAACCAGCAACTATGTTAGGCCGAATCAAACCAACGCCTGGAACTGCTTTCGGGAAAGCACCAGCAATTCCAGCTTCACTGGTACCTCCACCAGCACGTACACCAATGAATTTCGTAATCAGCTGCTTCGCTCGTATCACCTGAGCAGATGATCCGGATATTTTGATATGTCCGTCAGCTTCCCCTGTTGAGTTCGAGGGCGGATTCTGACAGGATATGGAAGCACCACTCTCTGCTTCAAATTTTGCCAGCAATTCACCATTTCGCCCTATTACTGAGCTTACAAGGCGCTGAGGAATTGTCACAAAGTCAGTCGATGAATCTCCATTATGACCAGCAACCTTTTTGGCAGGATGCTCATATCCGTCATGAATAGTATCGTGCGGACGCTTTACACTGGATGCGTGACCAACATCCATTTTTCATTGCATCTACAGCATTCTTCGAATCGCATAGATAGAGCTCGAAGAACCAACAAAACTCTGCTACAGCCTACAGCTAGCAACTCACGGCAGACTTCGCTATCCAACACAATTTCTTCAAAACATAAATTTCCCACTCAACTTGTAAAAATCGTGATTTGTGTTGCCATTTTGTTCGTGTGCGCGCAAGCGCGAGGTCCTCTTTTCGCCTTTCGTCCATCAAAGCAGTTGCTGAGATCGCAAGCTTTGTTGGTGGAAAAATGCCTCCCAAATTCGACCCCAACGAGATCAAGATCGGTAAGCAAGGAAGGCAGGATGGAGAGGAAACCTATGGATCCTGTTTTGACGTTGGAGCTGCTTTCGTGTTGTGTTGATAGTGTATCTTCGCGCGACTGGTGGCGAAGTCGGTGCAACTTCGGCATTAGCCCCCAAAGTCGGTCCATTGGGATTGGTAAATAGTCTGCTGATCATGGTTCATGCTGATCACTTGGACAGAGTAGTGAGGAGTGTGTGTTCCGTGTATCATTTTGTCCTATGCATTCTTAGTCACCAAAGAAGGTCGGTGATGACATTGCCAAGGCAACTCAGGACTGGAAAGGTCTTAGAATTACTGTAAAGCTGACCATCCAGAACCGTCAAGCTGCAGTGTCCATTGTACCTAGTGCCTCCTCGCAGATTATTAAGGCTTTGAAAGAGCCTCCTCGTGATCGCAAGAAGGTCAAAAACAGTAAGTACTTTAGTGCATGTAATTGTGTTGTAAATTCTAAATTTCGTTAATTCTTGTACGCACGCATGCTTGCTAGACTTTTCACTCAACATTTCCAAATGCTAGTTTTTTACGATGTCCTGGTGTGGCGTGTCGCAATGTAGAATTATGACTTGGGATATCAAAGACACAAAATAAGTGTTTGGTGGGCAACTGAACTGAGTTGCACTCAGCGCGATATTTTTACTGAAATCAATCGTTGATCGTGGATTTTTTTACCAAAAAATATAAAAAATAATGTAAGACCATACTAAGACCATACAGTATGCTGTTACCAGTGCTCCCCGGCGTTCATTGTAATGTCAATAATTCCTTGTGTACGTGTTTGTTAACAAGCTCAACAGTGTGTACTAGGATGTGGTTTTGACTCGCGAGGTCACAGAGTCGCCTGTTTGCTTGCCAAGTGCAGTAGCAATGTGGGCACATTTGCCTCGCAACAGTGACTTGTGCTCTTATCCTCTGGCGGGCCTACACCCTTGAGTGCCTGAATGTAGATTATGCCAGATACCTTTTGTACAGACAAACTTATCATTATTTAGTTCTAAGACCAGTTTCAGTGCTGTATGTTGTGCTATGTACTGTAAACCGTGAAATTATTGCGGTCTAATTTCTGCGAAATTCGCGACCGCGTGGAAATTGCGAAATTTAGACAGCGCGAAAAGGAGATCCATGAAAGGTTTAGCAAGAATGCCACAGGTTTAGCAAGAATGCCATTCTGCAATCGCAAAATTAAAACCTCGCAAACCTGTCCGGATTCTGAAAACGCGAACTAAAAACGCCGCGAAAATTTCACGCTTTACAGTAATTGTGTATGCTTGCAAAAATGCAGACAACGATTGTATGTGAGAATTGTACAGTGTCTGCACGTGTGCATGCTTTTGCCACAGTGTAACACATCGGTGCCCGCACTGTCTGTGTCGTGTATTTTTTTCTTTTGTTACAGTCAAGCACACTGGCAATGTCCCGCTGGAGCAGATCATCGAGATTGCCCGCATCATGAGGCCACGCAGCATGGCTCGTCAGTTGAGTGGAACTGTGAAGGAGATCCTCGGAACCGCACAGTCTGTCGGATGCACCGTTGAGGGCAGTGACGCCCATGATGTCATTGAGCAGATCGATCAGGGTGAAATCACCATCCCTGTAAGTTCTGTTTATTGCATTTTCTCTGTGATAAAACACGTCTTTGACAAGCTCTCCCATTGGGCGTGAGAGTGATGACGTCAGATATAAATGAACGGCTTTTATCACAAGAAACACGACATATCCACATCCAACAGACTTGAGCGGGTAATGATGCGACAGGCCTATCCGAATGTCCGATGGCTGTAGTGCTTCGTGTGCTAGTTTATATTCCTCAAACGGATTTGTAATAACCTTCTTGACAGATCTACTGATTAGCCAGCCGACCTATTGTATGTGCTGTCACTGCCTTGTCCGGTGCAGATATTCATTGTATGTGTCCCAGATACCTGTTATACTGACCTTTTGTTTGTGTTCTTTCTGTGTCCTTTCTTCCTCCAGGACGAGTAAACCCACCACAAACGCTTCAATAAAAAAAAGATAAAACTTATTTACTTCCTGATCTCTGTGTGAGTGTTCTTGGAGCATTGGGGATTGCCAGGTACCTGTGTGAGGCTGTGTTGTGGATATGCCGTCTGCAATTTGCCAGCTGCGTCAAATGTGCAAGGTCAGAAAATAGAGCAGAGTGCCATGCTTGTGCACATGCTTTCAGATGCCTTTTTGCATCGGCGATTGCGTCCAAATTGCGTTGCATGTATTTTCCATATTTAGTACTTTTGTATACTGTAATGTCGCGTATAAAAGCAGGTGCTTACGGCCGTGTAAGCCGGGGTTAAAATCATGCTTCTACGCCAACATCAGCAGTCTACACTGTGCAGTGCATACTGCCACGCATGTACTTGCACGTGTACTTTGCAAAGAGCAGCTTCTATTCAAATCCTGCTTCTGTGCCACTGCGCGCTTCGAAAAACCGGCTTCCATTCGAGTCATGCTTTTATACGCGACACTACAGTATGTACTGTACTTGCATTTGACCTGTACAGTAGATTTTCTACAGTGGTGACTAATGTAATCCAACCTGGCCTTCATGGGTTCATTTTGGAAGAGATAAGTGTGCTTGTGTGAAGTCTCTTTTTCCTGCATTCAACTGTCTCCACTTGATACCGCGGTTCCGCAGACGCCTAATTTTCCGCGTTATCGCCTGTCATCAATGCTTTCGAGTGATTTTGCATAAAACCCGCGTTATTCATGGAATGTGCAAGCAATTAGTACAGGATGTTGAAAATACACTACAAAGTCATACCGGTGCATGAGTTTGTTCGACAAAGTTGTATACTTGCATGAAACTTCATGCTAAAGTTGTACAAATCTGCGAAGGCGACACACGGTTCACAATAATTCTTCATGTTTGCGACATCATCATGCACAAGTAGTACTATGCACGTGCACTGTACGTGCACGCAGGGTCGAAACTGTACTTCATTTGTGTATGTCGCAAAAGTTGAACTTTCTTCAACTTCTGCGACAGGTGCATTGCGACAGCTCGCGACTGGCAGTTTCTTGTCGCAAATCGCGTGTCGCGTCGCAGAAAGTTGTATTGTGAATCGGCCTTTAGCTATAGGCTGTCCCCTTGGAAAAACGCGATTCCGCGGTCACGGCAAATTTCGCAGAAATTGCCATCATCCGCGGAAATCACGGAATCCACACTTTTGCCCGCGGAATTTGAATTTTTAGGGTAAATTAGTAAAATTACTAAGAAAGCAGCAGAAAAACTACTTTGCGATCTGATTGAGCACATGATCTTGCCAGTGTAGGTGAGTGCAGGATAGGGGTGCGTTTGGTTGGTACGATCTAGAACAGGATCGAACAGCTGGTGCACATGGAGCAGCCTCATGTCAACCAAACGGTACTCCAGAAACAGAGCACATTTTTGTGAAAAATGTGCCAAACTTGGTGCGCGTACGTGCATTCTTCATAATGTGTATGGCTATATATGGGTCACCGTGGTCACTTTGTACGGTACAACGAATCCAACCCCAAATCGTATGCATGTGATCATTTGGGACCAAAATCGATGTTCCCGCCAGGTTTCACAGTGAAAAAGGGAAACTGCTCGGTCTGCTCCGGCCTCGAGGCTGGAGTAAGCAGAACATGTTCTGGCCGACCCAGAACAGGTGCAGTCCCAACCAAACGCGCTGTTCTGGTGAATCCTGTTCTAGTTCGTACCAACCAAAGGCGCCCTAGGCCTTTCCCAAATCGGCCGGTCGAAAAGTAGACTTTTCAGAAAATCGCCGATCTTTTGGCCGAATTCTGAGATTTTACCAAGAAATCGCCGAATATACATGTTTTGCAGAGTCGTGGGCAACTGGGCATGACCGCTCGTGCGCGCCTGCATCACGGCTCGTGGGCATTTTCCAAATCGGCCGGCCGAAAATAGTGGTTTTGAAGAAATCACCGATCTTTTAGCCGAATACGCAATTTTCGCACTGAATTCGCCGAAAATTGATGTTTTAGTGCCTCAATAGCATGCAAATACAATTTCTGTAGCCAGTAGAGAGGTTCTGCACAACGAAAGTTCGAACGAAGTTTCGCGACAGGCCTTGCGAAAGTGTGTACGAATTTTCGCACGAACTTTGTGTTCTGCACATTTTCGTAGTTTGCACGCGCCAAGTGCACGTACGACATGACCCAATCTCACGAAACTTCCTACGAAAGTTCATTTCGCGTGCCCTGCAAGTTTCGCGTCCAAAGTTGCGAAAGTTCGTGCGAAGTTTCTCACTTCGTGACGTAGAGCGAAAGTTCGTACACATTTTCGTTTTGCAGAACCTCTCTAGTATCTGCGAATGGTGGCTGCGACTTAAGATGCGAATTTCCACCTTTTACAGAAATTTTCAGCCGATTCTGGCGATTTTTTCAGCCGATCGAAAAGCCGAATAGGCCAAAATAAATGGCCGATTTGGGAAAGGCCTAGTGCAGGATCTCCAAGATTCTTCACTCTCAAGTCAGTTTGTGACTGCAAAGGATAGTGTGAAAAGTGCTCCTCCACGCAACTAGTTGTCATATCCTCTACAAGGAGGGTGAAAACTTGCAGAAAGTGCCGCAGATTTTTGATTTGACCACAGAAAATGCCGCAGAAAACTCCCCTTTTCCCCACGGAATTTTGAATTATTGGCCGCGTTTTCCCAAAGGGACAGTTTAGGCTGTGGCGTTTTTAGAATTTCAGGCTGGACCTTCTTGGGCTCCGCTTTCTTCAGCGCACGACTCTACTGTATGTGCAGTGGGCAGCACCCAGTTTCAGCACACTCGGACGTCTCTTATCCGGGCACTGCCCGTATTTCAGGATAACTCCTCTACAGTAGAGTCACACGCTGACGAACATTGAGCCCAAGAACGTCCAGCCTGAAATGCTAAGAACAGCCCAGCCTAAAGTTAAGAATGGTGGTGTTGGTTTTCCGGTAGCTTCTGGGATAGATATGATCCAGTACGAATTGTTTCTAAGAACGCAGCCAGATTGCCCAACAAAATATGAACGCCCCAGGCTAACCCCCTGGAAACAACGTTCTTGGACGCGCGACTCATGTATCCTATCGGTGTTTAGGCACATATTGCACATGTTCAGGCTGCAAAAAGAATCCATTGGTAAAAAATGTGTCGATTACACATGTTGGCAGTGAGGAGTAAGCACTTACGCAGACAAAAAGGTTCAACTCCCTCAAATTCGTAGTGTTTTTGCCATAGGAACTAAAGGTTAAGGTGGCTGGGGCGGTACAACTTTTTTGGGAAATTGTTGACTGCATTTTTGAGTTTATCGGCAAGGCAGAGATGAAATTTGAAAATGTTTTCTGGTGAATCTCTGGAGAAGAGCATTCTCTAGCTTCCTATAGTTTTAGTTTTACTTTTGGACAACATTTGGAAACGTTTTATGAAAGGTTCGTGTAATTTTTTTCACAGACCTTTCATAAAACTTTTTTAAATTTTGTCCAAAAGTAAAAATAAAATTATAGGAAGCTAGAGAAGGCTCTTCTTCAGAGATTCACCAGAAAAAAATTTCAAATTTCATCTCCACCTTGCCGATAAACTTAAAAATGCAGTCAAAAGAGAGAGAGAGAGAGAGAGAGAGAGAGAGAGAGAGAGAGAGAGAGAGAGAGAGAGAGAGAGAGAGAGAGAGAGAGAGAGAGAGAGAGAGAGAGAGAGAAAGAAAGAGAGAAAGAGAGAAAGAGAGAGAGAGAGAGAGAGAGAGAGAGAGAGAGAGAGAGAGAGAGAGAGAGAGAGAGAGAGAGAGAGAGAAAGAGAGAAAGAGAGAGAGAGAGAGATGCCTGTATCTGAGGCGCCCGGATAAGAGACGTTTCAGTGTACTCCATTGATGCAGTGTAAACACATTTTGGGGGCTGATTTATCTTTGTGACAAACGGTACGTTTTTAGCCAAACTGGGCCAAATGTTGCGTAGAGCGACCCATTTCACCTTGTACCGTGTATATAGCGCCATAATGTTTGTACCACGTGAATTAAAAGCTATACTCATGGCAACAGGGTACTCAAATTAGCGTGCATCTTGCTATTAAAGGTCAAACCCAAATCTCAGTATTTTTTCCCCTAGTACGGTAGTACCGTTACAACATAATGTTTTTTGCTAAGGGTGTCTTTTGATTGACTTCTCTGACATTGGCCTTGTGACAGATATTTCGTTGTCGCGAAAGGAGGTCACCATGCAATTGCCATGTGTCATTGGAAGTGACAGTAGTCCGGAACAGTGCAGTATCCTATACATTTGGCCTCGGAGTTGTAAAATACATTGCCTATGGTCCTAGACAGGCAGTCGTAAAATACCGGTATTTTACGACTCCCTGACCCTACACCTAGTACCAAAGTGGGGGGGGGGGGGGTTATTATACTCTTGCTAGTATGAGTATGATGAAAAGTACTGTATATAACTCTTGGTATGATGCAATGATGGGATGGATTTGTGTTCTTGGCAGGGAGTCGTAAAGTATTTTACGACTCCCTGGCTCTTGGATATCTTCAGGGACATTCCTCGAGTACCAAGAGTATAACCTTATACACTTGCTAGTATCGTAAAATCCCGCCAGAGCACCCCGTCTCTCCCATCCGCCCCTCCCTGACTTCTTGTCAGGGACGTGATTGATTGTATCCTCGTATGACTCTGTCACAGTCTGTGATGCCGTACTGCACTGCAGCCGCGTGCTCGACCCCGTTGGAAATGTACGCAACAGTGCCCACCCTCCTGACCCGGGATCGCACAAACCCTGCGTTTTGTCGGGTCTGTCCGACTCCTGGCTCTTGACCTTTGGTCGGTGTACGAGATGCACGAACAGTTTTCGTAGGGTGAGTACTTTTTCATGTAGCACTGAATCCGGCAAGTAGGACTCGCCCATCCGCCCCTCCCCACCTGAAGCGTCGAGGAGGTAGGGGCGCTCTGGCGGGATTTTACGGTACATGTGCTGATCAGCAGGGAGCCCTGCATATGTGTAGCTAAGGGTTCCCTGCTGGGCAGTTGTGTGATAATTATGGAATCCGACTAAAAGTGCATACTTTGAAGTAATATTTTCGTACTTTCGCCTTGTGCAATCAGTATAGGGCTTGAAAGTGATGACGTCAAAACGGCCAGGGAGTAGTAAGTTGACATCAGATTTCTATTTTTGGATCCACTAAGGTGCGACTTTGCTATTGCCTAAGTATGTGGGTGCATAGCAACCCACTCATGTCGCATGCAGGTGTGACTTTATTTCGCCACCAGTTGTAACCCCGCCCCCAGTAGCCAAATCAGTCAGTTTCACTGGCTACATCACCATGCTGTGGGTAAGACCGCTTGAAATGTGCTTGGATCCATACAAAAACTGGATCCAAGTGGATCCAGTTTTTGAATTTTTGAAATTGTTGCTATGCTGTGACGTAGCACTTTCAAGCCCTATTTATAAAATATCCCAGATATGTGTGACAGATGCATTGAAATGCTTGCAATGCACAAAAAGGCATGCCTGCAGGGTTGACTCCAGTTCGGGCAGCTTCGCCCTATGTGCCGGCAGGTGGTGCCGATCATGCCCCCGCGGGCCCAATCCAGTACATGTACATGTACCCATGCAGGCAAGTACCCATACTCTCTTCACACTGCATGGGCCAGGTTTGACTAGCAGTGCAACCCATATCACCTCATCGCACACAGGTCTGGATTTCGGACATCAACTTTCCAAGGGAAAGCTTGTTGTGCACGGCCTCAATGAAGCAAGCACAACTAGCACGCTAGAAATGAGACATCACTACGCTAATCCGTTAGTTCAGCGCCGTCCCCATTTGCAACATGTCATGTGGTCAAAACAATAATGGGGACTTTCTCCATGGATAGCGCAAGGAGGTGTGTGGCATCTTTCCAGAAAATAGATAAGAATATGCTCAAAAATCAAAAAAATGTTGAGGAACAGGATTTCATGAACTATGATTGGTGACTAGAAGTACCTGTGCTATAATATACCCATATACCCGTATACCCGTAGGAAAATAAAATGGGACTCGCAGGCTATACACAGTGCAGAAGTGGAAGCTCATGCTTGAAATGCTAAACATAGTGAGACTGGACAGCGGCCATTGTCAGCGTCCAGTTGGACGAAATGCAAAAAAAAGAAGAAATAAAGTACTGAAAACGACTCTCAACTCCAGGATAGCAGTCAGTAGAGCAGCAGCTGTTAGTGCTCCGCGATATAGATGCATTCGCCACGCCGGGCTTGTTTGAGTGAAATTGACCAGTTCATGGTTGAGTACGAGGCACGCTTCAACGTTCCTTCCGGTTGCAAAGTCGCCTCTGGTAAGATTTAAAAAGGGGGGAGGGGGATGGACCCTCAGCCGACCAGCGACGTTTCACTTGACTAACATATAATCCGCACCTGGGAAAAGAGAACGATAGCAATTCACAGCAACAAGGAACACCTGATCACAACAAGCAGACTGGTTGCTAGACGATTTGCAGTACACACAGGGCACAAACAGCGGTCTATTTAGGTAAAGCTGTTGCTATGGACACCCACCCCCACACACGCACACCTACAACCACACACTTGTACTTGCTCACTGCCAAAACTGGTTACATGGGTCTCCCTGGAGAAGGGAACAGACATTCAACAGGAATCTTGGAAAGATGACTCAATAAATTATTGTGAAAAAGGAGAAGGACAAAATGTTACGAGTTATGACTAACTGTCCAATAAATAACTGATCAATAAATTTAACTAGGATGTGCCATTTTGTCGCACTCGCTGACTGTATAAGATCTGGTTCCGTTGGTAGACAGTTAGTCATAACTCGTAACATTTTGTCCTCCTTTTTCACCATGATCAATAAATTATTGGTTGTTGAACCGCCCAACGGCCAACACCCCTGAAATCCCCAAACCCCGGGTAGACTTGAAAATTATCGCACTTACGGGATCACCACACCTCAGTAAGCGGGTGAAGACAGGACACACACGTATACACACGATGCACGCAGAGTTACTCACTATCAGCGCCACTATCAGCTGGACGGAGCGTAGCGAGTCGATGCTTGGATGGTACGGGACTGTTTGTAGCACCAGGCGTAGTGGCAGTGGAGGCAACAGCAGCAGCGGGTCGTGAGTTAGTCTGAGAGGCAGCAGGGTGGCGTCCACTGACACTGGGTCCAGCTGACCTGTCGTAAAAATTCTCGTATTCAACGGGCACTGCAAAGCAACATGGACAGGGTTGGAGTCAATTTCGCTAAAGAAGAACTAAAGACAAGGACTGTAATTCCGTGCATATAGGCACACGGGCCTGTATTCGGATATAAGCCTACCATCGTTTATAAACCCATGGGCTAATAAACAAACACAAAATCAATACAGGCTTTGTCAAGAATAATTTTTTGACAACATGGACTCTTGCCACCATGGTACAGCAGGTCCGCGCAGTTCACCTATACCGAACGGTAGAACCACTGTGCACGCTGACTTGTACGTTTTTGTATACCTGCAAAATTCGAACCTTGGCCCAGGGCTAAAAAACGAACAATTCTTACTGGAAGTCTCAGCTGTGAAGGACGTTGGCAGATGTTCATGCATGTCGATGACGATACTATGAAGAGTACATAACCCCCAAGAGTGTGCAACTCCAGCTATGGGGTCTGCGACGGCAGAACTTCCACATCACGTGATGAACCCGTACACATTATTTGCACTCTGTGCATGATTGATACAGGGTTGTACGAAACCCAGCTTTGGGTACATCTCTCTTGTGATCACTTTGCACTGTTTTCCAGTGTAACCTTTTGAACCATGTCACGTGATGTGAAGTTCTGCCGTCGCAGCACAGCATAGAGGTTGTGCAGGCAGTTGCACACTCTTGGGGTTATGTACTCTTGATACTTCAAAAGGTTATAGGCCATTCACACGACGGGCAAACTTACTTTTATCGTACCGTTTCCGAGGATATTTACTCGGATACGATAAACTTGGACACACGCGTGCAACTGATTTTTTATCTTGGCCGAGGCCCTTTTGCTCGTGATTATCTTTGCACGCCAGGAAAAGTGTCGGTTGTTGAAAGTGCGTACTGCAAATGCAGTGCTTGAACAAGGGAAAATTCAAAATAGAACATTTCCCGGCATTTTCAGGTCACTATGGATACATTGACGGTTGCAAAGTTTGCCCAGCACCGTGTGAACTGGATCACGGTTTGCCAGTGTTATCTTCGTCACACGCGTGCAAATGTTTGCACGTCGTGTGAATGGCCTATTATGCTGGCAAACAGTGCAAAGTGACCACAAGAGAGTTGTACCCAAAGCTGGGCTGCGTACAACCCTGTACCTATCATGCACAGAGCTAGAGTGCAAATAATGTGTACGGGTTCATCACGTGATGTGAAGTTCTGCCGTCGCAGACCCCATAGCTGGAGTTGCACACTCTCGGGGTTATGTACTCTTGATACTATTGATACGATACTATTGATCTTCGCATCTTTTGAGCCACACAAGTTGTGTGGAATGTTGCTTTGCGTTCTTGAATCGTGGTTTGACCGTATTGTCCAATGGTCTTACCAGTATCGTCATCGACATGCATGAACATCCGCCAACGTCCTTCACAGCTGAGACGTTCAGCTCGTGCTTATCTTACTTGAATTCTTACTGGATATTTTTAATATACAGAACCTGCATAATTTCGCAATAAGCACGGAATTACGGTACAACTGTAATCGGAACACACAAGGGTTGATCTTCCGTAGCCAAAAGGAATACTCCGGAAGGTAGCGTACAAAAGTGCACCACAGTTGTATCAGGCCACCCAGAATCAATTCGTTGCTTTGGGCCACCCCACTGACCGTGGTCTTCCACGTGACCGCAGAAATGTTTTTTTAAGGATAGAATCAGGACGTTAGGGCCGGGTTCCACTGCGGCTCCGCTGCTTGTCATCCGCGGCTTGAAACGTCATCATTACCATAGTAGCCGCGGCTCGAGCTAGAGCAGCAAGGCCGCGGCTCACCGCGAGCTTTCGCTACGATTCTCGATCAAAAACTGCGAGCCGTGGTCGCGGCTCGACTTGTTTCCCGCACTTTGCATTGTTGTGTACGGGAGAATTTTAAAATTCAAATTTTAATTCGTTGCGCAGGCCAGAACACGAGGATTTTTTCAATTTCGCGCAGGTGAAACGTCATCAAAAAATGTGGAGCACGACCGCGGTACCGCGAATGGTGACTGTCAGTGGAACCGCGCTGCTCCGCTGCATGCGGCCAAGTGCCGCGGAGCCGCAGTGGAACCCGGCCCTTATCGCCTTGCTGCTCGATGACAGGTGCTTTGGTGGAACTAGCTCCTCAGATCGCAAAAATTTAGTGACGCAAACATTGGGCAGTTTTACAGTAGTCTCATTAAGTTCATGAGTTTGAGAGTTACAAAGGGAAATGTCTGAAAAGAGATTGACTGTCATCAACACCACTCTGAATCAAAATGTCCGTTTTCCAAATGCACTCGTCAATCAGGTGCACATCGACAGCATGTTCGATTGTCGTATTAGTACCCCCCCCCCCCCCCCCCCCCCGCCGGCAATACATTGGTTTTCCAATGTTCTTCATTGCTAAGTCTAAAATACACTGTGAAAAGAGTGAACATGGCTAAGCACATGCAAGCGTTCAGGAGGCCAGGTAGACATGTATGACCGGTACAGGTGTCCAGCACATTATAAACCAGCATAATTTTCAGTACTAGTAACCAAAATGTCCTCTTCATGCACATTGCAGCAGTAAATCAGATTTCTTAGTTGCCGGATTACAACGGGACCACAGTATTCCTGTATGAAGCTGTAGAGAACAGTGACAGGTGTGTACGAGCGCATGCACTCATCCAATGTTTGACTCACATGGTCGTTCACCCCCTGTCCCCTTTTGCTTGACAAACGTGCGAATGTCCAGTTCCTCGTCGCATTTCTCGAGTGATACCCGCACCGTCTCGTACATCTGTAAGCAGAGTCACACAACGCAAGATGTGCATTCGGCGATCTCACCAAGACAGAACAAACACGTAAAAAATGGCGCAGCTCCGCGAGTGACCACAACGGAACACCTGGTAAGTGATCGTTAGTCCACGCTACAACAAAGTGCACTGCATTTAGCAACCACCGGCATTGGTGAACAGTTTTTATATACCAAACATCATATTATGGAGGTTTAGCAAGATGAATTTCGCGCTTGTGTTCACACTCCCCTCTGTAACGGATTAGGTATGAGGCACGGGTAACAGAAATTAGTCGTGAAGCCCAACCTGTTGTTACAGGAAATGTTGTTACATCCAATGTCCACTGTATCTATCATTATACCTCATCCTCCTGAACAGCCATGGACGAACAGACGTTGGAGTACTTCCACATTATTCCACGTAGAAAGATGATCCTGTCCTGCTCAATGTCTTGCAGTTGCTGCAAAGACAAGAGGGAAGATGAACAAAAATTAAAGACACCCATCCCCAACAGCAGCAGACCCTTGAGGTCACCCAACATGCAACAGCATGCAACCTTTTGGGAATTGATTTACTGCCTAGGGATACCGACAGGATCATGCTTGCAAGACGAGCAAAGCGGATACCTCTCCATGTACACGTCGTACTGACCTTGCAGCCAACTTCCATGTCCTTCTCCCATAAATCACGGTTCTCCTCCAAGGTCCGCACGGCCTCCAAGTAGACAGCATCGGCCGTTTCTGCCGCTGCTCGGGCTCGTTTCGCTTTACTTTTCAGCTGTGCAAGTGTAGAAAGAGGAGAAGAAATTTAGTCCACTTACCAACTGAACAGTCACTCACACACACATCGACCCATACACACACATGCACAGACACAGCGACCCCCCCCCCCCCCCCCCCGCCACACACACACTCACACACACAGCGACCCATACACACACACTCATAGAGCATACACGATGCTTACTGGGTTAATTTAAATATCCCAGTATATAGTAGGCCGGGGTAGAGCGAAAGATGACTCTCTCAAAATTAATAGTGTACAACCTGAGCAAAGTGCATCAATTATCTGTTTCCTTTGTCCAGTGGATTAGCTACATGGGCCTCCCACTTCAGTCCATTCAGAAAATGCTGAGGTCACATGCTGTCGACCATGTTGGTTCCACTAGCCACGTGCGATGAGCGCTTTCTATACAAATTTAGCCACATGAGAAAGATGTGCAACCACTGTATTGGAAGAGCACTTCACACCAGATTGCCAAAACTGAAAAAATTCTGATACACCAGCTAGGCTTGCCACACAAAGGAGTTCAATGCTGCGGTCTCTTCAGTGCAGAAGTATCAGTGTCATGGCTTACTTCGTCCAGTTTCTTCGCGGGCAAGTGGCTGCTTTTGGAAACCGTTTCTTCGGCCTTGTCCGCTGCTCTACACTTGGAGTAGTAGTCTTGTTTAGCCTGAATAGCAGAACAACAGGGAGAGAGAGAGAGAGAGAGAGAGAGAGAGAGAGAGAGAGAGAGAGAGAGAGAGAGAGAAAGAGAGACACGGAGGAGGAGAGAGAGAGAGAGACAGACAGGCAGACAGACAGAGATGGAGGCAGAGAGAGAGACAGAGCAAAGCAAAGAGAAACGGGTCACTGTGTTCGATTATTGGATTTCCACAACAGGACATACTGAGTTGTAGCCGTCAAGAAGTGTGATGACCTTACCTTGTTCTCATTAAGATAAGACGTCTTCTTAGTTCCTTGTGCCTTCTTCACTAAATCTTCAATCTAACAAAGCAGGACAAAAATTGAGAAGGGCGTTGGCCAGGTTGGTGACAGTTTCCCAAAACGACTCACAGTCCCAATCCAAGGGAACTCCTAATCCCAACAGCAAGAAAGGACTATCAAGCTGGTATAGATATTGAAATTAGTGCGGGTGGAGCGGTCCAACCGTGCATCTAGATCAGAGAGCCCTCCCCTACCAAATTCAATTTTCACAACATGGAGCTTCTCAAGCTGGGAAAAGTACTGACACATATTCGCATTGACTTGGAACCTACTGCTGGCGTTGACACGCTCAAGCACCATGCTTGGAATCAGTAGCAGTGTACCTTTTTCCTCGCATCACGCTGCTTCTCCTTGAAGTCCTTGACTGCTTTCTCGAGCTCTGACGACATCCTCTGTGAGACTGCAAAGTGCTCCCTGCTGCAGGACTCCGTTTCTAACCAACAAAGACAAAGACAGCAACACAGAAGTTTTGACTTAGCACAGGCCGGGTGCCACTACTGTATAGTGATGTAGTGATAAATTCTGCGGTGCAAGCTTGCAGCCAGTTTCCTACGTTGAGACTCATACTACTTCAAGGTAGTTGCTCAGATCGAATCCTCAAGAAAGTATTTTATTCTCGCACCCTATAACGCACACATGAAAAACCCCGTAGTTCAAAGGATGCTAGCCAAGACTGTACTGGCTCATTGTCGTATGTCTTGCAGTGAGTTGGTTGCAGGGGCTGTTCTCTTTACGGGCGAGCCAATAACCACTACATAGGCAATATGTGATTGTCAACCTGAGTACTGCGAAGTACAGTCGAATGTCACTTATCCGACCACTTCGGGAATCAGGTATGTTGGATAACTGATATCATTTTTTATGTATACAATAAATGAGGAGGCCGAGGGTTTATGACCAATAAAAACTATTATAAAAACCTCGGTCCCGTATTTAGAATCAACCAGTAAAAACTCCTACTCAATCTCCAACAACAAAATTAGTGGACAGTTGTTATTTGTGTTGCTATGACAACTCGTGTGCTGGATGAGTATTTGTTGTCATTGGTTCAATTTCTTTTACTCTTCATAGGCTATCAGATCATTTTCCTTATTCGGTCTATTTATAACCAGTATCTATAATGAGAGTGTGGTCTGTCTCCATGGTTACCGGTGTTCATTTCATAACTATAGCCACTTCTCCTTGTTAGACCTTCTCTGGAAGGCCCATTCTTGCATACTGTAAATATACAAAAATTTCGGCGCTGCAAAATTTCGGCACTTCACGATTTTTGACATTTCGGCGACGATTTATTTTCGGCGTGGGGTAGAGGGCATGGTATAGTGCGACAGATCTAGATGCTGTGAAAATTTCATCGGCGTTTTAATTTAGGCGTTTTGGGTCGGTGCCGAATACAGCCGAAATTAAGGGGCCGTCCGTAAATATCGAACTTTTTTCACCAAACGAATTATTTTAGTTTAGACCCAACCCCTCCCTCCCTCCCCCTCAGAACGTAAAAATTGTTGACATATACATGCATATACAACAAAAGTCGCAAGTGTGTCACTGCTCCTATGGCCATGTACATGTATCAAACTTTTCTGAAACGAAATTCGTCAACCCCCTCCCACCCCATAACGAAATTATTTCGTTTCGTGAAAAAAGTTCGATAATTATGGACGACCCCTCAATAGCTGCCGAAAATTTGTATATTTACAGTATTCCAACAGCAGCCAAGGGAGCTAGCTCTCTTGGTTATGCGGACTGGGTCCGATCCTAAAAAGCTGTTTTTATGAACTGTTTTTATTGGATAGGATATGATTATGTTGAATAAACGAGGTTTGTGTCAATGGGAGATTGACTTGGAGTTTTTACGAGTTGATTCTTAGTGCATATATGGCTGGATTTCACTGATTTATGTACACAATACCCAAATATACTAGTATTCATGCATATTCATGAATTCCTCCATGTACACATACATGTACATGTTAGCATACTTGACCACATCTACTTTAAGTAAATGCATATTACACCGTATAATATACAAATTTTTTATTTAGAATTTTACTGTTGAGAGTCATAAAATTACCACTCCCAGGCGTGTCGGATAACTGGCGACCGGATAAGTGACATTCGACTGTACACGGATAACGTGACACTCATTCTAAATCTCTCTAGCTTTGGCTGGAAAAGTGGAGTGGATCGCTAGACAAACTCTGCCTGAGCAGCATGCACATATTCAAACAAGATTCAAATACCAGGATAACGTTTCTAGAACAAGAAAGATCAAGCAAGACCCACAACAGGGGGTGGCAATATCAGAAGGTGAGGCCACGTACGTACCATATTTCAAGCTGTCCCATGACGTTCTTAGAGTTCTGCAAGAAGACAGAATACACAGAAAGTACAAATAGGGAGGTCATTGTATACCGTACTACACTATCAAGCAGTCAAACATAATGAGATATGTCGGCAGATGACACAGATACCAGGAACTTACTCATGGCACACATTGCGGTGCCCATCTTTCTACAATGTACTGTAGTTTAGTTTCAGTAAAAGCTCAGATCAATACACTTGTCACACTAGAATTGTTTTACCAGCCTGCTACCTAACAGCCGAGCGCAGTATGGTTGAGCAACGCATGTGCTCAGGTAGAACCAGATCTCAGTAGTAGCCAGGTGCGACCAACGGTCAGTTGGTCATGCACAGTTTCCATGTGCTGCATACGTATATCCACTATGGGCGATGATCGAACTCCCATCATATCTCAAACACCTATTTCTCAATTCTCATTTCTTACCCCAGCTCAGTTTCTCCATGAGCGTTCCTTGCCAGTCTCTGCATGTCCTTTGCATATGTCTCCTCAATTTTTGCCCTGCCAACAAGATAGTCGATGTGCAATAAAACATGCACCCACACCCACACCCCACACATACCCCCACCCACACACACATACACCCACCCACCCACACACACACACATACACACCCACCCACCCACACACATGTACACACATACACACACCCACCCACACACACCCACACACCCACCCACACCCACACACACATACACCCACACATGTACACACGCACACACACATAGATGCTGGTCAGCACAAGGATTCAAACATGCCCACACAGATGTACACACTCCCACACCTGGATACACAAAATGTGCACAGACACACAGACACACAGACACACACACACACACACAAGTAGACACAGATATACACATGCGAAGAAAGAAGGGTAAAACAGAGCAGTTAGTTATTGCTGTAACTCTGAGTTTCATACAGAAACGACCATCAGAGAGCACTGACTACTAACTACAATATCCAAAGAATGTGTTTGATATATCCTGCAGCATGTGTCGGTGACATCACGTGAATATGTACCAATGGTGTGTCCACATGCGTGAGCTGGGTGAAGTGAAATAGGACGACAGACAATAACAGCATCAAAGCATGAATATGCTGCAGGGTAAATCACCACCTCAGCAGTGTGTGTTTAGTTCATGCGATGGATGACAGGTGAGATAGGGTGATTGTGGTAAAAAAATAAAAGGAGAAAGCTATGGATAGGGCCAGTGCCAACAACATCAAAACATGACACACACACACACACACACACACACACACACACACACACACACACACACACACAACAGGGCATATTCGTTCTCGTCTGCAAGTTCCAGCTCATGTGACGGTGAGAATTTCGACAGATAATACAGTTGCGTGCCAGCACCCTCGGGACATGACTTTGTTGGGTAAATGAATATTCTGGTTAACGGAAGCTAAACGCCATCTTCTGTTCACACATCAAAAGGACTGTAGCGCATGATTCCAGCCGTATCATCCTGAGACAGTCGTCGTACTCATCCATATAGACAGACTTGTATGTAACGTTGCATAAAGGCAACGTTCATGATGCTCCTTCCGCTTCCAACGCTTCCAACCGTGCTGCGACCCACAGTTAATTGGGAACTCGTGGCCTGGCATGAGCAAAACATGGATGTGGCAAATGGGATGTAGGCCTTTGGCCTCTGGTTGGTGGACCTGACCTATCCTCCCCCACCGTTTAGGAGCCGCATCTGACGCCTGATCATGGGGTGGTGGCGTCCCACGGAAGCGGAAAGGTGGTTCTTGACCAGGGAGTTGTACGACTCCTTGTTCTTGACTTGCCCGGTACGCGAACCCGTCGGATTTTTTTCTTCTCATGATGCTCACTGCCCACATTTACTTGAAGTAGGACCGCAAAAATACAGTGTGTGAGCAGTCAGTGCGCTGTTGGGTAACCGACGTGGCAGATGACAGGCCGTCGGATACGCGACATGCGATTGTACTTACGTCCGTGCCTGCACTAGGTGCCCAGCTCAGACCTCGGCGTGGGGTGATGTTCATGCTCTTGTCTGCCTGCAATTGGTGCCCCGACTCAGACCTCGGCGTGTGTTGATGTCCACGCTCTTGTCTGCCTGCATGTTCCCTAGCTTCTCTCTTCGGCATAATTGACATCACTTTGTGGTGTTGGAGTAAGCTGGAGCCTGGGCGATAATGGACAAACTGTGCTGTGCTCATTGTTTGTTCTATATAGACAGTTCTGTGGTCTTCAATCGTTGCTCATGAGTTACTGTCGTCAAATGGTTAGTGCGCCTCTTCTTAAGTGGTAGCTCAGTAAGACCAATGTTTTCGTTCCACTCCCCTTTTCCGGTTATTGGGATAGATGCAGGGTAGATGATACATCGGATTCGGCAGTTCGCTTTTACCACATGCACCTCACCTTGCAAGCCAAGATCTTCATGCTATGCCTGTAAGGCTCTATGCCCAGGTGTATTGAGCACTCACTCACTCACTCTCTCTCTCACTCACTCTCTCTCACACGCACGCACACACACACACACACACACACACACACACACACACACACACACACACACACACGCACACACACACACACACACACACACACACACACACACACACATACACACATACACACACACTCTCTCTCTCTCTCTCTCTCTCTCTCTCTCTCTCTCTCTCTCTCTCTCTCTCTCTCTCTCTCTGCCACAACTCGGTCAAGGGCAAAATGAAAACACATAATTATGTTCAAACACACACAAACACAGACAGACAGGCAGGCAGACAGGCAGACAGACAGACAGACAAACTCACAGACAGACACACACATACATGTACACAATCTTGAGAAAGATGTGGCTGTTATGGATGTAAATGCACAAATTTGACATTCCGTTTAGTACAAGTACTAAGAATCACATGCATGTGTACGCTAGTGTAATTGCATGCGTTTGCTAGTATACTATGTGCGTGTACCTTGCTTTTATGAAGTCCTCCAAGTCTTGTGACATTTTCTTGCCATCTTTGAGCCTTTTCAGGAGAATCTCGAAACCCTGAACTCCGGTAAATTCGGTCTCCTACAAGCAAGCAGCAGTCCAAATTGGAAAGTCTCCATATCTGCTATACACTGAATCTGGAAACCTCTCGAGTCTTACCCAGAAATTGTCCTCAAAATTGAAACTCATCTTGTCTGAATGCAAAACCGTTGACGGAACTGAGGGGCAAGTTCAACGGCATAACAAGCTACTCGCCGAAAGTTTGTCACGACTGGGCCATATTGTCTGACAGAGGCTAACAACTGCAACGGGAAACTCTAGATCGCACCGAGGCCCTATGTTTCCCGAGAGTACCAAAAAATCATGCCACATGCACAGTGAGATTCACACCACACTTCCAGACGTGTAGACGTTGTAGACAGGGTATCCAAGTAGGGACCAAAAAGGGGAGGCTTCACTTTCACAAATGACCTGACGTGACGCATAAGTGCTTCCGATGTTTCAGCCAGTTTCACTGCATGCTTCGTGAGGAATCGCATGAAAAAAAGTCTTTTTTTCACGCCTGAAGTAGCTCATGCTCAGCATGCATGCGGCGCGGAGACAGTGCATATCATGCAGTAAGCTGATCAAGAAATGGGCCAACCGCAAAATATTTATTTGTACGATAGTTTTCCACAAAAACATGACATGATTGCAAGAGCTATAGAGTACAGCTAAGCAAGGCTTCTGTATATACCAGAGTACAGCTAGTAGTACAGTCCATGCTGTAACCGTTTGAAGGTATTCTTGGAAAAGACAATGCTTGCTCAAGGCAACACAACTGATATAGGGCACTTCATGCCCTAAGCCTATTTTAAAGGTGATAACGCGAGTGCTGACAGGATAGGGAAAGGTGCAAGATACAGAGCTAGAGGGCAGATAAGGTTAGCGCTAACAGGGAACTGTTACACCATCCCTCCCTCCTAAGCGAGGCACAGGTGCCTCCAGGGAGTCGAGGAATATGTGGAAAGGGAATAATCAAATGAAATCGTGTCAACCCAACAACGCTCATCTAATTGAAGCACCGTGCAAGGTAACCAAGGACAGTCAGGCGAGTGAAGATAGCGGAAATGGGGAAAATCTAAAACAGGAGGGGAATGGATGGCTTAACACAACAAGGATCAAGTGGGAATTCTCAAGGTACACGTGCAATTGAATTTGAGCGAGTAACATTTCGCGGTAACCATAGTGTCACTAACATGCCCTGGACGCCCTGTAACGCCTCAGAGCAACTATCGGCCTACCGGCCTCGTCCAGCAAGTTCCCTTCTGGCTCCCAGGTGGCTTCGTCGTCTGGGTACCCTTGCCACTTGACAAGGTACTGAGTCTGATGCCTTCGCTGGCGATCGTCAAGAATCTTCTCCACCATGTATCTGGTCTGACCGTGCAAGTCAATGAACGGTGGCGGGGGTGGCTGCCGCCTGCCGGGAATAGTATTCTGCTCATACCAGCGCAGAGCAGTGACATTGAAGACAGGGTGGCACCGAATAGCGCTGGGTAGATCCAGCTGATAGGCGTTGGGTCCGATCTTCTTGATGATTGGGTAGGGCCCGAACCACTTAGGGCGTAGCTTCTGTGAAGGCTGATCCCGAGCTTCTGCGGTTGTTAGGAAATCCTTGTACACCAGCACCATGTCGCCAACCTTCAGGTTGCTGGGCACCCTTCCCCTGTCTGCATACTGAGCTTGTCTAGCCTGAGCGGCAATCATGGCGTCCTTTGCCAACTTGACGGCATCCGCCCGATCCTGGATCCAGTCTGGGGCACTCCCTCCTCCCCTCCGTACCAGGAAATCTGGTGGGGACTTGGGATTAAGTCCATAATTTAGATAAAACGGCGTCACGTGCTAGAAGTGGAAGACTGATATGAACTATTAATTGCAAATTCGCAAAGAGGCAGAAGCTTGTCCCAATTATCTTGTTTGTGGTTAACAAACGCTCTAAGCACATCCTCAATTACTCTATTCATTCTCTCAGTCTGCCCATCGGTCTGTGGGTGATTGGCAGTACTAAACGACAAGGTGGTACCTAATTGATGAAACAATTCCCGGAAAAATTCAGAAGTAAATCTTGGGTCCCGATCACAAACAATAGTGGAACTCAAACCGTGTAATCTAAACACATTCTGGAGATACAAATCAGCAGAACCCTTAGCGTCAATTTTGGAAGTCGTGGGGACCAAATGGACACATTTTGTAAGCCGGTCAACAAATGTATAAATTGCATCAAAGCCCTGAGGGGTCTGGGGTAAGCCAACGATAAAGTCCATGGAAATATCTTTCCAGGGGGTGTCTGGTACTGGGAGCGATTGCAGCAAACCGGATCTAGGCAACCCACCCTTAGTGCGCTGACATATGCCGCAAGATTTAACAAATTTCTTCACGTCAAGGCCCATCTTGGGCCAATAGAAGAATTGACGAAGCCGGAAATATGTACGATCCCGTCCCTGATGGCCTGCCGTAACACAGTCGTGGTACTCCTGCAGGAGCTGAAGCCTTACTGCACACTTGGGTACACACAAGCGATTGTTTGGGGCTGCACGGAGGTATAAGTACCTGGACTCTTCATCCCAATAGTACCGCTCGTGTAGATTATCAGAGGAATCGCCGCGCAGCCGCTGAATTATTGGGGAAAGCTGCTCGTCATTCTGATATGCTTCTGAAATCATCTCAGCAACACTATCACTCAGTTTCAAAGCAAACTCAATCGTATTTGAGTCAAATGGGGTGCTGGTAGGATGGGTGGGCAATCCTTTTCCTCAACTACATTGCCAATTGCTGACCCGCGCAGATCAGGGCGGCGGGATAACGCATCAGCCGTATTTTCCTTGCCGGGTTTGTGATTAACTGTGAAGTCATAGTCTGCAAGAAATTCACTGACCCATCTAGCTTCGCGCTTTAAGTGAGATTGGCTTTTGTTCTCAAGTAGACTACGGCCATGCTGTCACTGAACACTTCAAAATGCTGGAATAGATAAATTCTCCAGGATCGCAGTGCAAACACCACCGCCAGGGTTTCGCGTTCTGCAGCAGTGTAATTTCGCTCCGCTTGTGACAGCTTACGACTGGCATATGCCACAGGATGCCAAGCACTATCGCTTTCCCCCTGTTGGAGAAGGACGCCTGCTATTGCAAAATCACTTGCGTCTGTTGCAACTCTGAAAGGCTTCTGCACGTTTGCTAGTTTCAACAGCGGTGCACTCAACAAGGCCTGTCTCAGGGATTCGAATGCATGCTGACGGGGGCCACTCCATTCGAACCTGGCATGTTTGCCAGTGATTTCCTCTAATGGCCGCGATATAGTAGAGTAGTGCTCAATAAATCTTCTAAAGTAGTTCGCAAAACCAAGGAACTGTCTCACGTCCGTAACTGTCGTCGGTGGCTGCCATTCCCTCACTGCTTTAAGCTTCCTTGGATCTGGAGCGATACATTCACCGTCGAATCGATGCCCTAGAAACAGAACATCCTTGACACCAAACTCACATTTCGACTGCTTACAGAATAGCCTATTTTTCCGGAGCGTCTCAAGAACTGTCTGGATATGTTCAAGATGATCTTGCCAGGATTTGCTGAAGATAAGAATATCATCCAGAAACACTACCACAAACCGCCGTAAGTACGGTTGGAGAATACTGTTCATCAGTGACTGAAACGTGGCAGGGGCGTTAGTTAATCCAAAGCCCATGACCCGGAACTGGAAATGACCGAAGGGAGTATTGATAGCCGTCTTAGGTACATCTTCCTGACGGATCCCAAGCTGATTGTATCCCGAGCGTAAATCCAGCTTACTGAAGTATGAGCTACCTTGAATGGTATCAAACAGGTCATCAATGTTTGGGAGGCAAGCTTTGTTTTTGATGGTGATCCTGTTCAAATTCCGCCAATCACAAACCATGCGCAATGAGCCATCAGACTTTTTAATGAAAAATACTGGGGCACCGTATGGTGACTTGCTGGGTTCGATGAAGCCCTTGCGGAGGAGTTCCGTGAGCTGGGCTTGCAATTCGTCCATCTCGAGTTTGGGGAGACGGTAGGCAGCCCGTGATGGAGGAACGGCACCCTCCTCAGTCACAATCTCATGGTCGACATCCCTCTCTGGCGGAAGCTCGGTCGGCAGGTCGTCTGGAAAGATGTCCGAGTACCGCCGCAGAAGGTTAGCCAGCTGCTCTTGATGATCTGGGTGTTGTCTGGCGGCTGATGGCTTGCTGTCCTCCTCGTCGTCAGTAGCGTTGACCCACGCCAGGATTCCCTGCGCGCCTTTCCTCAACTCGCGGCGAGCCTGGGAACCAGATATGAGCATGCTCTCAATTGGCGGCGACTCTTGATGCTCCGTATCACTATTTTGGCCGGAAGGGGGTTTAGCAACGAGCGGCTCTCCGTTCAGTTTGACTTCGTTGGTCTGAAAGTTGATATCTGGATTGTGTCTGGTCAGCCATGGCTTGCCCAGGATAGCATCATAGCGGCTCAACGGAAAAACTGTGAAAGATTGGGTGTCGCTGAAGTCTTTCACGATAACCTTTACCGGACCGGTCCTCTGCAGTCCCGATGATGTCGATGAGCCATCAGCCAGGGTTACATTCAGTGTTTCGTCCTTGCTCTCCGTAACAAGGCCGTTTCTTTGCACGAAAGCTTCCGATATGAAGTCGTGCGTCGATCCCGAGTCAATAAGCATAATTGCCCGGCGGCCGTTGATCCTGCCCTCAACACGGAGAAGGTCATGCTCCAAAGGCAGCTCCGTGTCCTGTACTGCGAGATCAACGTTGCTGACATGGGATTCCTGTTCGGCAACATCTTCCGAATCAGCTTGCAGCGTCGGTTCTTCCAGCTCTAGTACGCTGTAACGGTTGCGTATGTCAACCGGGTAACCGTTGGGTGCTTTCCGCTTGGTCGCCAGCGAGCGCACGCCATTCTTCACTGGCGACCAGCGTTTGGGTGTTGATTGCTGGGACAATCCTGAGCTAGGTGACCTGGCTTCCGACAAGCGAAGCATCCACCCTGCCGACTCAGGTGACGCCTCTCCTCCGGTGTTAGCCTTTGGGGTCGTACTTCGGTGCTGATTCGGGTTCGGCTGTTGGTCCGCCGTTTGCGCTGACCTGATCGCTTGGCTCAGATCAGTGGGGTGCTCTCACAGCACCCGGGTCTTGACGGATGGGTGCAGTCCATTTACGAACAGCAGTCCTCGGGTCAGCTCGTCGATCTCAGGCACTTGTAGGCTTAGGCGTGAGAACTCGGTGACATAGCTCTCCAAGCTTGAGTGCTGCCTGACAGCGAAGAGATCCAGTCGCACCCGCTCTTGATGATGCAACGGACCGTACACCTTGGCGAGGGCTTCACGCAGCGCTGGCCACGTCGAGAACTCCACACCCGTATCCAACGATGCGATGAGCCATAGCTTGGCGTTGCCGCTCAGGAAGCCCGCTGCGTAATCCACCATCACCGATGAGTCGGTGATTCCCAGTGACCGAATCGCCAGCTCAATGGAGAAAGCCCACTCCTTGAACTGCGAGGGCTTGCCATCGAAGATCGGCGGCTCCTTAATTAAGCCTGGTTCACACTAGGCCGATTTTCCGGCCGGTGCTCCGACACCGACTCCGACATGGAGTCTGCCGACTGTGTCGACTGAATCGGACGGCCTGTTCACACACGGGGAACAACTCACTCGCAATAGAGTCGCATCGATTATCCATAAAAGCAAGAGTTCATGGGGGTTATGAAATTTTGGTAGGACATTACATTTCATCAAGACTCAAGAGTACAAAAGTACAAGAGGTCATGAGCTCGACATCGACGCTCTTTGCTGTCATGGTGAAAAGCCTACTGTGATTGGTCCGAATCCCGCTCCATCACTTGCAAGCAGTAAAAATCGGCCGGCTTTTCGGCTAAATATCGACCAGTCGATACTTGGCCGAAAACTAGTGCGACAAGAAAATCGCCGCAGATTTGTCGGAACCCTGTACGACAACACAGTTCACACTACGCAATTTTCGCCCCGATCTTGAGGATTTTTCGTACGAGTCCATGTCGGCCGGAAAATCGGCCTAGTGTGAACCAGGCATTAGCGTGCCGAGGCTTCCCGGACGAATGAGCGGGCGGCACAGGGAGCGGTTGCTGTCGGTTGCTCAGACGGGCGCTGACTTGGCGACTGGCTTCACGGACCTCGCTGGCCAACCTGAATAGCAACACACAAAGAACAAGGATCGCCACGACAATGGCGAGCTCCAAGAACACCATGCTAACCATCCTCTGCTACCAGTGTAACCGTTTGAAGGTATTCTTGGAAAAGACAATGCTTGCTCAAGGCAACACAACTGATATAGGGCACTTCGTGCCCTAAGCCTAAGGTGATAACGCGAGTGCTGACAGGATAGGGAAAGGTGCAAGATACAGAGCTAGAGGGCTAGAGGTTAGCGCTAACAGGGAACTGTTACACATGCACTCTTGATGATTGTGAGGAATAGTTTCTCTTTGCCCAAACTGATAATACTACTTTACTTAGTCTTTGGCTTGTTCGCCTTTGCCTGGAAAACTTTGACAAGCGCAGTTTGCAGCCGACGTCATGCATCGTGGTTGGGTAATCATGCAGTTTAGGGTCCCAAATTATTTCGCACTTTCCCAGTGTTCAGTGTACTGTCACACGCGTTTTCAGTGTACTTTCACATCATGAACTTTATTTTCATGAAAACATGTGTACTTTCACTATGCTTCTTCTTTTCTCGTGTCAAAGTTTTGTTTCCTTTGTCAAAGTTTTGTCTCCTTTATGGAAGTTTTTCTTTGACTTTGTGGTAATGGCTGGGCGTCCCGGAGCGCCGATACGCATTGTCCCTCAGGCACACATTCTATAATGATCATGCGATTTTGATGGAGAAGTGGACGGTGTTCACACTAGTGCCGATCTTTTCCAGAACCCAACTTGGTCAACTGGAGTTCCTTGCCGCTCGGCGCTGTATCAGCAACGAAATGCCTTGTGCCAAGTGTGGGGCGCTATGTGGCCTCACTAGACGGCAGGAGAGCAGCGACGGGTTTCGCTGGAGATGCCGACTGTATGTCCGGAGCGTTCGCGGTGGTTCTTTTTTTCCCTGAAGCGCAACTTCGGCACATCGCGAGAGTTGTTCCCGACGTACCTCTGCGAGTTCGTGTGGAGACACTGAGTTCGCGCGGAAGACAACACGTTCGGCTCCCTGCTCCGCAGTGTTCACCAGCAGTACCCAGTCTGATCTGTCCTCGGTTTTCATGTGAAAGTACACTGAAAACGCGTGTGACAGTACACTGAACACTGGGAAAGTGCGAAATAATTTGGGACCCTAAACTGCATGATTACCCGTGGTTGAAGTAAAACCAGGGAGCCATGAAAGAAACTATCTCATTACTACTCCCTGGGTAAACCACCACCGCAGACAACATAAGGGCCTGGTCAGACTGCGGCAAATTTTCGGTGCCTGACGAAAAAAGAAAAGCGTCCAGGATTCGCGATCACACTACACACTCGTAGTAGACTATACACACGGGGGAGAATGAAAATTCAAACTTCATTCGAGCGTCAAGACAATAGTGGTAATTTCCACGACGACGTCAAATAATCCTTCACCTTGGGCCAACATGACAGTGCTACAGTGGAGGATGAAAATGTGCACAATCCAGCTCATCCATGTTGTCGTACATCGTACTGCACTTGACAGCCTTGATCCCGCCCCTGCCGTGCAGTTGCAGTTGGGATGGGAAGCGATATGGCCGGGGCGCGGGGCCGGGGGCCGATCAACAGTACGGTACATAAACAGCTATATATAGCTGCGCCTGCATACATGCATACAACTTTGTTGTACATTTCCTACTTTTCTGTTGATCATGCACAGTATAGTACTCGATCCGCGATCCGGTGCATCGACCGTACCAGTGCATGCCATGCGCTGTTTTCCACAATTTTCGTATGCAGAATCTAAAAACGCCACATATTAAAAGGTACTCATACATGTTACATGTACCGTAGTTGTAGATCTCTCTCTCAGCTCCTGTTTGTTCTCATGACGCATGCATGCATGGATTACGCGGGTTTTATGCAAAATCTCTTGACGCAAGAGCCAATATAAACGCAGAAAATGCGCGTCGAGTCCGCGTTGTGGAGCCATGTGAGCAGTTTGGCTAGAAGTTCGGGATCAGATTGCAAGACCCAACCGCAAACCACTGCAGTACTGTTGATCTGCCTTGTACAAGCTCCTGTAGTCCACATGTAGTCTACATGTTGTGAAAGAAGCAAAGAGGTTGAATCTGTGTGGCAAGAAGCTTTCGCCACACGCTTTGCAACCAATTCTCCGCAATCCTGTTGTGGTGATTTGGTGTTAGATTTTCGCTGTAGGATCTTCCTTCCTAGATCCTACGCATAGGAACTAACTTCTAGAAAATAGTAGGATAGGATCAAAATGAGGTGAGTTTGTGCTTCCTTGTTTGATTGGCGTTTTGCCGCTTGCACACAACTCGGCCGGAAGATTTCTGTTGCTTTCTTCTTGTTCAGTGAACGGTCCGTGATCGGCGCCAAGGCCGCTGTTGTACTCTATGACGATGCCTCCAAGAAATGGGTGCCCTCGGGCGGCGTCAACGGACCAGCCAGTGTGGTTCTTTACACGAATGATGCCACCAGCCAGAGTCGTGTTGTCGGTCGCAGATTGCAGGATAAGGAGGCAAGTGGAAGAGGATAAAAGTGGAATTTGCAGCTGAAAGTTGGAACGTGCGTTGTATGTCGAATATGCGGAAAGACTGGGAGCGCCGTGGCACAACAAATGTCAAATATTTGAACTGGCTGCGTTGACCTGTTGTTCTCGGTGTCATAGGTTGTCATCAACTCTTGCTTGTACAAAGGAATGAAGTACAACCAGGCCACGCCAACTTTCCACCAGTGGCGTGACGTCCGTGGTGTTTATGGTCTCAACTTCCAATCCAAGGACGAAGCTGCTGCGTTCGCCGATGCCATCCAGCAACACCTGCAGAAACTTGGCGGAGGTATGTTATGAAGTGGACTACCCGGTATTCGTATGTGTGATAAAAAATTGCCCTTCTACTCGGTGAAACGAAGGCAACATTGAAATATGAACTTAAATTGAAACATTGAAATCATATGTGGCAAATTAAACAACACACTCCAACCGCGAAGCCAGCAACCTCTACAGGGGGTTCCAGTATAGTCAAAACTGATTACTAGCTGATACATGTACACTGACACGCATAATCGCATATGGTTGCCAGTAGTACATTTACGAAACTTAGGGGGTTCCGCGGAACCCCTGGAACCCCTCCTGGATCCGCCCCTGCACCCTGAGAATAGTGTTTCTGACTATGGATTGTCTTGTGGAATTCGTGGAAGCATTTTGCAATTCGATATGCAGCATTGTGTGACGAGCGGCACGCAAGATCAATGCCAGGCATCTTAACCAGCTTCGCTTTAATAGACGCCCGTAAATGCAGTGCTGGTGGCGTGGTGGAAAGGGCCCAGATTGTGAACGGATATTTTGTATGACAAATTAAAAATGGCTTCGGTTGGTTGCTAGGTCTTCAGTCAGTTCTATCATGTGAACTGATTGCTAGTATGATTGATGGTGAGGTTCTACAGCGCTCATAACTATCCCGCTGATCTTCACGGCTACTAGAACGAAACTGGATGAGCATCTGTTCTTATTTCCACGGACATGTGGCCTGCCACTATGCTATTCTGGCTAGAATGGAACCCCTATTGCGGTGTGTGTACTGATCTGCATCTGTGTAACAGCCATGTCCTATAAGCCCTGGCAAGATGTTCTTACTATGTCCCACGAAATACCATTGTTGTTGAGAATACGGAGAGTGTGGAGGAGGGGGGGGGGGGGGGGGAGGGGGTAACTTTGGAAGATGTGCTTTATGGCTTCCAGTTGCAGGATTAGATTGAGCCAATCACACACTGCCATCGCTGATTTTTCGCTTACCAAGCTTTCCCATCTACCGTATTTCCTCGATTAATGGACCATGCTCGAATAGTAGACCCTCCTAGAGGCCTCACGGAAAAATAGTAGACCATGCCCGAATAAGAGACCCGGTCTCTTATTTGAGTTCATCGTTTTGCGCATGCGCACTAAGAAAGCACGTGGTGGATCAAAAAAGGACGTGATTTTAGGTTGTGCAACTACAATTTTTGTAGTGGATAGTGCTTTCTTTCATTATTTGAGCACGGTCCACTATATTTTCATCGGCACATCGCTGGACATGGTGGATTTTTAACACGTCATAATATAGAACTTCTATTATTATGACGTGTTAAAAATCCACCATTTCCAGCGATGTGCCGATGAAAATATAGTGGACCGTGCTCAAATAATGGACCATGCCCAAATAAGAGACCAGGGGTCCAACCCTCTTCAAAAAACAAAAGACCGGGTCGATTAATCGAGGAATACGGTACTCCACAACTGTAGTTAAGTTACATTTTAAACTGGCAGATTGTCTAATCTTGCAGTAAATGCTGTCGTGTCTCGTCAATTGATTGCAACAGAGCAAAGCACTGATATTGTCTGAATGACTCTTGCAGGCACCGTCATTCCACCCAAAGGAGCCGCTCCAGCCGCTGCACCTGCTGCTGCGCCTGTAGCAGCACCAGCTGCGCCACCGGCTGCACCCCCTGCACCTCCCGCAGGTACTGCACTATTTCATCCTATATGGGCACTTCTGAGCACTTCATGCCGTGAGGAGAACCGGACGCCACTTGTCCGGTTCCCTTGCTCGCCAGCTTCTTGCATCAGATTTACAGAACAGTGCAATGCATTATTTTGTTTACTCTGCAAATCCAGCTTTGTTTTTAATAACATGGATTGTGTGTATACATGCATATTTAGCAGCTTTATCTTACTCCGTTTTTCTAATCTTTTGTATTCTTTCATATTCACCTGAAATCCACTATGAATAATTGTTATGAATTCTTTAGACTGCAGCTTGCAGCAATACTAGCAGTGCGTGCAGTAAAGTATCCTGCAGTGCTGCATATGAATTGACAATACAGTGCTGCTCTATGAAATCCGGTCGCTTGAGTCAAGTTTGCGCCTTGCGCCAGTTCGCAGCCCACTGTTGGTAGGCCTAGGGCTGCGCAACACCCGTCACGTACTTGACTAACTCAGCTGGATTTCATTCTGCTGGATTTCATTCAGCTGGATTTCATTGAGCAGCACTGTACCTACACATCAGTTAACCAATTTGTTTGTGTTTCTATTTTTGGTCACTGGGCTCCTGCTCAGCTCCGGCGGCACCCCCGGCACCTCCAACTCCGCCAAAGGCGGCCCCGGCGCCACCTCCAGCGCCACCGAAGGCTGCTGTCCCGACTCCACCCAAGGCTGCTGTCCCGACTCCGCCTCCAGCACCGGCAGCACCACCGGCGCCTCCTGCGCCACCTGCACCACCAGCGCCAGGTGGTGGCGGACCGCCCGCACCACCCGGTCCCCCACCGCCACCTGGCGGCGGCCCTCCGCCACCACCCGGACCTCCTCCGCCTCCAGGTGGCGGCGGCCCTCCACCTCCACCCGGACCTCCTCCGCCTCCTAGCTCAGGCGGTGGTGGTATTGGAGGTGGACTTGCCGGTGGACTGGCAGGAGTGAAGCTGAAGAAGAGATCTGAAGTGCAGGTAGGTCTACTTTTGATCTGCAGTAGGTCCTTTGAATGATGTATGGACCTTCTCCCCTTTGTTCTTCAATACTGTCCTGATGTGGCTGTATGTCTTGATGATAGCTGCCCTCATCCCTAGAAGCATTCAGAATTGTGAGTATTTTATACTTGTTCCCCACCGAACTACTTTGAACTAGTTCACATAGCCCACTCAGCGCTGCCTCTGTTCCACTGTATGTATGTGTCTTTAGGAGAAGAAACCCGAGCCCAAGTCGTCAGGTGGCGGCGGTGGAGATATGATGGGTGAAATGGCAAAGATGCTGGCAAGAAGGTGAGTTTACTTGCTGCTGTTGTGAATTCATGATCATTTGCCTTTCCTCAAGAGTACATGAAAACCAGAGTGTGCAGCTCGGATGGGTTGCTGTCACGGCGAAATTCCGTGATTACATCATTTTAGTGATGTAGTGCGTACAAGCAGGATTCAAGCAGGTCTCTTTCTGCACAACTGCAGCTCAGTTGTACGCACTACGCCATTTCCCGCCTCAGATATAGATATAGATCTGCACCAAATATGATGTAATCACGGAATTTCGCCGTGGCAGACACCCATAGCAGAGTAGACCCCAAGCTGCACACTCTGGTTTTCATGTACTCTTGCTTTCCTTTATTACTTGCAACTTGTCGCCTGGGTGCGATGTCAACTTGATGGTACCCTGAACTCAGCAGGCTGGGTACCCTGGAGTTTTCCGCTTTCTCAAGAGTTCCCCTTCGCCCCTTTCACGACTTCCATCAATTCCACAATTGCCAATTTGTGGGTTCAGATGAGCAGCAACAAGAATGTTCACTCAGTAGTGGTTATCTTGGACTCCTTGGTAGGGTTATGATCTCCACTCCCCAAAGGATGCCACTAGATTCTCAGTACAGTAAAACCTGTCAAGGCGACCACTTGGATAAGGCGACCACCTGTCCTAGAAGACCACTCAACCCAGGACCGAGGGATGTGATTTCCAGTCAAATTACCCTGGATAAGGAGACCACCTGGTAACAGAGACCACATTTTGATGGTCCCTTGAGCGGTCGTCTTAGACAGGTTTCACTGTATTTGATTGCCATTGCGCACTCCAATGCACCTGCGCTGGATAACTCGAGTCTGCCTGTGTTGTCTTTGGGACGGTTTTCCGCATCACGCTTTATTGAATGATATCACTACAAAGCTTGTGCGATTAGCTTTCCAATGAACCGAACCGTCATTTAGAGAGAACACGTTGCAGCAAATTATATTTGAACCACAGGTATAAATATAGACATTTCTCAGATATTGCGTGCACATTCATAAACACCCGAACACATCCTTGGCATGAGCAGGTGAGAGTGATTGTTTTTTTTGGCTGTTTATTTGTTCTACTTGTTCTACAGAAAAGCAGCTTCTGCCGCCTCGGTAAGTTATCATATTTCTGTGCATAGTGTGACGATGTCTTCCATTGTACATTCCATAGCTATACCTTCCTGACTTGCCATACAATGCCAGCATGTACCAGCCATCATTATCGTTTTAGCACATATTCGTTCCTATTCATAACTCGCTCTCATGTGTTTCTTCTCTTTTTTCTTCTCTTTTTTACACATAATTCATTGGCAGTGAAATGAATCTATGCTCTTCCATTGACTGTGTACTTGTTTTTAGGAGAAGGAGCCATCGGCACCCAGTGCTGCAGGTACGTATGCGTGTGTATCTTCAGACGTAGTAGCCATTTGACTGTATACTTTCAGCCTCGCAAGTAACACTGCTTTTCTCATGCTTGGTTCTTTGTTTATTCAATACGATCATTCCGTAGAATCCTGGGTCAGATAAGCAGTACCTCATAAAAGAAGCTCTCTTCCTGTTCCCCACGGGGATTTCCATTCTCTACTGTTTTCTTTGTGCAGTGGGGTATGTTCTTTGATTAGTTTGTGCTGGATGATCCCAGTGTGACTATGTTTCATTACCACCCCTTGCCAGTACCATGTGACCATCACTAAAAAAATCTTTGGAGTTGAGGTCCAGCACAGCCCCTGTGGTCGACTACAGGTATTTCATATGTTGTGACGTAACATAGCTACGTAACGATCTCTATGTTTTGCTCGCATATCAATGTTTCATTCATGCAGACAAGCCCGAACCGAAGAAGGATCCTGAGCCGTAAGTCTTTAGGCAAATATTGTTTCTATTTTATAGTGTGCATTTGCCCGTGTGTGAAAATGTGACTGATTTGCCAATGGTGGTTACTGGCTTGCAACATAGATCACCGTCACTGAGTGATGCATTCCATCTGATGTCGAAGACTAGATGTTTATGTTATAGAGCAAACTGCCTTCGTGAACCAGTAATAGCCACAGAGCACAGAGAGGTTCCATTGGCACATGCTTTCTCGTTCATTGAGCTGGTCGAAGACGATGAATCGGTATGCCACTCTATCCGGCCATCCTTTCAATACCTTGCTAAGTTATGCTAGCAGAACATGTTGTGCAACAAGACGTTTCCAGTCTGTGCATGATGTAGAGACAGACTTGCCTCGAATCCGACTGTGCTTCATACCATATCTATAGCGATCTCCAAGAGTGCTTCGAAGATTACAAGCGCAGTCTCAAATATAAGTGCTGCGTTTGTAATTGATAACTGTATGTCATGCATATTCATGTTTGACGTTACACAGAACACGTGCATACATGTGGCACGAGTCCGTGATTGAGCTAAGAAGTACGGACTTAGTGCACCAGGAAGTACAAAAACTGCATTCACCATACCTGCTGGGAAACTTTGTGCTACTGGTATAATTATCAATATATAATCAGTAATCACCAATGCCCAATCATGTACCAGATGGTTGAAAGTTTATACGCCTGGTCTTGAAGCCCAGGGTTGTGACTGGTTGGAAAAATATAGCCCTGGGGCTTATAATAGATGTAATGATTATTTTGCTACCGGTTTGCTCAATTTGTATGTGCACTCTCTTCTTGTTTTACACATATAGGGCGAAACCGTCCTCTAACATCTTCAAGAAAACCGACTCCACAGCAAAGCCAGCACCCGGTGGATTTAATCGTAATTTTGGTTCAGCGGCCAAATCGACTTCATCAACCAGTATTGGTTGTAGTTCGGATGATCTGCAAAAGCTCAAGCAGGTTAGCTTTTCACCTTGTGCTTTGTTCGAATCCCGCTCTTCACTCATGGATATGAGTTGTAGGCTATCATATTTCATTGGCTAGATGTCAACCTGTTGTGTACCATGCATCTAGTTAGGGGTCATTCAGACTACCGACCGCCTCGTCAAACCGTGAAGGACATTCGCACTACCCCGGTCCCGTAAAGTAACGTTACTTGTGCAGCTCTCACCGCGGCACTGAGAAGAGATTATCCCTTACTCCCAGCCTGGGCACCTTTTTTACTGCCGGAATGCTATTTCTGCCGCAGCAGTAAAGCTGTTCCGCAGGCAAAGTGCCAGTAATGTCATGTGGTCAAGTCACCTTGGCAACTTTGAACTTTCCCATTCCGTTACTTTTTATCGGTAGTCTGAAAGCGCCCTAAGACTGTCATCAGACTACAGTACAAAGCGCTGCATGTATGGTCCGTTGTCATGATGATCCATGCACATTCTAGTGTGCTGATACCTTTGAAGTGGCCAAAAAGCTTTGCATGTTACACTTACTGCTGTTTCTATCGCCAGGGTGTCTCACTTATTAATGTTTGACTGTGCATCGGGGTGCAGAAAGAACAGGGAGTTGCATAGCCGGTGCACCGGTGAAGTGTGGCACATGTTTACAGCGGATGTGGTTAAATTCATATCCCTACAATTTAGGGGTGAAACAATAAACACTGGATATTTGAGTACTCGCTCAGTTTTCTGAAAGAGTCTCACTTAGAGTACCGTATTTCCTTGAACACCCGCCGCCCCTTGATTACCAGCCGCCAGTTTCTTTGAACTGAGGGCTATTTGTACACAAGTGCAGAGCAGTTCACAATTTGTATGCTATTTCACAGCTACGAGATGACCTTCAGCTATGATGTCATGTTCCTTCACCTGCAGCTAGTGCTGCTCTCGCTTCGGACAAAGCACTCAAAGGCGATCTAAAGAAGGGAACAAATCGCCATGATGTTGACCTCGCAACATAACGAAGAGGAAGACGAGTTATTTTATCGACCACCAAAAAAGACAATAGTACCGTAAAGTACCGTCAAGAGTACATAACCAAGAGTGTGCAACTCGACGATCCTCCAGCCCATGGCGGAATGTTTTTTATGACATCAGTCTTTGGGGGCGGTTTGGCTCACTGATGCCATCATGCGTAGCCAGAGATCAAAGTACAAATAATTTGTACATTACAGCTACGGTAGTCGAAGCAGAACAACGGACGATAGATCGATGTGTCTTGAACCTGACGAACTCTCACCGTATCTACGAAACAGGCGCGGGAAAGCATACCCACTTCATCATATTTCTGCCAAAGAATGACGCAATAAAAAAATTCCGTCGTGGGTGAACCCATCGCAGCTCAAGATGAGTTGCACACTCTTGGTTATGTACTCTTGGTACCGTTGATCCGCTCCTTGTCAATGTTCTACTTGTGAAGCGACTTCGGCGTATGCAACGAAATACGATGTTGAACCGACGCTTGCACTGCTCTACACAATACGTGCCAATCCAGGATGAAAATGTGCACAATCCAGCACATCGAGTCTGATCCTCTACGTTGTTGTACATCGTACTGCACTTGACAGCCTTGATCTAATTCCCGCCCCCTGCCGAAAACCCAGCTGGAAAGCAACATGGTGGGGGGGGGGGGGGTGGAGGATCAACGGTATTTTACGGTACGCAAACAAAGTAAACGGATGAAATGTAAGACGCACTATATTAAAGGATCGTCATATCTACAAAAACCAAGAACTCAGATCGGAGAACTTGTCTAGGAGAAAGTGGACACTGACGCTGTGAAAGGAACGAACGCAGAAAGAGAAATCAAACGCCAGAGAACAAAATTTGCGGCGTCCTGCTATAATATTCCATCCAAATTTTTCAGCATCCACGTCTTCTTGAAGCTCCTCCACTTCATCCCCGTCGCCATGACGGACTGCTGCTGCTGAACAAGCAACTAACTTGCTAGTTGACACTCGAGCTCCTTCTCCATGATATTCTTTCAGTTAAACACGAAAAGAAATGAAGATGCACTAGCCTACGGTGTAGCTGGACAACGAAGGTTCAACAGTGCGCATCGTACGTGAACTCTACGCATACAGCACGTACATTGTGACGTACAACTATTTTTCAGGACAGCACCCGTTTTGCTAGTTTCGAATACAGGCCGCGGCAGCTGTTCAAGGAAATACGGTATATTGGCCGATATTCAGTCATATGAAATACATGCAAATAGGGGAGAATTCAGCAGTTTCAATGTGTGCGAGGAGTAGAGCTTGATATGCAGCATGTGTGCTATTAAATGGTAAAGCCGTAGAGAGTCAGTGCTTATCCTTTGTAAACAAAGAATTAGGGGTGAAACAACGAATATTCAGTTGGAGAAATTTGTATTTTGGTGCAAACTTTCACCGTGGAGCATGACTCACAATATCACTTTCTGCGATGTGACATGCAGCACTTGCGCCACCATAATTATGTCTGTCGCAGAAGTTTAACTTTTGCAGCATGCAATGCACATCTATGGGATACAGTGGATTTACATGCAGTTAGTGTTGTAGAGCAGCATATGCACTGAATGTACAGAAGTTGTCGCAGACATCAAGGAAATTGTTAACCTAGCAAGAGTTCAGGATCCCCCCCCCCCTCCCTCAAATATGGCTCCTTGTTATGTATGGGAGACAACAGCATTGTGTTTGTAATGTCTGGTTTTGTTTATCTACAGGAAATCCTCTCTGATGTCAAGAAGGAACTTCAGGCAATCAAAACTGAAATCATTGATGGTAAGTGATCAGGTCTGCAATTTCTTCCCTCCCATTAGCTTTTAGTAGTACCGTTAGGTACCGCGAGAGCACCCCACCAACTAGTCATTTCGTGGCCGTGCTGTGGATTCGGTGTTCTGTCTGTAGGTCATACGGCATGTACTTTGTACACACATTGTACTTTTTGTGCAGCCAAATCCGTACCCAGTTTGCGTTGTAGCTCCGCACGAGAACATGCTAAGTGTGACCTTAGTACACTAGGGTTTTCACATTATGCACACTAACGTGCTCTCTGCCGTACAATTTCCTTTCCCTGGCTGTAAAAGCAAGGTGGGTTCTCTTGCCGTACTTTACGGTGCATGTATTTTAAAATAATGCCTGTGTGTCGGGCGGGGGGGGGGGGGGGCAGGGGGGAGGGGGGGGGGGCAGATGTGAGATCTATCCACAGGACTGTGCAATGTGAAGGCCTAAAATTGATTGCGGTCGAAATTCATTTACAGTACTCGGCACACTATGCGAGTGCATAGATGCAGTAACAGTACAGGCTGACATTTTTGATGTGACCGGTTGTGGAGCATACTGGCCAACCCTCCCGTTTTTCCCGGGAAAATCCCGGAAATCAACACTCTTCCCGGGGTCCCGGGATTTCAAGCAAACTCCCGGAAAAACCAAAGTTTTGTCTGATACAGGATTGAAAACTCCATGGTTTCTCCCCGAATGTCCCGGTTTTTTGAACTTTTTTCAAAGGTATGTACGGTGCTCATTCGCACTTCGAACTGTGCACAGCACTTTGAAGACCTGACCATGCAAGATCTGCACTGACAAAGTGACAAGCGGGCGCCGACTGATCAAACTGCACTACAGGGTCGATCTGTGCTGTACGCACAGCTGCAGAGTCGAACGTTTTTTTGGCGGGAAAAGCTCTTTTCACTTGTTTTTGTGCCATCCAGGGATTTTGAGAGAAATCCAGGGATTCTGCATGTCTTGTCAAGGGATTGAGATTGTGGTGGTTGGTCAGTATGGTGGAGCTCAGAGGCTGAAATTAAAATGCAATCCTTACACACCCACTGGGTGCATATGCACTGGTATGCTATCAGCCCAAACTTCCCAGTACACAGCAAATGTATATGTCTCAAACTCGGCAACCCAGGCCTTGTATCGGCATACCCACATGAATTTCTTTCTTGCTTTTCTTCCCATGTCTACAGCTATTAAGGCAGAGTTGGGCAAGTGAGAAGTTACAAGTCTGGTAGAAGTTGCTGTTCGGATAGGCAAGAGGTGGCATGATATGCTGAAGTGACTATGTGTGTAAGGACACCCATTATGCCACCATCCTCCGTGACTGACATCACATCGGATCTAGGCGTGCGTGCCACGTGCTCAGATCAAGATATAAAATGAGTATACAGTTGGCATACAAGCTTGAAGCGGGCACACTGCTTCTTGCTCATGCCTCGGCATCTGTGTTTGTTCAGTTAATTTCGTCCACGCGTCTTTTTATTCTTACTTTTTTTCAAATTCACCTTTCCTGGCTGCATGTAATCCCTAACGTCTAGTATCTTATTCACTTTACCCATGTATAATAATACCATGCCCTCTTCTTGCATTGTCAGTTTGGATGACCTAACTACGTCCATTGGCGATGCAGGGTTTGCTTCCTCCCCGTTTTGAGCGCATTCAAATCATTCAGGTTATACTCTTAATGAAGTTAGTAAATTAGTAATAGCATACTGTTGCATTTTTTTTCTTTTATCTGTTCTTCCTACCGTCGCTGTGAGTGACAAAGCTTGGCTCCTTTTGTACACATCTTATACACTGCATGGTGTAGCTTCAGCTTGCCAGCCGGCTCTACGCATGAAATAATTGTCTTGAGCTTTGACATCTCCTTTGGATTGCCGTCACTACGGTGTAGTACTTACACTACACAGTACACTTGTCCGTATCTTGCGGGATTAATGAGCTCAGCACACGTTGATGTGGCTGGCTCGCCTCTTACGCCATTGAATTATTTACCACTGAGAACTTGATTGCCTTTTCCCTGTTATGCCGCTGAGATTGCTTTGTCGATTTGCTTGACCTGGACTGTCGCAGCAGTAGATCTAGACACCAGTGGACTCTTGCTAAAATGGTGATGTGCCAAATACATGTACACTTGCTTGGATTGGTCATCATCATGGCTTCAAATCATGGTCGTGTATTGTAAAATAATTAGTGCAGAGTGCTGTAGTGAAGAGCTTTTGGCAAAATTTGCCAGTACCTGCTCATGTCATCATGCTCTACGGCAGATTAGCAACAAACCAATTTCGTGTGACATGTACGAGTATCTCTACTCTTGATCTTGCTCACTCACAGTCAGTCAAATGACACAAATGCAGTCAAGCATAAAAGTACAAACACGCACACGCACACGCACACACACACACAGTATAGTGACCACTAGTCACACACACGCAAGGGTGACGAGTCAAGATGGCACGATCACGAGCCGAAGCTAGCGGGAGCCTAAAGTAAAAGTCAGCTCCGCGCAGAACACAGACCAGACCGGCCACACGTACACTTGCATAGACCGCTAAGCCTACTTCTACGAGGCTACAGTTTTTATACTTTATAGTACACGGAGCGTACTGAAATTTCTGTATTCGAAAGTACTCTTTGCGTTTTTGTGGGACTGTACTGCATTCTTGTCAGAGCTGTGGGATATCTTAGCTCCTGCCGTCTTTACAACAAGTCTCCCTGTTCTTGTTTCCAACTGAACTCGCCATGGCGGACATTCAAACTCTCAAGGATATCGCCAACCGTCTGCGAATCTACAGTATCGAATCAACGACAGCAGCCAAGTCTGGGTAAGTGAGCACTTGCAGCAGTGCAGTTCTGGGGCGCCGGGCAGATATTGCAGCCACAAAAAAAATAAGTGCTGCTTGCCAAAAGCTTGTCGTGCTGACCGCTTGAGTGCTTTGCGGGCTGGACTCTCGTATCCAGGCACGGAAGCTCTAAACAGAACGGCGCAGTTCTGCCATGAGAAGTAATGGTTGAAGCAGGTTTCTCCTGCTGTGATTGTGGGATATCTGCCGCCTGAGCTTAGAGGAGTCTGATTTATTATTTTTAGGGGTCAACTGGCACGGCAATAAACTACTTTTTCACGGAACCAAAACTAAAAATATATGAATAATGATATGACTTGAAACTTGAAGTCTAGGTCGCGTTGCGTTGGTTTCAAAGGTTTTGATATTTCCCCCAAAAACAAAATTGGCCACGACCCACCCACATGCACAAGCAAAACTTTATTAGTTTCGTGAAGAAATTATCGATAATTATGGATGGCCCCTGGCCCCTTTACTATACCAGGAATAATTATTGGTATTGCTGGTTCACTTTAACACGAAAATGCAAATTCAAGAAATCAGTATGGGCAGTTTCCCAGGATACCTCATGATAGAAGTGTGTCACTGCAGGATTGAAGAGTGTGACTATGTAACCATGGTAACCCCTTTCTTCAGTTTGACAGTTACTTTAGTTCCTTTGTCAGTTCCAATAATTTTTATGGTTCCACATTAGGGCCCGGTTACATACATGTATGCACTGGGGTTCCACTTCGGCGGCGAGGTTCTGCAGCAGTGAGCCTGGTGTTGCTCCAGCGGAACAACGTGTGTATGGTCACACATACCAACAGGGCAAACTCCTACTTTGGCGGAAAATGAGAGTAAAGTGGACTGTGGTGCATACGGTACGGAGAATAGACGGGCCCAACGACTATCTTGCACGCATTTTTGTTGCATGGACATCATACGCATATAAATTTCTTGTAGCAAGTCCATATACAGCAGACCGTGGTGCTTTCCGCTGAAGCGAAACCGCAGCAGCGAGAGTTCCGCTCCCACAATTTTGGAGGCAGCGGATTTGAGTTTCCGCTGGAGCGGAAGCTCCGCTTTTCGCCATTGCCATGGCATTTTTCGCTCCTGCGACGTCGCTTCAGCGGATCCGCTACTTTTGAGTGCATGTGTGACCGGGCCCTTATTAGGGAGTTCAGTTCCGGCCCGGGTCAAGCCAAAAAATGCAGTCACAACTCGCCTGTACATCTAAATGGGGCCCAGATGACAGCTCCCTGGCCTGACTTCGAGCCCTCTTCTATCTGATCCTGTGGCCAGTACTCCCTTGCGATGCTATTTTTAGGTAGCCTTTCCATTGATGCGACACATGTCTTGCTTGAACGAAAATGACTGTCACGCTTTGTGCAGAGGCATAGCGAAGTACTGATCTCGACCAGATGCATACTCGGCTCCGGGAGGAACACCCGATTTTCATGTTCAGCGGCCTCGAATTAGTCTAAAACAAGAGGATTCTAGAACATTCAGGCTTGCGCTTTTTCACGGTAGAAGGAAAATGATCACAGAAACCAGCCCGCGACGATTTCCTGGTGGTGGACGAAAAAATCGAGTGAACTGCGCGCACAGTGTAGAAGCGGTGACGTTGAAAACGTGTGAGTTAATCTCTTGGGATTTGTGGCCTGAACTGATTAACTGTTTTCCACCACTAGTGTTGTGAAGAGTCTAGAATGCAGGGTAGAGCAATACACACACACACTATTTATCACAAGTTGAGACGAAGCGTTGGTGTTTATTGTTCTCCGTTGTCTGCAGCCATCCGACATCATGCATGTCGGCAGCAGACATCATGGCGGTGCTTTTTCACCATGAGATGCGCTACGACGGTATGGTTTTGCTGTATTAGGTATTGCATTTGTGCACTGTGTACGTGATTTATTCCAATCAAGGGTGCATACTGTATTTTCCAGAGGTTATGCGATAACGTCAAATCCGCCATATATAGGAGCCAGTTGGGGTGGCAAAATGCCCAAAGCGGGTACAGAAACCCCTTATATAGAAGAATTTGGGGTGGCAATGACGTGTATCGCATAACCTCTCGCACTGCCGTAAAAGGAAGACAGCTGAGTGGCAAACCTGCTGGATGCTGCCAAATATGGGAGAAATGTGTACTGAGATACTCTCTGTCTATATACCATAAAATCCCGCCAGAGCGCCCCTACCTCCTCGACGCTTCAGGTGGGGAGGGGCGGATGGGCGAGTCCTACTTGCCACAATCAGTGCTACATGAAAAAGTACTCACCCTACGAAAACTGTTCGTGCATCTCGTACACCGACCAAAGGTCAAGAGCCAGGAGTCGTACAGACCCGACCGAACGCAGGGTTTGTGCGATCCCGGGTCAGGAGGGTGGGCATTGTTGCGTACATTTCCAACGGGGTCGAGCACGCGTCTGCAGTGCAGTACGGCATCACAGACTGCGACAGAGTCATACGAGGATACAATCAATCACGTCCCTGACAAGAAGTCAGGGAGGGGCGGATGGGAGAGACGGGGCGCTGTGGCGGGATTTTACGGTATACCGTACTGGCAATATATGTTGCCGCATAACGCGTAACGCAGGGGGGTGCGGCGTAACGCGCGACCAGGCTAGTGCGACAAATTTTCGTTGAGTTCGTAACGCACGTCCGGCGGGGTGCGGCGATCTTTTCATTGCAGTTTGCAAAAAATGATGCGGCAATAGCAAAAAAATGATGCGGCAATAGCAAAAAAATGATGCGGCAATAGCAAAAAAGTGATGCGGCAATAGCAAAAAAAGGACTGCGGCAATATAGAAACCTGTGTACGGCTCCTGTGCGACTTTGCATGTAACGCCCTGCGTGCGGCAAACATGTGCCAATGTAACGCTTCATGGCCTCACTGCGGCAACATATATTGCCAGTACGGTATGTATAGCGCTAATACGGAAGTCAGCTGAGTGGCAAACGTTATGTTTTATTGACTTCTGAGTGGGAAATGTACTATGGTGAGTCATTCGAAAAAACCTCTAGACATGTACTATGATAGTCGAATTAATGGTGATAAATACGGTAAAGAAGAGGTTGGTGCGACTTCAGCGATACTTGGGGAATTGTGTGTCGCTCCCTGCGTGGGACCTCGCGCTTTTCCTGCCGACTTGAATTCCCATTTGACTGACTCACGACTGCCATCCCGAGCACAAAAGAAGTCCATCGATAGATGTCTGTATTTCGTGACAAAAAAATCTGCGTGCGGCTTATACTCCAGAAAATATGGTACTCCAGAATGTGCAATTCTGCATATGGGTTCAGGATGACGCTTTTCGTTGTTAACCATTGGTGTCACAGGTCGTATTGTTGCAGTGTAGCACGTGTAATCACCAATCTTGGCTCCAATGAGTTATCAAGAATGATGTATGCGACGCACTCCACTTTGCGAACCTGATGCAGAACTCTGGATTATGTACCCTTGCTCCAATGCATACGTATTAGAGAAACCCTGCTCCTGATTAGCTTTCCAGGCAAATGTAGGCGTGGGTGCAGTGAGGATCAGGATGCATGTCTGAGACCTATCAGGATCAAACGAGCAAGGCTTATTAAAGGTGCTGTTAATGCTATGCATGTACATAGCTTGTCTGAGCTAGTACTACAGCTATATCCGGTGGTTGATGATACTTTTTGGTTTGCCTGTGTTGTTGGCTACAGTGAGCATTCCCCGTGGTGCCAACAATGACCGCTTCATCCTGTCCAAGGTACATTATTCATCACATCAATCCTGGTGATGGCCGCATACTCGCAGCTGTGTACAGAGGTTTTGCGATTACGTCTTCATCTTGAGATGCTGTGTATTGAGTGGCAACTAGGGGTGAAACGAAGGTTTCAAAGGTTCGAAGAACCTTCGTTCTCAATTCAAAAGAAGGTCAACACACGATTTCTGCACACACATGCACTGATCTTCCTTGTATACAGCAGGTACTGTACTGTAGTTTGTGCAGTCGACTAGTTTTGTGTCCACTTGGCTCCCGGTAGGTGCCACTGCAAGTCCGTAGTAGGCCACGGACTGCGCTTGAGCGTGGCCATTCACGGCCAAGGTGTGCAGAAGTAGTCTTGGGCAGTTTGGGGTGCAAACTGCAAAGTGCAAAGCTATGGGCATGGCAATTGTGGTGACTGCACAGCAAATATGTGCACAGTAATGTACGTTGTAGGGCACATGCACAGAGTGTGCTTCAAGAGGAACTGTGAACTGGTGAAAGAATCCTTCGACGCCTTCGTTCGTTTTCATGAAGAAGGTTCATTTGGCAAATTAAGACCTTCGTTTCACCCCTAGTGGCAACATTGTGGCATCGCAAGCACAGGTTTACCGCTCGATACACAGCAGTGTAATTATAATATTATTATTATACCGTACATCTATTGATGTCAATTTGACTGGCAGTGCTCCCGCTTGGGACTTCCAATAGAATACAATCATGTATGTCATGAACACTAAGCAACCACCGTTATAACTATTACTTACTTGCGGTATAAATACCACGGTGTATGGCGGTGGGACAAACTCAACAAAGCGCACCCGGAATCAAATTGGGTACAATAACACCTGCCAAGGCGACCACCTGACCTAGAGGACCACTACAACCAGGATCATGCGGTATCGTTTGCAGTTGAATACGGTCCAGGATTAGGAGACCACCTGTACACAGGGACCACGTTTTGAAGGCCCCTTAAGCTTGATTCATACTTCATTTCGCGTACGGGAAACGCGTCGCATCGCGAAAAAGTTGATCTGAGCTCAACTATTTCGCGTACGGGAAAGTCGACGCGCGACAATCGCACGATGACTTTCGCGTACGCGAAATGAAGTATGAATCAGCCTTTAGTTGAGCGGCATATACAGGTTTCACTGTACTTGAATCTCTCTGCCAAGACCACCCAGTCCAGCAAGTTCAACTACTTTCTGTTCTCAATGAGGCAGTCGCCGAAACAAGATTAAACTTGTTCTTCAAATAAAGTATGGAAAAGAAATTTGACTGCACTCAAGGTCTCGTGTTGTTCTGGGGCGATAAACGAATATGAAATTAGCACTTGATAGTTACCGGCGCCTCCTTTCCTCCAAGTGTGTGCTGCTGAACATACCCGTACATAGCAGTACATAGCACTGGACCCACTGGTCTCTTGGGTCAACTGCTGCGTTTTACAAGTTCATGAGTTTAAAAGTAGAATGCTGTGCTTGTTTTCTGACAGGGACATGCCGCTCCTATCTTGTACGCAGCCTGGCATGTGGCTGGCCACCCCGGAGTGACTCACGATGACCTGCTGCAGCTCAGGAAGATGGGACACATTCTGGAGGGACATCCCACTCCAGTAAGTTGCTCCGCACTGTGACAGGTCGCCATGCAGAATCTACTCAGTGTATAGTCTTGGCAGCTGGAATGTATTTTAATACATTGCAGCTTCCGAGCAGCATGAACACGGAATGATATACGTACTCGTACACACCATGTATACGCCCGTCGCAAGAGAAGCGCGCAAATTTGCAACACACACACACACACACATGCCCACACATGCCTGCTCGCATTCACGCTCATGCAAACATGTGTGATCTGTCATTCCTGCTGATATCAGCCAGTCGATGCCAAATTTCCTTCTTGTGTGTGTTTGCTGCTTGCACACAGCGTATTGATTTCGTTGATGTAGCCACCGGATCTCTGGGACAGGGTCTGAGTGTTGCTGCTGGCATGGCTTATACCGGCAAGTACTTCGACAAGTCTGAGTAAGTGCGTCTATTGTTGTGGGAGTGTGCAACTGCTGTGTTGTTGTGATGATGGTGAAAAGACTCATGTGGGTATGCAAGCCTGCATGATATGCTGTTGAGAATAACTTTGATATTAAAGGTGGGTGAATTTAGATTTTTAGAGCATTCTGCTGTACGGTTTGGGAAGGCTGTGTTTGCTTGCCTCTCACCAACTTCTTGTGTTTTGTCAATCAACTTGCAGCTACCGTGTGTATTGCATGATGGGTGATGGCGAGTCTGCTGAGGGCAGTGTATGGGAGGCTGCTGCCTTCGCTGGCCACTACAAGCTCAACAACTTGGTCGGCATCATCGATGTCAACCGTCTTGGCCAGTCTGACCCCGCCGCTCTGCAGCACGACACTGAGGCTTACAAAATGCGTCTGCAGTCGTTCGGGTATGTCATCTGTTCAGTAATGGTGTGCGTTGTTTCAAAGCACACCACCTGTATCCTTGGTTCTGCACCGTCCTTGTACTTTTTTGTACTTTTTCTTGTAACGCTATGTACAAGCGTATAGACGGTATGTTCTTACTAATGTTGTCAAGATCTGATCTCATCAGTGTATGCTAGTGTGCAATGTATGTTTCTGTCTGTTCGATTATTCAGTTTGTATCTTCGCTTTTGTTGCTATTGTTTTCAATTTTGTTGTTACTAGCTGGAATGCCATTGTTGTGGATGGCCATGACATCGCTGCTCTCGTGGAGGCATTCAAGCAGGGCCGTGACTGCACCGACAAGCCAACAGCGCTCATTGCCAAGACGTTCAAGGGCTACGCTCATGACAACGCCGCCGCTGGCATCTCCGATGAATTGAACTGGCACGGCAAGCCACTGGGTGACCGCGGTGCCGAGATCATTGCCAAGATCAAGGAGAACACCAACATGGAAGCTTTCATTGCTCCAGCCAAGCCAACCAGCACTCTCAGTGAGAATGAGGATGCCGAGATCAAGTTGTCCGCTCCACCAGCCTACGGTGCTGATGAAAAGGTAACTTTAATAACGCCACTTAGTTTGACGAGGAATGGACTGATGATCTGCCGTACTATGTCTGTACTGTCTGCACACTGTATACCCTGTTTGTCTTTCGGTGCGGACCTAGTCGTTGTATACTAGTACTTGTTGCATGGTTTATGCTGAAGTATTATCTGCTACTCGACGTGCATACTCACTAGGCGATGTTACCATGTTCGATTTATTTGCTATATGATAGCAGTGACTGATGCTGTGAGAGTGCATGCGTGTCTGTGTGTAACGTCTTCTGCTATACAGGTTGCGACACGTGTTGCCTACGGCACAGCGCTGAAGAAGCTGGGTCAGAGCAGCAACCGCATTGTGGCCATGGACGGCGACACCAAGAACAGCACTTTCGCCATCACCTTCCAGAAGGAGTTCCCCGACCGCTTCATTGAGTGCTTCATTGCTGAGCAGAACCTTGTCGGCGTTGCCACTGGCTGTGGATGCCGCAAGCGCACCATTCCGTTTGCCAGCACCTTTGCTGCTTTCTTCTCTCGCGCCTATGACCAGATCCGAATGGGTGCCATCTCGCAGGCTAACATCAAGCTGGTCGGCTCTCATGCCGGTGTCTCCATTGGTAAGCTAGGCTAGCCATTCAGTGTACAGTCAGACCTCGCTTATCCGGATCCCTCGCCATCCGGAAGAAAATCGCTGGTTACCGATGTGCAGCATATGTTATGCATACAACATAACCGGACCTCCCGATCCGCATACCGGTGCATGATTTTGTGTACAAACTGGTTAAAATGTGTACAAAGGCTTTGTCGTATCCGTTAGCAGAAGCAGGAATCAGGGAGTCGTACAAGCAAATGAGGTCCTTGACCTGCTGGATGCATGTGGATAGCACTCAGTTGCATGCACTTGTCATTTTTCTCTCTTGTTTTACATACTGTGCACGCTAGTTGTACTGCATAGGACCCGTCTACATGTATGTACGATGTCACTGCTTTTGACATGCCACATGCATATCCAGTATGTGTGTTCAGTTATCCGGTTCCCTCGCCTATCCGGATATTTTTATGGAAAACAGATGTGTGCGGTTAAGCGAGGCCTGACTGTACTACTGGTTTCTGTGGTAGAGCATCATGCTTTATATCCTACTTGTATACATATACATGTGGTATGTTTTATTATCCAGAGTACTTTGATACTTTGTACTCACTGTGCATATGTTATCCGACTTATAGTGCACATGTAGTGTGACCCACTACCCAATAGTTTCAACTTGGTTGCTGGACTTTGAAATATCTACAAACTACTTCATGTATTGCCTTTTGCTTTGCTTTGTTGATGGTTTTCTAGTTCTCCACTGGCTAGCGCACTTGATTTGATTATTTGCCTCAATACGCTCGCGCTTCTGTGTTGCTGTTGGGTACAGGTGAGGACGGTCCATCTCAGATGGCTCTTGAGGATCTGGCCATGTTCCGTAGCATTCCTACTGCCACCGTGTTCTACCCGTCCGACCCAGTGTCCATGGAGCGTGCTGTGGAGTTGGCCGCCAACACCGAAGGCATTGTCTTCATCCGCAGCAGCCGCCCCGCTCTGCCACTCATCTACACTGACATGAACGAGACCTTTGCTGTTGGCAAGAGCAAGGTATGTGTTGCTCGCATCTGCCCAGTTCACACTTGACCGATGGGTATGATGCCGGTCTTTTCATGCACAAGTTTATAAACTCAAGAAGTCTGCAGTCCGTTGCTGGTTGTTAACATACTTGTTGAAATCAACCGATATGACAATAAATCCTTGAGTGGTCCAGTGTCTTGGCCCCATGCTTTCTTCAATCTATTCTAAACTATACTTTGAAGTCACAGTGTACACGCGTGTTGTTGTTGTGGTCGTTCATGTTCATTGTATTTATGTTCATGATTATGATCTCTTGTTACACTCCACAGGTGGTGAAGTCCACTGAGAGCGACAAGGCCTTGCTTATCGGTGCTGGCGTCACGCTGGCGGAAGCCGTCAAGGCACACGACACCCTGGCTGCCGAGGGCATCAATGTGCGCGTGCTCGATGTCTTCTGCGTCAAGCCCATTGACAAGGAGCTCATCATCTCTTCTGCCCGTGCAGCTGGAAACAGAATTATCACTGTGGAGGATCATTATCGCGAGGGTAAGTGAAATCAGTGTTTGAGGTACTACTTCTTTTCCATGGTTTTGTTTCTAGTTTCGTTGCAGGTAGGATACTTTGTCTGGCGATAGAATTCAGTGTCCCTGGAAGCTCGTGTGCCTTTAGAGTGTTGCGGTTTGGCTCCCTTCTTATGTGCTGCCCTTTCGCCTGATGTGCTGTGCGTGATGATTGGTGTTTTGCTGTGTGTGTGATGATTCTCTTAGGCGGTATTGGAAGTGCTGTTGCTGAGGCTGTGTGCGAAGAAGCCGGCATCACACTGCAGATCCTGGGTGTCAGCCGTGTGCCTAGCAGTGGACCCGCCGCTGTTCTCATTGATGAGCACGGTATCTCAGCTGCCAAGATCATCGCTGCTGTCAAGAAATCCATGGCTTAGAGACCAGTGGCCTTTTGCTCTGTGGCACGTAGGGTCTCTCTTTCTATTTGTTACAAAAAAAGATTTTCACACTTCTTGCTTTGAAGTTGTTCAGCACCTTTTTGCTCTTGTTTCCTAAGCTTTCCGGTGTTTGTGCCAGTCACCGGTGACCATGGTGACCACTAAGCAATTTCATTGGGTTGCCATTTTACTTTACTTTCCTTCATATTCTTCATGTTTACTCCTAGGAATGCGTGCTCCTCTCCTCTCACCTTTTCACGATTCACGACTACCTCGTACCCAGTCCTGCTGTGATCTGGTATGTAGGGTTAGGGACGGCTGCATATTGCTGCACAGCTTTCTTTTTATTCCCGTACTTAAGAATAGCAGATCTCAAGAAGGAATGCTTGCCAGTGCTAGTGCTGGTGGAATTGGGGGAGGGGGGGGGGGGGGGGACAACTCACGAAAAGTCTTGGTACTTAGAAAAAGCACCCCCCTGGCGGCTACAGTGGAGTCTGCACACCCTGAGCAAGCTGAGGTAGATCTACACAGCGACGGAATTCTCTCTCTTTCTCTCTCTCTCTCTCTCTCTCTCTCTCTCTCTCTCTCTCTCTCTCTCTCTCTCTCTCACTCACTCTCTCTCACTCACTCTCCCTCAGACTCACACACAGAGACGTGTTCACCCTCTGCCCTTTCGAGTCTTTTTCGAGTCTCTTGCCTGCTCTTGTCTGTGCATGTGGGCATTGGACATAGTCGGCATCTTTTTATGGGCAACGGAACTCACAGACTGTGACAGTATTTTACAACTAATAATACCGGTAGTACTTCAAGGAAATGAAATGATATGAGCAGTAGATGATGTCAATGTGATAAATTGGTAAAATGAATCCACGTGAATTGATTGCATGGCATTCACCTCCAATGTTGCTTGTCCTATCCCTGTACTGTCTATTGGCAGTATTGAGCTTTGATTCTATCACATCCACCGTGCTGGATGCAGAATTATAAATGGCCTGATTACGAGTCGTAGATCTATGCGCACAGGCTGAGACCAGATCTAGACTACTGTATAAGCAGAAATATTCGTCTGGAATTTAATTTCGTCTTTTTCGTCCAAGGAGCTTTTGGACTAAATTAAATGCTGGACTAATGTCGATTTGCCCAGCTTTTCAATACACTCTTGTGATCGATGGACGGAATTTTCAACCGGACGAACTCCTTTTCTAATTCTTTGGAGTTGGACGAAATTATTGACTGACGAAAATTTCTGCCTCTACAGTACATTGTAGATGCAGAGTCCGTAAACACTGTTCCTGATATCACATCATGCAGTGCATGCGCCGATATGCCGCTTCCCAGCCCGGTGCTTCATCGCGGGAAAAGTGAGGCCGTTTCGAACAGTGCGAAGGACGGATCTGCGATCATGGTCCGTCCGTACCGTACCCAGGTACCGGTCGAAAGGTGTGGCTTTGGCCTTTTTTGAGGCTTCGCATTCGACCTTCCGTCAAGTTCCGATCGAGCTGCGAGGCCTGAGTGATCATGGTGATGGGGTTGTTTCAATTTTCTTCATCGTATGCGTATATGGCATGGCACTACTACATACGCATTTGATACAAATAAAAAATGCAACTGCCATGGCCAGTGCAGTGGTGCTGGAGCTGGAGCTATCCAGCCTCCAAGCTGCAAAGTGCAAGAGCAGTCGATTTGGCACTCACGCGACAGGTTCGCGGTTAGAAAGTCGGCCACAAAGATCTTTCTTTGACTAGGATTCCTGATGATTGCATAGATGGATGGATGCTTGGCAGTGTTCTTTTTCGTGACCAGGTTACATTCTACCATTTGAAGCGTTGAAGGGGCAAGAATAAGCTGGACGAAATCAAACTGGCTAGTTGGAGCTGATTGACGGCGCAGAGAGGACTCTCACACGGCCGACATTGGCCATGAGTTTCTCTTACCAGGCAAGCCGTAAGTAATTTCGATTGTGGTGCTTGGAGCGCAGCCAAGTAACTGGCACTCACACGCGATTTGCAAAGAAGTGGAAAAAGTGTTGAGAGATTTGCAAAGGAAGCAAGCCTCACTATCCAGGGATGCATATCCGGTATCTGACAATCTAGCGTCTGTGTTCACATCATGCCGTGGAAAAGCGAGTCGTTGTGATGTGATGCTGCCGTTTCCTAGGCCAGAGAGCGAAAGTTGCGGACTTCGTATTGCTGAGCCGAATGGAACTAGTCTTGTGCCATGGTTGCAGTTGCATTGGTGTTAGTTATTCACATTCATTGGCTCATCCTTATGTTGAGGATGAAAATTAATCATTTCGGAGTGGATTTTGAAATAGGTTGGAAGCTATTCTAATTCTAGTGGCCCTCATGTTTTGTTTTTATCGACCCAGTATAGGTCTTCTCAGAATAAAACTGCATACAGACATGTATGGCCAAGTATTATGTACCATAGCACAAAGGCAATTCCTTTCTGTTCAAAATATGAAATCCATCCTCTTGTTTCTGCCCTTTCCTTATTTGGAAGGTCTTGAGTGGTATTGTCATTAAAATCAAAATCATATGATCTACACAATACAGTGGAGATCGGATATAACGACCTTGCATATAACGGCAGATTGAGTTTAACGACACAATTCTGTTACCCAAGTCGTTTAGTAAGTCCTTTGTGAAAATCGGGCTTAGTGAGAGATCAAATATAGTGACATTTTGTTCTCTCCCGAAGGATTGTCGTTATATCCAATCTGCACTACATAAACATCTCAAACACACCTCTGATGATTTTGTTTTTCAGCCAAAGCCAATGCGGTGACTAGCCTCTGCCACACACACACACACACACACACACACACACACACACACACACACACACACACACACACACACACACACACACACACACACACACACACACACACACACACACACACACACACACACTGGAGTGATATTTTCTGCAAAAGTATTCTAAAGACTCATTTGGTATAGTAGTGTATATGACTCACCAATGCAAGTCCTGTAGTCTGCAAAATGCATAAACCATGCCATCGCATATAAAAGCAACAAGAACACACACACACACACACACACACACACACACACACACACACACACACACACACACACACACACACACACACACACACACACACAAAGACACACGGTGGAATGGTTCCGCTGTTCCGGAGTATCGCATACAAAAGCTAAGCATATTCTCGCACAAGCCATTGTGAGTTATGAAACAAGTCTTTGGGGTTTCGAAAATTTTTGAGACATGACCGAATGATAGCTTGTTTCTGTCTAGCGTGTTCACGCTGTGCTTTATTCATCATCCGGTGGCGATAGCATATTGTCGAACTACGTTCTCACACTTGTTTGGCAGTCTAGTTCAAGCAGCTGGCGAGCAAAGTGACAGTTTTCTTGAATAAATAAATAAATAATTCACTCTAAGACATGTTTTAGCTGGCTGTGTCCCATTTCTTTCTTGTGATAATGTTGTGGGTACATGTTTGCACATTCCTTACATGTCACTCTATGGCTGCACTGGAACCCATAAACACACCTACCCTGATGAACCTGCACGCACTCAGCAAGCCCTGTGATGTTTGCACGTTCCTAAGCTCCTGCTACTGTACATACTAGTACTGCCTTGTGCTGCTGTGCTGCTGTTTCACACGTTCTTGTAGTTTTGCAAAGACACAGAGTGGTTATGTTGTGGGTGCATGAGTAGTTGTAATAGAACTGACCAACTGGACCGGTTACGGTGGCCCTGGCTCGGTATATGTACGACAAAGTTGTATCGGTATATGAGAACGTATAATACCATTGACTGTGCTTGCGTAGGTGACCGCGTAATTGCAGCTTAGTCACCGTCTAATGAACGAGTTTATGGAGTGATGTGAAGTTCTGCCGTTGCAAACCCGCATTGACTGGCGTTGCACACTCTATGTGTGGGGGTTATGTACAAAGTATCAATTCACTGTCAATGTGATTGCAATGGACTGAAGATCTCATGGTGATAGGGGCTGGTATGCTAGAAATTGCAGCTGGCTTCCTGCCTACGGGTACAGTATTAATGTGAGGTGTAGATACATGTAACGGAGACTGGAACTTTCCTTCTATTGTTGTTTGTGTACTCATGTAGAGCCTGCTATCAGTCAGCTGCGGTCCACGACAAGCCTGTGGTTCCACCCGTACATCAGCCGCGCCCATGGCTGCCGCATGCTGGAAGGACGCGAGGGTGGCTCGTTCATCTTGCGCGAATCCAGCAAAGGCGGGAACTTTGCGTTGTCCGTAGTGCTTCCGGGCAGCAGCGGTCTCGGCCACTATCTGGTGGAGAAGCGCGGCCCAAACTGCTTCCGCTTACAAGGCAGCGAGAACACTTTTCTCTGCCTGGAGGAGCTGCTGGCGCACTACTGTGAAAATGACAGCATTGGCATGCCATGCCGTCTGAGAGTGCCTCGCCAGCAAATGCCCAAATCAGTTGCAGCACAACCATCATCGGCTACCACTGCCAGGCCAGCTCTCCCGCCTCGCAACAGCTTCCGCAAGGCGCCGGCAATGAAATCGTCGCCGCAGTCAATGCCGGCATCGCTCCCGAACCGTGGAACACACTCGACCATTCTCACTCCGCCATCCATGGTCAACCTTCCGAACAGTTACAACGGTAATTCTAGTCTTCACGCTCACCCAGCAGCAACTCCCGGCATGTCACCAGTCATTTTAAGCCCAGAACTGGATGAAGAGTACGCAGAAATGAGCAGTCCAGGTGTTCGCCCAGTCCAGCAGCAGCAGCAGCATATGCAAGCAGATGCCGAAGAGGAAGAGGAGTATGCCGACATGAGCAGTTCCAGCTCGTTGCGCCAGGCACAGAGCCACCCCAGTACCAGCGGCAGTGTGGGCGGCATGGATGAGCAATTCGAGGAGGAGTACGCCGACATGAGTGGTTCAGCCATGGTAGCTGCAGCCGCTGCTGCTGCCGCCAATGCAGCTCACCCATCAGCAAACTTCATGGCTCAGTCCAACCCTGATGGTCAATTTGAAGAGGAGGAAACGTATGTTGAAATGCAAGCTGGTATGTAAGTGCTGAGGGGAACCTTTCCCTTGCCCAGTAGCTATACCTGACCTCATGTATTTAAATCAGGGAGACATTGGTTGTTCTGTGTTTGCACTGCTGCCATACCACGCCGACAGTGCACTCTTTTCTTAGCTGAGCAAGAAGAGCACTCTCGTGTCTGCCTGGTGGCCAAGGGGGTGTGCACTTGCTTGTGCATACAGCAATCGTGTTCTACCTTGACAGGAGTAGTGCAGCAAAACCAGTCACATTCGTGTGAAGTGTATGAGAAACAGTACGTAACATGCACCAGCATGCTCAGCTCCCTTGTCAATTAACGGTTTGTTTGTCTGTGCCCTGCTTGCACAAACGCAAAGCACAGTTTAATAGTTTCGCTCGCATCGCTTGGCTTGACTTGTCTGCTGAAAATTCAACATCACCACCCTCTTTCCCTTTCTAGCTGCCAGCTCTCTAAGGCGGGTCAAATGCCCAATGAAAGTTTACCGCATGCCAGTTCATGAAATGTCACCGTATATACATTTATAACTCTTTTTGGGCACGAACCTCCCGTCGCATTATTTTTATTTTGTTCAGTGTTCTCCAAGTCCTAACTTGCTTAGTGGCGTTGTAGAATACATTGCGGCGCATGCCTGAGAGGGGGTTTCCCAGTGTTGCGGCATCTTTTTTCTGTTACCCGCGCTCTTTAATATAATCAGCAGACAGACAGTGTGGACAGAGAACCTAGCTGGCTTTACAGTGTGTATGCTTTCTGCGTCCGTTCCTGTGCTATTTCATACCGCGCTGCTGCCTGGTTGCCGCCGTGGGTGATCTCTCTCTCTCTTTTTATTAGCAGTTGTCTTTCCCATCTGTTTAGTAGCTGTCGGAGCTTACCCTTGTGCAAGCGTGATAGTTTGTGATTGTGGCCCCTAGTGTGGTGTTCAAGTCTGATGACGTTTTTGTAAGTTTTAGCTTCTTCAACTTTCCTGCCTTCTAGATGGCGATAGCTATTGTGCCATTTGCACTTCCATCTCAATAGAAATAACTTTTGATTGTTTTTGTTTTGTTTTTTACTAAGCGAGCCTGTTTTATATAGTCTTTCTACGATATATTTTTTAATTCGGTTTATGCATGAAGGAGCAGGCAACGCGAAGCAGGTTACTACGTAAATGGTTTCATCTTTGCACTGACAGCCTATTTTTAAAGCGTTCTATCTTGTTGAACAGATTATTGCTGACTGTCTTTCCGCTGGAAGGCTGACGGTCGGAAGAATACTCCCTGTCACCTTCTCTGCTTCTTTGTGCTTGTGTGTCTATATGCGGGTGGGTGTGTACCGTGAAAACTGTGTGCATGTGTGCCGTTTACCTGGACTTCTTAAGGCCGATTCATACTTCATGTCGCGTACGGGAAAGTCATCGCGCGATGGCTTTCCCGTACGCGCCGAAGTTGAGCTCAGATCAACTTTTTCGCGACGCGTTTCCCACACGCGAAATGAAGTATGAATCGGCCTTTAGTCATTCCTGGTATTAATTTTGGTTGTGTGTGTGTGTGTGTGGTGTAGACCAGGTGTGCATTGGTGGTTGATTCACATGGCTTCGCTAGTTGTGTGGATTAGACAGTTATCTGGCGCAAGTCTTGATCTGTCTCATTCAGATCTTGTTCGCTATCGTTGCTATAACTTAAAAGCTGTGGGTGCATATCCAGTGCATTTGCAGATTTGCATGCTTCTCTTGCGACGGTCGTATACATGGTATGTCTGTGTGATACGTTAACTCACTGGGCTGGCTCCAAGAAAGTACAGCAGCTGGGGACCAGGGAGTCGTCAAATACATACTAGCCTAGTACTTCGAAGTACATGATGTATTTGAGGACTCCTGCACTCTTTGATAGTAGTCTTGATACCAATGACAACGCAGCAAGCATCCATAACCATGGTAACCCTCCAATTGGCCACTTGGTACCTCGGCAGTAGAACTAGAAGTGCTTTGGCCGTGACCACGTTTCCCCCAGCTGGCGGTCCCACGGTTCACAACACCAGCATACTACTACCAGGAGTGAGCTCCCAAGAGTGTACAACTCTGGATACCTATTCTATGGAGTCCGCCGACGGCGAAAACTCACATCACGTGCAGTGGTGTAGTGTTCCCATTGTACGTTACCCCCGCCGTTTTTACTTTTTAGCTGCCATCAGAGTTGAAAAAATAACGCTCCCGATAGAAACCCACTCAACTTATGCGAGTCATCAGCCATGATCTGGCAGATATTCGGAGTGCGCACGCTATCGCCTTCGTTGTACGTAGTAAAACAAGTACAGTACTGTCGGTCAGCCTCCTAGCCTAGTCCGTTCTTATTTTCATGTATTGCAGTCGATGAGCAGTTGAGTCCTCCTGTATACATTGGTATGCTGTGCTTGATGAAATTCTAGCCTGGTCGTTCTTCAGCGCTACCCGACAGTACTGTACATGCACTTGGAATGTGATGTGAGTTTTTTGCAAACTCTTTAACTGGGAGCTTATTTACTCTTGTTGATACTAGTACACAGTACACTGCTAGCCCAGATCAGCTTGGTACTCAGTGTAAGTTAATTGTTTCAATCATTGCAGGCCTTCCAGCACAGAATGATACTACTATGATGAGCCGGGAGGCCAGCAGGCCATGCCTCGGAAGGCAGAAGCGGCAAAGGAAATACGGCGTTCGTACACAGTATAAATTATGCCATTGTCCATTTAGAAATAGGTCTAGTGTCCCTTTTGAAGATAACTGGTCTGATCCGGTAAGTATGATCGGCTTTCGCCGCACGTGTATCAGAACGAGGTGTGTCTCGTTGTCCAAGAGACGACCAATCAGCGACGTTCTCGCCAAGGGCCTTCTCAGAGTTTATTAGTAAACCGGTGTGTTGCGGTTGTCGGCCGCCATCATCACTATCAGCATTCGAATAGCATACACAAACATTCCTAGTCCAACGAGAAGTGCAAAGAACGCATCGACATACCACACATGTGGATGGTGCTGTCTCACAAACCAGCTCACCAGAACGCCAATCGAGATGACGGTGCCGCCGAGAGAGTTCATACCGTCACTGCGCAGAGCCGGGCTCTGCAGGACACGCGCCACCTTGACTTTGACCCAGGCCAGCACAAGAAACACAGCAGCACTAATGCCAGCTAGTATTACTGTCGGTAGACCGCTGCTTGGTACCTCACCATTGATGATGTCAGCCAGTGCCTTGCATACGATGGCAACAAATGCCAGCACAAACAGAATGGCTATGCCGATCGTGGCACGCCGTTCGCGCAGCCACCACTCCCGTACCTGCCCTCTCACTTGCTGCTGTCCCGCCAGCAGATCTGTCGGGCTGTGGAAGCTACAGTCTGTTGTCGCCGCTGCATGACGCTGGCGTCCGAACACTTGTGGCCAGAACCTCCAGAGCACCACCAGCGTGGAGATGAAATCCAGAACACAGTTCAGCGCAAAGCCAAAGGCCGCGTCGTTGTCAGTTTTCACCGACCCAACAAAGCCCATCACCCCTAGTGAGAGACTAGCACCCAGTGACACCATACATAGCCAAATGGCATAACGCTGATAGCGCTCCAACCGTCCGCTACTCCTCCCGCTGTGCGGACTGTTAGGTGACGAGTTGGGATCGTCATCGTCCGCAGATATGCAGTGATACTCGTTTGTTGTCAAATCTTGTTCGCCTTGCACGGCGCTGCTCGCCTCCATTACGAATTTATATCCATCGTCGCTCGTCCCATAGTGTGCCGTCATCGTGAAGTTCCGTACATTAGAATCGGTACGATACCAGCTCGAAACTGAGAGTGAGACTCTGTACTACTGGTGTCGGAAATAGCGCCAGCATAAGCAGCCACGCCTGATTCAACTCATCGCTTGCTGCATTGTGCATCATAATCAATAGGTCCTGTGTAGTATTTCCAGCCAGGTGGGATCTTATATAATTATACCACGTACCGCCCTGCGCCTTCACCACCGTTTAGTAGCCTTTATAGGCTTTATCCACTGATTCTCTGAGTCTCTACTTCTTCGGTCACAGCTGCTGGAGTTGGAATATCCAGCAAAGCGGAACACTGGCGAGCTGACAACTGTGTCGATCGCGTGTCGATCTCCTCCGCACGGTGATGTCAATGATTTACGTGCCCGTGCCGGGATAATATCCGGATCTGTGTGAACGAACCGGTGACCAGCGCACTTCTTGAGCACACCAGTTCTTTTCGTCGATCGTAACCGGCCAGCAACACTTTACAGTTTCTACTGCACCAAAACCGTAGTAGAGATCGGCGGCCGGTTCCGTGGCGGAGGCGTCTCCCGTCCACCGACAGCGTCAACACCTCCTGCAGGATGAGTCCGCCGCACGCCTATGGCCTAGCGCCTGTGACTGACAAGTGACAGACTGACAGTGTTTCTTTCACAGTTTCAGCTTTGTACGAACTACATTTTGAGCCCAAACAGTACTGGGCCAAAGCCAACGTAAAGAATGGCCTGCTCTGCTAATGCGGGTAGATCTACATGACTGCGTCCGAGGTGGCGAGGTCTGATCGCTGTACTGACTCTGGAATGACTGGTGCAAAATCAGGGCTTTTACGACTCCCTGATCAAAATACATACTGTCTCAGTGTCTGTAATCTCTGTATGTCACTAAGTGACTTGTCAGTGACCATGTTGACGTAAGGACGGTGTCGTTGACCGGATTCAGTACAGTGACTGACTGCACGGCGTGCACGCACAATCTTGATCAACCCGGCCCGCCGGAGATGATCATGCATGAGCCGGAACGTCCAGACAGGGAGTCGTGAAAACGGGCTTTTACGACACCCTGGTCCAGATCGTGCCTCTTCCGCTTCGGTGATACTGATAGGCTACTAGTACTACTGTACTGCCGTTCGGTGTCGTAACGACGAGTCGTCTTCTCATCTCTGCACTCTGCAGGCGTCCTTCTAGCTCGACAGTGACAGCCCATGATATGAGCATAGCCGAGCACTACTCTACATTGTACTATTTGTAGCTCTACTTCCGAAGTTTCGACAGGCGGACGGGTCAGATGTTGCGGGGAAAGATGCAGGTACCGTCACTGCCTGTACTGGAGTGTAGGCTCTCCGACACTGGTGTCGCCATCACACTGGATTCGTAACTCATGTCATGATGGCGGCTCATCATGACCGTCGTCACGGCTAGCGTCAAGCGGACTGCCGAGGGAGGCGAGCTGATGGAGCGACCAGTACGCGGTGCATGAGCTGAGGACTCTGGACAGTCGTGTGACTTTGCTTGCACGAGTCAAGGCAAGCACCTCTTTCAGTCTTTGTTCTGTCTTCTCATGCATGCAACACTGGCCATAAGCTCAGGCATAAAACACAGATTGTTAGTAACACTGAGAGCAGTATGCTACAGTGTGGTCACTCAAAGAACTTTAGTCTTTATTCCCGTAGCTATGCAGAAGACGTTACTTCAGTAACGTCTTGCGCTAGCCAGGGTCCACACAGCTTTAATTGAAAATCCAAGATGATCCGGAGAAGGATAAGAGTAGTGGTAGTAGCAGAAGCAGTAATTTGAGAAATATCCATGGATGTGAACAATAGACCATGCCAGTGTGGTTACTAAGGGCGCGTTCGAATTGTCTTCATCAACTGTTCAAACAAATTTTACTTGTATAAAGAGATTAGTTGAAGTGTCCCATAAAAACGGTTTCTATCATTTTAGAGTTTTCGGTAGAATTGTCATGGCGATGATGACGTCCGATCAGATCGACCATCTCCAGGTACTACGTGACGTACCTATTCCAAACTCTTCGAAACTAATCCACCTCTCCCATCGGGTGAGGTTGTGGAGTTTCGAGGAGTTTCGAGGAGCTTTGTTTTTCTGAAGAGGCCAATAAGGCCACCTCTTCAGAAAAACGAAACTCCTCGAAAAGTCAAAGAGTGACAATTCGAACGCTCCCATTAATAGTGACTCGGCGGCACTACAACTACCACTGGTGTGGGTCTACAGGCTGAACTGGCTGCATGCGAAGTAGACCTACATGTACATGTAGTTACGCCTGGCTTGGCCTCATGCCGTCATGGTGGTGCGGGGTGGATGTACTACAGGTCTTTGATTAGTAGACAACCCCAGGGTTTCAAAACGAGAGAGCTTGGAAGCTCAGGGCCCTGCGCTATGCTTTGTTGCCTAGCTCATCGTGCATGTTGTTAGAACTGATGGAAATGCTTTTTCCTTTGATTAGCTAAATCATTGTTTTGCAAAAACGTTTCAATGAGATACTGAAGTACAAGTAACGTCTTCTGCATAGCTATGGGACCGGCGCTGACTCTGCCGATGACGGGCGTTCTGGAGTCGACGGGATGTCTGTCCTGACGTTTCCTGGGACCGGCGCTGACTCTGCCGATCACGGGCGTTCTTCTTCTTCTTCTTCTTCTTCTTCTTCTTCTTATTATTATTATTATTATACTGACGGCAACTAACATCCATTCTGATTGCATTTACTCGTCTCCCTACTTCGTATTTCTTTCCAGAAAATCTCCCCATACAGCAGGGAGTCGTTTACATAATATGACTCCCTGCTATACATCTACATGACTGTATATACGTTATAATCATGATAATTATTATGCTATCGGCCTACATGCGATTTCCGGGCTGGTCGACAGGCGGCCCAGCCAGCCTGCTAGTGGGATCTCGGCCTCGCACACAAATCCACACAAAATTTAAAGTTACTGCACTGAATGCATTCCCCCCATACACTTCGCATACTCATTCTCTTGATGGTACCGTACTCTTGATGATACGGGACAGGTACGGGATAGCGCCAGGCATGTCGATGGCACAAACAAACAAAAATATTGTGGCCAGCTGTCTTTGCTGGTACGGTACAGTACGGGATAGATACAAAATAGCGCCAGGCGTGACACAAACAAACAAACACACAAACAAACACCAAATTAAAGCTGTGTGGACCCTGGCTAGCGCCAGACGTTACTGAAGTAACGTCTTCTGCATAGCTACGGGAATAAGAAATAATGTTGTCTATACTCAGAGGAGTATAATGGACTTGCATGTATACAATGTACGTGTTGTTGATTGGGTCATTGGATTGTCCCAGTACTAGTGCTAACTGGTGACAGTGATGGCATTGAGCCACAGACTCCTAGTGCTGTTACTCCTAGTAAAGTAGTTGGAAGTGGACAGAGGTGAAGCCACCATGCGCAGTGTTTGGACTTCTTGTGACTAAAAGCTACTTGGAGCAAACCAAACCTGCATACTTACAAGCTACATTGTACATGTTACAGCCAGCAGCTAGTGATGGGCGTAATCATGACGTCATGACATAATGGAACTGAGGAATTACTTACTAAGTTACTATGTAGTATTCAACACTATGATGCACACTATCATGTAGGATATCGTGTGCCATCCGTGACTGTGACTGCAGTCACTGGGTGACAGTCATAATACAGGAGCAACAGGATTTCTGAACTGAGCTCTGGTGGTAACGCAATAAACAAAAGCTCCCCTAATCCGAACTCCCCAGATCCAGGAACTCCCATCTACCCAGCTCCTTTCTGACCCCTAAAACAATTTGGCCTTTCACCAAAGAAGCACCAAAATATTAAATTTTATCAGCTTGAGATATTGATTGTCCCTCATCCTAACTCCCCAGATCCAGGAACTCCCATCTACCGAGCACCTTTCTGATCCTTCTAAAAAGTTGGCCTTCCAACATGAACAAAATTAATATTGATTGGCATTTTAGTATAGTCGATACTTGCATGCAATCAGTATGTTCCGAGTTACAGGGAAATCCTAGTTACAGACACTGCCCGGTCCCAACATGCCTGGAAGGGGGGGGGGGGGGGGGGAGTTCTACTGTACGTACACATGATTGAAACCAGGGAATCACAATAGAAGTGGTGGCTGGTTTGTTTATGCCTGCTGCAGTATTCTGGATTCTGGAGCCCATTATACCCATTTGTCACTCAGATTGGTATGACTTGACTGCAATAATTCATTAATTGCTGTATATGCAGGGCAGGGTTCCTGGTACCCCACGCTGGGGGGAGGGGGGTGTGCGAGTCCTGCACATAGGTGCATTGCACGATCTCACCAGTGGGGTCACCATATGCAATGCCACCCCAGGGAGCGAATCAGGTTTGTGCATGCAATGTTGATCACTTTTATAATACTGCCTTTTAGTGCCTGGCAAAACAAGTAGGCTAGGGACGACTGGTGCCATGCCAACATATGGTTGATTAATAATTACAAGTTTTGAGATGAATATTCACACCAAGTAATGAATTTGGAATGAAGTCAAGAGGCAGCAAATGAAGAAAAGGTATTACGTATCAGAGATTTTCATCACCGATATATAATTCAAATTTATTGAAGAGCAATTTAGTGAGGAGCTAGAATGGTCCTTATTTCGTATAATCATGTGTCATGTAAATGTGGCCACGCCAATGTCCGCAAGTAGAACACAGGCACTGTGCAGAATAAAACACATTCAAAGCTTCAATTGGCAATACACGTTGGACAACTCTAAACTTAGTGTCTACATGGAAGGCCAGTTACTTGCCAAAATGTACGAGCGGGAGCGGGGTGCAAACAGCAAGCCACTGAGAAGGATTGCTGGGCTACTAGAGGACGCGCTCTGTTCACAGTTCGGCGGCAGAACCTTCAGTCTTGCATTGTTGCACCTGCATGTCTTGCATTGTTGCCCCTGCACGTGGACACTGACCTGATCAGAAAATGGACAGGAAAACGTTGAAAGACTGGTGTCTCACAAAGGCCATAACAGGTAACGTTAGAGACACCGGTTCTCACAAGGGCCATAACAGGTAGAGAGACACAAGGGTGTCTACTGGCACTAATGCGCTGCTTTCCAGCAAGCATATGTGTGTGGAACAACTAATTGTAATCATCTCCTCTGGGATGGAAGCGATACAACTGGGTTTTTTTGTGGATCTAGTTAGTAAGAGTACCGTAAAAGTCCGTAAATAAGTACCTGCCCGAAAGAAATACTCCCTTCATTCTTTTGGCTCTGTCTGTTGAAGTCAAGCCCGATAAACATACTGCCCGAAATAAGTACCGGTACGATGCGCACATGCAGCACGTAGCATGTACATCAACATGACAAATGACTTCTCCACTACACACAAGTCAGGTCCGTTAGTTCGTGCCCGAAAGTCAGTACCCGCCCGAAAGTTAGTACGGGTGTGGTCACTAAATTCGAATGTAAATACGTACTTATTTACGGACTTTTAATAGTGCTGCTGCCTTCCCGTGTTAGTATTGTGTTCCAGGCATTGCTTTTTCAGGTAAATAATAATTGTGGAAGCAGCCTAAACCCCTGGCCAGTCGTTATGCTGTTTGAAAGAGAAGGCTGCATGTATATAGCCAAACCCGGACGGAATCACAGCTGGGTCAGGTTTACACGAAGTACATAAATAAACCGACTGTTCTATTAGAAACTGGACATGCATATTGGTCTTGTGGCTTATACGACATAATATGCATGCATGCTTTTAAAGCAAGCAGGTGAAACTGCATGGTACAGTGGAGTAAACTGGACGTGTAAAAGCTGGCAGCTAGAACACAAGCTTACCTAAGAATGGAGGACAGGATGGCGGGTATAGCCGAGGGGATAAATTGCCGCTAGGATTCACTGCATAGGACACGAGCAAGAACCAGGAAAATACAGGACCACGAAGGTATGTGTTGGTCTCAGACTGAATGGACAGAAGCATATCTTTTATCATAAGATTCTTTGGCACAACAGGGGCGTCGGAACCGGTGCGGCATGTCCAGCCGCACCAAGAAATGTGTGATTTTTGAAGCAATGAAATATGGGCTATTTGGGCCCAAAAATTATTTACCAAACATTCCCTCAGGGGAGGGTCCTTTTCATAGCCGCACCAATGGGAGGATACCTTCTGACGCCCCTGCACAGTTCATTGAAGGTACAGCAAATCAGGAACCGAGATTTACTTGTGAATTACTTGTAACCCCAGAAGGAAAAGAGAAACCTTTATTACAACAATGCAAATCCAGGACAAATTCACTACTAACCGTGGTTCGGAGAGGATGTGGTTCCCATAGTACTTCAAGGCGAGTGTTTACAAAACCCGGCTTTGCATTGTGTGTTCATGTCTACAGTGAACACATACCAGAAGGTAAACATGAAATTTAGTGGAATGTACAGACACATACACGTGCACTTCATATTATCAGAAGGGGTGTGTACGTGAAGGTCATGAAGTCTTGCATCTACAGTGTTGCTCAATGAAATCCAGCCGCATCACTCAAGTAAGCGCCGGGCGTTGCGCTGCCATAGTCTAGACCTGCGAACACCGGGCTGCAAAATGATGCAAGGCGCCAACTAGTGACTTGAGTGACGCTACCTGTACTACATGTACATGTACAGCCCTTAGTACAGTACTACGGTCAGCGGCTCAAACAATGTACACGGCTGTACTTACAGTACTTACAGGACGGTATGATGAGGACACTCAACAGCATAGCACAAGACGGAGGACACACAATATGGAGTCCAGGCTTCCAAACTATAATTGTACTATGCTGATATCATCATACCTATCAAGCAAGGCTTGCATACATGTAGCGGCATGTACATACTACGTACCCCTTGCCGATAGGATGATGATCAGGAAGCTTGGATCCTAGTGCAAGTGAATGATATGGGCCAATGGTGTGATATGGACATGTATGAGTTAGGTGGGATGATGTAAAAATGGGCATAAACAGAATACTCCTTGGGTTTAGGTTCATACGACAACATGGTCTTCAAGTTTGAAGGGAGACGAGGAGAAACTTTCGATGGAGGCCAGGAGAAACACTTTGAAGACCATGTGACCATATGAACCTAAGCCCTAAAGTGTATTCTGTCTGCACCTGTTTTTACATCACTCCACCTATTAAACTCACACATATTGTGTATCACCGACTCATTGGCCCGTATCATTCACTTGCGCCATAAACCAAGCTTGCTGCAGCCTATATCAATTTTATCTTGGGAAATTTGCAGTCAAGTTTCTGCCTAATGATTGGTAAAACAGTGGAACTCAGAGTTACAGCGGAAACGCTTCGATTCCTTCTTTCAAATGTGTGTGCTACAGTAGTAGTCAGTAGGCTCTGCACCTACATGTACAGTAAGTGCATTGAGCACTGCCACGGGCTTAGGGCTACCACAACTCTCCGAGTGTAACTATTACTTAGATCTACAGTATCAGGGGCGGATCCAGAGATCTCTACAGGGGGGTTCCGGTTGAACCAAAATTGAACAGCCAAAATATTATGGAATCAGATTGTTTTGAAGTTGTGCGGTTGACACATGTAATTACGACAATCCGATTGTGTTAGTGGCAATCGCATGCTTTTAAAACACACTACGGACATACATGTATGTTTCCATCATCGACCACACCATAACTGCGCCCTCCAGCCAGCCTCGACACGTAACGTTGCCACAGCACACCACCATCGCTGGAGCGCGCAGTTGTGGTGTGGTGGACGATGGAAAGCCTGTACAGGGCCAAATGCTGCTGCTTACCCTACATTGTATAATTCTTATTTAGGCGCCGGTCACACATGCATGGCGCTTTTGCGACACCACCAAAGCTGCACCACAAAAGTTGGGATATCCCCGGATCACCATGGATACTGCGCCTGGCGCCACTGGCGCCACGGCGGCAATCTCAAAAGCGCCACAACCAAAAAATTAGTGGCGAAACACAAAAGCGGTAGTACAACTTTTGCGGCGTTGTCGTTGTTGGATCTCTTGGATCTTGGAAAAATTAGTTTTTCATCTCTCGTCATGAAGTGGACTGCTGACCAAGAGCAACTGCTCCTCTCCCTCTATTTCGAGGTCAACCATCCGACATGGGACTCGACTCAGGCGTCCACCGATGCTCAAGGAGCTTTTGCAAGATTCAAACGAAGAGAAATTGAACAACATGAATATTGAGGCAATCTCCATAGCTCTCCGCAGTCGCTGGTCACGACGTAGTCGGCGATTCTGGGCGTTTCTGCGATCCATACCAGCGCAGGAAAGGAATTTTGAGGCTACAGTCTTTTTCAGAGAAAAGTTTTACAACACCTGTGGAGACCCGTGAAGCTGCGTGCGTACCAAAGCCTTTGCATGTGTGACCACCGGCAGAAAAGAGCCGCAAAAGCGCCCACTGCCAGCATGTTGGAGGCAGCCGCAAAAGCGGTGTCGCCGCCTGCATGTGTGACCGGCGCCTTTAATAGTACGGACACATAATCATAATATACTTGAGTACATGTATGCAATCGACTGCCGGGCACACAGGTTCAGTGAGGGCTTGAAGTTGAAGACCCTTTCAACTAACTTCTTGTAAATATCGAATATGCAAGCCATGGCATGGGTACGTTGAGAGCCAGGAATGCCGAAATAACAACTGTAAGTTACCAAGGTTACTTTCCCTGTCCATTTTGTACTTTCGGAAAATGTTGGCATTTTTACGATGCGAAATGCTATAGTCACAGGACAAGAGCATCGTCTTCACTTCAGCTCGGTGGTAGATGACCGGGTCCCGATGGAGGCAGGTGTCTCTCTCTCTGTGTCTCTCTCTCTGTGTCTCTCTCTCTCTGTGTCTCTCTCTCTCTGTGTGTCTCTCTCTCTGTGTGTCTCTCTCTCTGTGTCTCTCTCTCTGTGTCTGTCTTTCTCTCTGTGTCTATCGTTTTAATCAAAAGTTTCCCCATGTTGCAGTACTTCTGTTTGACGATGCTGGAAAAGTAATGCAATCTCTGTTCAAGATTTCTGTTGTGTGCCATTAATTATTTTTAAATTCTCGTGCATGTATGCTCTATTTTCTCTTTTTCACAGCAATCCCAGCCTGGCCCGTATTCGGCACCTATCCCATCTTCTTCCCAGCCGCCTAGTTTTGTACCTGGTCCTGGTCAACCACTTTCCTCAAACGGTCCTGCGATGGGCCCTCCACCCTCGGCTAGTGCGTATCATCCCACAGCTTCGGGCGCGCCACCAATGGCTGGTCCTCCGGCATCTATTTCAGCCCTGCCGCCTTCTCAACCTATTGCTGGTGCTGCAACTGCCCATCCTCCTTCTGCTGCAGCTACTTCCAGTGGTGCGCAACCCATGGGACAGCGGGGTCGCTATCCTCAGCCAGTTGCTCAGTCAGCAGCAACGGCCACAGGTGGACAAACACTGCTTGCAACGGCCATCAATCCCACTGGTGCTGGTGGTCCTGGTCAGTTTTCGTCTTTCCCACAGCCAGCAGCCAATCCTCAGGTTCCTGTTGCTCAGCCTGTCCACCAACCTCCGCCACCTGGTGCACATGCGGCAGGGCCTGGTGTTCCACCTGCGGCAGGACCAGGCCCGCATGGAGCTAGCGGTACAAACATAACGGTACAATAGTAGACCGGATACAGTAGGTCGCACGACAAAAAAACACCGCGTAACTCAGGACATTACTTACCGACTTCCAAGCGAAGACTGTAACGCCGGTCATAGCCAGGCCCAGCGTCCATCCCGCCGTCCAATGCAATGGAGGATGGAAGAGGATGATTCCGGTCAGGGAGAGCAGCTCACCATCCTTCTCAGGCTGAGATGATTCCTCGGCAAACCAGAGAGTAGTCGGAGAGGGGAATTCGCCGTCCTGCTGGTGAGACGCTTGACCAGTTGTGCAACGTTCGAGGGTAGTCCTTCCATTATATCCCACCGGCACAGAGTGGCCAAGGTAGCGATGTTCACACGACTTCCCTGATTCACACCCTTGTGCGCGCGTCTGGAAGATGGCGCGACATGTCCGATGTGAACTTTGCCTTTGCCCCGACTACTACAAGTAGTACCTAAGCATGCTTTGGAGACCTACCTGCAACCAGGGAGTCGCCTGGTGAGGGCTTTCATGCCAGCCTCCTGGTGTGAACTGAATACTACAACTACATAAGGTGACTCGGTGTAAACACTGCTTGGCAGGTCACAAGTAACGTTATTGTAGTTCAGTTATAGTTAGTTGGATGTCGGGGGGGGGGGGGGGGGGTACGAATGCTTGGGTGGGAGGTGACGGAACGACTACGTGGTGCGTCCTCTCACTCCTCTGGCTCTTCCAGTCTTGGTTGTCTGTTCTGTCCGGTTCAGTCGTACTGTCAGGATGCGTTGGCAATCCGTTATGGGTTACCTGCATAATTGTAAGTCCTTTGGCTTTGAAAGTTGGAATAGGTATTAACACATGCACTGGAAATTATTTGTGTTTGTCAGAGTATACACGACCCGGGAGCTTTTTACTCTTGGCGCTATGCATACAGAGTGAGCCGTTACTTCATCCCTGTTCCGTAACTTTGCCACAGCATCTCCATATTGCCGTTGGAGATCACGGATATCTGCAGCGTGAGCCTCTGGAGCCCGTCTCAATATCAGGGGCCGAGGGTCCTGTACCCTTTAGGAGGAGGTATTCTTTGAAGCAAGGGTTTCTGGCACTTTCTGCCCCTACATAAGTAGTCCAAGAACTGACCATCTGACTATGAGGGGAGGGGTATCAAGTATCAAAGCATGCCGAGCAATATCCAGGCATGATCACCATCATTGCCATGGTGACTGATGATTGCAGAGTAACAATCATGTGTATGAAACTTGTAGTGTAGTGCTTGTGACACAAAAACCTTGGTCCACTACTTTATTGTGTTAAATGCAACATTATTATAAATAATGAAAAGGAGGAAAAAGAGAAAGCTGCCAAGTATCACTTTAAAAAATTATAAATAAACGTACGCTCTGAAGTCCATCTATCACAGCGTCCCAAGTAACTAGTTTGGAGATGCAGAAAACATGCACGGTCATCATAGGCATTAGCACAAGGGTATCTGTGCACGTATCCAGCAGAGCGGAGCAGGCAATCAAGTCACTACTAGCAATCGGGACAGAGAATGCACGATGGTCATGCGGACAGCTAACTCATCACTATCCCTGATGCATCGCCGGGTTGCAGGACCTATACACATGACGTAATGCCACGCGATCCTGCAAGTGCACGGCATGCAGTTCAAGTCAGGTGCTATCGTAGTAGTGCATGCAGACATTAGTGTGATGGCGTCAAGTACAGTCATGCATGTATGGGACAAGAGCCGTTGAGCTTGGTCTGTGTCTGCACTACTAACCATATCTAGAATTTTCCCATGTGAGAACCGGTCTTGCAGCCGTCCACTGTCCTCCATTTGCCGCAGTTCATGCACGAACCGCCGAACTGATTCACCATTGGACCGCGATGCCACTGGCAGGAGTTTCCCCGGTTAGACGTGGGCACAAAGCGCACCGAGCACCGCCGACACGACATGGGCCGCGTGTGCGGAATCGACGAGAACCCTCCGGTTGAGACGCTCCTGGGCGCCATTGGCGTCGACAGCGTACTGGAATGGACGTTCTTGGAGAAATGCGGCACAGCGCTACCGACACGATACGTACCCATTGCGCCGAGCAGGCCATTGCCGAGTGAGAGTCGAACGGCTGGCGCACTGTGCGATCGCTTTAACTTCTTCTGCTGCGACTCGGTGTGCTGCTTGATTAGGCGCCGTTCCAGTTGCTCCGTTGCGTGCCGCTCATGCAGCATCTTCATGCGATGCGTGCGCAGCTCCTGCGCCGTCTCCTGCTGGTTTTGCACGAGGCGTCGTCGCTGCAGCTGATCGAAGCAGCGTCGCTCTCGCTGATGCGTGCACAGGTCACGTTGCACCAGGCGTGTTCCACACGCCGCGCACGCTACCAGTCGGAACTCGCACTCGGCCGTGACGTGCAATTCGTAATTGTTCCGGTCCAGAGCCTCTTCGGGACAGCTGTCGTGCGGGCAGTGCAGCAGAGTGTGGCTGCATTCGCTGATCACGTGGTGACGTAGCCGATGCAGTGGCATTGTGCTCGCACAGCCACGCTCGTTCTGCGGGCATCTTACGTGCAGGTCACTGATTTCCCGTGCTATCTGCTGCGTACTGGTGTTTTCACTGCAAGCTGCCTGGCACCTGGGACATGCCAGGTAGCCTTCTCCACCCTCGCTTTCCTCGTCCTCGTCGTCATCTTCATTCTCCTCACCGGTTTCGCCGGTACCTTGGCTGTGGGTGCGTAGGCGCTGGCAGCAGCCCCGGCATACCGACCCGGAGCATTTCTCACAAACCACCGGATCGTCCAGAACGCGATGGCAGGACACGCACAGGTGTCGACCACTGATCGGCGTGGACAGGAAAAGGTCGACAGTGAAGCCCATGCTTCTCCGGGCCTCACGAGTCAATGACCGCAATCGGGTCCAGGACTTGAAGTTGAAGAAGCAGGAGTTCAAACACACGAGATAAGCAGGAATGGCTATCTCGACCGACAACGCTACAGGGATCACCGCAAAATCTGGTGCCTGGCGTTTTCAAGGGAGGTCTAGCCGATTCGAAAACGAGGTGCGCCAGTGCAGGTCCAGAAGTAATGGAAGTCTGCAAGTCGACACAATCCGCCTATTCGTCTCAGCCGACCGCCTCTTCAAAGGTGAATACTTGTTGAATCATCAGCCAGGTGCGATGCGACTCGATCGCTCTCGAGCTCTGCCTCCGAGATGAAGACTGGTCGGTTCAGAGTATGCTGGTCTATCTAAGGCATAGGGCCGAGAACACCAAGAAACAGCCCTCTCGAAGCGTCCCGGGCGGAGCTAAATGAAAACCTGATCAGAATGAGAGGCGTCTGCGTACATGTACCGGTACAGTCGATCTACATTCCAGAAACAACAACAAGCTTTCGCCGTATCGGGTATGGACTAGACCATGGGGCAGAGCGGAAAGTCAGCAAGCACGCACTTGATGCCGATATCATGTCACCGACGCGTGATCGTGGTGATCGTGAACGAGAGCAGTTAAGTAATTAGTTGCGGCTTGCGCGACGCGGGAGGTTGTCGGGCGGGACCTGTTGACGGGCCAGATGCCCATAATATGGGCCATAGGCATAGGCCAGACCAGGCTGCAGGGCCAGGGAGTCGAGAAAGCTTTCACCAGTCCGAGTCTGGGCCAGACCACCAACGTGACCAGGTGACCAAGGCAAGGGCAAGGATTAGGTAGAGTCTACCATGTCGAAGACCCGGTGCGTCCAGTACAATGTCATCAAGAGTACAATACTCTTGATGTCATGTACAGTACTACTAGGCAGTGACATGATTTGATGGACTCAGCTCAGGGACAGAGCCAGAGATTCTTTGTTGACAAACAGTCAGTACAGGTGCATGCCATCACCATGATCACGTGTCCAGGTTGACAATGACAATTATGTTGTGACAATGGTGATGGACAATACAGGACAGGTACTAGGTCAGGAGATAAAAAAAAACTGCATCATGATTGCGTTCCATGTGACCTGGTAGATCTACTGGCACAATAATATTTTCCCATACCATAGAAATCCAGCTCTTGAGCCGAAAGCAGCCCCAAGGCTCATGCGGCCCCCCTGAGACGGGTTTTTGGACCGTGAATAATGTACATGTACATGTAATTGAAATGGAAACGCGGCGCTACTTTTGACTTACGGGTCTAATTTCTTTGGCCACGAATGTAGTATGTAGGAAACTTCATTTCTCAACCCCAAACTCCCAAACCTATGCAATGGATATGTTGTCATTCATTACTCTGATGATGGGCCAGGCCCGAAAATTTGGGGTAAATTTTAATTTGAATCGCAGTAAAGAGACCTTTTTTGGAGTTTGGAGTTGGGAAGTGAAATTTCCTAAATGCGTAAGTGGCTGCGTTGGAGTTTGCGGACAATTAGAAAAGTTTACAACTGTACTAGTACTAGTAGCAAGAATAATGCTGTAGACATGGCCAGCCACAGCTCACCAGACCAAAAGGCATGCATCATCGCAGTCCTCTCCTATGCTCACTTGATTACAGGGTAACCTGGGCTACAGGGTAACCTGGGTTACAGGGTAACCTGGGTTACAGGGTAACCTGGGTTACAGGGTACTGTACACCATACCCATGACAGTCCTACCTGGACAACATCGCCATGACTACACATTACCATTACCACGACATTACCGCCTGTGTGGATTGACAGGAAGTGTTAGGTACGAAGTCTGAAGAAAATGTTGAACGGTCTTTGCTGGGATGACGACTACCGGTACACCATAGCTCAGTGGTCCGAGCATCGCTGGCTACAAGCGAGGGTCCCTGGTTCGAGTCCTGGTGGTGACAGTCAATATTTTCTTCAGACTTTTTTCCGTTTGTGTCTTTCCCTCAAACCAGTGAACATGCCATTACCATGACTACATAATTATGTCCTTCATGCAAGGAACGGGCACGCTGTGTAGTCAATCTGGACTTGGTTGACCTTCGAAATGCACCCAGATCTACATAAGAACAGCGAGCAGGCGCAGCTGGACTATGTGTGACCCTAGTAGTACTAGTACACCTAGGTCCAGGGAGAAGAAAATAATGGCATTTTTAACAGCACCCTGATTATGTCCTTACACTGTACAGTTGCACCAGGCCATATAATTATATAGTTTTCCTGTCAACTGGCTAGTAAATCAAGGCGGGGTGCTCTCGCGGTACTCTTAAAAAACAAGCCACTAGTATAGCTGCCCGCACACACACACACACACACACACACACACACACACACACACACACACACACACACACACACACACACACACACACACACACACACACACACACACACACACACACACACACACACACACACACACACACACACACACACACACACACACACACACACACACACACACACACACACACACACACACACACACACACACACACACACACACACACACACACACACACACACACACACACACACACACACACACACACACACACACACACACACACACACACACACACACACACACACACACACACACACACACACACACACACACACACACACACACACACACACACACACACACACACACACACACACACACACACACACACACACACACACACACACACACACACACACACACACACACACACACACACACACACACACACACACACACACACACACACACACACACACACACACACACACACACACACACACACACACACACACACACACACACACACACACACACACACACACACACACACACACACACACACACACACACACACACACACACACACACACACACACACACACACACACACACACACACACACACACACACACAGACATGGCTTAGTTTATGACTAACACATCCGGTCCAGCCAGAAGGAGAGAGGAATGGTACATTTGGAATGAAAAAAAGGAGTGAAAGAGGCATGAGCAGGTACAGTACAGCGCAGATCATAACTAAGTTACCTCAGCTAAGGCAATAGGTGGCACTAAATCCTGCACACCCGGCAAACAAACCACTGACAAAATAAAGCCTACCATCAATGGCTAACATCAAACAGCACGGGAAGAGCGGAGCGGAGTCTAGTTTAAGCTCCAGTGTACCTGTAGTCCTGTACAGCATGGCACTTGATACAGGCGAGAAGTTAAAATGCCTGAACAGTAAGCACTTGGCTCTAGACCTCCATGGATCACTCAAGTACAGCAAGGGAATACAGGAGTATTACCAATGAGCATGGTCACTGCCAGCAGCAACAGCATCATACCCAGTAACAGCGGTGAGTGGCAGTAGCAACAACATACACATTTGCTTGCTACTCCGGAACACCTGGACCGGGTGACTACAACATAACCTGGGACTGAGTGGCCAACACCGTGGTGGTCGTGGTGGTGTGTGTGTGCCACACTGGTTATCGTGGTGGCAAGCGAAGCCACGCTTTGGCTGATGCCACCACGACAGCGCTGAGTCCGTAGTGGCGGCGACGCACACCCCAGTGCTGAAATTCAAAAGATGGGGTGTCACATGACTGCTACCAGCCAGTAATGATGCCATGTGTGACACACAGTCAAGTAGTACAGGTCAACTCAGCCAAGTTCTACACTCACTTACTTGGGCAATGTCAGCAAAGGACGACGCTTGACAAATGAACACAAATAGGCCCGGGAAATGTGACACTACCACCTGGTGCGGTTTCCATGAGGCTGGAGAACTGGAACCGGCGTCGAAGAGTACGCTAGGTCAAGCACGTTGGCGACGCAATGCTGACAAGAACAAGACGGCATTGTCGGCTTCTATGCTGTCCATTTCAAACATCTGAACACCGAAGAAGGAGCAGGTACATGCATATACATAATCATTTAATACTCTTCCAAGCTTCTTGGGGTGGCATAATAAGTTGAACTAACTTCATTGATCTATCGCTTGTTTATGAACTACATGTACGTGAGTATTATACCGAGACTTTTAAAGTCACATGTACTACGAATCACACATCCTGCTCAATGAAACCTTCCAAAAGAGCATAATCTGAGGGGCCACCCGCAATGAACATAGCGGTTGTAAGTTCCACTGCAGGGCTACATCGTGTTCTGTGCTATTTGTAAAGTACAGTAAAACCTGTGTTTGTCAGACCCAGTACCAAGCGGAACCCTGTATTGACCGGACAAATGTTCATGCACCAACGTGCTGTGGATTGAACGCGCATACCTGGATCAAGCGGAATCCGTTCATATCAGGACAGTTTCCGCTGTACCAAGGCAGGGCAGGCAGGGTTTATCGGGTGTTAGCGGCCGTCGTGAGTTCCCTTCGGGAACGGATACGATAATTTACTTTTCTTTTTTTAAGGCAGGGCATCCAGTTAGGGCAGGTTTTACTCTACACTGTACCGACAGTGAAACCTGTCCAAGGCGACCGCTCAATGGACCTTCAAGATGTGTCACTGTGTGTCTCCTTATTCAGGATCATTCGAATGGAAATAACATGCCCTGGTCTTAGTTGTAGTGGTCCCCTGGGACAGGCGGTCGCCTTATCAGAGTGGTAGCCTTGACAGATTTCACTGCATTTGAAGTGCATACATGCACATAGTGACTCAGAGTGCATGCAGGCAGCAGTAGTACAAGTTCAGCCAATTGACCCATTACGCATTGCCAAGTATGGATGTATGAGTACTGCTTGTGAGTATGCTGGGATCAGGACTGCACTGTTCAACACCCCAGACGACCATGCCCAGGTGGCTGTGAAGGCCCTGAAGGGTGTTTATGGTGCAAATTAGGTCATTGCACAATGGGTCCATTGGCCACTAACCGTGTGTCCTGGTGGGTTTTCTGGCAGCGCGAGGAGCAGTAGCGTGCGCCGCACGACGGACATGTATACGTGGACGGGAACCTGGGAAAAACAAGCAGGGAAATGACAAAGACAGAGTGAGGCCCCATAAACACAGTGAATGAAAGGCTGGAGAAAATGTTTTCCGCAGTGTAACATGGCACAATGGCGTAGCTGATCTACAAACAAGGGGGTGGGGGTGGTGGTGGTGGTGCACGGCCAAAATATTCTTGAACCAGCTCGTACTTACAGTACGTAGTACAAGTACATGTAGGTTTGAAATAGAAATTACTCTGTACAGCCGCATGTATACAGCTATTGCTACAGCTAGAATTGAACTTTGCACACTGACACCCGATTCTGGCTTCACAGCAGACACTGAGCCGTGATCCCTAGGCTAGTACTAGTAGTGTACTTCACAGTGTCTGCTCTAGGATTGTAGGACAGCCGGGTACACGTGTACCTGGCGCAACCATTTCAACCGGGTCGGAGCCGGGTACACATGTACCAAGAGTCCTGGAAGAAGGGCCTGTGGATTCGCCTCTTCGCTGTAGGCTCCATTTCCAAAAAACAACACCTCAACGATCAAGCTCGAACTGAGCACGTGCACACACCGGTACAAGCCATGTAGTCAGTCCTTTCAAAGTTCGAACGTGTAAAGAAAAGTATAGTACCGGGTCACAGGTGACCCGGTACTATACTTTTAACCGGGTCCAAGTGCCGCCCAACCGGGTCGATTACCCGGCTCTGGAGCAGACACTGCTTCACCAAAGCGTTCGCGTGCTGAAAGATGCTAGGGAGTGCACATGCTCACCATGCCCTTCACGGGCTACATGCATGTGGCATACCGACTCCTGCATGCCATCTCCAGTGCTGCCAAATAATTTTCGCCCAAAATCGGACACCCGTCACCGCCAAGGCTGGCCACATGGTGCGACTTTTTCTCTTTGGCAATTTTTTCCAGAGAATTCAAAATATCGCCCAAAATACCATGATAAATCGCTCCGTTGCCATGGTAACCGATATGGCACCCCCGAAGTTGTCATGAATTTTGTAATGAATGCATGAGTGTGGTCACACACTGGTTCACCGGTTCCCTCGCAAACCCACACTTGCATCAGACACAACCATTGGAAGCATCGAACTATTTAGAAGACTGTATTACCAAACATGTTCTCAAAAAACCATTGAAGAATCTAACTCAAAAAGAACAAAGAACGGAGAGCTGGGGACGCACGTACCCGGCCCCGTACCGGACACACAGCCAAGAAGGACGACACCGTAGCGTCCCCACGCTTGACTGGCAAAGAAAACAGCAAGCAAAGAAAATCGGCCAGCGGGCGCAGTTCAAACATCTTGAACGACACGCTCAAAGCAAAACACGTGACAGAAAATAATGCATGATGTCATCTGTACTCACGCGGACATGCAAAAAGGTCAAATCTACACAAAAGCGAGTGCCGCAAGAAACAACACAAATAAATAATAATTCAAACAGCGAAGAACTAGAAAGGCAGATTTCTAATTATCGAAGAACAAGAATGTATCGTAGAGTCCCAGCGCAACTGCCGGAGGATGCTGGCACCCACCAGACGGGTGGTGGTTGCCCCTGCCAGAGAGATAGAACGAAAACTGAAGCAGAGGAGCCACGTTACAAATAGTGAAACGCACGAGGTAAGAATAATCGAGCAGTGTCCAATTACGACATACTGAGTAATATACATGTTAAACGAAGACAAACACTAACAAATGGAGAACGTTCCAACATTTCCCCTCTCACGAACGACTCCAGACTAATCGGAAGTCGTGAGATCATCATACTGACCGGTACCTTCATCGATGGGTTCAACTTCCAACGGCACCAACTGCGTTATCGGCCGCTTGGACTGCTTGGCGCCAATTCTGATGTTCACTACACGGACCAACCCATCAGATCCGGGGAACACTTCTATCACTTTGGCTAGCGGCCAACGCCCTCTTGGAGTAGACTTGTCCATGCAGAGGACAATGTCACCGGGCTTGATGTTGCGGCTGCGTCGAGACCATCGCTGAAGCACATTCAGCCGAGGCACTATTTCTCGAAGCCATCGCCGCCATACCTCGCGTAGGAGCTGTTGGAGGAGCCGCCAACGACGCTGTGGGTGCAACTCAGCGACTTCTTCGAGTGGCAGAGTCAGCTCGCACTGTCCAGCTAGGAAGTGCATCGGTGTTAGCGGTGCGGCGTCATCCACGTCAGTCCGGACAGCGGTCAACGGACGCGAGTTGAGCAGGCCTTCCGCACTCACCATGGCAGTCACAAGTTCCTCATCAGTGAGATTGGCCTGGGACAGAGTTGCCATCATTGCGCGCTTTGCTGCCTTGACCACACACTCGAATACGCCGCCAAAGTGCGGAGCGAGAGGCGGATTGAAGCGCCAGTGAACTCCTTGGCTGGCCATACTTGCGGCCACTTCATCAGAACCTAGCGCTTGAACGGCTTCTCTTAGCTCGCGCTCTGCACCGACGAAGTTCGTCCCGTTGTCTGACACGACCTCAGCTGGCACGCCTCTGCGCTTGCAGAAACGGGTGAATGCCAGCAGAAACGACTCGGTGTCCAGGCCATACGCCATCTCGAAATGACAGGCTCGAGATTGCAAACAAGAGAAGACACAGAGGTACCTCTTGAGCTGGGTCTTGCCACGTCCTTGTTTTGTTCGGAACGGACCGGCATAGTCAACTCCCACTCTTGAAAATGCCCGGTACGGTGGAGCTGTTCGGAATAGCGGGAGCGGTGCTATCTGCTGCGAAGCCACAGTGGCCCACTTCTTCTTGCAGAGCACGCAGTGTGCACGGTGAGATCGTGTGACAACCTTGCCACGGATGATCCAAAACCGCAGCATCAGGTTTGCCAAGAGGTGGTTTGGGCCAACACTGTGATCACACTTGCGATCTTCGGCGTCGACTATCAGCTGAGTAATCCGATGGTGCTGTGGCAAGATTATCGGATGCCGGGTATGCTCAGGCAAGTGGCTGGCAGTCTTCAGACGACCTCCAACGCGTAGCACACACGGGTAATCCTTGTCGAGCACTGGATTCAGCCGTAGCAGCGGGTCATTCGCTGCAAGGGACTTCCCTGACGTCAGCTGCCGATACGAAGCGGGATAGCTCTCTGCTTGTGCGATCGCATACCAGTGACATTCGGCACGCTGGAGCTCATCAGACTTCAGCTCCACAGAGTCGACTGCTGCACTCGCTGCTTCCGGATCCCCTCTCATGCTAGCATGACGTCGACGACACCGGTTGATGAAACGGTAGCACCAGGCCGTCACTCTTACTAGTCGTTTCCATGACGAGTAGTTGTCGGGGTGGAGACGAAACACCTCCGCTGACACTTGCTGCACAGCGAACGCCATCACCTGCGATCGCTTTACCATTCCGGGCAACTCTTTTGGCACGGTTATCTGACGAGACGGCCACTCAGTGTGCTGCTGGACGAGGAACTCAGGGCCGTTCCACCATACTGAATCACTGGCTAGCTGGGCTGCTGTCAAGCCTCTGGTGCCCTTGTCGGCTGGGTTCAGCTTTCCAGGAACGTGGTTCCACTGGCTGCCAGCTGAATACTCTTGTACTTCAGCTATCCGGTTGCCCACGTCGACTTTAAACTTTCTGGAATGTGCTCTCACCCAGTGAAGCACGTTCATCGAGTCGGACCAGTAGGTGGCATCAGCCTGCGGCAGATCTAGCGCGTCATTCACTGTCTTGGCCAGGCAAACACCAAGCACAGCACCCTTCAGCTCCAGCTTCGGGATCGACATCTTCTTAATGGGACATGGACGCGCCTTGGCGAGTGCTAGCGTCACTCGCACATTGCCGTCTGGGTACTCAGCACGGACGTACACGTTAGCGGCGTAGGCGGCATCTGAAGCATCCGTGAACACGTGCAGCGACAATGTAGCGACAGACGACTCGCGACCCGGACACTTGAAGCAGCGCGGCGCACGGATCAGCGCCAGATCTCCCAGCTCGCTAAACCAGGATGTCCATCTCCGCGTGTGCTCAGCGTCCAGTGGATCATCCCAGCCCACGCCGAGGATGCACAGCTCCTGGAACATGACACGAGAGCGAATCGTGAAGGGAGCTAGTTGTCCACGTGGGTCGAATATAGATGCCATCTTACTCAGCACGGCTCGCTTGGTCAGCTTCTCTGTTGCGGGCGGCTTGAACTCAAAGGCGAAGGTATCATCCTCTGCCGACCACATCACGCCTAGCGTCTTGACTGATGGTAGCGCACAGTGATCATGATCATTGATGCTAGCTACGAGCTGCGGTGAGCGGTCAGCTTCCGGTACGCCGTCCATCACCTCCGAGCTATTGCTGAGCCACTTGCGGAGGTGGAAGCTGCCCTGCTCAAGGATGTCCTGTACTGTCTGCTGTGTGCGGATGGCTTCCGGTACGGAGACAGCAGAGTGCAGCAGATCATCCACATACATGTCTCGGTCAACGATCTGCAACATGGCTGGGTCGTACTTGTCGGCTGTCTTGCGGCACACCACTTGTAGCGCCTTGCATGCCAGGTACGGAGACGCCTTGATGCCGAACACCAACCTCTGGAACTCGTATACGCGTGAGTCCCACACAAAGCGATGATATCGGCGGTCTTGCTCAGCCAGCACGACTTGCAGGAACATCTCGGTAATGTCCGCCGTGAGCGCTACTGGCTCCTTGCAGAACCGCAGAAGCACTTTCACTAGGTCATTCTGCAGAGCGGGTCCAGGGTACATACACTCATTGATCGACGTGCCGTCATACTTGGCAGCAGCATCAAAGACGACACGTACCTTCGTGGTGGCCTTGTCGTCTCGTACAATGGCGAAGTGCGGCAGGAACCACTGGTCGTCGCCATCTGCCTCAACCTCTGCTGCCGACACTGCGCGCACATAGCCTTTGTCAATGTGGCTACGGATGACCTTGCCGTATGCTGCCTTCAGCTCTGGACGCTTGTCCAGCGATTTCTCTAGCATGCGCAGGCGATGGTCCGCCATGGCGCGATTAGCGGTGACACCAGGCTCGCCGTTGCTGTGGACCCATGGGATTGCCATGGTGACTCGCTGATCATGGAAGCTGATGGATTTTTCAACGATCTCCTCAGCCAGCTTCTCTGCAGGGGTGATGTAGGTGCCTTCGTGCTTCATACCGACTGCCTCCAGATTCCAGAAATTCTGGACCAGGCCGTCTATGCTGCATTCGCCGTATAAAGCATGCACGAAGTTGACAGACAACTCGTCATCACTGGGTGCACTGGGCGTTGGGCCCATACACACCCATCCCAGTGGCGTCTTGCGGGCAATTGGTCCACCGCTGCTGCTTCTGTACTCCGCGAGTGATGCGTGGGCATCAATGACGTCTAGACCAATCAGGAGGTCGACCGTGGTGCTGGTGATTTCGGGAAAGTCTATGAACTTTAGATGTTCATAGCTGGACTTGTACCGGCTCCAGTCGACGACCTGCGTCTTCTTGGTCACACGATCATATACCCATGCCTTGAGCGGGTATGACACTGTTCCATCAATGGATTCCATCTGCACCTTGACCAGTTCCCGATAGCCGGAGGTCTGCTGCGCACCAATCGTGGATGTATTCAACATGTGAACTTCACCTGCCATGCCCAACTCATGGGCTACATCCTCCCGTATGAAGCTTGCAGTCGAGCCTGAGTCCAGCATGGCCGTACAGATTGCCGACTTGCCAGTTGGGCCAATAATCTTCACTGGAACGGTAGCGAAAGCGGTAGTCTGCGGCACGCTGACACTAGCATGGTGAGAACTTTCCTGCCGAGGTGCCGTAGCTGCTGGTCGCATCGTAGCTGGATTCTGCGCTGCAGCTTGTGGCTGCACTGACTTGCTGTAGTGCAGAAGTGAGTGGTGCCTCTCTCCACAGTGGCAACGTTCCAGCTTCTGGCACTCACGCGCCCAGTGTCCATGCTCCAAACAACAGCTACACAGCTTGGCACGCTTGACCAGGTCCCAGCGGCGCTTGGTTGTCAGCGCCCTGAATTCCGGACACTCTGCTGTGGCATGGCTCTTGCTGCACTTGGCACACTGCTGAGTACTGAGCTCCACCACACTTGCATCAGACACAACCATTGGAAGCATCGAACTATTTAGAAGACTGTATTACCAAACATGTTCTCAAAAAACCATTGAAGAATCTAACTCAAAAAGAACAAAGAACGGAGAGCTGGGGACGCACGTACCCGGCCCCGTACCGGACACACAGCCAAGAAGGACGACACCGTAGCGTCCCCACGCTTGACTGGCAAAGAAAACGTTAAACAGCAAGCAAAGAAAATCGGCCAGCGGGCGCAGTTCAAACATCTTGAACGACACGCTCAAAGCAAAACACGTGACAGAAAATAATGCATGATGTCATCTGTACTCACGCGGACATGCAAAAAGGTCAAATCTACACAAAAGCGAGTGCCGCAAGAAACAACACAAATAAATAATAATTCAAACAGCGAAGAACTAGAAAGGCAGATTTCTAATTATCGAAGAACAAGAATGTATCGTAGAGTCCCAGCGCAACTGCCGGAGGATGCTGGCACCCACCAGACGGGTGGTGGTTGCCCCTGCCAGAGAGATAGAACGAAAACTGAAGCAGAGGAGCCACGTTACAAATAGTGAAACGCACGAGGTAAGAATAATCGAGCAGTGTCCAATTACGACATACTGAGTAATATACATGTTAAACGAAGACAAACACTAACAAATGGAGAACGTTCCAACACACACTGTACAGTATCATGTACCCAGGCATGTTACTCAACTCTCAAGTAATACTAATAGTTTGAACTTCCACAGCCGAAAAAGGGCTACAGGACTCGTAGTAGTAGTACAGTGATTTGTGCCTTCAGTTGCGCTGAAAAGTGAAAATACAGGACTTCTGCATAGGAAAGTACTGATCACTGATAATTTTGGCTGCTTTTCGGACGTTTCCTTTTTCGGACCGGATTTCGGAAGAGCCTTCAAAAATCGGACACTGTCCGAAAAATCGGACGGTTTGGCAGCACTGCATCTCAAGTCTCTTGTGTTCACAGCACACACACACACTCACATACACACACACACACACACACACACATACACACACACACACACACACACACGCATGCACACACACACACACACCATGTACCATGTATACGCCCGTCGCAAGAGAAGCACGCAAATCTGCAAATGCACTTGATGTGCATCCACAGATTTTCTCTTATAGCAACGATAGCGAACAGGATCTGAATGAGACAGATCAAGACTTGCGCCAGATAACTGTCTAATCCACACAACTGGCGAAGTCATGTGAATCGACCACCAATGCACACCTGGTCTACACCACATGGAGTACATCGACATAAAACGGCCAAGACAGTTACCTATGCACACCCTACACTTGCTGGGGTAACCAGTACACACACACACACACACACACACACACACACACACACACACACACACACACACACACACACACACACACACACACACACACACACACACACACACACACACACACACACACACACACACACACACACACACGCACACACACACACACACGTACACATTGCATGCCTGCTATAGGTAAGGTATGTACACATTCATACTGGTATAGTACACATGTACCACTACAGAGGGTGAGTTTGGATCAGGGAAGTGCTATAAATGAACAGCCATTCCGCAATATTCACTACACTACATGGCATACAAGTACTTCTGGTAGGGGCCGGAAGATTGTCACGCACACTCGACCTGTACTGGTAAAGCTTACCCACAAACTGAGCAAAACCGTCTCTTGGGAAGCCGAGGCGATGGTGCGGCAGCAGTAAAGTATGTCGGTTTCTTCCGCTCTCCCTCCCCAGGCTGCGGTTGTTGCTGGTACTGGGCTTGCTACACGGGATAACATGTAGATAGATGTACAGACAGACATACGCACAAACACACACACACACCTTGATCTTGAACTTCGACCTTTGATGACTATCGCCGGAGGCGATGAGAGTTATGCTACAGCCAAAGCCAAAGCAACTTGTGTTGGAATTGCCCCATTCGACAGCTTGCAAGGCAAAATAAATTGACCGCCACTAGTCAGCCTGGTCTACACCGCACAGCTATTTTGAAGTGGTTTGTTTCTGGTCAGTGAGTCCCTACTTCTTGGTCTTTTTTCCCTTCCCCCCCCCCCCCCCCCCCCCCCCGCGCAGACATCGCACCACATACTCCGACATGCACTGGCTGTTGGTAACCACCCAGGAGAATAAAAAAGAGGCTAGGAGGAGACTGAGAAAGAGAAGAAAGACGTGTGTGACCCTAATCGTGTGACACTGATTGCTAGACCTATTGCCAAGAGTATATAAAACCCCCAAGAGTAAGCAACTCCTCATACCCTTTCTATGGGGTACGCCGACGGCAAAAACTCACATCACGTGGTGCAGTGTCACAGTTGTACGTTTCCCGCCCGTTTTTAGCGAGCAGCGGAGTAATAAAAAAGCACTCTCTGACAGAAACTCACTGCGGGTATGCAAATCCCCAGCATGATCATGGCAGATATTCAGATTGCGCGCACGCTATCCTTCGTTTGTACGTAGTACGAACGCATCTGAGACACGTGATGTGAGTTTTCGCCGTCGGAGACCCCATATGCAGAGTTGCACACTTTTGGGGGGTTATAATTATACTCTTGCTATTACGATACAAGATCATACACCAGCTACAGCCAGTGAATAGGGCATGTCCAAAAGTAACTAGAAATATGGTTGGTTTGCAGCAGGACCAATCGCTTACCACATCCTCCAAGAGGCCTGCAAAATTCTTGCGAACTTTCTGCAGTCAGACATGGGCACACCGGAAACAGGCAAGATACTCAGAGAAGCTCAGAGCTTGCAACGGCAGGGAGAGATTTTCTACTTGTAAGAACAATAATGGCGTGCCTGCACTCCGCGACTCCTGGCCACACAGCCCCCTCCCGTTCTCCCCGAAAACCCATCAGTATCTAGCAAGGCAGCAGCTGGCAGTGAGCCTACAATTGTAGAATACAGCTGATTAGGATGACACTAGTACATGACGTAGTAGATACAGCGGTAATGTGGGAGTCTTTCATTGCCCATAGCATAACCTCACATGCCTGTTGTTGGTGTGAGTTTGGCTCATCTCGTGTGGCGACCGAATAACATCCAGGCTAGAAAGTCACCAAAACTTTAAGAACATCCAGGCTGGAAAGTTACTATACTGTGAAACCTGTCTAAGGCGACCGCTCAAGGAGCCTTCAACATGGGGTCGCTGTGTGCAGGTGGTCTCCTTATTCAGGGGCATTCGACTGGAAATAACATCCCTTGCTCCTAGTAGGCGATCGCCTTGTAAGAGCGGCCATCTTGACAGTGGTTACTGGACTACACTATAAATGTGCCGGTATGACATGTTACTGACGTGCATGTACATGGTTTTTACATCATACACCACATGTATCACTATGTGTTTGGCTAAACCACGCATACGATTGTCAAACATCCATACGCAGGCAAAGAGGAGAATTCTCACCATTTTGAACTGGCTACTTGCACGCTGCCTCTTCTTGCTCTTGCTTGGTGCTGGCGAAAACACATGTTTGCAACAACACAAAGAAAACAGTCAGGCCACCCAGAATCAATTCGTTGTTTCGGGTCACCGGACCAACCGTCATTTTTCATCTGACCGCAAAACAACTTTCTTGGTCCCAAGGGCCAAGGCATTGTGCATGCGTGCATGGCTGCGTACACACACCATTCTTATGCATGCACTGCGGACGACAGCAGCAACGTGGTGCCGAAACCCGAGACGCAGAGGACGAGTCCGTTTGTTGCCGTCATCGTCAGGCGGCAGTACGAAGAAGGAGAGGAGAGCCAAATGGAGCGCTGGGCCTGCTCACTTGCTGGAGAAATGGACTACAATGCTGGGCGGGATATAGCGCAGTGAAATCTCAGTTCAACATACTTCCAACAGCCATAATAATCTGACTGCACGCACTGCAGTGCTGCTCAATGAAATCCGATCGCAGGAGTCAAGTTTGCGCCCTGCACCATTCTGAATGCCAGTGTTCACAGGTCTAGGGCTGCGCAGCGTCAGGTGCGTACTGGACTCACACAATCAGATTTCCATTGACCAGCACTGCACTATGCAAGGTCAAATGACTTGATAAAAAGTACAGTGAAATATAAATACTAGTACAGTAGAAATACTAGTACAGTAGAAAGCCGATTATCCGGACGTCAACTATCCGGATGATCAATTATCCAGATCGCCTGGTCGGGCTGGATAAACAAAGTAGCACCTTTTTTCGATTTTTTCCCGATTTTCCCCACTCAGAGCACCATTCAAGCGATGCATAAGACGTATTACCGTATTATCTCTAATATAAGCACAGTCTCCAATAATAGCACGTCTCCAATAATAGAACACCTTGGGGCGGCATTCAAAAAATAAAGTGCTCAGTCTCCAATATAAGCACACTGTGTAAATTCATTATCTGTACCGGCGAAAAAAACCCTGAAATGTGTGTCTGACATATAAATTTGGCATGGCAACATGCCTCTGAAATGAGGTTGAAATAATAATGGAACAGTCTCCAATAAAGGAACGTCTCCAATAATAGCACGGGGTGGAGGTCCATTGAAAAAATAAAGACCGTGCTTATATTAGAGATAATACGGTACAACAGGTTGTAGTCAAAATGCATACCGATACAGTAAGATTGGGCGCCGGAAAACGGATGGGCTCAAGGTGCAGCCTGACATTGTTCTAAAATGTTCAAATTTTAGTCGTTTTGTTTATTTTGTTCTTATTCCGTGATCATGGAGAGCATCATGCGATGCGATTACATCACGTATAAAGCAGTAGTAGTACAGGTGTTCTTAGATCTGCAAATCTAGCCTGGATTTTTCTTACATCTGGGCCATTTTCCAGCCTAAGTGTTATTCGGCGAAGTGTTTTACGGCGCCCAATCATATCGTAGTGTCATTTTGAGGAGCTGGAGTGCACCTAGTTCCTGTTGTACTGCCAAAGAGAATGAAAAATGGCGAAAACATGTGGGAATATGCATGTTTTAGATAGCTGTGTGACTGCTCCCTTATCTGAACATTTTTCTCATCCTTGCCCCTTTTCACTTCCCTTTCATCTCATCCACCCTTCCTGGTGACTCCATTCACTTTTGGAGAATCCTTCAAGTAGAGTCTGAATGAATGAATCCGAACACCAATGGAGACAACCCGCGCCCCGAGGGGTGCGGATAAATGGCACTCTACTGTAGAAGGTACTAGTATCCTTGGATGGTCAAATTAACCGTGATAAACAGGGTAGATGTCTGTATTTTGTGACAAAAAATCCAGTGTGGCGAATACTCCAGAAAATACGATACTTGTCTCTTTGCATCCGATATAAAGTACATGATTGTACTATTTAGTATTTTCAAAGGCACTGCATACCCTTTTCCAGTCCTGAGACCCAGGACATACAGTATCTCGGCGCAGATTTTATATTCCCTGGAAGTACGTTCTAACTAGCAAGTTTCACTGTACTGTGTGTATCTCAAAAGTAAACTATTGTACACTTCTGCTTTAGTCTTTACAGCCCCCTACACCCCCCCCCCCCCCCCCCCCCCCCGCCTTCCACTACAGATTACTCTAATTTCAGAAATTTTAGGTGCTCCATATTTTCAGTACGAGGGTGAAAGGCCAGGTTAGGTGAACGGAAATTTTAGGAACAGAGGAGCAGTTCCCTATTGGATTATGTGTGTTAGTGTTCGTTCGGTGTATTGAAAATTTAGGTATGAAACAGACGCACCGAAAGTACCGAAAATAAAAGTACACCGAAAGTTTGTGAAATTACAGTAGTCACTGGCTAGAACAGGGATTTTGCAAAACACTCCGTGCTGAGCAGAGGGTGTTCAATATCCGGGCTGACCGTTCTCAGGCTCTGCATTTCTGGTACTAGTACTCCAAGGTGCCTGTTACGTGCACTTACTTTCTCCATCGCTGAAAGATGGCAGCTTCTTCTGCACAAACTGGCTGTGCGGGTCCTCGTGGAAATTGTCCCTCTCCAAGCTCTCCAGCTGCCTGCGTTGCCGACGCGATCGGGTAGCGTCGTCTAGAACACGCCTCACCTCGTTGTCCTTGACACGCGCTATACAGACAATAGGCGGCACATCGTAATAAGTTCCATGGTAGCTCCGTGCATGCCACTCAGTGAGTGCATTCGATTATGCAAGCGAATCGATTCGCGCTATTCATATCACCCCATGTGAATAGAATGAATGGATTCCGAATCGATTCCGGGGCTCATGACATGAAAATCGAACGACTTGAATGCATGCGAATGGATTCATGAATCGATTCAAGTGCATAATCGAACGCAGCCAGTCAGTGCAGAATAAGAAAAAATGGGGAATGTCTGAACTTAAAACTGGTCGCAGCCACCACAGTTCCAGTCACATCAACCATAAGAATGGATCGATTTCTCAACATGCAAACACTCCCTTTTAAAATACGGTATTTATACTAGGAGCGGAATGTTTACAGCTTTTGATGCCAAGATGGATGGTAACAGCAACGTCAACAGCGACATCGCCTGAGTCTCCAGTGACAGTGTCAAATGGCAAGCGTCCACAGCAGGGCCAGCGACAGCGTCACTGGCAGTCAACGGATGGTGGCAACAGCTACAGTGCACTGTTCCCTATACCGACCATTGGATCATCAATGCAATGCCCTCATTCATAAGATGTCAGAAGACATGATCTGCGAACGCTGCTAGCAAGCCTATAATTATGCCAAGACTGGCAAGAGCCAAGCAACCCCATGGAGAAGCTGCAATCCCATCTACCGTATATTCTCTATTATAAGCGCCGTGCTTATATTTTTCAACATCCCTCTACCCCGTGCTTATATTGGAGACCGCGCTTATATTGGAGACAGTGCTTATATTTTTTCAACCAATGAATCCATAGAGAGCGAGAAGAAATACATGCTACATATCATGCATGCAGCATTGATTTCCACCAACACCGTGCTAATAATAGAGACCGTGCTTATAATGTTTCGAAAGGTGCTCACAGTGTGCTAGTATTAGAGACTGTGCTAGTAATGGAGACCTGTGCTTATAATAGAGAATATACGGTATCTTGGTTTGTCGTTGCCAGTCAACACTCTAAGTCCAACTTTCCCCACACCCTCCAGCACTACGCTCAATTCCTTCCACAAACAAAATGTTTCTCCGATTTGTTTCATCCGCTAGACAACTGCTTCCCCATGCATCAGGAGTCCTGAAAAATGCGATGTCAGCAAAAAAAACTCCGCCGTGGACTAGACGAGCTGCAGAGTTGCACACTCTTCTGTATGTACTCTTTATACTAAGCAGCAGCCAGGTGGCATGTCTGAATAGCGATTATCCAGGGGGTGCAGCTTAGACCCCGGTGCGACTTAAACCCCGGTACGGCTTAGACCCTGGTGCGGCTTAAAACCCGGTGCCACTTAGACCCTGGTGCGGCTTAGACCCCGGTGAGGCTAACACTCCGGTACCCACCTTCCCCACCTATTCATCGTTCCTGATGATGATCATGGACCAAAGCATTTAAATTTAAATTTAGTGAATAGCAGCGTGAACCGAGTGGTGGACGTTTGGCGATAACCCATATCTTATTTGCAAGAGATATCACCGGAAGCTGCAGAAAACAGCCAGACTACTCTCCAATCATTTGAATCAAATTGCTCATCTCTAACATTTTCTGACGACTGAGCTCTTCCCTCTATGTTTGATCCGGAGACACGCCGAAGGCACATTACTTTGGCTTTAGGCTATCCGTATATTCATAACAATACTCGAAACTAAAATTGTGGAAATGAAGGGTGAGAAGTTTCAAATGTTGTGTTGAAACTGTATTCTCACCTGAGTGACGAGATCCACCGGAGGATAAATCTTCCATCACTTCATCGGTGACGCCAAGCAGATAGGAACTCAATACCGAGGAGAAGGAGGCGAATACCCAAATTCAAAGTCAAAATAATGATGAGTGACTGTCCAAACAACATTTGAACAAACCATTGCAATATTATTGGTATTGCATCGCTTGGATTTGAATTAATTTTTGAAAACAAAGTGACGTCATCAGGAAAACAAAAATGAACACACGTCATGATCCCGATCCCCTCCCCCCCCCCCCCCCCAAATTGCTGAAAAAGAATGTCCCACTCCCAGGCCCCTCTCTCTCAACCTCTGCCTTGCCCTTGGCTTGGAGCTGGAAAGTAACCAGTGGTAACAGGCTCGGCTTGTACTGTCGCAACAACGAACCAAAAATCAGGTCTATTGTAGGAGTCGTTGCGTTATGTCTCCAACTGGAAAAGTTGAAATATTCGCAAGAGCACAATGACATAACCAACAAGACTGCAATCCCAAAACAACCAACCGGTGAACCCACACATAAACATGCCCAAAAAAACATCTCCTCGTCCCTCAGCGGACTACAATCTGGCTTGATGGGCCATGAAAGCTCTGCAGCCAAGACACACCACTGCCTAAATGTATCAATTGATACTGGTAACTGTTTGCAATATAAAACTGGAGATCGTGCCAGGTCTCCACAATGCACCAGCAGTGCGAACTGTGCCTCCGTGTTTAACACGCAAGCAACAAGCACCACAATAGCACAACATGGTCAATAAATACTAACCGGTGCAAAGGCCGCGAGCGTGGAAAGGAATTTCATGGGAGCTGAGAATAAACGTTATGATGGGGAGACAGTATAATAACAATTTTGGAACGATATGTTTAAATCAGAAAAAATGTCACCACCTTGTCCTTGGTCATTGAAGCCACTAGAAAAATAATGTAACCAGCATTAGAAAATACGACTAAATACAGAGTGGACTATGATCAGGAACAGACTTGATTTAAAAACAGGGTGATAGCGAATAAGACAACAATGCGAACAGCAGGAACATGTCAGAAAGCACGATATCATGCAACGATTCGTATGATAGTAGAGCCGCGGGCCTCCGGATAGACTGCGCCACACCCAACCACACGCTTATGCTTTATCTATTAGGTCTTGCCTTGATTTCGCAGGTTATGGTACTTATTACAAGATGCCAGCACACGCTGGCTTGCTGCGTCATAATCTCTCTGAGAACCTCTCCATCTTGCCATTTCCATGTCGTGCCGACGCTGATTCTGTTCATTGACGCAGCGCGACCGCAGCGTCTCCAAATAGTCCTGGACAACTTGTCTCTCGACACTGCGTAGCTTGGTGGGGTCGTTTCCATACTCCTCCGCAAACGACTGGGCAACAAAGTAGGGGACATTCTCCGGTGCAACAGTGCTGGTCTGCCGCCTTACCTGGTGGTCATCTGAGAAGTAGAGACTGTATGGTTGTGACGACAAGTTGTTGCTGATTGCAAACAGAAGGTACATGACGAATATGGAAAGCAGGGGTAGCACCCGAAAGAGTTCATTACCACCATCACCGTTGTGCTGGTGGTGATGATGATGCTGCCTGAAGAAAGTGTTGTGAACGTGGTCATCGTCGTCCTGACGGTGACCACTTCCACGATGCCGTCTCCGGTGTACACGAACGTTGCCGTTAGGATATCCGCCACCGAAGAACATGTTGAACAGTTCCTCTGCAGTAACATCATCCCCCGCTTGAAAGTGCTGATAGTGCCCCTGATTTTGTGCACGGTCTCCTCGCGCTGCTTCAGGTCCAAACTGGTCATATCTCCGCCGTTTGTCTGTGTCCCTTAAGACAGCGAATGCTGTTCCGATGGTTTTGAATGCTTCGTCAGCACCTGGGGCCTTATTTTTGTCTGGGTGAAACTGCAGAGCCAACTTTCTATAAGCTTTCTTCAATTCGGTTTCGCTGGCATCTTTCGATACACTGAGGACATCATAATAGTCCTTTGCTCTAAGAATTCGTTTTACATCATTAACTTGCGCCTGGGTATAATCAGACGGAGTGCCAGGAACACTATTACTGGATGCTGAAGACTGCGGACGATTTCCATTATCACACGGACTAGTCGATTTCGTAGTGTCCTCTGTACTGCTGCCAGTTCTGCCGTCTCCTGATGGCTCAGCCCTGCTTTCGCGAATTTCATTTCCTAGATCCTCAGCTGCTGAAGTTGGAAATAAACGCACAGACTTCTCAATGAATTTCAGTGCCTTCGCACAATCACCGCCCTTCCAATGCTGCCTTGCAATATCCACGCATCGTAAAGCCTCATCTTTGTTGGAATCCATTGCAATAAGCCACCTGCAGCAAGAATGTTTTTTACTTTCTCACTGAACAGCATGAACATAATCGATGTGACGCACGGCTGGCTCCACAAAACGCGAACTCAAAAGGCCGGAATATTTTGCACGTAACTACGCGTATACGTATGAGCCGAAAATCGATAAATAAATCGAGAAACTGCGAATAGGAATATTCAACCAGGTTTTACTTACACTAACATCAGACATTGTTGGGTTACTGCCGATATGCGGGCGTATCCCGTAAACCCACGCGTTTTCTGGGTTTTTCTTCTTGCAGACGGTCGCCATTTTATATTCGCGTACGGCCATCTTTCTCTTTCTCTTCTCTTGCGCTTGTTGTGGGGTGCACTTCGGGGACAAGATGAGGTGAGTTTCTTCGCTTTGGAAGTCCTAGTTGCAGCAGCCATTGGAGATGTAGGAGTAGACGTAACAACTATGTATCACTGGGAGTAACTCGTGGCTGCGTTTCCCTGTGTTGCTCTGGCAGTCTCCTTCGCGTGCAAAAGCGGCTGGCCTCCAGCGTGCTGAAATGCGGCAAGAACAAAATCTGGTTGGATCCCAATGAGACCAACGAGATCGCCAACGCGAACTCTCGTAAGTAGTGACCTGTCGAATTGTGCTTTGTTGCGGTGGGCTGTAATGTCGAGCAATCAAAAGAGGAAAAATTTGCGGAACATTTATCTTGGGACTTTGTTGTTTGTGTTACCTTGCACTTTGCCTCAATGAACGAAATCCTACATCCTAACACTGGGCCTGTAGTATCTCGATGATATGTATGACCACCATGTTGCCTGTATGGGTATCATCTTCAGTCTGCGGATATTCGCAATATGAGCTCAGATCCCTCTTCTCGTTACTGATTTTTCAACCAGCGGATGTCAATTTTTTTAATCCAAACGATTTTCTGTATACACTCTGGATAATATTTTTTAAATTATTGCAATTGTGTTTTTTGTCTAGTAGAAATTGGTGTATCTCGGAAAGTGTTGATGTCACCCACAAATTCCATTGCATTTTCCTGATTTCAATTTAAATGGAGATATGGTTATCTAATGCTATTATGATTGGTATACATTGTGTGATTTACAGGTCAGAACATCCGAAAACTCATCAAGGATGGTCTCATTATCCGCAAACCACAGGTGATCCACTCTCGGGCCCGCGTCCGTGCTGCACATGAGGCTCGCAGCAAGGGCCGTTCTATGGGACGCGGTAAGAGAAAGGGTACTGCCAATGCCCGTCTGCCCGAGAAGGTCGTTTGGATGAGGAGAATGCGGGTTCTCCGTCGTCTGCTCAGGAAGTACCGTGAGGCCAAGAAAATCGACCGTCACTTGTAAGTGGCTTGGTTACATTGATACTGTCCCCTTTGCGTTGTGATGTACACGATTTTCTTTTCGCTGCATTGAATTGTACTTGTAGCTTGTAGTAGCGACTTTGCAGATGTATTTTCATTGCCTGTACTTTCATGTGTTGTCATTAGGTACCATGAGCTGTACAAGCGCTGCAAGGGTAACGTGTTCAAGAACAAGCGCGTATTGATGGAGTTCATCCACAAGAAGAAGGCCGAGAACGCCCGTGCTAAGCTCTTGTCGTAAGTGCCATATCCGTTTTTATTACCTCGCTGTGTCATTGCTTGTGCCTATTTTCTCGTCTCTACTCAACACTGTATCCTGTTAGGGACCGTCCGGGGCTACAGATTGTTTTTACAAAACGAAAGGTTTTAGTATTTTTCAACCCCCACCCACCTTTTCTGCGGGTAAAACGAATTCCAATAAAATATTGATGTCAATTTTCGACACCCAAAAGTAACTGGGCATTCTCCATCTGCATTCAATAATTATTTTCAAAACGAAACTCCATCAAACCCACCCCCCGTTTTGAAAATATTATTGGTAACCTTGGAAGGCCCCTTAAAGTGAGTTTTTCTTGTGCAGTAAATATCGTCCCTGGTGTTCTAGCTAAGTGGTTTTCTGTGTGGCGTTTTGTTCCTGCAGTGACCAAGCTGAAGCAAGACGCTCAAAGAACAAGGCTGCCCGTCAACGCCGCGAGGAACGCAAGGAGGCCAAGCGACTTGCTGTGACTCAACCTCAATAAATGTGCCTAGAAAGACAGCTCGATAAACTGTGCGTTGCTTGTGTATGTGAGAAAGACCCACGAGCAAGGATCATGTGTGCAGATCGTGTAGGACCAGTTAATCAGTGCCCTAAGACCGTTGTGTACGTGTCCAATGGGTAACTGCAAGAGTACATAACAGTTATGTACTCTTGGTAACTGTTTATAGATTAGACTTGGGGTGCGTTTGGTTGGTTTGATCTAGAATAGGATCGAACAGCTGGTGCACATTTAGCAGCCTCATGCCAACCAAACGGTATGCGGTACTCTAGGAACAGAGCACATTTTTTTGTGAAAAATACTGTACTCACTCGATTAGAAGCCAGGGGCTTCTATTTTTCAATACCAATTTCGAGGAGGCTTCTATTCAAGAGGGGCTTTCATTGTTTAATTCCATACCAGCATTCCAATCGAATCTCCTAAGACTTTCATATTCCCAGCAACTCGGCCCCGAGTTAGTTTGCACACATGTCGACCAGGACATGGACCAATATCAACATGCATGAGGTGTTCTTTGGCAATTTTTGCACACTTGACTTTCATACATGGCACTACCTGGTCACCCCATGCTTTGCGAATAGTAGTCTGGGCTTCTATTCGAGAGGGGCTTGTATTTTTCAAACAGTCCTTGTAGGGGGGGGGGGGGGCTATTAGTATTACACAAGAGCAGGGCCTGCTGGAGAGCCGGGTCACGCGCCCGGCTGGGGAACTGCACGACCTGGCTGAACAGATAACGCCGGGTCCAGTCAGACCCGGCTGAAAAATGTCTCAAACTGACAATGGATTCCTAATACCGGTATTAATTTTTACGACTCGCGGACCCCATCTGTTGCAAATCTAGCGCAACCGTACACTCTACAGTCTACAAGCGACAGAAACTCGGCTTGGGTCAACTGGTTCGAGCGCGATCTGGCCAGCGGCGAGCAGGAAGTCAGGACAGTGAAAGTCGATGGGGCAGGCAGTCAAAAGCGTAACTTTGGCTATAGCTTTTGACACAGTTGCAAGTTTTGAGCAGGCTTTTTGGTTGTTTTTCTGCCGGATGATCTGACCCGGCTGGCCTGCATGCGCCAGGTACACTCTGACCGGGCTGTGTTGAATGTCTAGAGCAGGCCCTGAAGAGGCCCTTTTATTCGAGAGGGCTTCTAATCAAGTGAGTACGGTATGCCAACCTTGGTGCATTCTTCAAAAATGTGTATAGGTCACCATGGTTACTGTGTACGGTATGACGAGTCAAGCCCAAAAGCGTATGCACGTGATCATTTGCGACCAAAACCGATATTCCTGCCAGTGAAACTGCTCGGTCTGCTCCGGAGCAAGCAGACCATGTTCTGGCCGACCCAGGACAGGTGCAGTCCCAACCAAACCTGCTCTTGGGCTCCACTTTCTTCAGGCTCAGCGTGGGATTGACTGTATGGGCTAAATGTGTAAGATTGTATAGCATGCGATGAACATCCAACCACGTGGTGTGTTTGAAGCTTGGGGACCATTCTCGGATTAGCTGCGATATAATTACCGCTAATAACAAACAGAACATGTACATTTGATAAGAAATTTTGATCTAAATCCACTTGTTCACCCTTCCTGCTGGGCTGTACATGTGTTCAAAGAGTCCATATACTAGTACCGTGAAGTCTTGTATAAAAGCCGCGGCTTCTATGACTTTCTTGGTGAAATTTTGCAGGCTTCTACACAAGACAGGTATTTCTATGTATGTCAACACTAAAACCAGGCTTATTTGTGATTTGATGGGCCCAAAATTGTGGCTTCTATACAAGACTTCACGGTATGCACTCTTGGTTTGTTAGTACCTTATTCCTATATTTTTACAAAACATCCTGTAATTTCATGTATGAAGCCCATGCCCTAAAGCCATGGGCCATGACATTTCTGTGGACTTTGACTTTTACGGCATGGCGTAGACGATAGTGGGCGAGTCATTTTGCATCTAAAATAGCTAGGAAAGCAGGGGTATTTGGAATATAAGGCCATGGCTTCTATTGTCGAAGTTCTCCCGACAATTTGGTCTGGACTGGACACAGTCTGAGCTAAACACTGTCGAAGAACTAGCTACATGGATGGCATATGAATAGGTCTCTGGCTAACACCTCTTGAATGATACACATCCAATCAAGAGTACAAAGAAGCTGAGAAAAACCCCACATACGTAATCAAGTAGCGTGCTCCAATAGATTATAGTGCACTGCCCGAAGAGTGCTCAATACCCATAATAGGGCAGAGCCTTCCACACAAGAGAGAGGGGGGGGGGGGGGTGAGGGGCAGTGCACCGAGACACCTTTCTGCTCATGGAGCAGTAATACAGAGTCACAGGCCATCCTCTCATAACATGCAATGCACAAGTGTCACCTATTCCATGCAACCCTGACCACTGGCACTTTCCCTGCATGTGTGCCAGAAAAGCACATGTTTTGCCTGGGTTTAGATATGCAGCTGAGGTGTTCTTCGTAGATGGGGATGTCCGGGGAGCACACTAGCAAGAGTCCGTAATGCCTGATTTATGGCCTCGTGCTGAAGATGATCGATACCTGAGCCAGGCTGAGTAGAAGGGAGAAGTAACACACTTACTGGTATGAGTATATCACTTCATGTATGGTATTTCACTACTCCCTGGGGATATGCACACCTCCAGTGTATCCATCGGGCCAGCACTTCATGTCGCAGCGCATGTGGGTCCAGAACACTGACATTCCACCCGCTGTCACGACAGTGCAGCTGTTGGACAGCGAGTTCCAAAGCGCCGTGACTAGTTGATGGTGGCGCTGCACTGGTTTCATACTCGGTGTAAGTGCAGGATTTACCCAGACCTGTCTTACACGCACAGTGTCAGAAACACACGCACACACACACTTGAAGCACAACTAGCAAACCGTGTACAAGTATTATAATACAGTTCCCTACAGTGACCTGCACTGATGTATAGTGATCAACAAATCGTATACATAATATATACTTCAAAGAAGAAGAATTTTAATGGCCAGGGCTCACTACAGTGACCTGCACTTGAGTGCCGTGATCGTCAATATAAAATACTAGTATAAGAAAACTATCTAAGTATGATACACTCGTACCTATCAAAACGGATAGGCTCCAGACCAGCTGGTAACCAGCATCAGTGAGTATAGTTATCTGATACTGTACTGCACAATCCAGTCAAGTCCTCCTACACCTACATGACTGCAGAAGCCTCTGTCCTGCAAGCGTATACTGAGTACGCAGGATCCTCTCATTTCGTCTACGGTATGTTGCATGGCTAGGTTAGCCATCATTGGTCAGCATGAAGTGGCTGCGGCCGTGGCTTGCCGTAGTAGATGTTGGCTAGCGTGTCGGGATGCACACCAAATTCATATAGCAATACTAGCAGCAGGTTAAGTCCAGAAATCTGAGCAAAACACAAACACATACACAGGTAAATGGCTAAGGCAGTAATCCTCGTATCAAAACCTTGAATCCGATGCATCTGAATCCAGCCATACAGCCTCATAGCGATCAAGTAGAATCACATTCGCAGTGCTGTACCCGCTTGCCTTACCTTCACATAGCCATGTTTCATCCATCGGCGTGCGGACGTGATAGCTGGGTCTCCATCCGCCATCTGCACATGCCCAATGCGCTGCATGCGTTTTACCTGCAGCGTAGAAGGAGACAGAAAGAGATCACGCTTACCATCAACAGACATTGGCGCACACGCAGCACATCGGGGAAAGTGGGTAAAATAGACTAATTTCCTGAGCTTCACCAAATGTGTACTTGTATGTCTAATGGAGCCAGGGTCCAGCAGCCTTTGTTGCCAATGTTGTGAGTTTGCTGGATTGTCCGTATCTACCATGCGAATAAGTATTCATATGGACGAGCAGCTACAATACCTAGCATAGCCAGGTACTGCCAAGCGGCGCACATCACGGGTGACCAGCTGCAGCACCTTGCCGAGGTGCCCGCAGATTGAGTATTTCGCTATTGCTCTTGTAGTAGTTACGCACTCTTACGTGGAGTAGTGCTTTTGCTGTTTGCGTCCGGCAGAGTGCTGCGCTGATGAGTCCACAAAGGACGAAGCAGCTCTGTCTGCAGATTGAGTATTCCGCTCCTGCTCTTGTAGTAGTTGATCACTCATATGTGGGGTAGTGCCTTTGCTGTTTGCGTTCGGCAGAGCTCACTGACTTGTCAGTTTGAGCACTCTGGCAAGGTACGTTCGGGCCTGGTGTAAATGTGGCTTTGGAAATTTATTTTTTCACTGCTATCAGGCTCGGCCTCATTTTCTTCTGTGATGTGCTGATGAGTCAATAAGTTCAGACAATAACAGATAACACACACTGATAAAAGTCAGTCCCAGGAAACTCTTTTTAAAATATTCGAATTTAGACCATGTTGGATTTTGTGGTATTCTATTGCATATGCATCTCATGGAAATATGTCAGCCATGGCACATGGACTCGCAAACATACCAACACACACTCACACACACGTGCACACACACAGATACACAGACACACACACACCACACACACCACACACACACACACACACACACACACACACACACACACACACTTCGGTAGACACCTCCAATTTGGCTAGCATACCAGTATGTAGTCCTCCATGAGGCGCACTGCTGGAAACCGTCCACAACGCTGGAATGCCTGCCGGGTTGTGAACAAGCACTGGTCACCATAAGGCATCTCTGAAAGGAGACGGAGTACAAGTAGAAAAAGAAAGAAATACTAATTCAGCAGGCCTTCAACGCCACCAACACTGAGGCGTGTACCTGCTGGACTTGGTTGTATAACTTGTATGTACATGACAATGTGATTGCTGAAGCTACATGTACAGCATCAACAGGCAAATGCCCAGAGATTCAGCTTGGGGCCTTCCTGGCCAATTAGAAAAGAAATAAATCGTCCCACCACCAGGATCCCATTGATGGCCACAGGTGTGGCAGGCGCCGGATGAGTGAGTCCAAACTTTGGGTCATACTGTAGGTCATTTAGCGCACATTGACCATTGTCCGTACTCATTGCACGGCGAGTGAGCCCCATTGTCCGTACTCATTGCACGGCGAGTGAGCCCCATTGTCCGTACTCATTGCACGGCGAGTGAGCCCCATTGTCCGTACTCATTGCACGGCGAGTGAGCCCCATTGTCCGTACTCATTGCACGGCGAGTGAGCCCCATTGTCCGTACTCATTGCACGGCGAGTGAGCCCCATTGTCCGTACTCATTGCACGGCGAGTGAGCCCCATTGTCCGTACTCATTACACGGCGAGTGAGCCCCATTGTCCGTACTCATTACACGGCGAGTGAGCCCCATTGTCCGTACTCATTACACGGCGAGTGAGCCCCATTGTCCGTACTCATTACACGGCGAGTGAGCCCCACGCAAGAAACAGGGCCGGCGTGGGACCAGGTGAAACTCGGAGTCTTTCACTGTATGACCATAGCTGCACTCGGCGACACGATTTCCTTTCTCTAAACCAAGCATCGAGACATTATGCTAGGTACTTTACGCAAGTTTACGGTTACTGGAAGTCAGGTGGTCAGCCGAAAAATGGCTGCAGCGATAACACGCCAATTGGCATCAGAATGTCCTTTTAGCTCTCTTATGAATGTGAGGATTGGTTAGAGCAGGACTCACCGGCATGCACAACCCTACGACGAACCAGTGCGCACATCAGCCTCATCTCTTGACGGAAGCGCCAAGAACACGATGGCCTACAAATGGCGGGAGTGAGAAGGACAAGAAGCGGGCAAGGCATCTTTAAAAACCAAGCAACAAGATAGCAGAGATGTGTTACATGATGTGTTACTATCCAAGAGTGCGCAGAAATCTGGGTTTTAGTAACTTTTTACACACAGCTTCAATCATATGTTCAAACAGGCTCTGGCACTCACAATGACTGGTCATTCCTCGCGGAGAGTTGCCTCTATAAAATAAACACACACTCGACTGCACCATAAAGTTGCCCACAACGTCTTCATAGCTATACCGGCTCTCATGCATACTACCAGCAGTCTGTAGCACAGTGCTAATGAGGTCCGATCGCGATAGTCAAGTTAGCGTCCTGCACCTGTGCACTGTCCAGTGTTCGCAGGTCTGGAGCTGCACAGTATGGTTTGCTATGAAGGGGTTTGGATTACTTTGGCCCCAGGTGTAGATCCCAAGATGACATCATGTGACTTTAAAAAAAAAAACTTGAAGCAAAAGGTTTTTAAAAAGCATTGACACATATCCATATATCACAGCACCAGTCAGTAGCCACAGCGGCATCTTCTAAAGTTCTCACCCATTCGGCTCCAAGCAGTCCAGACGGAATGGAAAGGCACCCATCACGTTGCCGGGAACGCCAAGACAGTCTGCAATGCGTTGGTCAAAGCCAAACGGCAGCCGCGTGTCAGCATGGAGGAACGCAAGGTACGGGGTGGAAGACGCAGCTGCAACGCCATTGTTTTGCTGTTCACCACGTCCTACACAACACAACAGAGGAGGAAATTCAAAGTCATGTACAGCCATATACTGACGAAATGTACAAGCAAACATGGACAGCAGGCGGTTTGTGTTGCTGCACAGAAGGACATGTGGAGAAAAAACCTTGTTTGGCGGCATGTTGGATCTCATCGGTGCATGTGTGTGTGTGTGTGTGTGTGTGTGTGTGTGTGTGTGTGTGTGTGTGTGTGTGTGTGTGCTGGTTAGTAGGGCTCCAGGGTTAACACCTGACAAGCCCAACAAGCCACTGTCCACAGACAGACTTGATACATTGCTTCAAACTCGACATAGAAGGTCCAGTAGCCTGCCGCGGTGGTGGCAGAAGAAAACATCAACAGGCCACTTTACCCAGCTTTAATAAGCACCAGGGAGTTGCACTAATAATCCAATACATGTGCTAAATGATTTAGCCTCGACCCGAAATATACAGTGGTGGCAAGAGATCCAAACCTACAGTCCATTTCAAAACTATAGACGCGTGAACTCATACGTACGAGCCGTACGTACTGTAGCGCACGACAGCCGTGAGTTTTGCATGGGTTTTTTCTGGTTTTCAGATGTGTTTTTCAGGTTTTTCTTCGTCGCCGCGGGAAATACAAAAGATGCAAAACACGCAAAGTCGCAAATGAAAAGGTGTGAGGAAAGTCTCAAAAGAAATGAAAGCCTCAAATGAATCTTCTTGCTTGCATTTTCAGAGTGCGTGACTGTAATGGCTTCCAAGGCCCGTAAGAATCTCAGTGATGCCGAGGAAGATATGATTAGTTGTGTTCATTGTTTCTTCGAACAAGAGCTGGATTTTGATTGACGCTTGAGTATCCGAAATCCTCGTCGTCGAACTCACCTTGCAACTGGCGTGAGTGAAACCACTGTCACTCGTTGTGTCAGGCGAAGGGAACAGGGAGGCTCAAATCAAATCAAAAAGAGAAAATATAATTATCATCTCTACTTTTCACCCAACAAGATCCAAAACATGCAGAAAAGAAGAGAAAAAAGGCAGGATCTAGGAGGCGTGATGGGATTCGAATGCCCCACACTTGTACTGGAAATCACGGATCGAAACCACGAGGCTACCAGGACCCGTACAAAAATGCACCCGCGATGGTCTGGGCGCAGCACTGTCTCAGCAGGAGCAAAAATCCGAAACAAACTGGTCAAACCCTTAAAACAAACTGGTCAAACCCTTCAAAACAGAAATTACATGTAAAACCGGAAAACCTGGCCTAAAAATAAACTTCAATTGTAGCGAAAACAAAGTCAGAATTGCCAGAATTGTGAAGCGATGCAGAGACGGAATCTGGAGAAAAAACTAAAATATTTAAATAAATCCCATCGAATTTCGCAAAACACTACGTGTCTATAGTTTTGAAATGGACTGTATGCACATACCAGCCCCGGGCCGGAGTGGCCCCAGCACTACAAACGCTGGGTCGTGCAGTGAATGTGGCATAACTACTAGTAGTAACATAAGTACCGCGAGACATCCTGTCTTGATTTTTACAACCAGAGGGAAAGGAAAGTCGCATGGCAGAGTGCAGCGAAGTTGGTACAACGTCAGAACCTTATTGTACTAAGGTCACACTTAGCATGTTCTTGTGTGGAGCTCGCATCCGCTCGACGGTAAACTGAGTACGGATTGACTGCACAACGTGCAACGGGTGTACAAGGTCAGTGTTGTGTGACCTACAGACAGGATACTGCCTTCTAACACCGTCACAAAGGGGTAGTGGTGGCGGCGGGGTGCTCTCGCTGTACTATTATGACACTACTTTCGTGGACATTGAAATCCGATGGGATGACCGGGGCTGGCGCCCTTACTGCTTTTAGTGCGTACATGCACTGTAGTTCACGCACACACTGTAAAAATCGACCAGCAGTGCTCGAGGCTGTAAGGCCAGCGCCCAGGGGCCGCTTGACTTCTCAGCGGATTTCAATGTCCGCTACAGTAGTATTCATGCAGTTAGATTTCGCCTGCACCTAGTCTACAATTACAACCAGTAGAATGCAGATACACTCACTGACCCGGTGCTGAGTGGACGAGACGCAAGGACACTCCACAGAGGCTCTCCGGACTACTGATGAGCGCCTCCACCTTGGAACACGTCGAGTCAGTGCTGCCTCCGTCGCTGACAACAATCTCGAGCTGCTCCGGATAAACGGCTTTCTGTCGTATCCAGAGCAATGAGATATCACAGAACAAAGATAATAGCAGTGAGCAGGACACAAAGGCTAACCCTATAGTCTAGTAAAGTTACATTGATATGCTGATACAGTCACAGCAGGTTAGCACTGCAAAATACATGACATTGTACTTGTTTGGATAAACAGGAACGGGGTACGCCATTTGTGTGCTATTAGTCTATTACACGCGGTACTGGCCGGGGAAACTCCTGCCATGAATCAGGCAGAGGCGCGTTTCAGTGCACTATAAAAGTGCTCATAGTACCAGGGCCATGATGCAGCACCCAGCGTATTTTCATTCATTGGAGTGAGTCCCATTGGAGTGAGTTCCATTGGAGTGAGTTCCATTGGAGTGAGTTCCATTGGAGTGAGTTCCATTGGAGTGAGTTCCATTGGAGTGAGTTCCATTGGAGTGAGTTCCATTGGAGTGAGTTCCATTGGAGTGAGTTCCATTGGAGTGAGTTCCATTGGCCAGCACCACAGTACCTGAGTCACAATGTTTCCTGCACATTGTTCTACAAGCAGCAGATGGCAGTATCTCAGATGAACACAATCAGTCATTGTGTTGGTCTGCACCAGACCGACATGCTCACTACAACGCCCCAAGTGCCCACACAACACCATGTACACATGTGCGCGGTATACAATGCACATTCACACGACGTACCGCTACCGTGTGCCGTATGCACTCTTCAATATTCTGCTCCTCGTTCAAGACTGGTATGATAATTGCACAGCGCGGTGCTAGGAAGTCCTCGACACTGCGACCAAAGCAGGATCCAATCCGTCCAAAATCCAAAGGGTCATCCTACAAGACAATCCAATGCACACAACACCATTCACATACACACATATGAAGTACATGACATTGTATACTTGAACACAGGATTACAAAGAATGTGAATTTTTATGATTACGGTCGACTTCTGATGCAAGGAGTGAGCAGGAAAGGGGAGCTCTTCACAGCCGCAGCTCTTTAAAATATTAAAACAGAAATGCACTCACACCAAACAAGCAATACAGTCATCATGCCTGGTATGCAGCTCGCGATTGCATGAAAGCACTTGGTTGACATGCTATCATAATGATGCACGGTTTGTTATAAACGAAAACAGCTTCCTACAAAGGGGAAGTTCTGTATACCGTATATTCTCTATTATAAGCACAGGTCTCCATTACTAGCACAGTCTCTAATACTAGCACACTGTGAGCACTTTTCGAAACATTATAAGCACAGTCTCTATTATTAGCACGATCCTGGTGGAATCAATGCTGCATGCATGATATCTAGCATGTATTTCTTCTCGTTCTGTATGGATGTATTGGTTGAAAATATAAAAGCGCGGTCTCCAATATAAGCACAGGGTAGAGGGGTATTGAAAAAATATAAGCACGGCGCTTATAATAGAGAATATACGGTAGGTTCAAACAGGGAGATGGACAATGATTCATATTTTCCCAAAATTCACTATTATGTAAGTTTATTCTAAGTACGACGGTACACCATTTTTAAATAACGTCGCTTACAGGTACAACACAAATTATGTGATTTATAGAGCTGCCGCACAACTATCACATGACTATACAGGACAGCTATGTTGGTTCCAACTCCACCCAGCCATTGCATCGATGGGTCACATGATGTCGGCCATGTTGGTTCCACTGTCCACATGCCATGATCACTTTCTATACACACTTAGTCACATGACAAAGATGTGAAACCAGTCTATAACAGTCTATGAGTGCTAACTAACCAGATCGGAAAGCGGCACAGGCAGAATCATTGGCTCAATTCCCAGGCTACGAGCTACGTTGATCTGTTGTTCGCGCACCACCTCCGTGCCCCACGTCATGCCCGTGAAGAGCTCATCTGTGCACCCCCCCCCCCCCCCCCACACACACACGCATGCACGCACGCACAGGCGCATACACACGCACGCACGCACAGGCGCATACACACGCACACCGACATGCACACACAGTGACACACGCACACCGACATGCACACACAGTGACACACACACAAACACACATACAGTGACACACACACAAACACACATACAGTGACACACCCACACACATGTACATGTACAGATACACATGTACACACATAATAGTTCACTTCAGCCCAAGCCCCCGGGAGGGTAACATTCATTTGGGCAACATCAATTATTGACACAGTAGGATTTTCAAGTATAGTAAGCTGGGTGTAGGATGCATTTAGGATACGAGAAAGCTGGCTCCAAAAGTAGAGTTGTTTAACGTATGTTCTTGCTTCCCGCAGAAGGTTCATCAGTACACTTGGAAAACCTGGTCGAGGTGAGTGCCATATGATCAAGCAGCAGGAAGAGGAATCGTGATACAGACTGTACGCGCAATGGCGGCTTTCAGTTCACGAGGCTCTGCAGACTTACCAAGCTTCTCAGCGATGCTACAGTGAGCAGCAACAAGATAGTAGCCACCGTCCAGTGCGGGTCCGAGGACAAACTGTGCACGCATGCCACCATCATCAGCGGGCATGAGCGCAGACATGGCCTGTTTGACGACGTCCTTCGTCAGGCCTGGAATGTCCGAGCCAACCTACAGAATGACACAATGCAGTGGTAGATATTAGTACCATAGTGGCTTGCAGTGGGGAACTAGCCCAGTGCAGTGGTACATGCTACTAGATAGTACAGTGCTGCTAAATGAAATCCGATCACGTGAGTCAAGTTTGCGCCTTGCACCACTTCGCAGCCCAGTGTTCGCAGGTCTAGGGCTGTGCAAAGCCCGGCGCGTGCTTGAGTGACGCGATCGGATTTCCATAGAGCAGCACTGTAGTACCATAGCAGTAGCAGGGAACACACCCAGTGCAGTAGTAGCAGGGAACACACCCAGTGCAGTAGTAGCAGGGAACACACCCAGTGCAGTAGTAGCAGGGAACACACCCAGTGCAGTGGTAGCAGGGAACACACCCAGTGCAGTAGTAGCAGGGAACACACCCAGTGCAGTAGTAGCAGGGAACACACCCAGTGCAGTAGTAGCAGGGAACACACCCAGTGCAGTAGTAGCAGGGAACACACCCAGTGCAGTAGTAGCAGGGAACACACCCAGTGCAGTGGTAGCAGGGAACACACCCAGTGCAGTGGTAGCAGGGAACACACCCAGTGCAGTAGTAGCAGGGAACACACCCAGTGCAGTGGTAGCAGGGAACACACCCAGTGCAGTGGTAGATATTAGCACAGTGGTAGCAGGGAACACACCCAGTGCAGTGGTAGATACTAGCACAGTAGTACAGTCAGACCTCGTTTATCCGGATCCCTCGCCATCCGGAAGAAAATCGATGGTTACCGATGTGCAGCATATGTTATGCATACAACATAACCGGACCTCGCGATCCGCATACCGGTGCATGATTTTGTGTACAAACTGGTTAAATGTGTACAAAATGCTTCGTCGTATCCGGTTGCATGTGGCTGGCTAGCGCTTGCAGAAGCTAGTATCAAGGAGTTGTACAAGCAAATGAGGTCCTTGACCTGCTGGGTGTGTGCAGACAGCACTCAGCTGCATGCACTTGTCATTTTTCTCGCTTGTTTTACATACTGGGCACGCTAGTTGTACTGCATAGGACCTGTCTACATGTATGTATGATGTCACTGCTTTTGACATGCCACATGCATGTACAGTATGTGTGTTCAGTTATCCGGTTACCTCGCCTATCCGGATGTTTTTGTGGAAAACAGATGTGTGTGGTTATGCGAGGTCTGACTGTAGCAGGGAACACACCCAGTGCAGTGGTAGATACTAGCACAGTAGTAGCAGGGAACACACCCAGTGCAGTGGTAGATACTTCGCAAGTATTAGCACAGTAGTAGTAGTAGCAGGGAACAAGCACATTGTTGAGCAGGAACCAATGCAGCTACAGTGCACATACTGGCATGCACCAACCCTTACTAATCTACCACAAACCATAGGATCACTATGGCTGGCAACTAAATGCAGTGGAACCTCGCTTTCCGACCACCTCATTAAACCGACCACTTTTGCTTGGTCCCGAATTTCCCTCCAGAAGTGGGCATTTTCACTGATCGGACCACCTCGGAAATCAAACCTTTTTGCCCAGTCCCAAAGGCAGTCGGAATTCCGAGGTTCCATTTGTTAATTAGTTCGGTCAGTCACTCTCAGCAAATAAGAAGGTTGAAGCAGCTAGCTGTCTGGAGACTGAGTAATGTGTCTGGTGGTGACACACTGGAATTTAGCGTGTGCACATTGTACGTGTGAGCACTCTCCCAGCCGACAAAACACGCAAATGTTTGTTTCACCACTGCAGGCGTCTCGGCAGTCTTACCACAACTACTCTCTGTGCTCCTTCTCTGAAGGCTGTCTTGAACGCGTCCGCCATCTTCTGACCAAGGTCTCCATCACACTGCGGCCGCCAAACAGTTGCATGCGGATCCAGGACAGACTTGAATGGCACCAGCCAATGGCAAAGTTGATGTGCTGTGCCGCCGAAGTACCGGAGTTCAACGCACCAGCCGTCACGACTCGAAGACAAGCCATCGGAATCATAGCAGAACATTCGCAGAAGATTGTCAGTCTGAAGAAGCAAATGCAAAAGCAGAAGTACCGTACATGTGTAGTATGAAAAAAATTAAGTTAGAAAAACGACATGCAGTCTCAAACTAAAGCTAGGTTGGCCTGGCTCTAGATAGTGTTCAGTACACACATACTACAGACAAACAAAAAGAAGTTTCGCCTCTGCTCAACCTGCGACCTTCACATACTACAGGTGGAGGTGCTGAGTCGAATGGTCTTGGTCCAAGGAAGCTGAGACGCTCCCTTCCTCCTTTATTCCCAATCGAACTCGCGTACGTACACCGAAACTGGGTGACTGCGCCCTACTAGATTGGGATGTGTGTGCAAAATGTCACTAAAAGCGCCATTTCGTTCTTATAAAAGCACGGATGACCGCGATTGGCCCATATGTTGTAGTCTTTTGGACGCTGAGTCGACTGGTTTTGGTCCGAGAAAGCTGTGATGCAGCGTTCCTCCTTTATTCCCAATCGAACACGGTTGAGCAAGCGGTCACGTGCTCGTGCGTGCACAAGTCACCTGGTCACCGCGCCAGCAGGCGACAACTTTCACACCAAGGTTCAACTCGAGTTCAACTCGAGTGACAGGACTGCACCCAAACAAGCCTCTGGGTCATCCTAATGAAGATATTATTATTAAAAAGGCCAAACAGGCTGTAAGTTGTACCCTGCAGTCACAGTGACTAGGTGACTAGTGGACGCAGGAGCACGTGACCGCTTGTTAAACCAGGTTCGATTGGGAATAAAGGAGGAACGCTGCAACCATATTTTAATGACTGCCGTTGCATTTAAAGAGGTCTGGCTGTAAAGCGGGGGGGGGGGGGGGGGGGGGTGTGTGTGTAGTGGTATACACCGGTACTATTCTGTACCCGTGCTACCCGTGAGGACCTCGGGTAGACGGGTACAGAATAGTACCCGAAAACCCGAAGTCGCAGATGACATCATGTACAGTGAACGAGTACAAATTCATGCAATACTCCGCATGTACATATGTCTACCCAGTGTGTAAGGGAAGGGGTGTATTGTGGTGTTACCATGGAAACATTACCCGATAGGGCACCCGTGCTACCCGTGGAAAACTACCCGAACCCGATACCCGAAGAAAAATCTACCCAGCTCAGCCCTACATAACCAGCTTGATGTACTCTTGAATTAGTTCCACCTCGACCACATGTGCTCGATGGTGTACTCTTCGTGGAACATATAATGATGGACAGAGCAACTGGGCAAGGCTTGCCATAGCTATAAAACAGTGTTATTTTTACTGATGGCTTCTCAAGTTCAAGTTCGAAATCCTTGTGAAGATGGAACTTCTCACCCTCCAACTGCACTGGGCCACGAAAAGCTGGTATTGCCTACTAAAAGCAATACCATTGCATATTGTCACTAACCATGTGCAGTTGACACAAGTATGCTCCACGCTCACCCAGCAATGGTATTAGTCGGGTCTTGCACTTTCCTGGTTGAGGGTACCTGGAGAAGATAACTACCCGCTCCGAGCGGGCAAGGACTCTTTTCCTGGCGATGGAGTCATGGGTGTAAAGCAGAAGCTTGCGAAGTCCCAGCAAAGCCAAGGCTGACGTACCAGCAACAGCAGAGTTCCATACCCAGTCGTTTGTGATTGTGTACAGCGAGCTCAAGTCTAAGTTGAATTCTAATTCAAACGGCATTCTGAATAGGGATGATTAACATTGGATATTTTGTTGATGAAAATTCCAAACGTTCTCTGAATGGCTCAATTCATTACTGCGAACAACGAGGAAAGAATGGTGTGCACAGCGTTGCTGGATAGAATGATACTACAAAATGTAAAGATAGTTTTCCACCTCCGCCTTGTGAAGTTGTGATGTGCTGTTATCACCAAACATTGAAACAAGTGTATGAAAGTAAAAGACAAGATGCCATGCATGCCATTTGTTCAAAATCGATTTCTCGAACCAAGATAATAGATTGGCAAGATCAAGAAGAAGATGGATTCGACGTCACTTTGGCACTGCGCCGCGGCCCGCGTGGCGCATTATGCATGATTTATTCACAATGACGTAATGATTACTAGTATGTGACTGTTCTCATCTCAGTGTTCTGTACAGCTAGCTAGCGTAGCTGTGTATGTGTGCATGCACGTGATCGATCAATGATGATGCGAGATTTGCGAGTTACGGTAACTATGGTATCGCGAATTCGCGATATCGGTCACGCGATCGCGAGGTTTTACACGTAAATCTACGTACGTACCGTACACGCGTATATATACGCGTACCGCGTATACCGCGCGCAAGCGATCGCGCGACCGGTGACCCATGCTTGATTTGGCTTTGCCACGTGCTAAAATCGTGGGCACAGCTGCACGAAAGCGGCGGTACGTACGCGGTGTTACTCCCAAGCTAGCCAGCTTTCTCACTGAAAGCAAGCATCCCTTGTCGTTTTCCTTGCATGGCAAGATCAAGATCTGACACCACCACGAATCTGCTGGTAGAAATGGAGTACATGTACAAAACAGGGTGTTTGGCGATGATAGGGCCCCTTTCTACAGCAGCGGTTGGTCGTGTGGCGGTGCTTTCTTCTCTTTGGTTCTGCGTCTCCCAGCTTTGACCCACTCTGATCAGTTTCTCATCACGTTTGCCTTTTTGGAACATTTACCAGGCTTCGAGTCTCTTGCAAAGAGGTGATCAGTCACTGCAAGTAGAATCTAGGAGTAGAAACTTCAGCCATTTGCTTATCGTGAGAAACATGGTATTGACGGAGAAAGAACGCGTCCTCGAGGTCTGGCAGAATGCCGACGCAGTGTGCTTTGACGTCGACAGCACGGTGATTCGTGAAGAAGGTCTCGATCACCTAGCCGCGTATCTGGGAAAGGGAGAAGCCGTTGCTGCTCTGTAAGTCACGTTGTGGCATGTGGTGTAGCCGTATTACTCTTTTATTTTTGACTGTACTGGTCGACAAGTACCCGTACCTGGACCCATGTCCCCTAGCATTCTACTAGTACTTGATCGTTTTGGAGTCATGCATGTTCGTCGAAGTTCTTATCATATCAATATGAGCACACAAACTGTTCATATGCGAAATATTTTTATGTTTTGGGCCTTTGTTGATTTCTCTTCACTCGACAGTTTTGTGTTGTTTGTGATTTTTACTCATGTTGTGCGATATGTTTTGTAGGACGAGAGCGGCAATGGGTGGTGGAATGACATTCCGCACATCGCTGCAGAAGCGTATGGACTTGTGCAAGCCATCCCTAGCGCAGGTGAGAAACACTAGCACCACTTGAAATGTTTCTTTGAAATATATCCCGTGTGTGGACAGACTGGGCACCTTTGTTTCCTGTTCCTCTTTAGCTGATTCCTCGCCGGTGCAATATCCAGCGCTGTATTGTAGCTAACTGTAGCTAACCGGCAATGTTTGCACGGTTTCACCTGTGTGCTGTCATTCGTTCGCTGCCAGTACTGCATCTTATTCTTAGAATATGTAGCGTTGCCTGTTGTAGTTTCCGTGTCCCTGACTGTGACTCGACTTCGATTTGATCGCCGACTGACTGATGTATCCGAGCGTTTGGGTTTCCCAGACATGTCAAGCCATACTGCTGCAGTAGCAGAGGTCGTCTCTGGCACGTGTGTCGTCCTTTGATAATGGACATATAAGTGCAGATGTAGCTACTGCACTGCCTCCATGCCCCTAGCCATCCCTCCCTGTGGTCATCACCTGTCAAAGCTCTGCCCATGACACATCAACAACTAGTGTTGGAGGAATGCGTTGGGAAATCTTCTTTTGTGTCCAGCTCGATGTTGATCACGTGCACTTGAGCCAAGTCCCTACACTGCCCATAGTACGCCTCTCCACTGCCTCTTGTTGAAATCACTGAAGACTGAAGTCAAGTGTCTGTTCCATGCCGATGATCTATGTGCCTTCAACTATGCCAATCCCCCCTGAGATCTTGAACTGACTACTTAGTTAGTTGATCAGCTGATCTGTACTTGTCTAACACCTGATGCTGCCGGCCAATCATTTACTTTTACCAACAGATTCTATTTCCTGCATGTTGCCAAAGCGATCAGGAACTAGACCAGCATCAGGTGACTTCATTCTTTGTGGTGAGCTGCACTGGCTTACTTTAGACCCATGTACGTGATTGTATGCTGTTATGTATGTTACGACTGGTCGTATTCCCAATCATGGCTGTGTGTGTGTGTGCCTCTGTACAGGTGGAAAGCTTTGTGGACAAGTCTGGCTTCACACTGACTGATGGCATCCAGTAAGTTAGTAACGGTGCTTTCCCTAAACCTGTACTGCATGTACTGCAGCCCTGGCTTGGTTGATGAAACAAGGTTTGGCTTTACTGCCAATGGGTTTTTGCAAGAGTACATAACCCCCCCAGAGTGTGCAACGCCGATCCAGCTCTGCATAGGGTCTTGGTCGAGCGGAATCGGATCTTCTGATGTCATGCGTACACTCCACACCAGCACAAGGCCGGTCTCGAGGCAGGGCACCATTGTTTTTGATACGAGAGTACCCGCGACTCCCCGGGTTCCTGTCAGATGTGTACGGTATTATGATGCAAAGATCCGATTACGCTCGACCAAGACCCTATGCAGAGCTGGATCAGGCGTTGCACACTCTGGGGGGTTATGTACTCTTGGTTTTGCAGTGTCGATTCGCTGTCGTGCAGATGTGATGCGGTATTCTACGTTTCTGATTTGGTCTCTTCTTCTCTTCTTTGCTCCTGCTTGCAGAGAAATCGTCGAAGCTCTCCATGAGCGCGGCACGCATGTCTATATGGTGTCCGGTGGATTTTCCCATCTGATCGAGCCCATTGCAGACCAGCTACACATCCCGCACGAGAACATCTTTTGTAATGTGATGCAGTTCGATGAGAGAGGTGAGTTACACCGCAAGCTATGTTTAGTACTTCTGAAGAAACTGTTGTTCACACCCTCATCACCATACGTGTACTGCACTTCAGGTAGATTGAATAATTGAGTACTATAATTATTCACTGGTTTGAGGGAAGGACACAAACGGGAAAAGTCTGAAAAGTCTATGAATGTTTTCTCAGTGGTGTACATTTCAAGGCGACCATCAATATGATTGTGTGCTGCAGTGTGTATTCTTTGTGATCCATGTTTGCTCCTTTTCAATTACCATGTATGTGCATGGGTGCGTGTATATTGTTGAATTGTCTCAATCTAGGAAACTACATCGGATTCGACTTAAATCAACCGACATCCAGAGCCGGCGGCAAGCCAGCTGTGGTACAGCAGCTAATTGACAGGCACGGTTACAAAAAGTAAGAGGAGATTTTAATTATAATGTACCCCGTAGCTTTATCATATAATATGTGTGGTAGCTTGAGCGAGTGATATCTTGTGAGGCTTCCCTTTGTTGTGATCACTCCTGCCTGTATTGAGCTGCATCTAACTGTAGTGCGACTGTGTGTGAATGTCCTTCACTATTACTGTTCAGTGTCGTGATGGTCGGAGATGGAGCAACAGATCTGGAGGCCAGCCCACCTGCAGTAAGTGTCTTTTTTTACATGTTCATGCTAGTTTGCGAGTGTTTTCATTGCAGCGTTCATGCATGCTATGTACTCTATCACTGTGTAGTATGGAGACTTGGAGAGGCAGTGATTTATATTCAAAAAATTATTCTGTGTAACTTCTACATTTCAAGTGTTCTGATTTTGGAACCCATTTTTGTCTGTTTGCATTTGCCGTGTAGCATGCATTCATTGGATTTGGCGGAAACTGCGTTCGCTCCCGGGTAGAAGCAGAGGCTCCGCTGTTTGTGATGGATTTTGGCGAGCTCCTTGAGGTGCTATAGATTCACACTGCTGACTACTCATCTTTAGGCTCGAGATTTTCCCCATCCGTTTTTATATACCTTCCATTGAATGGCAAACAAAAGGAAAACACATCATTTCTTCTCTTGCACTCGGTCTTAGCATTTAGTTCAGCTTTCAGCTCAAATTAGCTCATTAGCATACCAAACGTTGTCAAACCCTTTCTACTCTTTTTATTCCTTTTCCCACGCTACTTTGTTATTTATGAGATACTCGAATACCGCCTGGCGCGTCCCCCTCACCAGTGTGTGCGTGAAATGTCAACTGGCTGGCCATAGAACAGTCCGCAACACTGCCGTGCGCATGTGTGCTGCACGGATCCATGCACCTTCTACCACTCGTGGCTGCTATCAGCTTGCGTATTTATTTTTTAGTCAGTAAGGAGATGTTCCTCTCTTTGCCTTTTAAAAGAACACTTCAACGTGTAATTGTGTCCATGCATATTATTTGCTCTTTGTTGACTCTTGCTGGATGAAGACTTGGTTTCATCCATTCTCTCTTTCTAGTCACCCTGCTCATGCTTATCATTCTTCATGGAAAGATGAATGTGGTGCTGGAGAGCAGTCAATGACCAACATTTTGCTGTGAGCCGATGTAACAATTAGTTGTTGGAATTAGGATAGCATGGGGACAGTGCACTTTGGCTGTGGCCCATGTCTGCAACACAGTGCTTCGTGTGTAATTTGCCAGGTGAAAGAGCAAGACTAACTAGGCAGCTACTGAATTTCTTGACATTTATAATAACTGGTATAAACTGATACGTGTCCATTACATATGAATCCTCGCGGCGTTGCGTAGAGTGTCCAATGGCACATGGCAACAATACAGCCCAGCCTTCTTTGGTGTAACATGTCTTCGTACATAGGGGCATGATCGATCGGGCGTATCCCGGGCAAGTGAACGTGAGCGTTAGGCCGAATCCGGAGCAGGTGTACTTGGAGTGCAATCCACCCACACCGCCCTGCCCCCCCCCCCCCCACACACACCGGGAGTGGCTGGAGTGGAAATGGACTTTCACTTTTTTTTGAAATAGCAGAAATAGAGATAGAAATTCAAGTTTGGGGACAGCCATAGATAAAATGGTATGACTTGCTTGTACTTCAGTACATGACTTGCTTCCCAGCCAAATAGATGGCCTCTGCATATTTTAAACCATGGTTTTCTTGATCCTCGAGTGTCAACACCATACTTCCTTGGATCCGTACGGACTTGCCAGCCCAGGCACCGTACGCCATGCATATGCGTTTCGCAGGGCAGCGTTGGTGCTTGGTGTTTAGTTAGCGTGCAAGCTCAGTACAGTTACGCTGTTCAATGGCTGCTGCCGTTCGCAGTCTGAGTCACGAGACCGGGGTAGGCTCCCAGCTCAAGCCTGAATGCTCCAGAACAAACGTCACACTGCGTGAAATGGCATCCCGGGCTTCCTGATTTCCATACACAAAGCGTACACCCATCACCGTCATATTGCTGGGAGCATTCGCGAAGAATCCATGAATTTGCTTGCCGTAGTCGACTAGTTGCGCTTCAACACCGGCAGCCTGCAGGCGCTGTTGATAAAGAAACCCATCACTATACAGCGGATCAATACCGGCTAAAAGGATGATAGTGGGTGGCACCATGCTCAAGTCTCTGGCAAGTATAGGGCAGAGTGACTCGCTCAAGAATTTTTCAGCATACGGGTACTTATCTGGATCAGGAGTTATCAATTCAACGTCTGATCCATTGAGACGAAGGCTGGCATTCTCCCAAACTTCGGTGGGAAGTAGAACCGGCGATCGATTGGTGACCATGGAACGGAGAGTATCGGCGTCCTCCTCGCCACCCAAATACCAACTGCGATAGAGGAATGTAGCCTTTGGGTCCAGGCCACCGGGTGCTGAGAAAGAGAATGTGGTGTTCGGGTCCGAAAACACATACCTGATCGCTGGATAAATTGAGATCTGAGCCCGCAGTCGGGGGAGATCGGTCCTGCCAATGTGTAGTGATATAGCAGCAGCCAAGGACCCACCAGCACTATCGCCACCAACACTAACCAAGGACGAGTTGACACGTAACTCTGCAGCTACTGCCGGGTCACCGAGAATGGACTTGGTCACAGCCAAGCAGTCATCAAATGCTGCGGGGTAGATATGTTCCGGAGCCAAGCGGTAACTGCAGGTAGAAGGAAGGCAGAGCAAAACCAGCAGAGCTATTTCCAATTGAATGGGGGACTACAGCACTTTTTTTTAATAAGCCGGGGACCATTGGAATGAACCAAATGCATCTAAGGACGCGTTCGAAATGTTCTCGTCACCTTTTCGACAAACATCTTAGCCTTGAAGAGATAGTTGAAATATCCCAATAGAATGGTTGCTGTCAGCCTCGCCATATCCTTTCGGAATTGTCATAGCAACGAGATTTTCCAAGGGTGCTTCCCACGTGACAATGGGCTTCCCTTACCGTACTTATGTGCAAGGTCGGGAAAAAAGGCAGTTTTCAGGAATATTCCAAGCTCTTTTTTTAAAACAATGCAACTAATCCACCTCTCCCATTGAATGAGGTTGTGGAGTTTCGAGGATTCTCGAGGAGCCTGACTTTCGTTTTCTAAAGAGGCCATTTTAAGCCACCTCTTTAGAAAAACGAAACTCATCGAAAAGTCAAAGAGTGACAATTCGAACATGTGAGAGACAGACAGACTTACACATACAGACATAAAACAAGAGACAGAGGTGCTACAGGTGAAGACATTCCGACAATTAGAAGAAAGAGAACAGGCAAGTTACGAGCAACTTGCACTCCATACATGTACATGTACTAGCAAGAGTAAATAGCCTCCCAAGCCTGAGTGTGCAACTCTGCATATGGGGTCTCCGATGGCGAAAACTCACATCACGTGTCTCAGGTACGTTTCGTACTACGTACAAACGAAGGATAGCATGCGCACAATCCGAATATCTGCCATGATCATGCAGGTGAGTTGCATACGTGCACTCGCGTAGTGACTTTCTGTCAGAGAGTGCTTTTTTTTAAATTATTTGTATTACTCTGCTGCTCGCTAAAACAGGTTGAAAACGTACAACTGGAACACTACATCACGCGATGTGAGCGAACCCATAGAGAGGGTATCAAGAGTTGCACACTCTCGGTACATGCCCTAGTAGTACATCGGTAGATATCTTTCTTTTATAGATATAAAACACAGAAGGGTATGCAGCTACTTGTCGTACTCACTTCACAGAAACGACTGCAAAGCCTGACTCATCACACCATCGTGCCAAGGAGGCATCGTAGTTGCCTGCAAACAATACCAACACAAGCCGTAACAAGGAAATGCAACGTGCTTAGAAGCATCAGCGGATGGCCAGATGCTGCAAGTCACATGGCGGAAAGCCCGTCGTCACGACAACCAGGATAAGAACAGAGTATACTGTACATGGAATAACCGATGACCTAGTCACCTAGCTGATGACCTAGCTGATGACCTAGCTGATGACTTAGTCACCTAGCTGATGACCTAGCTGATGACCTAGCTGATGACCTAGCTGATGACCTAGCTGATGACCTAGCTGATGACCTAGCTGATGACCTAGCTGATGGCTCTCAGTGGCTAGAGGTTTGCAAGTGAGCATCGCAACACCATTATCCACAGTTGATCAAAAACATAATCAATGTGCTGCAGTGTTATGCTGACAAACACACACACACACATACATGTGTGCATACGCACGCGTGCACACACACAGATACGTACGAGTGCACACACACAGATACGTACGAGTGCACACACACACGCGCACACGTATGCACACACATTGACATAGTTATTCGTACATACATGTAAATACCAGGGTTCTAGCCAGGTCACAATAGTGGGGGGGGGGGGGGGCACGGAAAACAGTTATCCCGTAACCCATTCTCCATTTTCAAAATAACTGCCTTGCAATGCAGCATGCAACGTACGGAGTGAACACCTGAGTTCACCCCAGACAAATGTGCCTTTATGAACCTTCTAGTACAGTACTGACGTATCGACTGCATTTTCGTTGAATAGCATGAAAAAACACAATCGGAAAATGAGTAAGGGGTGGCACTTCGCCCCCTCCCCCTACCCCCTTTGGCTATAACCCTGTATACACTACAGTACTAGTTACAGTGTAGTAGCTGCTTACGCAGAGTACCAGTGACATAACCACCGCCGTGGTAGAACACCAGTACGGGCAGCGAGGCCGTCTCGTCAACACGCGCCGGCCGATACAAGCGGACAGGAACACCGGCCACGGTGTGGTCTCCACTGCTCACGTAGCTGATGTCCACCGCTGCAGCAACCCAGGACATGATATAGCGACTGGCCTCTGGCCTATGGGTGCCCAATAGGATGGCAAGTAGGTAGCATAGGTTGAAGGAAGGCTTTCATCATGTGAGAATACATAAGCAGGACAAACATAGCCGGTAGCTTTAATGATAGTGCAATGGGGGGGGGGGGGGAGGGCTTACAGGAGCATGTTTGAAGAGAAGATTGGCAACAAGGACTAGCGATTCAAGTGGCTGGGCATTCATACAATGCACATGTACAGTCGCGGCTGCTCAATGAAATCCAGCCGCGTCGCTCATGTACGCGCCGGGCGTTGCGCGGCCCTAGACTGACCTGCGAAAACTGGGCTTCGAAATGCTGCAAGGCGCAAACATGAAGTGCCGCAACTGGATTTCATTGAGCAGGACTGTACAGGCATTGCTGACCGGAGCCACAGAAAACAACCATACTGGTCTACTCAATGCTTACACTTACAGTAGCATGTAACCATGGCATTTTGGTGACTTTCTAGCCTGGATGTTCTTCAACAGCAGCCCGTTCATTTGGGCACGATGTATGCTAGGCGCTAGGCCAGAACAAAAACAACAACCAACTTGTTTCGGGTCGGCCTGCCGACCGGGTCCTCTTTTCCCAATTCTGAGACTTGTTCTGGTCCGCATGCTAGGCATTTCCCAAATCGGCTGGCCGAAAAATTCGCCGGAAACTGTGGTTTTGAAGAATTCACTGATCTTTTCGCCAAATAGGCAGTTTTCGCACTGAATTTGCTGAAAAACTTGGATGTTTTTGTGCCTCAACAGCATGCAAATACAAATACCTATATTAAACCAGTATACTGCGAAAGGTAACTGCGGCTACAAGCATTTCCGAAATCGGCCAGCAAGAAAAGACGACGAAATCAATGGCTGTGAAGAAATCGCCGATAATTGCGCCGAATTCGACGAAAATCGATGTATTAGTGCCTCCAAAGCGTGCATGCAAATGCACATTGTATTACGAGCGGTAACTTCAAGTACTGCTTTGGGGCTCAGAATATGGCCGAATTCGGACATTTTCTTAGCCGATCGAAAAGCGGATTAGGCGAAAAAACGGGCCGATTTGGGAAATGCCTACCGCATGCTGGTATACACGTATGTGCACGATAGGTGCATGAATGTGCCTCAGTAGGTAGCTGGCGAAAACCGCTGATTTGCTTCGTGCTAAAACCAGAGGTTGCTTACACCAAGTTTCACTGTATGTAAGTAGAGTAGGTATCGGTTATAGCGTGGGTGTTTGAAAAACGACATTTGATTCTTATTGCCGATATTTCTTACACACGATAAATCACGTGTGACATATCATATGCGCGTGCGACATTATCATATGCGCATATGTGCGCACGCGCACGTTTGGCATGTGGACACGTACGTACACATGATACACACGGATCAATCAGCCGACCCGAAATACTAGTAAACTTGTTTTTAAATACCCATAAAAAGGACACACTTCAGCAGTTCCGGCTCATTACAAACATCTTGAAAGTTTTTGTCTTCACAAGTATACTTTCAAGCCTTTTCGTCAGGTGAAATACAGCCAAGGGAAAAGGAACAGGAACAGTGAGTATTTATGAGTATTATCGCATTTTTGTCTCAGAGGAAACTGTAATTGTAGACTTGTTTTTGTTTCGGCCCTATCTGCATTTACGGGCGTCCCTTAGTTGTGCTATTAGACCGGCTTACCCGTGGCATGACATGGTCCAGTAGCCTGGCGTCTATCCGAGTGCTCCAGGCTATATCCTCATCCCATTGCGACAGAGGGTACAATGCTATGGCCAAGATCAACGCTACCAGCGACAGGGCAATAACTTCACAACGCACACACCGGGACAACATGGTTTTACGGGTATATCGGGTACCGTGACGCTACTAAAGCCTTCTGAGACTACAAAACATCATAGAGTATCGAGTACGATATCGGTACTTTTAAAAAGTACTTGCGGACTGATAAGTGATCGATGATCGTTCTCTGCCTCTCATTTACGACAACTAACTATTACTTCCTCATTGACTTACTATCGATCATTCATGCGTGGCCCAGCCCCCAGCAACAACTACTGTAAGACATGTATATATAACGAGGAAGCAAATCTAACGTTTTAACGGATGACATTTCTTCGTTATAATAAAATCCGTTGAGGCCGTACTGCTTCATATATGCTGTGTGTGGATATGGCAGAATACTGCAAGATCGTTAACATATCTTCTCGTTAACCTATGAATTTCGGACAATCGTTAAATTTGCGACTCGCTATAATAACATTATATGTCTTACAGTAATACTTTATTTTAATAAGGGGCCGTCCGTAAATATCGATGTTTTTTTAGAGACGATATTGGTGCGTCTGGGGGGGAGGGGGTTTGAGCCATGTGCGTCTTTTCGAGCATCAGAAAAATATCGATGTAAATATCTGAAGTTTCGCCGATCCCTGCACGCGGACGTCCAAATGGCTATACAAGAAATGTGAAACTAGCTTCCGTTCGCGGAGCTAAAACTCGCGACACGAGAACAAAATCAAAAATTGGAAGCTGTACGCCCATGGCGAATTTCAAGAGCAAAAGAATGAGCTATTGATTGTGGAAATCGGCCGAACGATGCCTGCAGGAGACCTTTTTCAAGACGTCGAGGCAGTGCGAACAAACACGGACGAACTCCACAAGAGTTTCCAGTCTTCACTGTCTGAACAAGTACAAGGATTTGAAAAAATTCAAGCCCGAGCGTAGCCGCTTTGTCTACACCAGTGGCTGTGAGCACTGCAGCGCCAACCCGGTTCGCTCCCCCCAGGCGATGCAGCTATTGCGTGAGTGCGGCGGGATTTTCACGCCTACACCGGACCCTCAACATCCTGGGCACTTCATGAGCATCCAAAAATATTGATTCCATGATCTAGATGTACATGTGCGTCTTCTGGGGGGAGGGAGGGGGGTCAAGGGAGAGAAGCACCAATATCGTCTCTAAAAAAACATCGATATTTACGGACGGCCCCTAAAGTAAAAATACTTGAAAAGAAAGAAAAGGGTGCACCGGTGTAGCAGTACTAGCCAGTAGCACACAGTAGAGGAGACGGCTCGATACCGGGACGTTTTGATAGCCAATTTTTTATAGACCCAAACCGATCATCAGCGTTGATTTTTCACTCGAAATATGTTTGTGGAAGGAAACTGGCATGTTGAAGTTTGCTCTGGGGCCAGAGTCAATCGAACTGAGCCACTCCTTTGTGTTGACCCATTGCCTCCAAGTTGCCCAATTTTTCGCTTCAAAAAAGTTCAAATCAGAGGTGGCTCCAAACCGGACACGTTTTAGAGTGCACGTCAAATTCACTCTGGGTCTGAAATTAGGTAATTGCTATCGCTCCACGACGGCCAGTACAGAGTAACAATAAGCCTTGTGTGTGCTTCCATTAGTTTTGATTGGTATGCGGTGCTTTATTGGCGAGAGGCGAGCCGCTGTTTACCTGCGACAAGAAGTTGATTTTTCGAAAGTCGTAAAACTCAAGTCGCAGTGCGAAGCAACACGTCAAAAACTCACCTGCTTGATATGGCGCTTCTGGTCATCGCAGAGCCATGAAATTTTGGCTCGGAGTACAACACATCGTAGTCTCACTGTGACATATGTTTTCTAATCAAAATACCAAGAGAGAAAGTGAATATTGAGTCCGTTCCGGTTTGCAACCGGTGTCCTATTTGAAACCGTCCCCTCTACATGTACAGCCACGGACACGACAGTGCAGTGCAGACTGATAAGCGCATGCACGCGTAGATCTACGCGCACGCGAGGTTGGGGCGTTGGGAGGCATAACACAGCAGCTCGTTACTAGGGCAACTAGCGCTAGTATGAGTAGTCTTTGTCAGTTTGTGAAACCTTGTACTTGTTGTAGTTGTACTTGTAGCAGAGTTTGGTGGATGTTTCAATCAATCATCATCATGTTTGGTCTAACTAATAATACTTACTTCTGTACTTGCCCGCCTCATGATAATAATTATTATTAATCCTGCCGCTTTACCCTCCTGACTATCAACAATAAAAGGAAGGATGAAAATACCTTACAAGAACAGTGAAAAATGCACATAATGCATTATTCACAGTTTTTATTCACCATTCATAACATCTATTCAGTCCTTCGTTGTTCCTAAATTATCGACTTCATCGTCCATCACATTTTGCTCACCGTAGTTTTTTCTTCTTTTTCCATCACCATTCTCTGCATTTGTTTGTGGCACTAATCAATACAGCCATCGTGCTGAGTTGATTCAGGTGGTTTGGTTTATTGCGCCATGTTTCTCAAATTATTGTCACTTGCTGCCTCTTTAAATTAGGTATCAGGTCAGTGTCTGCCGGTCCAGGATTTCAAATCAACCGGGTACACGTGTACCTGGCACAACCATTGCAACAGGGTCAGAGCCGGGTCAGAGCCGGGTCAGAGCCGGGTCAGAGCCGGGTCCGTTCAAGTGAGGCTACTACATGTACATGTACATCAGGGAGTTGTAAATATTTTAGGGCTCTCTGATGTATTTCCAATCGGGTAACAGGTGACCCGGTGTTCTTTTTCCAAACAGGTCCAAGTGCCCTCCAACCGGGTCGCTGACCCGGCTCTGGAGCAGACAGTGCAGGTAACAGATTTAATGACAAGCCATTATTCCGGAGCAGGTCGCGTTTGACTTTTGACTCATTCCGATCCAACTACCGTAGAATCCCGCTGACAAGCCCCTGGGCTTATCTCTTTCACAAGGACATTTCGGTGGGATTGTACAAGAACGTGTGTTTATACGGAGACAGCGACAGGCTTATACGCCGACACCAAAATTGTGCTATTCAAAAGTACCAAGGAAGTGAGAAATGAAAAGTACCTTACATTGCTGAAAACTACTGTGCAAACAAAAATGAACGATGTCGATGATTGTGTTGAAAAACTTGAAATGTACAAAAAACGTACATGGCACGACCTAGGCCCATGGGCTTGTACAACGAAGCTTCGTGATGTTCAAACTTGGCCAGGGCTTATGCGCGAGTATGGGCTTATACGCGGGTGGGCCGCTTGTCCGCAGGATTCTACAGTAATACTAGTAGTACAAAGTCATGGTAGGCCTTGGTGGATAATGCCGGCAGAAAAATTGGCAGATTTCGGTACTTTTTCTGGTAAGTTTCATGCATGTTTGGTACGTGGATAAAGAAATGGAGCAGAATTCGAGGAATTGCCTGCCATAAGGTTTTTATGGTTCTGCCAATTTCACTGCTTTTCGAGCAGAATCTACCACCTTTTCGAGCCTTATCCGCCAAGGCCTAAGTCATGGACATAATCTTCTTATGCCAGTAATTGAATCTGTTAAAATTCATATTCAAACCCTAAATAAAAAAAGCAAAAAAAGGACCCACTTGGGCGATGGCTAAAACAGCAAATAAAATTGAACGCACACATGCACGAACGCACACATACACATACACACACGCGCAGTGGAGGAACAAACTTGCAATAGCCATTGCCACACTGTTGTACTTGTACATGTTTGTGTGCGTGTGGAGACGACTGGCCCAGGGTGATCTAAAGGTGATCAAGGACAAATCTCACGCTTTGCTTCATGACATCTAGAGCATCAGCATTGCCAACAAGAAATGTAGTACCCAGAACGGTGATATTCGCGGGCAAAACTGCATGGAAGCCATGCATTTGGTTCTTATACTCCACAAGCTCAACTTCCACACCGGCCGACTTCAGGCGTCGCTCATACAGCAGACCATCATTATACAATGGATCAATGCCTGCCAGCAAGACGATTGTTGGTGGTACCGTACTCAAGTCCTTGGAAAGCAGAGCACTCATAGACTCGTTCAAAAATCGCTCTGCATACGGGTACTTGTCTGTATCGGGAGTGACCAGTTCAACGTCCACACCTTCCAGTCGAAGGCTGGCGTTCTTCCAAACTTCCACGGGAAGAAGTTGTGGCGAGCGCTCGGTCATTTGCGAATAGAGGAGTTCATAGTGTTCCATTCCGCCCAGATACCACGCCCAAAATAAGAACATCATCTCGGATGTCAGGCCACCGGGGGCCCAAAATGCTAGTGCGGTTTCCGGATCATCAAGTGCACCTTTCAAAGTTGGGACTATTGAGATCTGAGCACGCACACGAGGTAGACTTGTGATCCTACTGATGTGCAGAGTAACAGCCGCTGCCAGTGATCCACCAGCACTGTCACCGCCAACACTGACCAACGAAGAGTTGACTCGTAGTGCCGCAGCTACCGCCTGGTCACCAAGAACTGCCTTAGTCACAGCAAAGCAGTCATCAAACGCCGCAGGGAAGACATGTTCGGGAGCCAAGCGGTAGCTGAAATGGAAGAAAGAGAAAACGCAGGCCAACCATCAGCATTTATCATTGTCATAGAATTCAGGAGCTCACTGTTCTCCAGTGAGGCTGTGGGTCATGTTGAGTAGGCCCTTAGGGCGCGTTCAGACTACCGTGAATCCCGTCAAACCGTGAAAAGCGATAAACCGTGAAGGACATTCACACTACCGATAAACTAACGTTACCGGTACGTAAGTTTAGCAGCTCTCACCGCGGCGCTGAGAAGGGATTTTCCCTTTTTCCCAGCCTGAGCACTCTTTTTACTGCCGGAATGCAGTTACCGCCGCAGCAGTAAAACTTTTCCACCGGTAACGTGCCAGTAACGTCACGTGATCAAATCACCTTGGAAACTTTCCTATTCCGTCACTTTTTTCGGTAGTCTGAACGCGCCCTTACAGGAAGTACCTCGCACATGCATCGCCTGATCTGCACAGAGCTGGAGAGATCATTCAATCTACGGATAGCTAGCTTTTTCCACCTTCTTAGGTCTCATCAGCTGAGCTCAGACCTGTGACTGGTCAAACTGATGGCAATGAAGTCTAGCTAACAGCACAGCATTCTTTAAACCGGCTCAAAGCATCAAAGTACCTGCTGACAGATAAGATCACAGATCACTTACTCAACGGAAATCACGGCAATGTCAGATTCGCGGCACCAATTCGCTAACACGTCCCCAAAACCATCTGTGCACAACAGCAAAGACAACACACTGTTTACCACCACACAGGACATGTTATCCCTCATTCTAAAACCAATGCAATGAGAAAGTATTCGAAATGCTGTACCTTCGATGCCTTGTAGCGTGGCATGCACACACACTTCAAATTATCCAGTGGCCAAAAAAAAAACTAAAAAATGATTCTCTTCAACTCCATACCTAAGGTTCCAACGATAAAGCCACCGCCGTGGAAGTACACCAGTACTGGTAGCACTGCGTCCGCGTCAACAGTCGCTGGTCGATACAAGCGCACAGGAACACCAGCCACTGTGTGGTCCTCACTGCTAACATAGCTTGTGTCAACTTTGGGGTCCAGTAGTGACATGAGATGGCGACTGGCTTCCGGTCGGCTTGTTCCTCTCAGGAATGCCAGTACACTCAAAAAGTTGACTGAAGGCTGCAAGTGCAGTGTCAAGACAAGAGCACACAGGTTACACATGTGACAGGATGACGGTAACCTGTCTACGTATACTGACTCGGATGTGAGCACTGAGAAGGAGAGGGATTCTATCATTCCAGCCCAGTCAGTTCTCATGGTCGCACCAGTGCACCAGAATGCACCTCAGCTCGCTTCTAATTGCTTCATGCAGTCGCACATGTGTATACATTATGACCGTGATATCATAAGATTCATGATCACCAAACAACTTTCCCGTTGGCCGCTGTGGTATTTTTGCAGTATCGATGCTGAGTTGTACCCTCATGTAGTTTAGGTGCTCGTGTCCAAAGCAAGAGTACATTACCCCCCCCCCCCCCCCCCCCCAGAGTGTGCAACTCCGCTAGCAGTGCTGAACCGATGGAATGTCAAGTGGCAGACCAGTAGCGGACACATCACCATTTTATCTCTGTGTAAACATGTGCCAGTAAACACATGTGGCGAGTTGGCAGCTTTGCAATCACGCTTCCAACGAGCATTGCATAAGTGCAGCAGTGCCAGCTTACCCGTGGTATGATGAACATGTCCAGGATTCTGCCATTTATCCGAGTTTCTATGGAAATGTTCTCATCCCATTGCGACAGAGGATATAGTGCTATGGCCAACAGCACAGCAATCGTCGAGAGCAGCACAAGGCAACACCGGCCACAAGCCATTTCCTCTGAGCCCGAACAACTGGCCTCTATCGCGCCCTTCCAAGTGACCTTTTGCCGTAAGAATCGAAAGTGCACACTAGAATATCGAGTAGGATATCGGTACTTGCAGACTGATATTGGTAAGTGATCGATGATCGTTCTCTGCCTCTCATTTTATACATCTCATTTATTACGACAATCTCATTATCCGGATCATCTATGCACGGCCCAGCCCCCAGTAAAAGGAAAGAAATGGGAGCACAGCCACAGACACTGACAGACTGTCAGTGTCAGAGACCTCAGACCTCAGACCTGCCCATCGCAGAAGCAATGATAGCGAACAGCTATGTTAGACATAGCAACTAGTGCTGGGACAACAGCTTGCAAAGCTGATGAATTGACCGCCACTAATTAATATTTTTAGCCTGGTATCCACCACACAGCTGATTGAAGTGGCTTTTTCTGGCCAGTGCTAGTGGCATGCAGTGAATCCCTATTTTTCATTTTTTTTCAATCTTTTTTCTTTTTCGACACACACCACACCACATACTCCGGCATACACTGGCTGTTGGTAACCACCCAGGAGAATGAAAGAAGAGCTAGGAGAATGAGAAAGAGAAGAAAGACGTGTGCGACCATAATCGTCGGGAACCCGCAACCTCTCGATTGGAAATCGACTGCACATACCACTGCACCATATGGGACACACACACAGAGACCAAAGGCAAAACACATGGTGACACGCGCACGTGACTCGTGAGGTTGCGAGCTAGCTATGGGGCTGTTAAGTGTGACGTCACGGCCCCTTCGATACGCATAGCAACGGAGAGCACTGGGGACAAACAAAAGTCGCGTCCTCTGGATGGAACCAGTTGTCAAAGGCAACAGCATCTAAATGACTGGAGAGAGAGAGCAGTTTTTCTTTGCTTTTTCTTCAAGCGATTGTTGTCGCTCTTTACTCCTTGTTCTTTCCTCTACAAATCTCCTGTAGTCGTCGAGGGCCTTCATAATGGCTGTGAAATTGGCTGCACACTGTAAAACTCCGTGTTTGAGAGTGCTTTGAAGATTCTTCGCGTCCTGATGGATCAAAGTACGAGCGCTCCCTGTGGATTCGATTATATGTAGGTGAGTTGTTCAAGAAATCAGTGTCTTCTTTCTGTCTCTGCCCTCACGCTGGCACAATAATATCAGCCTCTATATCCATGACAGCTCGCACCTCCCGTAAACTGCATGACTTAGATATATTCTCGCCCTCCGTGGTGATTGAAGACCATGGAAGAAGAGTTATTATGTTCAGAATGATGTCCTGAGAATATAAAATAAAATAATTCTAGGGAATTGTTACAGGGTATTTTGGAAGGATGGAGAGAGAGAGAGAGAGAGAGAGAGAGAGAGAGAGAGAGAGAGAGAGAGAGAGAGAGAGAGAGAGAGAGAGAGAGAGAGAGAGCACTGAAGTGTTTGTCTCACTGTAATTACTCCAGATTATTGAATGGTGTATGATCTACTCGATATTTTCCACAATGGTTTTTCCTGATTTGCGGGATCTCTTCTTTTGCTGTTTGCGTGTTTACAGGAAGTGACTGTCTGGTGTATCTGCACCAGATCCTGGGGACATGAAGTCAGATGCAGAGGCAGGGTCGTCCAGTGATGCAACACTGCCGTTCTATGTACAACGTCGCCGCTAATTCCCCCCGGCGAAAACACAAAAAGACAAACACGTCAAGAGACTACAGTATTGACCCGGGCCGTTCTGGTAATGAATCGTGACTGCTCGGACAGTCGATAATCGAAACACAGAGCACCAGCATGATGTTTTGATATTGGGAACCACACACCAGCTCAATTCTCAAGCCCAAAAATTGATGAATACAAAACACAGAGCGACGCAACAAGAGATCATCCGGCAACCAAACCAACCTGGGTCTAATGCACTCAATAGTCCTGAAATACGCAGGCCACACAAAGCAGTGCAAGCACATACTGTTACAAGGTACATGCATTGCAGAACAAAGTGTAACCAAAGATACACGGGGTTATAGCTGCACACTCGTGCATGTGCTCGCTCAGCCCAAGAACACGCATGATAGAAATAATCCGGGGGAAACACGCTAGCACCGAAGTAAGCATCAAGACGTAAATAGTCATCACAAGCCCTAAGGCCGTCGCGGCGTCACAGAGCAAGTATGAACAAGCGAGCGCCATAAAAATCGATCGCGTTCAGCAGCGAGCAGGGACTGCACGTCAAGTGCAGTCCATGAAATAATATTATCAAGCCATGGCATTCTGGGCCTGCCTCGGCCACGACCTCCACCAACACAACCCTGAAGAACAGTCAATGACAAACAGCCGGAACGAACAATATGACCAATTTAATTGCAGTTTCCTTTTACGAACAGAAACAATAAGTGGGACTTGTTTGTGAATACTATTTATTTCCTCTCTAACAGACACATTCGTCCGTAAATAGTGCAGCTCTGAAAAAGTAAAAATTACATTGACATGTACATTGGTGTGCCGAGTAGTATCATCCTTGATCACCCATCCAACCAAGACGTTATCAGGTCCCAGACGCCGAGATCGCACGCCGAATGTGAAGTGCATCTAGCCTTGAACCTGTTGCACAAGGCACACACATATGACAAAAATGACATCCACTCAGATTATTTCCAGAGGCCAGTTATAACAGAACACAGAAATGAAACCACGGGCTCAACAAAGTACATGTAAACGCAAAGGAAATTAGTTAAAATAATCCATGAAGTGCTATTTTAATTCCAGCGCTGACTGCAGTGTGGCGTCGTGGCCCGATACCCGCTGAGCATAGACACAAACTCCATTTGACAGGGGCAAGACATACTATTTTGGAATAAAGTCATAAAGTACAGCATTCCAATGACATGACGGACACCTCGTGCAAATGCGTGGTCTGCTCATCCGGCCAACTCGGCCACGCATGAGAGTGTGTGCATGTACGCGCGCGTGCACACACACACCATGTATTCGGTGCGTATGGCGTACCTGTTGCGGAGATATGAAGATGGAATCATTATCGTGATGTTACATGTACAGTGTATGTTTGAGTGTAAAGTAAATTTTATTTTAAATTTTACACATTTCTTCGACACAACTTACTCCACATCTTCGCATTTCTCATAATCAGTCCACCTGCACTCCGTCTCAGCTGAGGAAAAACTCTCCCAGGTACAGGTATACACTAGTCACCACAGCCATGTGATGACATTGGGATGGGTCCCAAGCACGATTGCACTCTCCAGTTACAATATAATTTATTTGTCCAGATTATCTGTGAAGACAAAATGCAATGCATAGCGGCAATCGATGGATGAAGAGAGAGTTTGTAAATACACATAATCTTTCGACTTGTTCAGGAGCTTACCTGTTGTTGTTGACATCGTTTACACGATCTCTTATGCTGTCTTGCACCTTGGCTTTGTTGACCATGGATACGCCATCCCAAAAGACATTCTACAGGAGCTACTAATGCAGAGCGTTTTTCACGCTCGATCTCGGCGATCTACCTCGTCACGCCAATAAAATCCTCCGTGACACTGGCTACAGTCACAAGAGACGTCTCAGTAAGGTAATGAGCACGACAACACCGTCGAGATCAAGGACAAAGAGAAAACAAAACACTCACTGAAAACTGCAAAGAAGAAACGAAGAAATGTACACGATTCCTATATGTTGCCACTGACAACTGGTTCGGTGGAGACGACGCTACTTTTGTTTGTCCCCAGTGGGATCGTTGCTATGCGTATCGAAGGAACTGTGACGTCATCACTTAACAGCCCCATAGGCTATCGCTAGGCATAACACAGCAGCTCGTTACCATGGTTACTTGTAGGACAACTACATTTACATGTACATGTACATGTAGGTCTGAGTACATGTACCGGTATACCGGTAGTACCGAGTAGTCTTTGTGAAAGCTTGGTGGAGAACAAAGACAAAGTCTAGCAGAGTCTGGTGGATGTTTCAATCATGTTTGGTCTAACTAACTTCAAAGTTCAATACAATCATGTGATCCAAAAGCCTCTTTTACGGGCAACAAAACACAATTTGCCAAGATGAAGGATGTTACCACAAATGAAGAGAATAATTGTATGAAGAAGAAAAAAAGAAAAAGAAAGAAAAAAACTTCAATAAGCCAACCCCTACAATCAGCACTACGGAAGAAAACCAGGCAGAATGCCCAAAACCAACATGGAACGAATCCAATCATAGTACAACTAACTTCAGACAAGAACAATACAAAATCCAGACCTCTGAATGTGATGTAAACTGTCATTGTCTCTCAGCCACTCACAGGCGGCCCTCAGCCACCGCCAACTCCCGCAGTGCGTTGACTGGTCGGTGGTACGATGATCTAGCTCCGCGAATGCACATAATAGCTGACCGTAATAGTGCAAAGGCGAGGCGAGGCGACAGCGTACATATGTCGTCATCTCCGCATACTTCTTTTTCTCTCCCCTGGAAAGCAGACCACACAAACGCTTGATGAAACGCGAGCACTCTGGCGCACAACAACCGGCCGTGGTGAAAATGAGAGGAGTGAATGTACCACGATCCACATTGATTATGCGTTCAGCATACTCGGATTTCTTTCTGCGCTCGTGCTCTGCCAAAAGCTTCTCCAGTGGCTTCGCAGCATAGGAAGGCGCATCAGGGTGAAATACTCGAACGTCCATGTAGGCGTTCTGGGCCCGGGTCCACAGCCCCCTCGCGCGAATGTCTGCCCGGGCATCATCCGCTGTATTCGTAGACGCCGCGACAAACACCTCACCAGAGAGTGGTGCGAGCACTGGCTCCACAGCAACATCCACGCACACTTCAGTCAGCAAATCAGCCAGGATGTCTCGCACTTCGTTATGCCGTATTGTCTGGAATCCTCCAGTCGGGCAGCTCATGGCATGGACTGCACTAAATGGACGGCCACAGGAGCAGGTTAACGGGACATCCGCCAGTGCCCAGTCGTACCGCAGCGCCAAAGCATCACGGAAATCTCCTTTCGAGAGGTGGTAACCATGGTCCCGTAGTGGCAGTGGGTTGAGCCAGCTGGACACCCCTCGGGACGCCAGGTGCCCAAGTCGACGAGCCCCGTCGAGCGATGCAGCCTGCTCCACCAGCTTGAAGTCATTTTCACTTGCTGCAGCTCGCTGCTTGCCGGTGCATCTTTTTGCGTTAAAAGCAGCCTCCCTATGCATTCAGTCCGGCATCTTTCCCAGGATGTGTTGTTTTGATTGACTAGCTCAGCAACCTGAGCCTCTGTCATTTTCACTGATGCGCCAAATTCCGTCTGACTCATCCTCTGGAAAGACGGGATTGCCAGACTACCCAACCGGGTGGGCAGTCTCAGCATGCGTAAGTCCTCCTCGGTGAAGGCACCACGACCCGTCAGTGCTGGGAGAAACTCGAAAGCGATGATATTGTCTAAGCTCTTGACGCACTCATCCGGGATGGGCACAGTGCGGAAAAGGTACACCCACCTACCCCGTAAACCATGGGTTAGTGCTGCATAGGCAGCATGTGGTTCCGTCTTGGCAAACCGAGACAGCTTCCGCAACTCGCGCGACCAACCATCCACCCTCTTCCTCACGAGACCAGCCACCGCCTCAGGCTCACCAACAAATGACCCGAGATACCTGGCTGCGTCGGTCACTATGTGGATCCCGGTACCAGCAAACAATACAACCATGTGCTTGTCCGCCACAATCATGACATTGTGCTTGTCCGCCTCAATCATGACATTGTGCTTGTCCGCCACAATCATGACATTGTGCTTGTCCGCCACAATCATGACAATTACTATGCATTGCACAGTTCTGACGATTCCAATGATTTTCGAGCAGAAACTGCAAATTTGCGAATCCAGGAATACTGTTTACCCACCGGTCACCATCATCACCGGCAATTAAGACGACACATGCTTGCGACGCCCAGTGAGTCATTACACAGGGCTAGTGCATTTATGATACAGTGCTGCTCAAGAGTATAAATAATCCCCCGGCTAGCTTGTTTGCTCTTGATAACTACTTGCACCGTGATCACTGTCGGGCACCGAAGAAAGATTCACCGAACTCCGAAGACAAGACAAAAATAGGCAGTGTAGTAGCCAGTGGGCTAGACATTCACCAACCGGTACAGGACACCAGGATGCACAACACGGCTGAATTATACGGACAGTTGTACGTTGTCATTGTACACAAGAACGGCCTAGGCGATGACTCTTTAATTAAAATATAGCGGCATACGTTCTTCGGCACCGGACAGTAATATTGAAGTAGCTATGGTCCAGTATGGACCTTGACAAGTTGAGGTACTTTCAATAGCATGCATGCCAGCGAGTGCCGCCAGGTAACAATGTTACATACATGATTGTACTACTTCGAAGTACAACAGTAGTACCAAGTAATATATATATATCTCCCAGGCTTGAATCCTAGCTGTGGTGCTCTGGTACTTGTGCCCGGCCAGCATGGGATAAACACAGCTGGATCGACATACCACAATGATGGCATTATGCAAAACTATCCACAAAAACCCAAATGTGCAGAAAATGGTGATGGACAATTCACAAAGAAAGAACTATGATGGAAAACTGAAAAGAACAGTGATGAATGACAATAGGAATACGAATGATAAACGGGCTGAAAGCCGCCGCTTTACCCTCCTGACTATCAACAATAACAGGAACGATGAAATTACCTTACAAGAACGGTGAAAAATGCACACGAGGCATTCACAGTTCCTATTACCATTCATCACATCTATTCAGTCCTTCGTTGTTCCTAAATTATAGACTTTCATCGTCCATCATATTTTGTCCACCGTAGGGTTTTCTTCTTTTTCCATCACCATTCTCTGCATTTGTTTGTGGCACTAATCAATAAAGCCATCGTGCCGAGTCGATTCAGCTGGTTAGGTTCATTGTGCCATGGTTCTCAAATCACTGTCACTCGACGCCTCCGTTAATTAGATATCCGGTAGCAGGTTCATCGACACTGAGCGTTATTCCGGAGCAGGTTTTGACTTTTGACACATCCCAATCCAACTAATAGAACATGGATATCGTCTTCTTATGCAGGTAATGGAAAATGCTAAAATTTGTTTTCAAACCCTAAATAAAAATACTGAAGCACCCACTTGGGCGATGGCTAAGATCATTAAATAAAACTGAACATGCAAGAACGCACGCATGCACAAACGCACACACATACATACACACACACACACACACACACACACACACACACACACACACATACAAAAAGTGGAGGACCAAACTTGAAATAGCCATTGTCACATTGTTGTATGTGTTGGTGGAGAGGACTGTCCGAGGGTGATCTAAAGGTGATCAAGGACAAATCTCACGCTTTGCTTCATGGCATCTAGAGCTTCAGCATTACCATAGGGAAGCGTAGCACCCAGAACAGTGATATTGGTGGGAACAAATGCAAAGAAGCCATGTATTTGGTTCTTATACTCCACCAGCTCAACTTCCACACCGGCCGACTTCAGGCGTCGCTCATACAGCAGACCATCACTATACAACGGATCAATGCCTGCCAGCAAGATGATTGTTGGTGGTACCGTACTCAAGTCCTGGGAAAGCAGAGGACTCATAGACTCGCTCAAAAATCGCTCTGCATACGGGTACTTGTCTGTATCTGGGGTGACCAGTTCAACGTCCACACCTTCCAATCGAAGGCTGGCGTTCTTCCAAACTTCCGCGGGAAGAAGTTGCAGTGAGCGCTCGGTCAATTGCGAATAGAGGAGTTCATAGTGTTCCATTCCGCCCAGATACCAGGCACGAAATAAGAACATCATCTCGGGTGTCAGTCCACCGGGAGCCCAAAACGATAGTGCGGTTTCCGGATCATCAAGTGCACCTTTCATTGTTGGGAATATTGAGACCTGAGCACGCACACGAGGTAGACTTGTGACCCTGCTGATGTGCAGAGCAACAGCCGCTGCCAGTGATCCACCAGCACTGTCACCGCCAACACTGACCAACGAAGAGTTGACTCGTAGTGCCGCAGCTACCGCCTGGTCACCAAGAACTGCCTTAGTCACAGCAAAGCAGTCATCAAACGCCGCAGGGAAGACATGTTCGGGAGCCAAGCGGTAGCTGAAATGGAAGAAATAGAGAACGCAGGCCAACCATCAGCATTTATCATTGTCATAGAATTCAGGAGCTCATTGCTCTCCAGGGAGGTTGTGGGTGATGTTGAGTAGGCCCGTATAGGAAGTACCCCACACATGCATCGCCTGATCTGCACAGAATTGGAGAGATCACTCAATCTCCGGATAGCTAGCTGTTTCCACCTTGTTAGGTCTCATCAGCTGAGCTCAGACCTGTGACTGGCCAAACTGATGGCAATGAAGTCTAGCTAACAACCCAGTATTCTTTAAACCGGCTCAAAGCATCAAAGTACGTGGACAGATAAGATCACAGATCACTTACTCAACGGAAATCACGGCGATGTCAGATTCGCGGCACCAATTCGCTAGCACGTTGTCATAAGCATCTGTGCACAACAGCAAAGACAACACTGTTCACTGTACAGTAACCTACCTGTGCCTATATATTTGGAGTAGTGTATCCATATGTAACTTGACCCTGTTTCCTTTTTCACACTTTCGCGTACGCACATGCACCTCGTATGCACCAGCGGTAACTGTTTCGTGCCTGTGCTGTTTACATGCCTACTCTGTTCCCTGTGTTCTCCACTTCTCCATTATAAGCACACTGTGAAGTCCTCTGAAAACCACCCGGGCCTCCAATAAAGGACACCGTACGGTAGTATATGTACGCACATTGCATGTACATGTACATGTTATCATGGTCAGTCGCGCGATCCCGCGCGGTGCACCAACCTCTGAAATGAGGTTGAAATAATAATGAAACAGTCTCCAATAAAGGAACGTCTCCATTAATAGCACGGGGCGGAGGTACACTGAAAAAATAAAGGACCGTGCTTATATTAGAGATAATACGGTATGCAGAGTTGCAAACTCTTGGGAGGTTATATGCTATTGGTACTACCAGTATAGAGTTCGCTGACTTGTCAGTTTGAGCACTCTGGCAAGGTACCGGGTACGTTCGGGCCTGGTTTAAATTTGGCTTTGGAAAATTCATTTTTCATTGCTATCAGATTCGGCCTCATTTTCTCTGTACTGTGCTGATGAGTCCACAAAGGACGAAACAGTTCTGTCCGCAAATAATTGGGTACATATACTACCTAGTGTACAACTTAATTTTGTTTAATGACTGATTTTCATGATTTTTCATTTAACGTGTTATATATACAGTAATGGTGAGTCAGAATGCGCAACAATTAGCACAAAAATGACTGATGTGATACTGACATTCAACGACCTGACGCTTAGCTGCATCTGATGAGCCGTCAGCATCTTTACGGCGAAACGTACGCCGTGTGACACTACTTGTTATTGCCGTTTGTTAGTCCATCACAAGTTCCATTCTACATGTATTTGTAGTATAGTACGAAGAGATAGTGTCGTCCGGTCTGTCTTGCTTCGTGATCGGGTAACTTCCTCTCTTTTGCTTATCTCTAATAACATGAGCCTCCTAAGTTGGGTGGTCGTTGTTTCGCGTTTTCGAAGTGAGCGTTGGCCGTCCTGTGCCGTGGTCCTTCGTCCTGCGTCATCATCTTGTCATAGCTAAGATTCTGAGTTCGCTGCGCTGTTTGGCTTGTTTTCGTTTAGAGTGTGCTCTCCTTCCCCTTTCTTACGTTATTTCATAACTTAGAACCTTCCAAGTTGGAAGGCTGTTGGTTTGCGCATTCCAGACGTGATGCAGCAAAGAATCAGGTCGTTCAATGTCAGTATCACATTAGTCATTTTTGTGCTAATTGTTGTACATTCTGACTCACCGGCATCCTGCTTATAATCGACGTTAGTGTTGGACAAAGCGGATAACCTGTAAACTTATGATCCTCTCTTTTTTAATTTTAATCCTGGGCTCTCTCCATCCGAGTTTAAAAACTTAAAAACTGATTCTCTTCATCTACATACCTATCTGCCGCTAGGGTTTACTGGGTGTTAGCGGCCGTCGTGAGTTCCCTTCGGGAACGAACACGATGATTTACTTACTTTACTTACCTATGTGTCCAGTGATAAAGCCACCGCCGTGGAAGTACACCAGCACTGGTAGCACTGCGTCCGCGTCAACAGTCGCTGGTCGATACAAGCGCACAGGAACACCAGCCACTGTGCGGCCCTCACTGCTAACATAGCTTGTGTCAACTATGGAGCTCAGTACTGACATGAGATGGCGACTGGCTTCCGGTCGGCTTGTTCCTCTCAGGAATGCCAGTACGCTCAAAAAGTTGACTGAAGGCTGCAAGTGCAGTGTCAAGACAAGAGCACACAGGTTACACATGTGACAGGATGACGGTAACCTGTCTACGTATACTGACTCGGATGTGAGCACTGAGAAGGAGAGGGATTCAATCATTCCAGCCAAGCCAGTTCTCATGGTCGCACATATCGGTATGTATATAATTATTATGACTGTGATGTCATACAATTCATGATTATCGGACCAAACAACTTTGTCGTTGGCTTGGTATGTTGCAGTATCGATGCGGAGTTGTACCCTCATTCAATTTAGGTGCTCATGTCCAAAGCAAGAGTACATTATCCCCCACGAGTGTGCAACTCCGCTATCAGTGCTGGACCCATAGAAATTCAAGTTGACGTCATTTGTATGATGCAATGCACGTGTTATCAGACGTACCCCAAACCAGTGGCATGGCATGGCAGACACATCGCCATTTTGATTCTGTGTAAATGCGTGCCAGCAAACACATGTGACAGGTTGGCAGCTTTTTTTTTAAAGCGCCGGGAATCACGTTCAACGAGCATTACATCATGAAAAAGACGTCAACTTTACTTGAAATACTGTAGCTAGTATAGGCACAGCACTGCGGCATGCAGGAGTTGCACACTCTTACAAGTGATGTACGAGTCGTACTCTTCTCCAAACTCACTATACATTATGCTGTCCCCACAGGATACCGCGATTCCGCGGACGCGCAAATTTTCCGGGTTATTGGCTTTCATCCGCGTTTTCGAGAGATTTTGCATAAAACCCGCGTTATTCACATGATCACGGGAATGTACAAGAAAATAGTACACGATGTTGAAATGTACTACATGTATACAAAGTCGTACCGGTACTGTACATGAGTTTGTACGACAAAGTTGTATACTTGCATGAAACTGCACGCTAAAGTTGTACAAATGACAGATAACTCGTGCATAATGGCCGCATTAGGCTGTGTTTACATGACAAATTTCAACCCGGGTCGAGTTCAGCCCGGGTTGAAAGTCTGTACGGTAGACAAAATAGGTGAGCGTTTACATGAAGACAGTTGACCCGGGTCAAATACTGATATGCCGCCAAAAGTCCACTTCAACAGTCCTGTATGGTCACGTGAATCCGTTCACTCGAAATTTGCATCTGCAGTGCTGTTCAAACCTGGCGCGAGATACGCACAGAAGTACGTTTGTACGATTTTCTTGACCTGGGTTGATTTCAACCCTCCCCTTGGGGGGGGGGGGGGAGGGTTGAAATCAACCCGGGTCAGGCGCAATGCGTCATGTAAACGCGCCATTCATTTTGTGCACATAGCGGGTTGAAATCTGACCCGGGTTGAAACGCCTCATGTAAACACAGCCTAAGAGAGGTTACCGGTTCTGCTATACGTGAAACGTAGAGAAATCACGTAGAGAGCAGGTATCTGGGGTAGAGTCTACGGCTTCGCGTGTTTCGGGTCCAGATTTCGACGCGTAGATGAGGTTCTCTACGTTGTGGCAGTGGCACACGCAAAGAAAATGCGTACGGATCTGCTGGGTATCATTCGAGTGCAGGCAGAAAACTGCCAAATATGGGAGGGGAAATTCCCAGTACACATTCCACACGACCTCTCTACGTGAAACGTAGAGCGGAACAGGATTTCTTTACGTTACGGGAACGCGAAGGGAGTTCGCGTGATTCTTTGCGTCACGTTCCCGAAACGTAGAGCAGAACCTCACTATTATATTACACCGCATATTTGCCACATATTTGGGCTGTTTTCGCCCGCATAATTATGCGCATAATTTTAAGATTTGGTGCCTATGTTTTTGAATGGAATGTACCGGTACGCGCGGTGCGAAACAGGTCATTCCAGGGGTGTGGGGTAGATACCCGGGGGTGCCAGCTTACCCGTGGTAGGATGAACATGTCCAGGATTCTGCCGCTGATCCGAGTTTTCATGGCAATGTTCTCATCCCATTGCGACAGAGGATATAGTGCTATGGCCAACAGCACAGCAAACGTCGAGAGCAGCACAAGGCAACACCGGCCACACGCCATTTCTTCTGAGCCCGAATAACTGGCCTCTATCGCACCCTTCCAAGTGACCTATTAAATGCCGTAAGAATCGAAAGTGCAGTCCACAAATTTGCTGAAGACAAAGTGCTAGCAGCCTTCAAAAGGGCTACGAACTTGCTGTGCTCTCATACTTTCACTGGTGCCGAAGACATGAAGTCTCGGATTGAAGAGTGAAAGGTCGTCAAGCCAGTTTGATATGTCAAGGGAAGCTTGACAAACACAACATGATCGTCATGTTGGTATGCAGTGTGTGGTATAGTAATACTCAACAATCATGTCGACTCATCTTGTGCATACTCTTTGGGTATGTAAGAATTCAAAGCAGTACACTGCAAGTAATTACCCTTTGGGTATGTAAGAACTCAAAACAGTACACCATGGTACACTGCTTCCCGCTCAAAAAAGAACCTTGCACTTCGCAGATCTGGACTGAAGAAACGAAGACAAGGACAGGAACTGAGGAAGGGCCCATCATCGGCGTCACCCCATTTGCCTTGGCTTGCCATGCTCCAGACCAGTACACTACAAAACACAAGTAAAAATAAGTGATAGATCTACTGTTTTTCAAAAAATACTTTTGCATTTTGGCGTTTGCTGTCTTTGATCCCGCGCCGGCTAGCGGCTGTGGCGTGGCTCGGCGCCCCACACACTCGGGGGATCGGGTACCGAGTCAGCGCACCGGGGGTGAGGGCAAAATCTCATCCTATTTCAGGGGCCATTTTTCATTTCTGAAATCATTCTTCACGACCGTCTCTTGTGTGGCTGTTGTTGTTTGCGTCTCTCGTCCTTCTCTACACGTGTTTGAGAAGTCCAGCTCTTGGCAGCGTGATCTCGCCATGCTCTTCAGCTGCTTTCTGCTCGACGCGATGAATCCCAGTTCTGGCTTTATCACCTGAAGTGGTAAGTTCATTCCCCTCATATTTTTCACTTTGTTTCGGCACACTTTCTGCCTTTTCTCCAAGGATGACAACATCATGCACCACGCTGACCTTTTGGTTGATGATCCAATGATCTACATCACCCATAGTCTGAGGAAACTCATTGTTTTCCTTTTAAACAAAATTGTGATATTGTGTCTTGACAGCACCCCTTTTCTTTTTGTGTGGCCTTTCGTTTGCAATTCTGCAGGTGGCCAGCAAAATGCCAACTTCTCATCTTTCCCCATGCGCTCTCACCATCGACGCAGATTTAAACAAAATCTCCCCTTGACGCGAATGTATCGTTGAAAAAGCTGGTTTTTCACCGCACTAACCATGCTTACTGGGTCCTGAGTTTGTACAGGCGCCGGCCTCCTTCCAAATCTATGGTAAGCACGCACGCACGCGGACCACGTGGTTTCCCTTTTGCCTCTGATGAAAAATTTAACCAGTTCTGCTACTGAATGGCAGTGATGATACCCTTCTTACCATTTTCTGAGGCTTTATTACCATTTCGGCTTTTCAAAGCTGTTTGGATCGCCTTTCTTGTCTGATATGAAATTTTGTCCTTTTTTTGTCTCTAGGTGCTGCAATCCTTGCCGGAATGGACAATGTCCACCAGATCCACTATTGTGGCTGTTTTGACTGGTAAGTGCTCTCCTTCTCTTTGTGCGTACCAGTTTAACCAAGTATGATGAATCCTTTTGACTAGAGTCTCTGACTATTGTTGAAGATAAAGTTCCGATCACTGACTTGGGTTTTGCAATCCTTTCGGATGTTAGAATCTCCATGCTCCCATTCCTCATGGCCTTGTTCATTTTATATTTTCTGCAGCCTTTCACACTTCCTCGGCTACCAGCTTACCTATGCGCTGATATATGAAGGTAAGTCGTACTTCAGCTCTATTTCTTGGCTTTCATTTCCAAGTTGATGACATCATTTTGACTAGAGTCTCTGACTATTGTTGAAGATAAAGTTCCGATCACTGATTGGTTCCTGCATCTATGTTTTAATTTATGCTTGCAAATGTGTATCCTAACTTTGGGTTTCCTGTATTTTCCACCTATTACAGAATTGCAAGATCGTCCGTTCGAATCATCAATCGTCCATAGCAAAATGGTGGGTTTCAAAGTCACCAGGACACGTTTGCGTGTTCCCAATGATGTCTGTAATTTGCGCCTGAAGCTCACGGGGTGGCTGGTAGCCTGCTAGCCACTAACCTCTTGCAGTTTTGTGATGTCAACTTATTCAACTGAGTCTTATTCTATTTCTTGCTCTGCAATGCAACATTTGGTGTGTTGCTGATTCATTTCCTTTTTTTCTCTTCTATTTCTTTCAGGTTCAGCTATTCGCTAACGGCAGATCAGCACTGCTTCTAGTTTTAACTTCATTTCTCCTGGAATATATCTTGTTGAATCATATCGTGCTCTTGTGTGCCTTGTGATTGCGTTCAATTTTCGTCGGGATACCCTGCATCTGTAGCTCCATACAATTTGCATGCTACTTTCTGCGTACAATTTTGTGTGCATGCACTATTCCAGCACTGCCATTGGGCATTTACATTTTCTTGGTCACTACGCGAGTGCCAGCCGCCCAGCAGGGAACCAGGAAACCCAAAATCAAGTGGCTGCACTCGCATACATACATACATACATACATTGCATGTAGTTATTGCAGCAGACATGGGCCCATGGAATACTACATGACATGTAGTTTGCTCTTTTCTTGACTTTAGTACACTGCCCTTTACCCAGTTACTACATGTACATATGAATTGTAGTTACTAGCGTAACTGTATTTGGATAAAGGGTACAACCGCACTACAAGTACATGTACAGTCATGTACATCGTACAACGGACGGTCAGAAAAGGAACCTCTAGCTCTGGTCTGTCCCCCGTGAATACCGCGCGCGGCAGAATATCAGCAATTCCGTGCAGAGAATTCTGCGCTAATTCTGCAAATCCATCTATAATATTCTGCGAGGAAAAAGAGCGTAAAACAGATCGAATTTCCGCAACCCCACCGGAGTTTGTTTTCCCTATATTCTAAAACAAAATTAGGCGAAATCCTGGTCAAAAAATTTGAAAGCTCCAAAATATGCTGCAAGTTGATTTTGCAAGTCACAAGCGGGTAATCATGGTAATGTATTGCCACTAATGGTTGGTTTGGCTGTGAACATACATTGTACATCGAAAAGTCTCCAGAAATAGCAGTTTTCTCTCGTTTCTGCAATATTCCGCGGGATTTTTTTTTGTGCAGGTGCAATGGACAGTACAGCAACTGTACCAGTTTTCTTCGTTACTGTATTGAGCCTATCGTGTGTTTTCGACCACTAATATTAATTTTTTTATTGATACTTGTACATAGCACATAGCCATGTCTTTTCGCCGGTGCAGCGCCGCAGAATTCACGCTATCCGCCGCATAATGTAGCGATTTGTGCCGCAGAATTCTGCGCAGAATTTCAACTTCCTGTCCGCGGATTCCTGGAGGGACAGTTTAAATTGGTCAAATTTGAGCGGTTTTCACAATTTTTTTTCTGACGCACCCTTACATGTATATGCGGAGCTAATTTTCTGAAGTCCATTTCAGTGGCAGTAGACAGCCTCACAGCGTACCAAAAGTTATAATTCTTTAGGGTACAAGTAGAGGTGCAGTAACACTCCCCAGATCCGGGCAGGTTGGAACCATGTATATACGTACTTGCATGGAAGTAAATATTTTCTGCTCATGACTCCGGGCCTAGGGTAGCCAGACATTCGTCGTACAGGGCAGAACATCCATACTTGGATGTGTTCCGCGTGGCTCTTTTGTTCTGTATGCATTATCTGTCCATCAATATAGCATGACCACAGCTCAGAGCAGTTTCGACTTCAATAATTATTATTTTCAATACATATCTTTGGAATGCTCCTCACTTTCTGAAGCAAGCCGGAACAAGAAAAAGGATTTCGGCCAGATGTTGCCCCAGAAGCACTGAATTGGGAAAAGCCATGTAAATCAGGGCCACTAGCATTCTGCAAAAGAATGTTCAGCTAGTATTAGTAACAGGGCATAGAACTATAGATGTCCTGCAACAACGCTCCGTAATTGACTGGGGTTGTAATCAAAGGAACACATTCAAAACACCCGTATCTCCAGGGTAAAGACAAGACTTGTACAAACTTAACAACGGGGACCTGTTTCAGGCTTCAAGCTGTTGCTGTCAAACCGGATCATACTAAAATAGAAAGACCTTGTAAAAAAGAAGGAAAAGGAAATGAAACCGGGTTGTAGTGTGTGGAAGACACTTGGGTCAGACATGAGTGAAGTGTTATTGTGGTGGTGAAGCATCTCACTGAATGGCCGACAGCTCCATCGCAACATCTCAAATCAATAAAAGAAACAGGTCCAGAGAAAAGCACAAGGGCTTTTGTGGTTTAATACTTCCATTGTCCTCACTTGCGAGCACGGAAAGTAAAGTTATGTGCACCATCAATCAGTGCAAAGCATGCCCACTATAGTCATGTTGGAACAAAGCTCTGCAACGCGACCAGTCCAGGCAGAATACACAGACTGAGAGCAGCTCAGACAACGGCACGGTGCATTCCTTCACAGTCTGGGTGGAGAGACAAAGAACCATGCCGTTGACGATGTACTGCGTACTACTCTAACGGTCCCATTGCTTGTGGGGTTACTTTACAACGCATCCGCAAACCAGCACTGCAAGCAGCATGGCTCCAAGAGCTTTACCTCGAAAGAATTGCTGGCTGGTGACGAGACGCAGGAGTTCTTCCCAAGAAAGGGCATGTACATACCCAACTGCTTTGTTGTAGCCACAGACAACTTCTCGTTCCAGCGTCTACCAGCTTTAGCAGCTTCTAAGGATAGTGTGACAGAAAGTCCTTTCCAAACTTTGATTTCTTTGCGAGGATGATGAACACAGGCGTACCAGCTCGTACAACAAACCTGCAGGTGAAAGAAGAAACGAAATCAACTAAGAGAAGCAATGGCAGAGCAAAGGCAAGCCGGCAGGCCCAGCATACATATGCACTACAAACCAATCGATTAACGGATTAACACAACTCTCTATCAGAGCAAATAGAGTAACAAAAGATGTTGAAGGAAGCATACTTTGAGTTCATCAGTACATCTTGAAGAGTTCTGCTCGGGGAAACACTAGCCAGCCGTCCACTTTCCGTGTCTTCATAATAAATCTGAAGAGTGCAGAAGACAAGAAAACACCAACATCAACCACTTTGGGTGAGTTATTAGAGAGGTTCTGCGAAAAGAAAATTCGAGCGAAGTTTCGCGACGGTCCTTCCGAAAGTGTGTACGGATTTTCGCACGAACTTTGCGTTCTGCACATTTTCGTAGTTTGCGATGCACGTACGCCATGACCCCATCTCACGAAATTTCCTACGAAAGTTCATTTTGAATTCCCTGCAAGTTTCGCGTCCAAAGTTGCGAACGTTCGTGCGAAGTTTCGCACTTCATGATGTAGAGCGAAAGTTGGCACGCATTTTCGTTTTGCAGAACCTCTCTATTAGATAAATGTGATGAATTTTTGTGCATGACCAGCAGCGCGAGACATCTTGATCATGTGCTCTCAAGGGTCGAGACTCCACAGGTAGGCCTGTTGTGGAGCAGGTACATCTCTATTGTATCCAGGTACAGTGTATTGCATAAGAACATGGTCAAAATGGTCTTTAAATTGGGGAAGAAGCAAAAAAACAGTACACCAGAAGAATGCTGGTAGTTGTTTCAGTTTAACAAGTTGTGGCCGAGAGGTCGTTGTGGCAGTGTGTGGTGCCCGGTCCAAGATGAAGCGGACTCTTGCCATCAGACAAGATTATTCGTTTATTCATTGAATTGGTATTAGAGCGAATATTCGTTTTGGGAAATAGTGGTTCATTAAATCACTACTGAACATCCCAGAATGGTGGTTCTCGAATATGAGCAGGAGCAATTTTCGACGGCATACAGTGAAACCTGAAAAGTTCTACCACCGTCTGGACCAAGCTAAGTGATCCCAATTTCAAGGTGATCTGACATGACAGAATTGCATGTGCGTAAGTGTGTATGTGTGTGTGTGTGTGGGGGGGGGGGGAGGGGCTGTGGTACCATGAGAACAAGGTCGCTTTTTCATGGTGGTCTTTGAAAGTGAGGTGGCCAGAGACAGGGGCTCCACTGTACCTTGCAGTGAAAGCATCAGCATTAGGAGCAGCAACAACAGCAACACAACTATAAGGGTAGCAATAAACGTGATAACAAACACATTTTAATAGCGGTAGCAGCAGCAGTACTTACAGAAAGATTAGATGGCTTGTACTCATGATTTGCATCCCAAGGAGCAGCCTCACTAAACATCACATTGAAGTGATCTCTAAAGCTAAACACAGAACACACAGAACACACATACATGTATAAACTCATGCATGCAAAGGACTTGCACTCAAAAGCAGATAGCAGTTCAAAATCCAAACAGCCGGCACGCAACACCAACGCAAAGACTCAGGCAGCCTCAATGATCCACCGACTCACCAGGATCTCTCATCGAACGCCTGGATGAAATCGGTTTGGTGATGCTCCGGGTAGACCAGCAACACCGGCCAATGTAGTACTCCATCACTGTCTAGCCGTACATGACTGCCACTGGGTATGGTCTGTTCAAGCTCGGACAGACTGGCCTGAATAAGTCCCTTGCCTTCACTGACATCATCGCGCTCTTGAAATCTGGCACGAACTTTCTTATCAGTGGATAGGACAATTCCACGGCTCTGCATGCATACATGTACACAACAAAATCCACAAAAGACAATTTCTGATACAATTCCAGCACCAGCAATGCAGTGATGAATCACAGCCAAACCGAACTACGTGTACATGTATTCAAGTACAGCTTACCCTAATGGCTTCCTCCAACCGTTCATCTTCCTGCAGCCGCTTCTGCTCTTCCCGAGCCGCCTTGCGCTGGTTTCTCTCCTCTAGCCGCTGTAATCAGCATCAACATCACCAACAGCAACGCATCCACGCACAACACAACACAGACCGGCCAGTCGCAAATGTTAATCTCATGTTGCTTGCCACTTTCGTGCGATCCACAGGACAACAGTTTCGAACTTTCGAATCAGTGTTTTAGTCATAACAGATCACACACACATACACCCACCCACACCCACACCCCCACACACACAGAGTCGCACAGTCCGTACTTGAGCTTCCTAACTAGGACATGGGGTGTCAAATGTTCAAAGCCCAATACTCACACATGAGCAGAAATAATTATAATGATTAGTCTCAGGTTTCGTTATCAGTTGTCTGATGATTGCCTTAGCAATAAACCGCAAACTCCAATCGGACCGCTTTCTCTTTCTTACAAGCATATGAAAACGCTCTACGCACTGCACATTGAGCACTTTCTCAGCAGCTTGCCAAACCATTCTTCCTTTAACTGTCTATATCAAGAAACCCTCAGAACATGAAAAAATATTCATTTAGTTCCCCGGTTTCAATATTTTTCTTCCAAAGGGCACTGTCCATTTTAGAACTACAGAAAACGAAAATATATACAAAAACAGCAAAAAACAAAAGGCACACGTCCGATGACAATCCTGATGTAATTATAGTACAATCAGCCTCACAAATAGCGGACCTTGATCGGCATGAGAAGAGTGTTGTTATTTACGAGGTTGAACGTATGCGGTCGAATGGGGGTCACTCCGTCTGAAGATAGTGTCGTTATTCTCCAGGTGTTGTGATAACCAAGGTTGTTATTCATGAGGTTGACTGTATGCATCGTAAAGCACCGCGAGAGCACCCCACCTTGATTAGTACAACCTTAATTTTAAAGTGTACTACGCCCACACTTAGCCTGTTCTTGTGTGGAGCTCGTATCCGCTTGAAGGTACTAGTACGTACTAGTAACTGAGTACGGATTGATGGCACAAAGAGCAATGTGTGTACATTGTACACGGCACTTGCCCTATGACCTACAGAGAGGCCACCACCTCCACAAAGCGACCATGAAAGGGATGCGGTAGTGGAGAGTTCTTGTGGTACATAACAAAGACAGTGTTGGAGAGCACTCATACTCACAAATTGCTTGTCTGCTTCTTTTCTCATTTCCAGCAAGCGCTTGTTGCCAGCATCAAGCTGCAACAACAACAACAGCAGCAACAGTAAAGCACAGGATTGTATTGCAGTGGATGCTAGCTGTGACCTTAGCCATGTCGAGTCGCCAGTACAAGAACTCGTCAGAGTGTACATTGCACCCGTAGCACTACACTGCCAATCTGATACCGTTGTACGCTGCTGCCTATCATGCTGGCGTGCGCGATCACTGATTGAGTTTTGCTCAAATAAATGCATGCTCTTACATGTAGGTGAAATGTTGAACATGCCTTATCTGCAATGCACAGGGTGAAAGGACCTCGTGTAGAACTCCAGAAATGCACAGACACAGTATGCCTAGCAACTGGTGGGTGTGCACGGTTAATGCAATGGAACCTGGAGGGAGATCATTCCGGAAATGTACAAGTACCAAACTGGACGTACATGTAGCTGGTAAGAACAAGAAAACCAACTGCAACTCTGCCCTTCACACGCTTGTGATCATTTGGCAAAGACGGTTTTGAAATTGACAAAATTGATAGTAAAATTAATAGGAAGGCATGGATACCGGCCAGATACGCTATATTTAATAGAGCCTGCCAGTACTTCAAAAAAGCTAATAAGAGTTACAGGTATAAACAGCATGCCTGACTGGCACACAGCAGTAAAGTGTATGTGCGCTTATACACGTGCTCTTACCTGAAGTGCTCTGTCACACCACTCCACCGTGTCCTTGTGATGATTCATTGCATTGGCCGACTCTGCACCTGTACAGAAAACATGCACAGGTTTATGTAGATGATGTCAGAGGTCATGACTCATGAATGCGACAGAAGAAACACCATTTTTTCATGATCTGTGCATATCGCGTTAACTACTGTCGTGGACATGGAAATCCGGTCGCACGTCTAGCGGCCCCAGGGCGCTGGCCATGCAGCCGTGGGTAAGCACACATATGCAGCCTGCAGCGCACTGGTCGCATCAGATCAACATGACTATGCACTGCATGCAACGACTCGACTACGTTCTGTACGCGCTGACTCGCCGCTGAGGGCGCCGGTCCCGGTCAATCGACAGGATTTCCATGTCCACGACAGCAGAAGTCAGAGGGAAAGTAGCAATGTGGCAAGGAAATCCCATTTTAAAAACATAGGCCGTGCTGCCGCCAGGTACTGTGCAGCACGGGGCATAACGCACTACAAATCTGTGAATTAGAAGTTCTGATTTAAAACAAAGCCATACCTTTGACCAGAGCCTTCAGATGCAGAGGATTGAGAATGTACGCACGTTTGCAATCATCAAACGCTGACCGGTTGTTTCCTGGAACAGAAGAAAAGGGAACACAATAATGCTCGGAGGGGAGGAAACGGAGACGGAGAGCTGAGTTGACACTACCAGTAGCTACAGGTAAGAACAGTCGCAGTGCAAGCGCAAAATACACAATTTAGGGTCTTGCAGTGTTCCAGTTACAAATCATTGAAATACTGTATTTAAACACACGGCGAGGAGACAATAATTTGATAACCGCAGTCAATAAAACTAGCTGAACCGACATTTGTGTACTTTATTCATGCAATGTAAAAAGATTTCTTCATATTTTCATCGTTTTATTGCACATCGTCTCCACCGTTTTTACATTGCATGAATAAAGTACACAAATGTCGGTTCAGCTAGTTTTATTGATTGCGGTTATGAAATACTGTAGAACGATTAATTTTAGCGGGTACATTTTTTAGCGTTTTCTCAATCCGGACCAATCCGCGATGAAATATTTTAGCGATCCGAGTTTCAGACTTTAAAAAGAAGGATGACTAGTTCTGCACTGTACATACAAAATTTCGATTAGCGCGGCAAAACTTAATTAAGTTGCTAAAACAACACAGTCGCTAAAATTAGCCGTTTTACAGTAGCATTTTCAAATTCCCACTGAGCCACGCAAACCTATATCCAGACTTAGTCCAAAAAGCAGCCGTTTTCGTTGATCCTTCGACCACTGAGCCGTGTTATTAGATCCCAGTGGCTGCGGAGTGCGGACACTCGGTCTGCTTCAGCAGGTCTCTACCAGACAGCACAGCGAGACTTCAGTATACGGCCGTACCTCAAAAATCTGTATTTGTATTTTGTACACAGCCGAGGTGCCCCATATCTGAGAGGTCAAATGACGGAGTAGAACGTTTTGAAGACTCAAATGATGCAAGACCCTCTACAATAGAATTGTATGTGAATACACACCATTTTATAGCCATACTCAGGGTACTTTATAAAGAAGTTTCACAGTAGTAAAGACAATAATAGTGGACATGACTTGGGGAACAAGAATACAAAATTACCTACCCAGACGGTACTGCGCTGCAGCACGGTTGCTGAGGAGAACGACGCGGACTTGCGCATCGGTCACCTTCTCCTTCAGACCTTCCGTGTACGCAATGATAGCTTGCCGGTACTTCTTCTTCTTGAAAAAGTCGTTGCCTTCGTCCTTGTACGCGTCAGCTCTACCTGGTGGCAAGTAGTGACAGGGTCCAGTTATAACCAATGAGTACTTGAGAAACACACTACAGCCAAACAAATAATACATGTACTGTACTAAGGTCACGGGTAGCATGTTTACGCGTGGAGCTCCAAGGTAAACTGAGTACGGCTTGACTGCACAGCATGCGATGTGTGCACAAGGTACGTGTTGTGTGACCTTCCAGACAGGACACCATCTCCACAGCACGACCACGGAAGGACGAGTTGGCGGGGCGCTCTCGCAGTACTTTACCTACTATACTCTAATTTCAGAAATTTTCGGTACTCAATATTTTCCGTATGAGGGCAAAAGGCCAGGTTAGGTGAACAGAAATTTTAGGTACAGAGGAGCAATTCCCTATTGGATTATGTGTGTTAGTGCTTTTTCGGTGTATTGAAATTTTAGGTATGAAACAGACGCACCGAAATAAAAGTACACCGACAAATTTGTGAAATTACAGTATACAGTACATAATTATACAGTTGTGGTTCGCACGCCGGAAACAGAATGAACCAATATACATGTCAGGTCTTGGAGTTTCACGTTAAGGTGATCATCAATTGACGGATGATCGCCTTCACAAGGAGCCTGGGTTTTCATTCTGCTTCTAGTGTGTGAGCGTCTCTGCACTTTGCATGCATCGGGTACTGTTCCACCAACAGTGTCTACCCTTGATTACAGAGATAGCGCATGTAGTCACAATATTCGGGTCAGTGCTCAAATTTAAGACGGCCGGTCGGGTTATCCCAAACAAAACGAGTTTTTGCCGGGGCAAATGGCATGACAGCAGGAATTGGAGTGTTGGAGACAGAGCCAGTTTCAAAGCAGCCTCCCAATGAAAAAAATCCACGGCTCGCGTTATACTCAGTTATACTGAGTTTTCTGCATCCGCAGGAACGCCACCACCCTCACAGGGCCAAAGGCACAGATGCAGCTCCTTAAGCGGTGGGAGGAGAGTAGATCAGACCCACCACCAAGCGGTCAACGATCGAAAAAATTCCATTCGCTGCAGCCGTTTCCATTTCAAGAAAGTGCTTATTAGAACAATTGACTCGGATGGAGAGCCAAGGATTAATTTATACAAAAGTGAAAGGACCAAGGAACTACAAGTTACGCTATACTGTCCATTAATACCACCAGTTACTAAATAATCAGCTCATGCAATAACATTGCACGACACTGGCCGATGGTACTGACGTTCTACAACTAATGTTATCGCATGAGCTGATTATTTAGTAACTGGTGGTGTTAGTGGACAGTATAGCGTAACTTGTAGTTCCTTGGTCCTTTTACTTTTGTATAAATTAGAACAATTCATCACTATTTTAAAAAGTAAATAATATATTATACTGAATAGCTGCTCAAGCAAACGTTATCCACGAGGATCACCCAACACAAACTGACCTTCAGGTGTTGCATCCTCAAACTGCAACGCTTGCAGTGCAGCTATGGCATCGGACATTTCACTGCCTTCCTCCGGCGCTCCAGACATGAACAGTGGGATGTTCTCCAATTCCTGTGCCAGCAACACACAGTCACACAGCAACACACACACAAACACATACACACAAACACACACACACACACACAAACACACACACATGTGTACTTGCCAGAAGTTGGTAACACGGGTACTCTGGATGTACATGATTATATTTCAGAATGCTCCACATCCGCATGTTTGGCCTAGTTTCCTAACTCTTGACAGTTTTTGGTGTGTAGTGAAATTCATGATTTTGTGATCTTAGTTATATTGTTGGTGCTCACGTATGCGTGAACGACAGTTTCTACTGATATAAGCCCTTGTTCCCTCTATGTTCTTCGGCCTTTTTTTTCTAGCTCGCTCGAAGTAAGTTGGCTTCTGACAGCTGTTTCTATCTCGCTTTTCCTGTTGTTTTGTTTTTCATTGTTACATACCTGCCAACATTTGCAAACCTGAGATCGGGACAATGACATACCTAGGTATGAAAATGTACACAAATATAGGTGTGAGGCATGAGAGGACTGCACTTTTGGGTGCCTGTAGGGCTTGAAAGTGCTACGTCACAGCATAGCAACAATTTCAAAAATTCAAAATTCGGATCCACTTGGATCCAGTTTTTGTATGGATCCAAGCACATTTCAAGCCGTCTTACTCTCAGCAAGGTGATGTTACCAGTGAAACTGACTGATTTGGCTACTGGGGGCGGGGTTACAACTGGTGGCGAAATAAAAGTCACACCTGCATGCGACATGAGTGGGTTGCTATGCACCCACATACTTAGGCAATACAGTCAAATCTGTCGTAAGCGACCACCCCTTGGTGCAAGAAAAAGCGGTCTCTTACGGCAGATGGTCTCTTACGGCAGATGTATGGTAAATCCGGCATACCGGGCATGCATATAATTATGCTTCCATGTACTCAAATCGACGAGAATAATGTGATTTTTCATATCATTTTATTGGATATTGGGGCGCACTTGCAAGACAGCGCATTTTCACACCTTGCATGCAGTTGACAGCACACTGGCAAGTACAGTTTCGCACCTGACTGAACGACTTATGTGGGCTGCGGTCGCTTACAGCAGATTTGAATGCAGCCACCGTGCATGAAATCGCGGTCGCTGGTCGCGCACAGCAGATGGTCGCTCTGGACAGATCAATTTGTATGTGAAACCGTCGGTGCACGGAAAATCGGTCGCCAACGGTAGATGGTCGCCTACAGCAGAGGTCGCTAACGGCAGATTTGACTGTAGCAAAGTCACACCTTAGTGGATCCAAAAATAGAAATCTGATGTCAACTTACTACTCCCTGGCCGTTTTGACGTCATCACTTTCAAGCCCTATTAGCACCCTGGATATCAGGACGGTGGTCCTGTTCTAATCGGGATGGTTGGTAGGTATGCTGTTACAGTAAAACATGTAAATTTCGGTGTATTAAAATTTCGGTGGCAGGGACCTGATGGGTTTCAGGTGGAATTTAGAATTAGGTGACTAGCGTTCCCTTCACATACAGTGCATACTCTAGTGCCTTTTAGGTGTAATTTACATTTAGGTGCCTGGTTTCTCTACCGAAATCACCGAAATTTAAGTTACACCGAAAATTCCATGTTTTACAGTATCTAAGCATTTGGCTTTGCGGAAGCTTTACTTGCTCCGTATATTTACATTGCATTGATGCCTACGCCAAGAAGCTCCTAATAATAAATCTAGGCTTGGTGTGTCTTTGTGTAACGTCGTAGGTGTTACACATCTAGCTGTAGCGACGTAGGGTGAGGAAGGAAACGCTCTAGAAAGGATGTGGTGGAGGTGGGAACGTGCTGGGACAACCAGTTCATGTCGCTCTGATCCGGAAATGTTTACGCATCCAAACTATCGCTCTGAACGAAAGCACTGAGCGGCGCAAGCAATACGGCAAAACAAAGCCCGTGCACACTGGCGCACGCTTGGCTGTTCACGTGACAGCACCCTTGTGACGTGCACTACAATTTTCTACTTAATCTGTCCCTCCAGGAAATCGCGATTCCACGGATGCAACGAATTTCGCGATTTTGGCCCAAACACGCGTTTTTCTGCATAATCCGCGATTTCCCGTGCTTTTTTGTTGTTTTCTGCACTTTTTCAAACATTCTTCTGTACTTTTCCCGCAGTGCTTTCCATGATCATGTTGGTTTTTCAACTTTCTTGCATAGACTCGACTCTTACTACTCCCGAGAGAGTGCAGTAGATCAGGGAGTCGTCAAATACTATATTTGATGACTCCCTGGTATTTGACGACTTCCTGGAGTAGATCTACTGCCCAAATAGCGATTCTACAGATCTGTCCCTCCAGGAACTTGCGATTCCGCGGCCGCGTTGTTTTCCGCGATTTGAACAAAAGTCCGTGATATCCGCGATATTTGAAAAATCATCCGCGTTATTGTAGAAAACTGTCCTTGATACTTGAAAAGCACCGCGATATTTCGAAAAGCAACCGCGATATTCGGGTCTTTCTTCGATGTTGTTTAGTTCTTGAAGCTCGTCAGTAGTTTACTTGTGAGATCGACACCAGAATGTCGAAGTTTCTGGGAAAATCAGCGGCTGACAAGTCACAAAATAAGGCTGGCGTCGAGTGTTGTCCGAGGATGGAGGAAAGCTGTCTTGCAAGCTCCTGTCAGGCAGTCGAACACAGACAGTCAGCGCAGCACACGTTCTGTTTTGTCATGCATGGTTTATGCTGTACGACTCGTACATCGTACACCACTACAGTATAGTACAAGTAGCAAATCGGCCGCAATTTCACCACAATAATCCCGCAATATTTGACAAAATCCGCAATATTCCCCGCAATTTGTGGCATGTTACCTCGCAACTTTTTCCGCGATATTTCCGAAATGTCTCCGCAAGTTTCTGGAGGGACAGACAGATGCAACACATTTCGTGATTTGGCCCAAATCCGCAGTTTTAAATAATTTCGCGAATTCCTGGCAAGTTCCGCATCTTTCTGCACTTTTCGCCGCATTTTTCGTTGTTTTCTGCCGCAATTTCTTGCGCAAGTTTTCGAGACTTTTTCCGCAAATTCCCGCAGGGACAGCACAATATATTCTTGCCTGGTCCCCAAAATACCGTTACCTAGTACCTGGAGGCAAGGGAGTTGACCTACAGTACCTGTACTTGCAAGCCTTGCATGGTATTGGTAGTACATGTACTTGTGCTGCACTCAATGGTGTTGCTTCAATGTATAAACTACCTTTCCAACTCCCTCAAATTTATAAATAAAACTTACCTTTTCCCAATCTTTCTCGGAAAGTCCATCTTTGTAGACATGGGGGCCTTTCTTTGCCAGAATTTCATCAACGTAGTCGTCAACAGATGTACTAGGAGCAGCCATTTCACACACTGTCCAGAATGAAAGAGAACTTCAATTCAAAGAAACGATCCGGTGGTGGCGCAAAGTGGGAGTACAGTACAAGTACTAGTACATGTACTGCTACAAAATCAATCGATCGACTATAGTCACGTACATACACGCATAGTGTATGAAATAGTCAATGCAAAATACAGTACGAGTAGTTTGGTTTTGAATTAATACTAGACTGTCGTCAAATAATTAATTATCACAAAAATATTAAAAATTGTGTGTCAATAAAATTTTGAAATCAGATTGCATATTAATTGAGAAATTAAAATAATTAATTATTTGATTTGACTATTTGATTTGAAAATAATTTGAGGAAAGTCAAAAAAAGGATCCAGAACAGAAGCTACAGCTGTATTTTCATTTTGAGATTACAATTACATGCAGTCTTCTTCGAATCGACTACTATACTTGTAGTCCATTGGAGTCACGACAACTGATGCACGTATGTAGATGATCGACCTAAGCTCTGCAGTGGACGCTGAAGACGCGTACATCCCTGGTGCTGGATATGCTCTGTCGCCTCTCCTCCCTTCCTCATCCTGGCCTCCATCAGGTGAGATGCTGCTCAGTTCGCTCCCCCAAAGTAGTTGGTCAGGCGCGACCTCAAGCTACAAATGACGACAAGACTAGTGATCAATTAGTGCCTCAACAGGCGTCGCCCAGCTCGAACTCCAACCCAAGAGTTGTGAATTCGCCAAAGACCGTTGGTCAGAGCTCATCGTATGGGAGACCCAGCATTAACTCGTCGTCTGCATCTTCTGCACGATATGGTGCAGTGAATGGTACATTTGCTGGTGGATATGGCCAACATCAAGCCGGAGGCACTGTTCCTGCGCCTAGAACTATGACTACCACCCAAGCACCACTCCCTGCTGCGGCTGCAAATACACCAGGCATGCAGCAGAGTAATCCTGACTTGAACTCCTTGCTAGGTTTGAGTGGAAAGGCACCGATTCAAGACTACTTGCCGCAGTTGAATCCAAGTGAAAAGGCTGAAGTGGGCGCTAGCATTATGTACAAGCTACAGAACGCAGAGAGCCGTACTGCGCTGATGACTCTGTATTTGAATGCGTTCGATCGCGGTGTAGATGACATGCCAATGTTGCTATTGGTTGCGAAACGCTTGCGCTCAGTGGAAGCTGGCAAGCGAATGTCAGACATTGCATGTTTTGAGCGATTCTGTAATGCTGTTTCATGTAGCAAGCACCTCTTTAAGATACCTCCTAATGAGCTGCTCATTGTGTTTCGTAACATGCGAACAATGGGGGCATTTGAGAACTCAGTCATCGCATCTCGTCTCATCGCTGCCGTCCTCCACGTTCTGCCAAACATTTCTCAGGCGTTTCTGTTAACTCTTCTGAAGACTTTGGCTCACCCGCAAACCAAGCTCCCGCCTGAGCATCGGGATCGTGCCTTGGCCATGGTTAGCATGCACGTCCGGCAAAACGTTGATATTTTCGATATGACCGATGGTGGAGAACGCTATGCGGATGTTGTGAAACACCTGATCGTGCCATGCATACTGATCACCGAAAGCTTTTTACAGAAGTTTCTTTCCACACTATTGAGGTCTGCTAGCTTGTTGCGTCCAGAGGCAGTATTCAGTCTTATCCAGTCATTGCATGGTGTAGGCACACCCTTTGCTGATCAAGCACTCATGATAGTTGCAGCTGTGCTTGCCACCCATGCCTCGAATCCCGAATGGCGAAAAGCCGTGGATGCTGCCAAGTCCCGCAACATTAAGCTGCCAGCCGTGCTGGTCGATGTGAAGGCGTTGCTCTCTCAAAGTGGCCCTGAGCTGCTTGCAGAGCTCTCCAAGTCCCGGCCACAAGCGTTGTCAACCACCGATGCTCGTCATGTCTTGCTCGCCATGCGCTCACACGTGGCAGACTTTAGCGTCAGTGATATTGCCAACATCCGTGCGGTTCTCATCTCGAATGCCATGTACTCCTGCCTGTATGAGGTTGTAGGCGACATTGTACTGGAGAGCATTAAGAGCATCTCTCTGCCGGCGATGATTGCCTTCCTGGAGTTGTTCTCCGAGTCTGTGGAATTGCCACGCGTCGCTAGCGCAGGGAGAGTACACTTCCTGGCTGCGATGGAATCCCTGGACGACGCTGCACTCTGTAGATCATTCACTACACTTTGCAAGGCCGACCTCTGGAGTGTGGGGTGTGTAGAGCGTGTGTGCAAAGCTGTAGCGGCATCCCAGTTCTCCGAGTCGTCAGATGGTGGCGAGCAGTTCATCACCAGCATGGCGACAATCCACTGCACTGATGTAGCACTGATGGAGGCGCTTACCAAAGACTATGTGCTTCCACGCGTGATCACTTCAAAGACAGTGTCCGCCGACTTGTTGTGTTCCCTCGCCTTATTGAACGTTGAGAGTGCGGAAGAAGTGTTTGACATGTTGGCTGTGGGGGTAAGTTAGCATACTAGTAATGCATAGTACATGTAGTTATTCGCATCATCAGTATCTCTCTGACGATGCGTTGTGCTCTATTTTCACTACAGTTCTAGCAAGAGTACGTAACCAAGTGTGTGTGTGTGTGTGCAACTGGACATTCTCTCTCAACCCACGGCCGGCTTTTCACTGCTGAGTCTTTCACAGCCATTTTGCTCACTGATACCATCATGCGTAGCCAGAGATCAGAAGTGCAAGTAATTTGGTAGTTGACGCAGAACAACGGACAGTAGACCCATGCTTACAGAACCTGATGAGCTAACACTGTGCCTGCATGAGAAGCATGGAAAGGCAAACGCACTGGATCATTATTTTGCCTAAAAATGAAGCGACACAAAATTTCCGCCTTGTGTAAGTCCGTTGCAGCTCAAGATAGGAGTTGCAGCTCAAGATAGGAGTTGCATTGTCTTGGTTATGTACTCTTGCTAGTACGATAACCGCGGGAGCGCTCCATCGCGTGGGAGCGCCCCACCTTGATTTACAGCCAGGGAAAGGGAAATCGTATGACCGAGTGTGACTAAGGTCATACGGTGTTATAATCTGAGTGTACTAGGGCCACACATGGCCATTTACCAGCTCCCTGTTTGTATGGACGTGACTAGTGCACTGCCACTGGAAGGGTGGAGTGAGTACGGATTGACCGCGCAATGTATGATGTTTGTAACTTGTACGCGCTGTATGACCTATAGACACTGGACTCGGGTTATCCGCCCCACCTTCAGAACATGATACGGAAGGGGTCCAGGTGGCAGGCCGCTCATGCGGTACTTTGTGCTAACAGTTAACGTACTCTGTTTTATTCAACTGTCTATACACTCGGATGTGTGCCTTGTGATAAGATTAGGCCCAAGAATGCGACACACGGCTTAATGCGTAGTCCACTGTCGAGATGTTCTAATTTCCCTTTCAGTGATTCTTATGTGTGTGTGTGGAATTTATGCTCTCCGAAATTTGCCTGCGCAGGAGGTGGAAGTCACGCTGCCAGGTGGTGCTGAGATGACCGGTGCCAGTGCATTGCGTGTGCTGCACGCCTGTCAGCTGTATGGTGTGTATCCACAGGCACTAGTAGAGCTCTTCCTATCTAGCATTGGTGACGCCGCTATCGGAAAGGAGTACGGCAAAGGTATGATGGCATGGTGTTTAGGCTATCCTCTGGCACCATGGTTGTTTGTGTATGGTGACCAGACGAACTCCGTCGAACTGCACCTCCAGTGGGTGATGTCGGAAGTCAACCTGCAGACGTCTGGCCATCTGTCTTCATCTTGTGCGCACAATACGAATTTAAGGAATACCAGGAAAGCCACTTTTAAAGACAGGAGAGAGAGAGAGAGTGTGTGTGTGTGTGTGTGTGTGTGTGTGTGTGTGTGTGTGTGTGTGTGTGTGTGTGTGTGTGTGTGTGTGTTGATACTGCGGTTGCCGCACTACAGTACTTCTCAACACTACACAGTAACATGAGTGTGTTCCCCGTTCTCCTCTTCTGCTACTGGGTGATCTTGCAGATTTCTTATCGGATGCGGCGTCCCTGTTTGTGAGTCTGCAGCAACAGGATAGGATAGTTGTGGACTTGGCAACAGCAGGTGACAGCCTGGCACGCTTCTATCCGACTTTTGAGAAAGAGTGCCTCAAGTACATGTCGAAACCTGGAGACAGGGTCACCCAGGTATGTGATACTTATGTTTAAAAGTCGTGTGAAGTCGTTCACAGCTGAATGACGTAGGTCAGAAAGTTTGATGGACCGCTACCTAGCAGATCTGCATGCTGGGGGTATGAGCTCTTGATCTTACAAAGTATCCATCAAAATTTTATCAACTGCCTGTGCAGTGGGGAAGTACAGGTTCCTGCGCGAGTACGAGGGCAGTACCGCGGAATCCATCCCGCGCCGCGATAGCGGCAAGGGCTGGATGAACAGCGATACTACCCGAGTATGAGTGACTGGAACGTGTTTCCTGTGTGCACCAGGCCAAGGAGATCACTCACAATCTGTGAGTTTACATGAACCATTCTGTAACTGGAGTGTGAGCTGAGAGTGCCTTCGACAACAACCGTGTGCTAGTACTACAGTACATGACTTTTGCATGTACTTTCAGACCGCAAAAGCTTGTCACTGAAATGGTAGACTCATTCCATATTCCGCTCCTGCCCGTGGTCAAGTGACGACGGGCAGTGGAACCAGTTCCATCACCGTTCAGCAGGCTAGCTGCAGCCAGGATCGCGCTTTCCAGCCCGCGCAACTTGACCGGTTATTGGTCGACTCCAAGGCGACAGTCATGTGACATACGGGAATACAGTACATGTATTTCTAAGTGCATTTTAGAATGCAATGGCTGCAGTAATGTTTCCTTTCCCTTTGCAAATGGGTCTGCTACGTGTACTTGTGAGTGTATTTCTGGTGTTCACTGTTTATACTCTGTGCGTTGCACGTGTTCCCCTGGCAGATACGGCATGCACTACAAGTACAACTGAAGAATGAGGAACTCGTAAACCTGGAGTCGTTCTCCCGCTGTGGTGACTTCTTCGCGGCTGCATTGATGTATGACCATCATGCGCTGAGGTTTATCCCGTGTCGGCAGCACGGTGTTCTCAACCCGGAGTCACTCATGGAGAGGAATGTGGTATGTGAACCGTGTGCGCTGTTCACTGTACATACTGGCATGGCACCGCCCGTGCGAACCTTTAGCAGAGTGGAACTCCTGCAGTCCGTATCCGCGCAACACAAACTTGCGGACGTTTTTCACTGAACTTACCTTTCCTCCACGAGTCCATAGACATGTCCTTCCGGATTATACACACTCGAAGAATTGCCAACCTATATTTGGTGTTTGGACACGTAACATGTGCTATACACAGACCAAGTACTGTAGTAGGTGCATCATCCAGTGTAACATGTGCTTTATGTTGGTTATGCTGCAAAACTCAAGTTACAGTAAAACCTGGTTTAAGCGACCACCCCACGGTGCAAGCGAAAGCGGTCGTTAAAGCCAGGTGGTCTTTAGAACCAGGTCCCATTAGGAGCAGGTGGTCGCTAAACCCAGAGGTCGCTTACACCAGGTTTTACTGTAGTTCTGATAAGAAGTGCGTCGGATACTACAAGTATGGTTTTCTGATGTGGAATTTCTGTCCTTGCTTTGTCTCTGTTGTGTACGTAGGCGAGCAGTGCGGATGCGAGGCACGTTGCCGTTGTTGTCGATGCGCCCGGTGCGATAGCGCGCAACGTTGACCATGGCCTTGGCAGATCAACACAGCTCTACCGGCGCTTGAGCCTGCTCGGCTGGTCGGTCATACGGGTAAGACTAAGAGTAGCAGTGCAGCAGTAGTTGCATGTAGTGGGGAAATGCGGACACTCTAGTAATGCACAGTTCTAGCTTGTATCAGGGAGTAGTAAAATACCGGTATTTTACTACTCCCTGGTTTGTATCACAACAGTGTTCTTGCTTTCATAGTCATACTGTGAAAATCAGGGAGTTGTAAAAAAAACCATTTAGTAGATCTTCTACAAGTGCCTGGTGGAAATTTGTAGTGCGTCCGTCTTGGTTGGCTCCCAGCTGTACCTTTTCTAATCGCGACTGTACGTCACACACAACCTTGCGATAGTGAATGACACAATACAATACAAGTGGACCGGTGTGCATGCATTACATGGATCAACGTTCTTGTCACTCCGGAGTCTGCACGTGTGTGTGTGTGTGTGTGTGTGTGTGTGTGTCCCATATGGTGCAGTGGTATGTGCAGTCGATTTCCAATCGAGAGGTTGCGGGTTCAATTCCCGACGATTATGGTCGCACACGTCTTTCTTCTCTTTCTCCTGGCTCTTCTTTCATTCTGCCGGGTGGTTACCAACAGCCAGTGTATGCCGGAGTATGTGGTGTGGTGTGTGTCGAAAAAGAAAAAAGAATGAAAAAATGAAAAATAGGGATTCACTGGCCAGAAAAAGCCACTTCAATCAGCTGTGTGGTGGATACCAGGCTAAAAATTAGTGGTGGTCAATTCATCAGCCTTGCAAGCTGTTGAATGGTGTAATGTCTAACATAGCTGTTCGCTATCACCGCTTCTGCGATGGGCAGGTCTGAGGTGTGTGTGTGTGTGCCACGCACCATGCTTGCAGGCTGATGTGATTGATATCATGAAGATAACATACTGACAGCTTCCTTTTCACTCTCTCAACCTTCTTTGTGCGATGCAAATAACTTTCTGGCAGGCAAAACCTATAGATTGGTTGAGTTTCCCTGAAACAGTCGCAAATCCCCTGCAATTTTGGCCCGAATCATGCCAATATTTACCACCGTTTTGCCGCAGAATTTGAGATTTTCTTCCGTGATTTTCCTCGGGAACAGTTATTTTGAAGTAGATGTAACTACATGCCAGACCAGAATCTGTGTGTTTGTGTGTTGATGGCTTCAGCCAGTGTTACTTGTCAAGGGTTGGCACTATTATTCATCTGTACTGCTTTGGCTCTTCCATCTGTTGTTTAGGTGAAGGAATCACAATGCGAGACTGTGCGACAAACCAACGCGATAGTTAGCCGCTTACTTGCAAAGTTCATCTCGGAGTCGTACCGCCATACTGCGCAGGAGACCGTGCACATTGAGGAGAGTTCAGAGAAAGTGAAACCCCTGTCACCGATGAAAGCCGAGCACGATTTAAAGCGGCCGTCATTGGATGCGCTGGACCGGCATGAGCTGGTTACCCACAACACGACACTGAAGAATAAGCAATTCGTCAGCCTGAAGAAGTTCATGCTGCAGACGTCGCTGTCGCGCCCGTGGAAGTACTAAGTGAGAGTACTTATGGAGAAGTCCGGGTGGCGATTACGTGGATCAAGCAAGTACCCTTGTGCTTCCTCCGCCACCGCTACTGCCATACCGTGTACACAGTCAACACAGACGGGTTTGTTGCGCGTAGCATGTTGAACAAATATCTGTGACAGAAGCAGCAATGCGTATACTTGCAGGCCCGCTACAAGGTTAATTTTAAGACTTGAAAAGTGCTCGCTAGGCTAACAGCAAGGTAAAACGCAGCACACAAAAAGATAGAAATTTGTGCAATCATTTGAGCGTGACGAAACAGTGTGCAGTGCAGGCTAAATCGCATGCAGTTATCTTTGATTGATAGCAAACCAAAACAATTCAAACGTTTTTTCATATTATTATTACTTTTTAATTCTGATACTACTGTACTCATCTTTGTCAATAAATTCGTGCTTTTCACTGCTCAAAGATATGAGTGTGTTGTGTGTAAAAAATATCATGACTTTGTAACGTGAGAACTGAACTGTTGAACTGTGGTATGTCATTCCTGCCATGCGTGCGTGTGTGTGTTGTTGGCACGTGTTGAGCATGTCTGGGCATTGCTTGAGATTGATTGTGAATGCTTGCTTATTCATGGTGGAGTTAGTGCTTCTGGATTAGCGAATCACGTTCGCTGGGTGACAAGAGGCCTTCGGGCAGCTGCACACAGGCACAGACATCCGTAGTAAGTTGCTATGTAATGATAATTATGATACCCGCACGCCATGCAACGAGTGCTGGATCTACGAGTTGCTAAGTAAGAGCTGAGTGCAAGCAAGACCTAGGAAGATGCTGATATAGGCAACGTGACCACGGGGCGGGGAGTGCAGGATAGATTTAAAAATACACAGCTAGGCAAACCCACAAAGCAGTGCTAAGGAACACAGCTATGATGACAGTTGAGCAGTGTGCATGACATTCAATTTTTCATTGTACGACAGTTCTTGAAAAATTATCCTATGGATTGCGTTTATACACACACACACACACACACACACACACACACACACACACACACACACACCACACACACACACACACACACGCCATCACCTACCAAATCATCCTGCACCTCCACGTCTTCAAACTTCTTTTCATGGTAGAACTGGCGCTTCTTCAGGAAGTGTAGGACAACGAAATCACACATGATCGTAGCCTGTAGCAAGGGGCATAGCCAACCAAGAGAACATAAGAACATAGAGCACCCCCCTTGTTGAGTACACACAATGTCTAGACTAGAGCCGTAGTGAAGGATAGTCAGCAAGTAGGGGTGAAACGAGTATCTAGTTTGACCAATCGATCACTCATTCATAATATTCGATCGAGTATCCGAGTATTTATCAAAATTCAAAAGCGCTAAATTTGTGAGTTATTGACCAATTCGGAAGAAATTATCTGTGAACATAGAACAAAAGTCGCCAACGTCTTGTACAGAGTGTAAAGTAACGATTTTCAATCATACTTTCATATCTCATAAGTCATAACTAACGTCACTTGCCGTGGTGATTGCATCGTCCAAGTCATAAAATACTGACTCAAAGGCATGCATAACACATGCATACCAGTGGACGAGCGGTACAACTAAAGCTTTTGAAAAATAGAATGCCAATACTAAAAAAATAAAATAAAATAAAAAACGATCGAGTGCAAAATTTCGTATACTGGCTCGTTTGAAATTTTCGAACGAATACTCGAATACTGTAATTTCAGAAATTTTCGGTGTACTTTTATTTTCGGTACTTTCGGTGCGTCTGTTTCATACCTAAAATTTCAATACACCGAACAAACACTAACACACATAAACCAATAGGGAACTGCTTCTCTGTACCGAAAATTTCTGTTCACCTAACCTAGCCTGTTGCCCTCATACCGAAAATATAGAGCACCGAAAATTTCTGAAATTAGAGTATTCGAACTAATCGTTTCACCCCTATCAGTAAGCCTCATGAGCTACCAAGGCTACCAGGTGACCATGGTGACAACCAAGAGTACATGGAAGCGAGAGTGTGCAGCTTGAACTAGGAGAATCTATGACGGTGAAATCTACGCCACGGTGCTGTTGCAGATGAGCAGTACAGAGCAATGCGAGGTGTGCAGCTGAGCTGTAGACCTGCTTGAATACCACTTGTACACGGACAAACTGCAGTAGAGCAGTGATGTAATCCGGGAATTTTGCCGCTACATCCGTTAGGGTGCCCACCTGAACTGCAGCAACGGTTTTCACGCCCATGTAGTCTTGGTATAATGCATACTCGCGGATAGGACCAGTAGGGGAATGAAGAAAGACAGAGATTTCCACGGACACAGTACTTACTACACTAAGCAGGGCAAGACCAGAGCCCAGGTTGACAAGGAGAGGTACGGGGCTGAACTTTCCCGCCTACACAGAACACAGCAAGAGAAGCCTATCATAGGTCAAATGCAAGAAGCACTGATCTCGCCACAGTTCCGTTCAAACCGATCAATCAGCACATTAGAACATTCCGTCAGCCGAGACCGTTCCGCTACACGTGTGTGGCTGATACGGACACTAGTACCTATCAAACGTGGGACTGAACATGTCCTGCAGAAGACTTTTTTTTGTTCACAAACAAGCGGGGATCCTCACCCGTGCCCTCGCTACCAGTGGCATGCACAGGTGCGCTTGTAGCCGTTCGGAACCAATTTTCACTCACACTGGATGCTGAACAGAAAGAAACAAAAGTCCGAACAAAAAGCATCTGCGTGTACAGTGCATGTTACTGTGCACCCACCTCTCCGCTGATCTTGATGTCAAAGAGGATGCCGTACGCTTTGATGAGGGTGCGAGTCTTCTCCCCGTTTACGTCAGAGTGGTACTGAGAATAACTGCAGGTAAAGAGGCAGTACAGCGTATAAGCAACACTCAAGATCACTAGCAGCCAGCAATTTCCAACACAACGGCCTTCACGGCTCAACTTTTCACAGCGCTGTCATGTGACATCATTGCCCTGAAGTCAAGCAGGGCTGGGAGTACACATGACAAGAGCAGAACATGCTATTGCCAGCAGAAACAGAGCACGCAAACAGGACTGACCGGAAATTGAAGCCAGGCGAGAGTGCCACATCAGGGTTGTCCAATCTGTGCCGTGTCATCAGAAAACACACACATTTACAAGCACCGGTGCACCATGGAATTGTAAGTACAGTCACAGTAATTGTCTATCATGAGTACTAGTAAGCATCCGCCTACATCAAAAATGTCATACACTACCTGGCAGTGCCTGCACACTTCGACAGCTTCTTCCCTGTAAGTGCAGATACGTAGTCTGTGAGGGGTGGTACAAGGGGCACGTGCAACCCGGAATGAGATCCGTGAGCTGCACAGAGCCACCAGGCACACATGAACGACTTCCTGGTTGGTTACCATCAGGGAGTAGTAAAATACCGGTATTTTACTACTCCCTGATTACCCGTGTACATGGTATATTATACTCTCTGACTCTGCGCTGTGGCGTATGCACTCGCCGAGCGAACTCTCGGCAGTGTAATCTGTATCAACCGTGCTACTAGTATCAGTGAAGTCGCTCATTGTCACACATGCGCGCACCCACTCCACGCCAATAGTAGAGTAACCGGTACGATTATTTCATCCCTGGTTGTTAGCAACTGAAGCCAGACCCCAAGCACACGGTCAACATCCACACAACACAAGTCGTAACTTACAATGAGTACTGCACCCTCTGTGTACTGCACCCTCTGAGTACTGCACCCTCTGTGTACTGTAACGTCTACAAATTTTCAGCACGTATGAAAAGGCGAGCCTCTGAGAGCTAAATCACTTTTCGGCCATACAAAATGTCAACCCATACTACCCCTGCCTTTATACTCTGTTTATGCCTCGTAAACTAATTTTGTAGCCGCAATAATGTTCCGGCCTCAAAGACGAGGGCCGAAAATAAGCGATAAAAAATAGGCGCCGACCATTCATTGATTTACAGTACATGTATCTCCGTTTCAGGGTCTCACCGTCGGAAGGTATACTTCGGATTACACTCGTCTTCATCATGGTCCAGGTTGCAACTCCAGTTAATGTCAATTGATATGACAGCACCCTACATTGAGAGAGAGAGAGAGAGAGAAAGAGAGAGAGATAGATAGAGAAAGAGAGAGAGAGAGAGAGAGAGAGAGAGAGAGAAAGAGAGAGAGAGAGAGAGAGAGAGAGAGAGAGAGAGCAGCGGGGATAGGATCACATTGACATTGTAGTAGTCCTCCTAATGCTACATCTATCTATGGTAAATTCTGTGTTGATGAATGATCAAGTGAAGGAGAAGAAGAGAAAAAAGAGGCGTCATTTTCCTTACATTGCGACAAGTTGTGAGTGATCTACAATAAGGTTATGGAATTTATGATTGCTGCAAAATCTTTTTACACAAGCAAAATTAGTTTCATTGCATCTTCACTATAGCTCACGAAACTTCTAAACCAGTCTATGTCATCACTCACTGCGCATCAAGTCATCGCAGTAACGATCTAGCACATAGCGTATAACGTCAATACCGTAGGAGCAGAGAAACTGGTAGAAACCCAGAACGGTTTCACATTGTAGTGACAGACCGTTTCTTCTCTTTCTTGAAGCGTGACGGGCATCCCAAGCACCAGCCGAAAACTCACGTTCTTTGCTGCATCATCCCATTGGTCAGCAACTCCAGCATACTTGAATATGTTGTACAGCTTAATGATCGGGCAGTACTTGTCTTGAGGGTGATCGGGTGAATAGCGACATTTCTTCAACCATTTCTCAGTGGAGGTAGACGGGATGTTTCTCCTATCAGCAAAACACAAGACACAACAGTAGTGGTGCAACTCGTACAGCACACGGCATTTTAAATTTACTTCAAAAGTACCGTGCTGCTCAGTGAAATCCAGTCGTGTCACTCAAGCACGCGCCTGGCGCTGCGCAGCCCTAGACCTGAGAACACTGGGCTGGGGAATGATGCAAGGCGCAAACTGGAGAGACGCAACTGGATTTCATTGCGCAGCACTGTACATAGGTGCACGTGCACAAGTGCATGTACACACATTCAACAACACGTACCGGCGGACATCGAACTTGCGGAAGATGATCGAGTTCTTGATCAGGACGGTGAACTCCATGGACTCGTTACCAAGGCGAGCTGGACTGTATAAAAAGACAATTGAACACAGAAGTTGTTTAAAATAGAGGTGTATCGTCCAACCCTGTAGGCGATACACACCGTATAAAACGCATTGCAAGAGTCTATACAGTACAACTAGCCAGTGCAGTGTACACACTCAGCAGAGGCAGAGGACGCGTGTCTACAATACTACCTACGATGGAGTGACATCCTTCTCCAGTGGACACCAGCCGATGATCTCGCAGGTCTTGTTCACTGCTGATCCATTAGTAAAGTCCTCTTCATAGACATCATGACGAGTATCGGAATCATAGGAGTCGTATGGTATGCATCTGCCCGTCATAAGACCTGTAGAAACGGCAATAGCAGATGGTGGACAACGGCAGGTGTTAAAAAAGAACGAGATAGAGATAGAAATAGTGATAACGGCTTCGGCAATGATTTCGTAGGAAAGATGTTTGCTTCCCACGCAAACTCGGCGGAAAAGCATGAGCTCAGGTGTGGGGAGCAAACATCTTTCCCGTCAAATAAGAGATAGAAGATATTACTACACTGGTTTGCCCAGCATGCATGCCTTTAAGTCATTGTTGATGCATGTTGAGCAGCCACTTTCCGAAGTTTCGCGTACAGAAACCCCTGGAAAACGGAAGTGGCACCCTGGTGGAGGTCCAGCGTAGCACCAAGAGTCCTGGATTCTTGCCTTGGTTGTACCTGCAGTTGTGACTCCCTGCTTGAGCGCATCCACGGAAGCTTTTCGCTTGCACACCTTCACTGATCCACTGCTTTTTGTGTTCCGCATTTCCAAAAAGATACTCTTAGTTGCGTGTCTTTTTCCTCTCTGATTGCTACTTGTGTGGACACCATGGAGGCTCATCAGCCTTGGAACTTAGCGTTTCCAAAACAAAGTTTCGCGCGCGCGGGCGCGCGCGCGGACATCTCTCGTTGAGTGCGCGTTTCAACCAGCTTGGTTCGATAAATTCAACTCACTATGACGAGTTGACGGATTCCGTGACCTGCCATTTGTGTTCTTCTGCTTGACAGTGCCAAGTCCTCCATCCAGACCCGCTTTGATCAGAAGGGCTTCGCCATATACACACAGATAGAGAACCTTCTCTTGAAGAGTGCCAAAGGAGTTGACACCACAGACGAGTTCAAGGCAGTGACAGAGTTATACAGCGAGGATCTCAACTCCGACCTTCTGACCCAGTTTTCCCTCCTTCAGACGCAGATGCCCTCTGATTACGATGTCACGTTTAAGTCTGTGCTGAAGTTCTTGCGGGGCTACTCCACATCTCAGAGGCAGCTTCTGTCTGAAATTTGAAGTTGGTGCGCTTGATTCTGGTAAGCCCAGCTACCAACGCCATCAGCGAGAGATCTTTCTCAGCAATGCGGAGAATCAAGACCTATCTCCGCTCCACAATGGGCCGGAGTCGGTTAAATGCAGTCATGCTCCTCCACACGCACAAGGACAGGACAGATACACTGTCTGTGGTGGAGTTGCCCAATGCCTTTGTCGATGTCACCGGCAGTGATCACCGCCGCTCACTGTTTGGCACATTCACGGATGCTGATATTGCAGCTAAGGAACCCAGCTAGCAGTTTACCTGTGGTTGCTCCTGTTGTCTTTTTTCTTTGGCTTTCTTGCCTGCATTTCTTTTCCGCCGTGACTTGTTCACAGCTACTAAGCATCAGAACACTTGCCCACCACGGTCCAAGAACAGCTCGTGCACAACTTTCGCTAAATTTGTAAGGGGGTACGAAATAAGTTTTTTCTGAACGTTTGGGGTGACAGACCTTGACCAAAAGCGAAATTTAGTACGTAACGAACCTGCTGGTGGAGTGATCTAACGAAAGATTTCGTAAACGAAATTTTGTACTTATACAGTAGACTCTCCCCCTCTCCCCCCTCCCCCCTATTCGAAAGTCTTGTGGCACATTATCTGCTACTACTGGTACTATATGTAGTAGTACAACAGGAATCATTCCCGGACATATTCCAAACAAATAGAAACAATCGGTTGTCAAACATGCACACAACAGCGAACACTCCTCTCACTGAGGAGTGGAGTCTTTTGCCCCCCCCCCCCCCCCCCCAGCTTGAAACATGAGTCAAATCTCCCGCTCGTGCACGGGGTCAACACCGGCTTGGACCAATGGTGGCTTTGGAACACCTTCTACTGCTCATCATCAGTGACTTGCTCGGGATTCGTCCAATCGATCATGCCCTTAGTTACGTCTGGCGCTAGCCAGGGTCCACACCGCTTTTATTCGGTAATTGTTTGTTTGTGCCTGCTGCTTGTAGCAGCAGCAGCAGCAGCAGCAGCAGCAGCAGCAGCAGCAGCAGTGGACTAAGGGCCGGGTTCCACTGCGGCTCTGCTCGTCATCCGCGGCTTGAAACGTCATCATTACCATAGTGACCGCGGCTCACCGCGAGCTTGCTACGATTCTCGATCAAAAACTGTGAGCCGCGGTCGTGGCTCGACCTGTTTCCCGTACTTTGCATTGTTTTGTACGCGAGAATTTTAAAATTCAAATTCTTATTCGTTGCGCAGGCCAGAACATGAGCATTTTTTTCGATTGCGCAGGCAGGTAAAACATCATCAAAAAACATGGAGCACGACCGCGGTACCGCGAATAGCGAGTGCCAGTGGAACCGCGCTGCTCCGTTGCATGCAGCCAAGTGCCGCGGAACCCGGCCCTTTACTTAGCAAAGATAAGTTATTGCAAATTTGCCACACAGACAGACACACACACAGACACACACACCCTAAAATACCACAGCATTACCATTTCCCGCTGGGACCATTTGACCAGATGGACAGTCGCTTGCATTGTAGCACTTGGCATTCTTTAGACTCTGTAATAAGTTAGAAAAGGAAAAAAGCAAACACTGCATCAAACTAGCAAACATTGCATCATGCCTTCAATTTCCACACTCAATACAAACAAAGCCTTATAACCAACACAGACGGGGGTCATGGGCTTTCGAAGCAAACGGTTGTCACACACACACACACACACACACACACACACACACACACACACACACACGCGCACACACACACACACCTGCCGAACACAAACACATACATGTACATACCTCGGGACAGGTCATGTTACGCTGATCTGGCGTGATGATCATGTTTGTCATTACAAAGAATGCTCCAGTTTGCTGAGACCAAATCGCACACATACATACACGAAAACATACACACACACACACACACGCAAACACACACATGAGCGCGCACACACACACACGCACACACAAACACACAAGTCACATGAAAATTAGTCCGGGCCATGACCAGATGACAATGCACATTCACAATGAAAACGGAAAAAGCCCTTCACAGCCAGCTCAGCTTGGTGCAAGAGTCGCACAGAGCAGCGTTAAAGGTGACAACCCGCCAAAGCCAATGTTGCCCACAGATCCCGCGACAAGTTCAAATTCAAAAGCCAACGACTTCCACGCGGCGGTCCTGGTCACGTTTGTGCTGAGAACATTGGTACCACTGAGCAAAGCATCGTCTCGCTAAACCAGACTACAGCGTGCAGCGTAGATCTACACTCTGAGTACCAACCTGAGGTGGAATATGATAGTCGGCTGCATCCCAAACACGACTCGCTAGGCCTGCATTCAACGGATACGCAGCACCTTTCAGCTTGGCCGTGACGGCTCCCTCAACTTCTTCCGTGTCCTGGTAGCCCTTCTTGTAGACAATCACATACCTACACGGTTTGCATAAGCCAACAGAACAGAAACACCAAGCAGGAATAACGCATGTCATCCAATGCCACCAGGAAATGGAGAGCATTCTCAAACTTTGAATGACAGTGGTGTTTGGCAGTGGAATAGTTTCGCACACAAGTCCAATGCAATAGCTGCATTGCGACGCAGTGTGCCAGGTGTGCACGTGCACCAATACATGCCAGTGCTGCTGAATAGGTCACACATGCACTCGAAAGTAGCAGATCCGCTGAATCGACATCGCAGGAGCGAAAATACCATGGCAACGGCGAAACTTCCGCTTCAGCGGAAACTCCAATCCTCTTCCTCCAAAATTTTCGAAGCGAGACTGTCGCTTTTGCGGTTTCGCGTCAGCGGAAAACACCACTGTCTGCTGTATATGGACTTGCTACGAGAAATTTGTATGCGTATGAGGTCCATGCAACAAAAATGCGTGCAAGATAGTCATTGACCTCGTCTATTCTCCGTACCGTATGCACCACAGTCCACTTTACTCTCATTTCCCGCCAAAGTAGGAGTTTGCCCTGTTTGTATGTGTGACCATACACAAGTGGTTCCGCTGGAGTGACACCAGGCTCGCTGCCGCAGAACCTCGTCGCCGAAGCGAGACCCCAGTGCATGTGTGACCGGGCCCTTATGATGTGCACAGGCCGGCGCATACACACACACACACACACACACACACACACACACACACACACACACACACACACATACACACACACACACACATACACACACACACACACACATACACACACACACACACACACACACACACACACATAACTACTGCATATACTATGCGCATATACCAGCAGCCTGCTCTCTACGGATCACTCCGCAATTATCGAACTTGTCTTCATCGTGCGGTCAGTTCTTAGGTTTTAGCAAATTGCCCTCATCAAGTTTGCAATGGCGTGCAAGCTCGCAAAGGAGCTAGTCGATCGATAATTCCTTAACAATCAACAGATCATCTTTACTTATAAAGAAGAGGCACCTGTGACGTGTGTGTGTGTGTGTCACGCTGAAGCGCTGCGGAGCAGCGCTGCCCTGAGCACGCGAAGCGTGCGAACAGTGTAGCACAGTGTAGCTAGCGGCCGCAGAAGCACTGAGCACGCGAAGCGTGCGAATCGTGTAGCTAGCGGAAGCAGCCACAGAAGCACTGAGCACACGAAGCGTGCGAATCGTGTAGCCACCACCACGTGCTGAGCACGCGAAGCGTGCGAACAGTGTAGGTAGCAGACACGATCAGTACGAGTAGCAGTAGCAGCCGCGCGCAGAAGCACTGAGCACGCGAAGCGTGCGAATCATGTAGCCACCTAGCCTAGGCCATAGGTAGCACTAGCAGCCGCACAAGCGCTGCGGACCACGTGAACCGTTCTCTGCAAATAGAAACATCTGCAACAAAAGGATACAAAAGATCTGCACTGACTGCACTCTGCATCTGATCTGCAGTGAAGAGCGCATCGCACTTTTGTTCGTAATTTTATGAATTTTTTGAGCCGCTTCATCCGCCACCAGGTGATGGACAACCCTGACCAGCCTCCCGAAGGCGTAACAGACGTCCCTCCTTCTCCTTCCAACGATGAAGAACCTCCCTCACCAGGACTTCAGCGGTCTGGCCACCACCACGTGCTGAGCACGTGTGCTGTTCATGTACTTGCTTCACCCGCATGCCACGTTCGGCCAGGCAACGCTGGCCGGGGGTGCTGCTAGTTACGTTATAGATTACTTGTTAGGGATTTTGAGTCCAAAAGGTACTGAAAACTGCCGTTTTTGAGAAGTTTAAATCAATTTCCGCTGTCAGTATGCAGTTGCCAGAGGTATGGTTCAAGTTCTGAGGTTCAATTGATTTCAAAACTGCCATGTTTCGGAGCTACTCTTTCACTAATGCAGATTTTTGGTATTATGGAAACAGAGTAATTTTTGAATAATCGATCGTTATGCCAAAGAGAAATCGATAGGTGAAAATCCACGATCGTTTCAGCCCTACTACTACTAGTAATAGTAAAAGCAAGATAGCGGCGAGTCAGGACGTGCAACAATTAGCACAACACTGACTGGTATGATACTGACATTCAACACTGACTGGTGTTTAGCCGGGTCACGTCTAGAATGTGCACAAGCCAACAGCCTTCCAACTTGCAAGAAATCGTTTGTGCAACCGCGCGGACAAACGAGGTATGAGTGTATCAGGGTTCTAGCCAGGTCAAAACAGTAGGGGGGGCAGGGGAAACCATAATCCATGATCCATTTCCCAAAATTGGCATGCCAATGGAACTGGATTTCATGCTAATTTTGGAAGATGGATTTCAAGTGCCGGATTAAAGCGTAGAAAATTAACTGAAAAACCGTTTTGTCAGAATGTGTGCTGGTTTGCACGGGTTCCGGATAAACAAGTGCCGGATTAGAGAGGGACGACTGTACATGTACAAGTGCATAATCACATGAGGTTTTTATTCCCGTAGCTATACAGAAGACGTTACTTCAGTAACGTCTGGCGCTAGCCAGGGTCCACACAGCTTTAATTTGGTATTTGTGAGTTTGTTTGTTTGTGTGTTTGTGTCACGCCTGGCGCTATCCCGTATCTGTCCCGTACCGTACCATCAAACACAGCTGGCCACATACAGCTGGCCGCAATATTCAAATAGGGCTTTCAAACGCAAGATCATAACGTGAAGCAACTTGGAAGAATGGGTATGAATGCGAAGTGTATGGGGGAATGCATGTAGGGCGATAGTGCGGGTTCGAATCCCAGGATATGCCTGAAAAAAATAGGAGAATTGAAAAATTTATAACATCCGTATGCTTTTTTTTGCCGTCATCAAGGCGGTAGACGGTGTCGTATTACCCTCGATCGTACCAAGAGTACATAAACCAGAGTGTGCAACTGTGCATATCAGATCTGAAACAGCGCAGTTCGTGCACTACGTCACCCTGATGAGATCAGCCAAGCCGCGACTTGCGTACAGCTCAAATTTTCATGTTTCATAGCCCGGAAATCGGCCAAGTTTGCTTGATTTTAGACGTCCTGTTTCAGGATTTCAGTGTTTTGTGTGACTGTGTACGCTGCGTACATCCACCGACAAGTAAAGTCACCAGGCTATCCGTCTCAAAAAACCGAAATCAGGACAAACTCAGTGAACTGCACCACCGCGACTGGTTACTCAACTTTTCACCGTACCTGTGGCTTACCATGCCGTCAGAAATGATGTAGTGCACGAATTACGTTCCCACAGGAACCATCCCGAGTTGCACACTCTGGTTTATGTACTCTTGATCGTACCTGTCCCGTACCTATCCCGTACCGTACCGTACCATCAAAGACGGCTGGCCACAATGCATATTCAAATAGGGCTTTCAAATGCAAGATCATAACGTGAAGCAACTTGGAAGAATTAGTATGTATGCGAAGTGTATCGGGGGATGCATGCAGGGCGCGCGATAGTGCGGGTTTGAATCACAGGTTATGTCTTTAAAAAAAGATTTTTTTTAAAGAAATTACCCACCAAAGGATGTACCCAGAGTGCTTGACAGTGCTCAACACCACAAAGGCAGAGCGTAATACACAACAGAACAACAAGGACAATCAAGGCTTGTTTGCTGCTACTTTAAGTTTCATGCTTACGCAATTGTCATGGCCCTGCGTAGACAGTACTACTCACCAATACTATAGTAGTGCTGCACACATTCATTATCAGCCTGTCACCTACCTCTACCGCGGCTCTTCATCAATGTTCTCTTCCTTTTGATTAGGATAGAGTTACCTCTTCTGTCGCCGGACCTAGACTATCCATTACCATAGAACTGTCAGCTATTGTCTCTGTTGCCGGTCCGCTGTTCTGCTGTTCCGCTTAGTTGCTTCGATTCATGATTAGCATTAGCTTCAATACTTAGATACATTACTCTTTGCTGAGTTTAGCACAGCTCACTACTCGTTCGCTGCTGCCTGCTCGATCCTTCCCTTCGTAGCCGCTCGCATAGATTTCAGCTAGTATAAGTTCGCTGACTTAGCCAGATATCGAGGAGTCTTGGATTAGTCTTGGATTAGTCTTGTATGAGTCTTGTATTAGTCTTATTCTCTTTTATAGCTTTCTTGACTTTCTTTATAGGAGTTCCGCTACCGCTCAAGCGGACTTGTCCGCTTGAGCCGGTGTGGCCTTTGACTTTGTAGTTTCTTACTGTTCCTTTGTTCCTTTACTATACAATCGGACCTGAGGGCTCCGCCACCCTGACTTCTCTCTGTGCTTTGGGTCTGAGGTACGCCTGAGTGGAACTACCAAGAGGCGCACATATACTTTGTGCAAACGGGCTTGGGATAACTAACACGTAGGGACGATCAGCCAGCCACGACACTTGGTGCTGTGACCAGGATTCTTCTTGGTCTAGTTTCCCAGGTCCTCCGCCCTACTCTTGGTCTACGCCCTTTCACTCTCCGTCATCGTTCCGTCCTCCGCTGTGGCTCTGCCGTACAGGCTCTGTAATCTACGCCGCCTCACGAGTTCTTTGGATTGTGAGTGCTTACTGACGATTCCTCGTCGATCGACGAGTCGTACGCCAAATCCGTTGAGGACACGCGCTCCGAGTTGCGTACGGCAACAAAGAGAATACTTACGCCAGGTTACCACTGCGTTCGCAGTCGTTTCCTCTTTGAAGAGAAGCAAAAGAGACGTTCCTCGGTGTTGATCGTCAGTTACGCCGCTCTGCTGTTTCAGCAAAGCCATACGCTCCCAAACGTGTTGTGGTACTGACTGTGCTGCTTCCGTTGGCCTACGCCTCTGTGATCAGTCCTGCCTCCGCGTCCGGAGCCCTGGTCAATCTCTTCGCCTGTGTTACGCCTGTGAGCTGTGTTCCGATCCGCTCGCAAAAAAAAATGAGTTTCGTCTCTTCGCCGGATGCTCCGCGATCCTTGTTGTACATGATTGTACAGTCCGCACTCTCTGAGCGTGCGCTCACTCCGTTGTGTGTTCAAACCAGC